AAGAGCTTGAAGAGAATGTTTAGCATTTTTCTAATTTGTTTCTTAGCAAGCTGAAATGTGTTTCAGAAACAATTTAGCATGCCCAACATAATAAATTTGTTTGTTCAGGCCACTTAAAAGTCACAAAATAGTGAGCTAGCTTTTAGGCTTCATAGAACTCTTTATAAACAATTTTACAAAAAACAGGAAGAGGAAATCTCTAGAAATTAAACTTATGATGAAGGCCTGTGATATATGAGAACTGTAAAATTGTGGATTCAGAATGTTCGTTTTGGTCTGATTGAATTATATTGCATTCTTCTTATACATTTCTATTGAGAAGTGAGATCAGGCTTTGCTCTCAACTAAGTACAAAATTGCAGCCTTAAGTTGAGAATGATGAAAACACAATTTTATTTACCTTTTGCAAATATTAAAGAGTAACAGTTGTCCCCATATTGCTTTGTCGTTGATTGGAATTGGTTTTAGGATGCTTTTATGATCAGCAATAGTTTGGCGAATTGGCAGTACTAATAGTTGTCACCTTTAGTACTTCTTGCATTTTGCTTCTCTTTGACTTTAAACCTTGTGCTAGTGTGTGATAAGCACAGGTTGTGAGTGACAGTAAGTCTCATGTTAGTTAGCCTGTTTGTCAACATAAATTTACAATTCCATGATTTTTTTCAGTGAAATCATGACTCGGTTAAGCTGGCATAAATAGATTAGAAGTGTGTATAGCATTTCTATGAATATAAGAACCTTGTACTGCTCATCCTGCTAAGCCCGTTGGTATCATTTTCTTTGCACATTTGTGCAGACCATAGTCCTTAGTTACATGGTCATAACAAAATTCTGTCTTGTTGTAAAGCAGCATGAAGCTAGTAATGTATAAATGCTAACTCTTTTACTATTGATTTTAAATAGCTGCAGTGTTTCCTGAAAGCATTTGCATTAGAGATAAAGGGCTTCAGGTCCAGTGATGATATTCCAGGCTCTGTATATTCTTTTCATTTCCTGCTCAGCAAGTCGGAATTATAAGAGAACATAGATAGGTGGGCTCTAAGGCTTTGTATGGGTTAAACCCCTCTACAAGCAGCTATAGTGAGTTAGTGTGGTTTAGGATTTGAGAGTTGGACTGGGGGTCCATCTACAGTATAGGAGTAATGCAGTTTGATACCACTTTCACTGACATGGCTCAATGAGACAGAATCCTTGGATTTGTAGTTTGGTGACTCACCAGCACTCTTTATTATTTATGTACTACATTTATATACAGCTTTTTCCCCCCTGAGGGAACTCAAAGCTGTTTCCAACATAATAATAATAATAATAATAATAATAATAATAATAATAATAATAATAATAATCTTTATTTATACCCCGCCACCATCTCCCCAAGGGGACTTGGAGCGGCTTACATGAGGCCAAGCCCAACAACACATCAATAAAGACAACAACATAATAAAAGGGAAAATTCAATGCCTTCCATACATGTGAAAACCAAAACATAATAGCTAGACAATAACATATAACTATAAATTAAAAACGTAGCCATATTAAAACATAAAATAACATTTGGACATAAAATGAAAAAAGTTAAACATCGGTAATATAATAACATTTATATTGAAACCTAACCGTAAACAACACGGTTTTAAAACTGTTATTAAAATGACGCCATCCAAAATAAAATCTGTAGTCCTTCCATTTGTCCATTCACTATTCCTTATTCTCTTATATCACTAAAAAGTTTGCTAAAGCCAGCACTTTGAATTGTACTTGGTAGTAGACTGGCAGCCAGTTTGGCAAAGAAAACTTTGCAAAACTCCAGCTCTCACGATAGTTTTGAGACATGGCAGTTGAACTGGTGCCAATCTGCATTAATTTTACAGTGTAGATGCACTCTTTCCTGACGTTTCGCCTGCATCTATGGCAGGCATCCTCAGAGGTTGTGAGGATGCCTGCCATAGATGCAGGTGAAACTTCAGGAGAGAATGCTTCTAGAACGTGGCCATATAGCTCTGAAAACTCACAGCAACCCAGTGATTCTGGCCATGAAAGCTTTTGACAACACATTACAAATTCCCTTGGAACATCCCCTTTTGGTTACATTTATTCGGTGTTTTGGAAGAAGAGAAGACCACTGCTACTACTGCAGACTTGATTTCAAACTTGGCTATGCTGGGAATTATCTCATCATAAATGTTTCTCATTCTGTCGTTCCCAAGGCTCACCAGCAATCCTTGGGATGGTTTAGACTCATTGCTGCTCCTCTCCTTGGGAATTTAGGATTAGTGCAGGGTTTAACACCTGACACTATAAAAAAAGGCCCTGTCATTGAGAGGCTTACTCAAGAAGTGATTTGACCACAAGCCTGGGAATTTGGAACGGAATGAAAATTTCATGGGAACCAGGCAGAATTTTATTGGGAAGCAATTTTCTCATCCCAACCCCTGTAGCTACAGCCCTGTACAGTGTTCTCCACGAAAATTATTTCAGGGCTTGCTCTTCTGAAAGTTCCCATACCATAAGCCAATTGTGTAGGTGAAGAATTTTTCCCCACTAAAGGAATGTACAGAACTGGATCTCTGTGAAGATTTAAGGGCAATTTTTATGGCCTCTGATGCTTTACAGTACTAACCTCCCTCCCCCTCTCTCTATATATGTATGCATATGTATATGTATATATATGTATGTGTGTGTGTGTGTGTGTGTGTGTGTATGGAATAAATATGTGCATTTATTCAGATGAGAACTGAATTTTGGTTGTATTGTCGAAGGCTTTCATGGCCAGAATCACTGAGGTTCAGGGAGTTTTTTGGGCTGTATGGCCATGTTCCAGAAGCATTCTCTCTTGACGTTTCGCCCCCATCTATGGCAGGCATTCTCAGAGATTGTGAGGTCTGTTGGATCTAGGCAAGTGAGGTTTACATATCTGTGGAATAATGGCCAGGGTGGGAGAAAGAATTCTTTATCTGTTGGAGGCAAGTGTGAATGTTGCAACTGGCCACCTTGATTAGCATTGAATGGCCTTGCAGATTCAAAGCCTGACTGTTTCCTGTCTTGAGGAATCCTTTGTTGTCTAACAGCCACCATGCCAGATTGCATAGAGGAGCCATTGGAATCCACAAGCGTGTGGACAATTTCAACAGAAAGGAGAAAACCATGAAAATGAACCAAATATTGCTACTAGAATTAAAAACTCTAAAATCAGGACAGTAAGTAAAGACCAGTACTCAAAAAACAAGGAAATTCCAGACGAGAAACAATCAGGGCCAGCTAATCACCTTCCAACAAAGGATTCCCCCAGGCAGGAAACAGCCAGGCTTTGAAGTTGCAAGGCCATTCAATGCTAATCTAGGTGGCCAATTGCAACAGTCACACTTGCCTCAAGCAGACAAGAATTCTTTCTCCCACCCTGGACATTATTCCACAGATATATATAAACCTCACTTGCCTAGTTTCCTACGGACCTCACAACCTCTGAGGATGACTGCCATAGATGTGGGCGCAAAGTCAGAAGAGAATGCTTCTGGAACATGGCCATACAACCTGGAAAACTCACTGCAACCCATTGAATTTTAGCTGCTTTTAAAGTGGAAATACATAATCCACACGTATATAAAAGATCATGCAAACTTTGCACTTCTTCAAAAACAATTCATGTCTGTTTTTCACTTGTTCTCTTCTCTCCCCAAATTGCATGAGCAACTTTAGGGGCTAGGTAGGGGGAACAGGCTAACCATCGGGATAGAAAGCAATGTCTATGACAAGCTGGAATGTGTCCAGAGGAGGGCGACTAAAATGATCAAGGGTCTGGAGAACAAGCCCTATGAGGAGCAGCTTAAGGAGCTGGGCATGTTTAGCCTGAGGAAGAGAAAGCTGAGAGGAGACATGATGGCCATGTATAAATATGTGAGAGGAAGCCACAGGGAGGAGAGAGTAAGTTTGTTTTCTGCTTCCTTGGAGACTAGGACACGGAACAATGGCTTCCAACTACAAGAGAGGAGATTCCATCTGAACATGAGGAAGAACATCCTGACTGTGAGAGCCGTTCAGCAGTGGAACTCTCTGCCCCGGAGTGTGGTGGAGGCTCCTTCTTTGGAAGCTTTTAAACAGGCTGGATGGCCATCTGTCAGGGGTGCTTTGAATGCAATATTCCTGCTTCTTGGCAGAATGGGGTTGGACTGGATGGCCCATGAGGTCTCTTCCAACTCTTTGATTCTATGATTCTAGTTCTCTATTTAGATGGTATCTGTTCTAGGGATTTCTAGTTGCCAGCCCTTTCCTTAGAAAAATATTAGACTGTAACTGCTTTTCCCTTTACGTTCCTTCCCTTTTGTATCACTTCAGGGTTTTTCTTGCTGATTTTATTTATTTCATATCAAAAGCATTGCATAAATTAATATAAAACCAATAAAAATAGAAGGAGCGCAGGTGGCTAAATATATTTTGATCAAAAAGGGGCAACAGCAATGGCATTGTCTGTAGCCTCCAACAAATCTTCCTCTGTACATGAGGCAGGGCATAGTGGACAAGCATACAGATGTGGAGTTGTCTGTTCTGCTCCAGTCACATAAGGTGTGGGATTCTTTTAGGTCGTGCCATTTTGCCAGGTTGTCTTTTGTCTTGCTGATGATCCACTGTAAGAACTATTGTATTGTACTTGAACCTTCCTGGTACTTATGAAGCTAAAAGGATATTCTCAACTGAATGCCAGTTACTTTAAAATAGAATCTCAAGATGCTTCAATGGGACTGGACAGTATGAAGATATGCTAGTGTTTTGTCATTGTACTCTACATGTGTCCCATTCATATGGGAGCAGGTAACGTGATGGATCACCTTCTTCCATATTTGCTTGCCAGACCTTGTGAGACAAGTCAGGCTGAGTTAACTGGAGAGGAGTGGAATCTAGATCCTCCAAGTCCCAGTTCAGCAGACTAACCGCTGGTGACGTAAGAGTGGTGTAATAGAGAAATACCATATCTTACTTTTTCTTTCTTTTCCTCTTGTTCTTAGGGATAGAGCCCCTGCCTTTCGACCATGGCAATAGCAAACCCTTGCCATATAACAGGATTCACCCTGCTGAAAATGGAGGTGAGACAAGCCAGAAACGAAAGCGGATGGATATTCATCCAGGTAGGTTGGAATAGGTGTATATAAAATAGGGCAGTGTGCTTATCACTGATCCAAGAGCAGAGACCATCTCTCAGAACGGAAAAAGAAGGATTGTACTTGGCCCCTCCCTGCTGGAGCCTTGAGCACCAGGATTTCTGTTACTTGTCACCTGATATGCAGTAGTCAGTGCATCATAACAGGTTATGTGCTTGAGTCAGGATGAATCTGTGTGTTGTGGGTTTATTTTTGTTGGGCGGGTTGAATATGCAGTAGCAAAAGTGTGTCATTCTTGTCATACTCTTTTTTCTTGGGAAGGCAATCTCAGTGCCTTAGAAAAATTGAGTAGACTTTAGATTTTAAGGTCTACCTAAAAATCCAGTTTAACATCACTCTAACTGCCATAGCGTAATGCTATCAAATCCTGGGAGTTGCAGTTTGGTAGGATTAAAAGCTAAAAAACTTTTAAAATTACAACTCCTGGGATTCCTTCATCAATTTTAATAGTGCTAACTATGTTAGATGCTTCACCAATTTTTAATAGTGTTTGGTGGCACAGTGGGTTAAACTGCTGAGCTGTTGAACATGCTGACCGAAAGATTGGCAGTTCAAATCCAGGGAGCGGCGTGAACTCCACTGTTAGCCCAGCTTCTGCCAACCTAGCAGTTCGAAAACATGCAAGTGTGAGTAGATCAATAGGTACCGCTTCTGTGGGAAGGTAACGGTGCTCCATGCAGTCATGCTAGCCACATGACCTTGGAGGCGTCTATGGACAATGCTGACTCTTCGGCTTAGAAATGGAGATGAGCACCAACCCCCAGAGTTGGACACAACTAGACTTAATGTCAAGAAGAAAACTTTACCTTTACCTTTTATAACTATGTTAGATGTCTTATGGATGATTATGCTTTCAAAATGTATTTGTTTATTGATCTAGCTGTTCTATGTCTTTATTTTGATATTTAATTTTATTTGATTAGTATAATGCGGTTATTATTTTGCATTATGTTCTATTGCTGTAAAGTTTTGCTATATGTCGGGCATTGAATGTTTGCCTCTGTATGTGTAAACTGCCCTGAGTCCCCCTGGGGAGATAGGGTGATCTAAAAATAAAGTTTATTTATTTATTATTTATTCCATAGGAATGAACCATGGTAGTTAAAGTGGTGTCAAACTGCATTTATTCCACAGTATATAGATGCACTGTTTTGCCTGTTAATGGAATGGAAATCAGATGTATGTAGGGTGCTCTGGATTCATCCTGAGCGGTCATCTCAGTAGCAATATAGGCATTTAGTACACAAACTGAGACAGCTTAGTGGGCCATACACATTTTAACCTGCTATTGCATCAGACATTTTGATGACTTGAGAAATTTGGGGAGGGACCGAGAGGAGAGGGGAGTTTAAAAATCAGGTCAGACATTTGGCAATGTGAGTTCTTAGTTGAAGGGGTTTTGCCAAATGCCTTTCGGCATGGAAATAACACATGGACGTTTCCCTGGATCATGGCCTAGGCTTTTTTTTAAGGGGTTATGCAGCTGCCAGCAGGGGATCACGTTGGGATCATAAGTGCTAGTAAGATTCTATTTAGAGGTCTGGGTCTTAAATCTAAAACCGTGATCCTAAAATGAACAAGACACACAGTAGGTGGTGGTGGTGGTGGGATGATTCCTGAGAGAGGAAAAGGGAGGCAAATGTGGGTTGTGTCAAATTCTTTAAATTGAAAACATGGTGAAATTTTTGCATTGCATTCTGAGAAGCTTAGGACACTTCCACACAGCCATATAACCCAGAATATCAAGGCAGATAATCCATAATATCTATTTTGAACTGAGTTATCTGTGTTGGGTTTCATCCATGAACTGCCCAAGTCTCTTGTGTCATCAAGTTTCTAGTCCTCAATGAATAGCTAGGCTAGAGATAGGACTAGACTGAGGGACTCCTCCCACACATTCCTATACATGTTTCCCTAAAGGTCTTTGTTTCCTTCCCCTTAGCAATGGAATTATGTGAGGGAACTTCCTCTTTAAGGTTTTTTTTTTATTGCCCTTGAGTTGACCATGTGGTCTCCATTTTTTCTTCTGCTTTTTCCTCCCTTCAGTAAGGCAAAATGTAGCTGCATGGACATTTTTACCTTTTATCTTTTTTAGAAGATAAAAGTCCCCCTAGGGGTGAGAAAAGCAGTATAGAAATACTGTAAATAAGAAGATGAGACTTAGTAAGCTAGTTAGCTGCAAGACCTTTTCTATCAATAATGTATTTCTTTGGTAAATATTTTTGAACCTATAGTTCTGACTCTGCAATCCTGATCCGTCCTAAGATATAGAATGCTATCCTAGTTCGCCACATGCAAGTTTCTGCTGGTTATGAAGTTTACTTCTGACTCTGCTATATTTATGATGGAATCACCCCAACCTTTTGAGCCTAACAATTCTAAGTCCATACTGCCATATAATCCAGTTCAATGTAGACTTTATACAGCTGTGTGGAAGAGGCCTTAGTCACTATCCAGAAGGATCCCCCAACTTCCAAAAATATATTGTAAAATGTCTTCCCCCTTTTTTTGTTCCATAACAAAGTAATTCTGTAATAATCCCTCTCTGTGCAGACAGCATCCAAACTCTGAGCCTTGATTCACCTCCCATGGATCTGAGCATGTCTGATCCAACAGCGTGGGCCACTGCCATGAATAACTTGGGGATTGCCCCAGTGGGAATAGCGGGAGATCCTCTCTTGTCAGGTAAGTGGTGTCCTCGGTCCACCATTGTCTCTGCAAGTATGCCAAGCTTAATTGTTCTTAGAATAGTGTATGTATGGTAAGGACAGAGAATCGGATTCATAGAACATCTGGAACCTATACATTTCAGGTAGGAAGAATGTCTGCACAAAAGTTCTGCCCCCTTATCAAACCCGGAATTTTAAAATCATTTTATGTACATGCGGCCCGCCCTCTGTCATTCTGTTATTATATTTAGTTCCTATGTTCTGTGTATATTGTTTTATATGCTTTGATGTTTTATATTTTAATGTTATGTTGTTTATTTTATTGCAATTTGTATTGTTATATTGTAATTCTGGTTCGGGCTTGGCCCCATGTAAGCTGCTCCAAGTCCCCATTGGGGAGATGGTGGCAGGGTATAAACAAAGATTATTATTATTATTATTATTATTATTATTATTATTATTATTTTATGTGCAATTGAGACCATCTGGAGACCAGCTGGATCTACACTGTCATATTATCCAGATTATCAAATCGGATAATCCAGATTATATGCTTTGAACTGGATTATATGAGTCTACACTGTCCTATAATCTAGTTCAAAGCAGATAATCAGGATTTTATATGGCAGTAGTGATATGGCTCAGGACTTTTTTTTTCTTATCCATTCCTATAGTGCTGTAATGAGACTGTCAGAGGAAGGCACCCAACTTGCCAGCCTGCCTGGCCAGTTCTATAGCCCTGCAATATTCTTAAAGTCACAAAGCAGTGTTTATTTTTTACTTATGTGCATGTTTTCTGAGAATGTTATTTATTGTGGTGGTTGTCCTTGCTCCCTCCCCCTTACTTTTCCATTACATTTATCTGAGAAATCTCTAGAGTTGACTAGAGAACCCATGTGTTGTAAAGCTTTGCTAAAATTTAGAGCCCTGCAGAACATGAAGAGAGAGAGAGATACACACACCCATACACACACACACACAATAAAAGTGAAAATAAATATGTGTGTGTGTGTGTGTGGCTGGGGAATCCACTTACAAAGACAAGCTCCTGCCTTCACAAACAGCTATAGCTCCCACTTCTCAGGAGATACAAATGGCCCTCCCTCCAATGCCATTGTAGGTTATAGTGAGCGCCATGAACATGTACAAGAGACTTGCCAATGTCCTCCCCAAACACCATACTGCCCACCACCCAAGTCAAGGCTTTCATACAGGGACAATTTCACCCTAGATTTTATGTGTTTCCTCCACCACAGACATCCCAGTGTTTCTTACTCTCTCCACTGGTGTGGAATTTGCATGGCCCGGCCTACTACCTCTCCCTTAACCCTTTCCTATTCTTTTGATTTTAATGAAAGAGCACCCAAAAGCAGGCAATGTTTCTTGTTTGGAATCTGCTGGGAGTTGTTACTTTTGGAAGCTTTAAAAAGTTCTGATGTTATATATTTTATTTATTTATTTACCACGTTTATATACCGCCTTTCTCAGCCCGCAGGCGACTCAGGGAAGGAATTCTGAAGTGTCTGCAGCCGAAAGAAATCTTGCTTCTTGGTTTCTCTCTTTCAGACTTTGACCCTTCCCTTGGAATGATGACAGGGATCCCACCCATTAATCCCCTGATGCCTGGCTTGGGAATGGTGCCGCCACCGATCCCATCAGATATGCCCGTGGCTAAGGAGATCATTCACTGCAAAAGTTGCACACTCTTCCCACCGAACCCAAGTGAGCCTTACTTAACTAAAGCAACTACAGGAGATGACGAAAGGGGTGGGGTATGGTTCTCATCCCAGTAGTTGGATTGCTAGGGTTATATGGACTAGATTTGTGCATTTGTTTGCATGGTTCATGCAGTTTATTTTTAGTAGCAACCTATCAGTGATCTGTCACCAAATAAACAAAAGGACTACGCTGTGCTAGAAAGATCTTAACTTTCAGTATGTTAAGACAGAGGGAAGCCAGTAGAGCTGGCCAAGTCTTCCGATACTTACATATGAATGCAGAGCAGTTGTTGTCAGATTGTAAATGAAGATCAAATGCGTTCTGGTTGTGGCAAGCTTCAGGATCATGTTCCTTGCTGTTCTTAGACCTTCCTCCTCCCACTACAAGGGAAAGACCTCCTGGATGCAAGACTGTGTTTGTTGGAGGCCTGCCAGAAAATGGGACAGAAGAGACAATTGTAGAGATTTTTGAGCAGTGTGGAGAGATCATAGCCCTTCGGAAGAGTAAAAAGCATTTTTGCCACATCCGTTTTGCTGAGGAGTACATGGTGGACAAGGCTATCTATCTGTCTGGTAGGTATTCTTAGTTGTAGAGCCCACTGGCCTGATACATCTTATTTTCTTTTCAAATACTGTGTGTAAGACATTAATACGACTTCAGAAATATTTCAACCGTTTCAAATAAAAAAATCATAGTTGGAAAAGACCACCAGAGTTATCCAGTCTAACCTGTTGCCATGCAGGAATGCACAATCAAAGCATTCCCAACAGATAGCCATCCAGCTTCTGTCTGAAAGCCTTTTGGGAAAATGGCATTCATAACCATTATGAAAATAAAAATGATGTCATATACTTTTGGCAAATGTGGGTCTCCATGAACATCTGGAGACCACATTTTGAAAATCACTAGTCAAGGAAAGGCATGACCTTGTTAGAAGTCAACCTTTTGAAAAAGTGATGTTCACAAGCATTCCTGTAATGGCACACAGATAACTCAGCTGTTAAACTGATAAACCATGTCTTTGAACTGCCAGGGACAAAGACATGCCACTGCACAAAAACATATATTTGACTAGCAGAGTTTTTAAAATGTTTCTTTGAAGTTAAAATTTCAGTTGCCCAAAATATGAAACCTCTTAGATTAAAAATATGCACTCGGAGACAAAGAACAAAGTCTTCTTTAAAAAGTAACATATCTTGTTTACTCACAAACATCTTGTATTAATTCAGCATACAGGCACATTTCTCAATAAAGTTCAGTTATAGATAGGCTGTAGTTTCTCTGTGTTGAGAACACAGGGCATCATTCTTAATCAATAGTCCATAGACTGTTGCCTCTTTGTCTATGTTACCTGTAGGCAGCAGAGCCAGAGCTGGATCACAAAGTGACTGCCAAAGGTTAATTCTCTATCCATTATTGCCAGGTTATCGCATCAGATTGGGCTCCAGCACTGACAAAAAGGACACAGGCCGCCTCCATGTGGATTTTGCACAAGCCCGAGATGATCTCTATGAGTGGGAATGCAAGCAGCGCATGTTGGCCCGAGAAGAACGCCATCGCAGGAGGATGGCCGAAGAGCAGTTCCACCCTCCTTCCCCACCTCCTGTGGTCCACTATTCAGATCATGAATGTAGTATAGTTGCCGAGAAGCTAAAAGGTACTTGAGGCTGCAGAGGAGTGCTTTTAACCAAGTCTGCACAACCCTCCAGGTGTATTGGACTTCAACTCCCAGAATTCCTCACCATTGGAGAAGCTGGGAGTTGGAGTCCCAAACCCCTGGAAGGCCACAGGTTGTGCAGACCTGCATTAAATTAATTCAACTAATAGACTGGTACCTCAGCATGAAGACAGCATAGGAAGCAGATATCTATATAAATGAAAATGTAATGTTCATTTGTGGGATTAACAGAACTCAAAAGCCACTGGACGAATTGACACCAAATTTGGACACAAGACACCTAACAACCTAATGTATGTCCTTCACTCAAAAAAATTGATTTTGTCATTTGGGAGTTGTAGTTGCTGGGATTTATAGTTCACCTACAATCAAAGAGCATTCTGAACCCCACCAACGATGGAATTGAACCAAACTTGGCACAGAGTTCTCCCATGACCAATAGAAAATTCTGGAAGGGTTTGGAGGGGAATGTGTTTTGATTTTGGAGTTGTAGTTCACCTACATCCAGAGAGCACTGTGGACTCAAACAATGATGGATCTGGACCAAACACTACACAAATAATCAATATGCCCAAATGTGAACACTGGTGGAGTTTGGGGAAAATAGAATCTTGACATTTGGGAGTTGTAGTTGCTGGGATTTATAGTTCACCTACCATCACAGAGCATTCTGAACCCCACCCATGACAGAATTGGGTTAAACCTCCCACACAGCACCCCCATGTGGGCCACAGCAATGGCAGGGGACCGCTAGTAATATATATTCATTTAGTCTGTCTAGCTCAGTATTTTCAACTGAAATTGAACAGTTATCTGTTTCTCATGCAAAGGTTTTTCTTTTCACCTGCTTTCTGACCCTTTTAACCAGGAGTGGTAGGAGATCTACTGAGATCTACTGCATGTAAATCACATATCCAACCACTGAGCTTTGGCTTCTGTCTATGTTGACATAGACAAAAGCAGTGCAGTGGGTTGTGCTGGCTGTGCTTTTAAATTCCCAAATTAAAGCCTGCCAGAGTTTATCAGGCTTGAGTGTACAATGCCAGATGAGTCTTATAAATATAATTACCTGGGAGGAGGGAAGATTTTAAATATGTACTTGGCAAATAACTGTGTTTTCTTCTTGGATCAGATGATTCTAAGTTTCTGGAGGCTGTGCAGACGCTGCTGACTTGGATTGAGCGTGGAGAAGTCAACAGACGGAGCGCAAACAACTTTTACTCCATGATCCAGTCAGTCAACAGCCACATCCGTCGACTGATGAATGAGAAAGCGACCCATGAAAAGGCTATAGAGGAAGCGAAGGAGAAATTCAAGCTTGCATTGTCAGGGATTCTTGCTCAGTGTAAGTGGATAAGTACTGTAATAAGATTTTCCAAAATCTTTCTTGGGGAATTTGTAACATTCATGTTTTATTTTTCATATTGAAGATAAGAGTGAGAGAGAAGTGGGAGAGAGATGTAGATCCAGGAGGAATAGTCCCTTTATTTCAGAAGATGTTTTGTTTTAATGTTATTATTCCCTTTATTTCCAAAATGTGCTTAGACAGAGAACCAACAATGGTGTAAGATTTCCAGAAAAATCAGCAAAAATGTATAAACGTCTGTAGGAATCTGTACCATAAAACTGGACATCTTAAAGTACCATATATACTCAAGTATAAGACGAGTTTTCCAGTCCTTTTTTAAGGCTGAAAAAGCTCCCCTTGGCTTATACTCGAGTCAAAGTAATTTATTATTTTACTGGGTTATTATGACATTTATTATTTTACTCTGTTATTATTATTATTATTATTATTATTATTATTATTATGACATTTATTATTTCACTCTATTTATTATTATTACTACATTTATTCTTTTACTCTATTTATTATTATTACATTTATTCTTTTACTCTACTATTACTGCTATTATTACATTTCCATTATTTCACTCTATTATTATTATTATTATTATTATTGGACCCCCTGGTGGCGCAGTGAGTTAAACTGCTGCGCTGCTGAACTTGCCGACCGAAAGGTTGGCAGTTTGAATCCAGGGAGCGGGCTAAGCACTGTTAGCCCCAGCTTCTGCCAACCTTTGTGGTAAAATTGTGTGCCTCGGCTTATATTCGGGTCGGCTTATATTTGAGAATATATGGTATTATTTTTATTACATTTATTATTTTACTCTCTTTATTATTATTGGAAGGATACATAAGCACATTTATATTGAAGGAGGTTAGAATAATGATTTAATCAGAGTTGGACAGTCTTATCTTAAATTACAGTTATGTAAATATTTGAAAACATTTAACTTACTGATGCTTCAATTAATGTAATTTTATTGGTATCTAATTTTATTTTGAAATTTACCAGTAGCTGCTGCATTTCCCACCTTCAGCTTATACTCGAGTCAATACATTTTCCCCGTTCTTTTTGGTAAAATTAGGTGCCTCGACTTATATTCGGGTTGGCTTGTACTTGAGTATATATAGCACTTTTTAAATGAAGTGAAGCTTACTATGTAAGAGATTTGACAGACTTCTATGAAACCTGTCAGAATTTTATTTTGATGGGTTCCTGGAGAAAATGAAGCTGTCATCAATGGTACAAATAAATCGCTATGCATTTTTTTGTTTCTTAATTTGATATAGCAGTGGATCAGTCAGGAGAGCACATTGGGATGATCTTAAAAGACTGCAGTGAGACATAGAGGAAGCTATGGTCTCTGAGGTATGTAGGATTTAGTGCACTCAGGGCATTATGCTTGAAGACACATAGCAAGTTTTAGCAGATGCAGAGAGCATATAGCCATTCAAGCTGTCGGGATACAGACCGTAACAAATTAAATTTTATGCATTTATTGAGTGCAGCCACAGTTTTGGCAAGGCTTTTAAATTCTTGCTCAGATTTTGTCCCAAGGCTCAGGGGAATTAAACAGGTATTCTTATCTCTCTTGGCCATTATCTCTACCTAGCTCTTTTCTAATGATATTGTTTTCTGCAGGCTGCTCCTGTGTTAAGAGCAGCCGTTTTCTTTTGGTGATTGCTTAGAGACTTAGGCAACAAAGGTAGGTTTGCAGCCAAATCCCTCTTCCTCTTGTTCATTCATTCAAGGATCTGCAGGTCACTTTACAAACTGGGAGATTTAAGTGTTCAAGGTAACGTAACATTGTTCTGTTCCCCCACCCCTTCAACCCTCACCCCATTTTAAATTTTATCCAAAGAGCATTTGATGATCTTCTCCGCCCTGGGAATCCTCTCTGGTTTTCATCGCTTGTAGGTGATCAGGATTCATCTCAAGGAAAGAGATCCTGTTGAACATCCTATAGGTCTCTCTTTTAATGCTGGAATTGAGTAATTAATCAGGGCAATTCTAACTCCCACTGCTAATTAGATGGAGTGTATTAGAATTAAATGTGAACTAGGCAATGTGAGAGAGGGGGCCAGGGGACAGTCCCATCTTGTAGCCTGTGCTATGCTAATAATATAATTATAATGTAATGTAATGTAATGTAATATATTGTATATACATATAATATTTATAATATTATAACGCAATGCAATATAATACTACTAATAATATGATATTATAATTATATATTTATATTACATGTAATATTAATAATATTACAATATAATGGTATAGTACAATATAGTAATATAGGTTGCTTACCTGTAACCATAGTTTCCCGATTGGTCACCTGTGAATTTGCACATATGGTAATCTCTGCGTAGGTGCAGAGCAGCTTTCAGAAAGTTGCTCTGCGCAGGCGCAGAGATTACCATACGTGCAATTCACATACTGATGTTGTACTATGCTAATAATATAATATATTGTATGTATATATATCTTGTGAGCTGCTCTGAGTCCCCTTCAGGGTGAGAAGGGCGGCATATAAATACCATAAATAAATAAATACATGTTTAGGTTTATGCTGCATTAAACAAACTGGCCTCTGATTCCGGAAAGAGGTGTCGTACATGTACAGAATAAATAGTAGTTGGGGAGAACAGGAGGCACAAAGAATAAAACATTCAATTATGTCAACGATGCTGACATTTACCAATCTTTTGGCAGCTCAGAACAATTCCTCATACAGTTAACTTCCCATCACCAGAGATCTATTGCAAATCACATTCATCTTTCTTTTCCCCCTCTGAGATGTGGGTTGGACTACTCACTTTCAGGCTTCTTTGGGGGGAAGTGGATTAAGCAAATGGCAGCCCTCCAGATATGGGACTGAAACACTCAGTATTCCTTGCAATTGGCTACGATGGGAGTTAACGGTATAATATTTATTATTATTTATTTATTTATTTGCAGCTTTTATATTCCACCCTTCTCACCCCGCAGGGGACTCAGGGCAGATTACAGTGTACACATATATGGCAAACATTCAATGCCAATTTTTGACATACGAATATATACAGACATACACAGAGGCTATTTAACTTTTTCTGGCTGCCAGGGGAGCTGTCGCTTTCATCGTCCATCTGCGACGATGAAGCACTTCCGCATTCCCCGCTTGCTTCCCCGCTGGAATGCTTTGCTGGAGTCTTCTTTATGGATAATTTAGCCTCCCCACACTTTAAGGTGGTACCTAATTTTCCTACTTGACAGATGCAACTGTCTTTCGGGTTGCAAAGGTCGACAACAGGCTACACAATGGTTGGAAACCCACTCCAACCCGGGCTGGCTTCGAACTCATGACCATAATAATACCTGGAGGGCTCCACTTTGGCCACCCCGTTGTAGCATTAGGAACTAGAAACCTATCTTTAAAAAAATAAAACCAGAGTGCAATATAATACAATCTACAGTCACAGGCTTGAGGAATACATGCGGCCTGGATAAAGATCCTGTAATTGAGAAGTGAAATAATTATGTTTCTTCTTCGTGGCCTCTCTGAAATGGTATGGTATTTCCTGCAGCATTTTACTGTCGTGGTCCTTCTCATCAGGCGTTCCCCCCCCCCCCCGATCCAGTATATCTGTTGCATTCCCTGCCTTCCAAGCACCGCCTGGCTTCTTCTCGGGCGCCAACTCAGCCGTGGCCTGTGCCAAAAGAACCACAAAGATTCGCTGGACCACCTGCCTGATCCCCCTCTCTTACTCCTTTACTCCTTTCTCCTGCCTTCTCTGGATGCTAATGCGGCCTGGTTTTGCCTGCTGATTTTGAAACTTCAGTCGAGCAGATAGTTGCCGTGTACCATTCTGCATCCAAACAAAAGGCTTGGGACCATTTCACGAAAGCTCAACGTAAGAACATCAGCGTGTGGTGTAAGCAAGCTGAGGTTGGTACCTTCTTTTTACTGTCTTCTTAGTTCCTTCTTTTTTGGCCTATAGGCTTACATTTTAAAAAACGATGGATGTTATTAGCCTAGTCCCAGAAGGTAAGTACACAGAACCCATAATCTCCCACATGGGGAGGATGGGCAGCCAGAGACGATCCCCCCGATAAGGTTGAAATAACAGCATTATTACAAAAACCTTTTGCAAAGATGTTCTCCTTTGTTTGGCTGTAGTTTGGATTCAGGAATACTGCATGCCTTGTGGGTAAGCACTTTTTGTAGTGTAACTATCTGGTCAGTGTGTGGTTGAGGAGCTATAGATGTCCCCCATGGTATGAGCATCATTGAGGAAATAATGTTCTGGAGTCAAGTTGCAGCTGAAGCTGGGCACCTATGAGTCTTAACTGGCAACGGCAGTTGAATCAACACAGTTTCCTATTTTTTTCTTGGAAATTATGTTCACTTCTCCTTCCCCATTCATCTGAGGAGTCCAGATGAAGCACTCTCAGGTATGAAAGAAATGTGGCTGTTGCAGACGTCAAATGTGGATCTGTCAGATTAATTCCAAACTGAATTGCAAGCGGTAAAGTGGGTCAAAGTTTACCTCTCTTTGTTAATATGATTTGTAAATTCAAATCCTTTCAGAGATTTCCCTCTAATAGACACGATGGCTGCACCGATCAGATCGTTCATGGCTGTTTGTTTTCCCTGAATTTGCTTTTGTCAAAAGAACTCAGCTATTTTTGGTTCTTTGAAATGAAATTGTGTGTGTGTGTGTGTGTGTGTCAACCTGATATGTGTTAAATTATGTTGTTTTTTTAATGGAACCCTGTAAACCAGGGGCCCTCAAACTTTTTAAACAGAGGGCCAGATCACAGTTTCTCAAACTGTTGGAGGGCCAGATTATAATTTTTAAAAAGCATGAATGCACACGGCACATATCTTATTGGTAGTGCAAAAAACCACATAAAAACAATATAATGATTAAAATGAAGAACGATCTTAAAAAATATAAACTTATTAGTATTTCAATGCGGAGTGTGTACCTCCTTTTGGCTGATGAAATAGGATTGTTTTTGTTGTGTGCTTTCAAGTAATTTCAAACTTAGGTTGACTCTGAGCGAGGGCCGGGTAAATGACCTTAGAGGGCCGTATCCGGCCCTTGGGCCTTAGTTTGAGGACCCCTGCTGTAAACTGTTGGCGATATAATAGAAGGTGAGAGTGTAATTGAGACAGTTGGGTTGTGGTCTATCTCGTTTTTCAGTAATCCAAAGTTTGGTTTTTGAGATGCCTTGTATAACCCCTGAACTTCAAGGGAAGGTTCAAAGAAACTTGGAGACGTTTCTGACTGTACATACTCTTGGAAGGCACATTGAGCTAAATCAGTGGTTCCCAACCTGTGGTCTGTGGACCAGTAGTGGTCCCCAAGAACTAAAATATGGTCCATGGTCTCATCGTTACTACACCATTGCAACTAGAGCAACTGGTCTGGGGTTATTTGGGGTCCTCTCATAGCCTGTTTCAGTGTTTCAAAGGAGGGAAAGAAGGAAGGAAGGAAGGAAGGAAGGAAGGAAGGAAGGAGAGGAATAAGGTAAACAGAAATGTCTTTACAATCTGCTTCCAGAGATGAAGAAACGATGAGCACCATTCTGAGAGACAGAGTCATAGAATTAGCAGGAGCCTCAGGGGCCATTGGGTCCAGTCCCTTCTTCAATGGAGGATCTCTAGCTAGACCAGTGGTTCCCAACCTGTGGTCCATGGGCCACCAGTGGTCCACAAGAACTAAAATATGGTCTGCAGCCTCACTCTTACTACACCATTGCAACGCCCCACGGACCATCATCCCTTCCTCATATCCATGCTCCCATTATGAGGGGGCGAGAGGAAAGCCATTAGGGACAGTTTCTTGGGTCTCGTGCTCCTCTTTTTGTATTTTTTTCAACTTTACCCCCCCCCCCTTCTTTTTTTAACATTAGCATTAACAAAATCCATGGATAATAACACAGCCCAACCACTTTTTTTCTTGGTGTCTTTGTTTTTAGGTCGGTTCCTGGGGTCATTTGGAGTGTCGGTTTAAAAAATTGCATTGGCTAGACCACATCACCTCTAGATTATTAAATATGGTTTTCTGTGGGTGAGCAAATAGCGACTACTGTATGGCATATGTTCTGTATCAGAAACCAGAGCTGATGTGGTCTGTCCAATACAATTTTCTGAATCAGCACGCCAGATAACAACACTGAATGTAAAGTTGACCAAAAACTGATTTGTAACCCTTTTGTAACGGCGCTCCATGCAGTCATGCCGGCCACATGACCTAGGAGGTGTCTATGGACAACGCTAGCTCTGGCTTAGAAATGGAGATGAGCACCACACCCCAGAGTCGGACATGACTGGACTAAATGTCAGGGGAAAACCTTTACCTTTTACCTAACCCTTTTGGTGCTAATGTTGGAGAGCACTCTCTGGTAAAAAAAAAAGGTTGGGAACCACTGAGCTAAAGAGACCAACAGAGTGCGAAAAGTATTTTCTTCAAGCGCTGGTCAAGCATTATAGCAGCAGCAACTTTCCCTGTGCTTTCAGAATGTGCTTGTGATCATTCTGAACCTCCCAGTGACAGTTGGACCAACTGCTGTGCCCAACACCAGCTGGGGGAAACAACTGGACATGTTAGCAAAATGGGTTGTGCAAAAGGTACATTTCCTTGCAACTTGTGGCAGCCTCAGGTAAGTCATTTGTTCATATATCTCACCAAAATAGTAGGTATTTTTTCTGGACTATAGTAGAAACAATACCTTCATCTCCAGAAGAAAGGAAAGGAGATGAAATAAAAGCGAATACCCTAAAGGCACCAAATCCCAACCGATCTTGGAAGCTAAGCTTTGGTTAGTACTTGGATGAGAGACCATCAATGAATACCATGTTCTGCAGACTCTTATGTCAGAGGAGGGAACTGACAAAACTGGAGTATTCCTTGCCTAAGAATTCACTGTTTAAGACATGGGATCACCATAAGGCAACATGTGTCAGAAAGGTACACACACACCCTGCCTTGCCCAAAGTGTATACCAACAATATCACTGCTTTTTAAAATTAATGAACACAAATATCCTGGTCTTTGCAGAACATACCACTCCAAGTCCCATTGACATTTTCATTTATTTATTTACGACATTGATCTGCCCCCCTTCTCACCCCGAAGGGGACTCAGAGGGGCTTACAAGGTATATATACCTACAATATATTAAATTACTAGCTGTAACTGCCATGTGTTGCTGTGGCCAACCTTCCCTCCCTCCTTCTCGCCTTCTTTCCCCGCTTCCTTCGCTCCCTCTTTCCTTCCTTTCTTTTTTTTCTTTTCTTCTCTCCTTCCTTCTTTCTCTACCCCTTTCTTTCCAACCTTCTCTTTTCCTCTTTCTTTCCTTTCTTCCTTCTCTACCTTTTTCCTTCCTTCCTTCCTTTGCTCTTTGCTTCCATGCTTCCTTCTTCCTTTCTTCCTTTCCTTCTTTCTTCCCTTCCTTCCTTCCCTCCCTCTTCCTTCCCTTTTTTCCTGTATTGTCATTTAGCTTTTCGGGGATTTAAAGTCCTTTCCACTGTTTTTTTTTTTTGGGGGGGGGGGGGGGGTGTTATGAGTGAAGATCACTCATTGGTCTGTTAGGGGTGTAGTGTCCAAATTTCGTGTCATTTCGTCCAGTGGCTTTTCAGTTATGTTAATCCCACAAACGAACATTACATTTTTATTTATATAGATTATCATAGTACAATATCAGTATTATATATTACTATATTGTACAACACCATTATATTGTAATATTATTAGTAATATTACATGCAATATAAAATATATAATTATAATATTGTATTACTAGTATTATATTGGCGTAGTGGGTTAAAGCGCTGAGCTGCTGAGGTTGTTGACCGAAAGGTCGCAGGTTTGATTCCGGGGAGTGGTATGAGCTTCCGCTGTCAGCCCTAGCTTCTGCCAGCCTAGCAGTTCGAAAACATGCAAATGTGAGTAGATCAGTAGGTACCGCTCCAGCGGGAAGGTAACGGTGCTCCATGCAGTCATGCCAGCCACATGACTTTGGAGGTGTCTATGGACAACGCCGGCTCTTCAGCTTAGAAATGGAGATGAGCACCACCCTGCAGAGTCAGACAGGACTGGACTTCGTATCAGGGGAAAACCTTTACCTTTACCTACATGGTTTTTAATAAAGCATTGAAAAGAAATCACTATAGCAAAAGAGATTTCCAGAATGACAAGTCAGTCAAGATAGCAATCAGTTTGTGATCTTGCTGGCGCTCAACTGAAAGCACCATAAAGAAGTCATGCCTGGACACCCATGATGAACTTAATGGTCTTCTCTGGCATTATAATGAAGCAAACCCCATCCTTCAAACCTTTCCAAAAACTGTACCTGAAGCATTGTTTTTAGTGACTGGATAGATACATATCATTGGATGCAGTTCATAAGAAGGTATGTTTACATAGTGGTATCAGTTTGCATGTCAATTAGTTTAATAATCCTATACACCAGGAATTGGCAAACTTTGGCCTTCCAGGTGTTTTGGATTTCAACTCCCACCATTCCTAACAGCCTCAGGCTCCTTCCTTTCCCCCCTCAGCTGCTTAAGCGAATTGTGGGAGTTGAAGTCCAAAACACCTGGAAGGCTGAAGATTGCCCATGCCTACTATACACACTAAGTCTTCTTTTGTTCTCATTAACAAAGAAATTAATGAAGTATCAGTATGGGATTTGCTACTCTTTTTTGAATTATTTATTTATGTGAGTGTTACCAGATTGGGTTCTGTATCACTCCTTTTCTTGTTATCTCTGCACAAAGCATTTCCAGATTGAGATTTGGACATTTGCATGTAGCATTTTGGGAGTTGTAGTCCAAAAAAACTCTCCAACTCTGGGTTGGAAGTTCCATAGAAGCTCCAGTGTTGATCACTATACATAGATTTTGCATGCAGATGTTCTAAATTATGTGAAAACTATTTAGCCTATTTGTCATGCAGATTGGAAACTTGGACGACGGGCTTAAACTTTGGAGAATGATGCTTACTAAGGCATCATTAGACTTCTTTCCATCTTAGTTCCTTTCTCCCCCAGTCATACTTTCCACAAGTTCGTGTAGCAGCTTGCACTATCTGCTTGTAAGCATACAGAAGTGATTGGCACCATCTCTTTGAATTCTAGGAAATTCGTAACATTCACAACGATGAACTGATGGGCATCAGAAGAGAAGAAGAGATGGAAATGTCTGATGATGACACAGAGCCTCCGGAGGCCAAAGAGACGGAAGAGTCGGGTAAGAGAGAAGAGTTGGGAGTTGGTACTGACTGTAAACTGCCTTGGTACTGATTGTAAACCGCCCCGAGCGTGTTAAGAGGGATGGTATATAAATGTAGTAAGTAAGTAAAGTAAATAAGTAAGTAAGTAAATAAATAAATAAGAGCCAGTCACTGGGTGGACACAACATTAAAACTATAGTCAGAGTATTCCAAACAGAGTTTTTTCAGTTTATTTATGTATTTATTTATTTACTGTATTTGTATACCGCCCCTCTCAGCCTTCTGGCGACTCGAGGCAGTTTACAAGGCAAAATTCAATGCCACCAAAACACAATTACAATATAAAAACTAACATCAATAAAATCATAAAAACTGTAATAAAACATAATTCAATAAATACTCATTAAAACAATGTCCAATCCATCATGTAGTTGTTCTGTTCTTATGTCCGTTACTCAGTATTTGCAAACGCCTGCTCGAATAGCCATGTCTTGAGTGTTTTCTGAAATGCTAGACGCGAAGAAGCAGATCTAATCTCCATAGGAAGGGCGTTCCATAGCCGAGGGGCCACCACTGAGAAGGCCCTGTCTCTAGTCCCCGCCAGCTGTGCTTGTGATGATGGCGGGACCGAGAGCAGGGCCTCTCCAGACGATCTTAAAGTCCTCTTTAAGATCCAGACGATCTTAAAGTTATTGTCAGGTTTTCCAACCATCTAACCCTTTGCTTCAAAAAAGTCTTATCTTTCAAATAGTACTTATTTGAGCAGGATTGGCTTACTCATAACATCCTTTGATAGAACTGAAGATCTCTACAGAACTACCCTTATCAAAGTTCTTTTGCATACTGTTCATAGGCCTGACATTAGCAAATAAATAACGGATCCCCAGTGGCGCAATGGGTTAAACCGATGTGCCAGCAGGACTGAAGACCGAGAGGTCGGAGGTTCGAATCCGGGGAGAGTGCAGAAGAGTTCCCTCTGTCAGCTCCAGCTCTCCAGGCAGGGACATGAGAGAAGCCTCCCAAAAGGATGGTATATCTGGGCATCCTATGGACAATGTCCTTGTGGACGGCCAATTCTCTCACACCAGAAGCGACTTGCAGTTTCTCAAATCACTCCTGACACGAAAAAAAAGTAAATAATAGAACATCAGACACATGTAGGAAGAGCTGAACAATTTTTTTTGTTGTTGTTTATTTGTTCAGTCACTTCCGAATCTTCGTGACTTCCTGGACCAGCCCATGCCGGAACTCCCTGTCGCCCGTGGCCACCCCCAGTTCCTTTAACGTCAAGCCAGTCCCTTCAAGGATACCATCCATCCACCTTGCCCTTGGTCAGCCCCTCTTCCTTTTTCCTTCCATTCCCCCCCAGCATCATTCTCTTCTCCAAGCTTTCCTGTCTTCTCCTGATGTGGCCAAAGGACTTCATCTTTGTCTCTAATGCCCTTCCCTCCAATGAGCAGTCAGGTTGCTGCGGGGAATACCATTGCCTTAATTACATGGATCTTCGTTACCAGTGTGTCACAGAGTGCAGCCAGGAAATCAGAAGACATTTACTTCTTGGGAGGAGAGCAGTGACCAATCTTGAAAAACTAGTGAAGAGTAGAGACATCACACTGGCAACGAAGATCTGCATAGTTAAAGCAATGGTATTCCCTTTAGTAACCTATGGATGCTATTTGAACATAGATTTAGAGGAATGCATTCTAGAAAAGGAACTAGCATACAAATGAAGGGACGTTGAAGGTGTAGTTTGTTGTAAAGCCCACAGTGAGAATCCATTTGCTTTGCTTTCCTTCTCTTCCCTCCTGGTTCCGTTCCCAGCATTAATTGCGCAAACAGAAGCTCTGAAGGAAGAGAATGACAGCCTGCGGTGCCAGCTGGATGCCTACCGGAATGAGGTGGAGCTTTTAAAGCAAGAGCAGAGTAAAATGGGCCGCGAAGAAGACACAAGCAAAGACCAACAGCTGATGATTCTTCAGCAGGCGATGCAAGGCATGCAACAGGTAGGACTGCTGTGCCAAATACAGTTTGTAGCAAATGTTTTCATAGAGCCAACAAAGGTAAACTCAGCTGCTCTTCTGGAAGGAGCAGAAACCACCAAGTATTTGGGTTAAGATAACAATCCCATGATCTGTCCACACCTTCCATAAAACACTTCCTTACCCATTTCAAAGCCTGGATTCTCCCATAAAGCCTGAAATGTTGAAATGGCATCCCATTCTGTTGCCAAGGACATATGATTTCCCAGCCTTACATTGACTGGGAAATCTAGTCAAGTGTAAACGAACCCTTTCTGTGCCATTGCATTGCTGTTGAAATTTGTCCCGTGATGCTGGAAATTCAACTCTTAGATGATGATGATGATGATGATGATGATGATGATTATTATTATTATTATTATTTCCTGCATTTATATCCCCGCCCTTTTCACCCTCGAAGTGGGTCTCAGGGCAGCCTCACACCAAGCACGATTGGTGCTTTCACATAAACATTGGTTACATCCAAACTGGACTATTGCAATGCACTCGACGTGGGGCTGCCCTTGAAGACGGCCCGGAAGTTTGAACTGGTACAACGGGCGGTAGCCAGGTTCCTTACTGGAGTAAACTATAGGGAGCATACAACACCCCTATTAAAACAGCTTCATTGGCTGCCGATAAGTTGCTGAGCCAAATTCAAGGTGCAGGTCATGACCTATAAAGCCCTAAACGGTTCGGGCCCCACCTATCTCCGCAATCGCATCTCCTTCTATGAACCGGCACAAGCTCTAAGATCTTCCGGGGAGGCCCTCCTCTCGGTCCCACTATTGTCTCTAATGTGGTTGGTGGGGATGAGAGAGAGGGCCTTCTCAATGGTGGCCCCCGATCTCTGGAATGCTCTTCCAAGGGAAATAAGACAGGCCCCATCCCTCCCCTCCTTTCGTAAGAGCTTGAAGACCTGGTGGTTTCAACAAGCCTTTGAAAACGACCAGTTCTGACTCAGACCTACACATTGTCGAATACGGCCTTATTCTTCCTACCAATTACCCAGATCATTTCCTCTAAATCGCCCCTGGAATGAACAGCCACAGACCCGTACCTAATATTGTTGCCTGCCATAGCATTGCACTTAATTTCCAGGCCTCCTAGAATTTTTGGGCTTGCCTTTAAAAATTTTAAATTGCCTTGAACAAGCAGAATTACTTTTAATATATGTGTGTTATAGCGACAATTTTTATGCTATATTTTGTTTTGTTAATCTTATGGTTATGTTGTTTTTTACTTTGTATGTTTTGTGATGTTACCTGGAAACCGCTCTGAGTCCCCTCGGGAAGATAGAGCTGTATATAAATAAAGTTGTATTATTATTATAAACATTCAACAAATACAATTAAAACATTAAACAGTTAATTAAAGGCAGTTAATTAAAAAGCAGTTAATTAAACATGCCAATAAAAATCCTAATCCAGGAAAGTGAGCTTGTCGTGTCTGAAGCCCCTTCCTCACAGCTGAATAAGATTCCACATCATCTGCTTTGAACTGGAATATATGGCAATGTGGCCTCAGATAACCCAGTTCAAAGCAGATCTTGTGGGATTTTCTGCCTTGATGTTCTGGGTTGTATGGCTTTGTGGGAGGACCCTTTGTCTCAGGAAGGATTTGAGTTTTTCAGGGTTAGGATTTAGCATTACTGCATCCCCCCACAAGGCAGTGAAAATTTGAGCTAAATCATTGATTCAGTCTCACAATTCCCAGGGAAGTTGATACCTTCAATATTGGACAGTCTGTTATGTCGCATTTTTTGGGATTGGGAGGAACAGGTCAAACACTCTCTATTTCTCTCCTTTCTAGCACCTTCTGAAACTGCAGGATGAATGTGAGAGAAGAGAGGCAGAACTGGAGAAAGTAAAGGAGGAAAAAACGCAGCTGGACAAATTGCTTGAAAGCCTCAAGGAAAAGGTAGGATTTGTTCGCAGGTGATGCCCTTGCAAGCTTCCTTCTCCCATAGTCAAGGAAAGCCTAAGGAGGCATTCTTCTGGCATATGCATTCTATTTGTATGATTTAAGGGAGTCTTGGTTTATCTGAACTCATTCCTGCCTCTGTCCTGAACAAGAGAGAGATATCTCTCACTCTTTTGAGCGCCAGAATTGACTTGGCCAAAAGTCCATTTGTGGGACACTGAAGGGTTGTCAAACAACCTAAAATTTGACTAAAGGGGTTAAATAATAGGAATAGCCCTGCCAGGTAGCAACGTATATTGTGAGCAGGAAATCCTCCTAATTTGATTCAATTTATTTTCTTAAGGAAGCACTTCAGTAAAAGTTGTGTTTGGGTTTTGTTTTTGTTTTTTTACTTGAGTAATCTATGCATGGGGCCGGGCTTTAGCACAGCTGGTTAATCACCAGCAGAAATACATCTTAGCAGTTGAAAGGTTAGTAGTTTGGAGCCCAGGATGGGGTGAGCACCCGACCTTAAGCCCCACTTACTATCCACCTAAGCAGTTTGAAAACAGCTGTGAGCTATGAGTAGAGAAATTAGGCACCACTTAAGCAGGGAGGTATTTTACAGCACCATATAAGAAATGCCAGAAAATGCTGGAGGAAGGAGGAAGTCTGTGATCAAGGCTCTTTCTCCCTCTGTCCGGAATCAAGCACAACCTCCAGGACGCTGAAGTTGGGAAAAGTGCTGACATAATACCTCTATCTGTTGTCTGTCCTGTCTGTTCAATGGCATTGAATGCTTGCCGTGCATGTGTTCTGTAATCCACTGTGAGTCACCTTTGGGGTGAGAAGGGCAAAATATAAATGCTGTAAATAATAATAATAATAATAATAATAATAATAATTATTATTATTATTATTATTATTATTATGAGGATGATCAGCATACTGGGTGCAGTGCCTAAAGACCTTGGCCTGCACTTAAACACAATCGCCGCTGACAAAATTACCATCTGCCAGCTGCGGAAGGCCACCTTACTGGGATCTGCACGCATTATTCACCAATACATCACACAGTCCTAGACACTTGGGAAGTGTCCGACGTGTGATCCAATTCAACAACCAGTAGAGTGCCTGCTGTGGACTTACCTTGTTGTGTTTAAAATAATATAATAATAATAATAATAATAATAATAATAATAATAATAATGGACACCATCTGCTGCTCTGCTTTACACATTGTATTGACCTGGCCCTGTAAAGTAATTATTAGTATAACTGTTTTCCCTGCGTGGCTATGCTGTGAATGCGCACTAATGGTATCCTTCTGCGCATGCGCAGCACAGCTCGGAAATTTTCAGTTAAACTTTGAAATGGAATGGCGGTTGGCCCCGCGCACACTCCCCATGCTACTATAAATAGCCAGCGGCAGGCTAACCGCCTCAGTTCTCTTCATCCGCGCTCAACGCAGGCAGCTCGTTACAAAAGAGAACAGTTTATTCCATTTGCCAACTTCTTTCTTTTATTAATGTCGCAAACTAAAGGTTTTAAGCGCTGCAGCGCTTGTCCAGCAAATATTCCTGATAATGATGCCCATGAGTTATGCATCGCCTGTTTGGGAGAGGGGCATCTGTCCCAGAACTGTGACATTTGCCAGTCGTTCACTCCCCAAACTAGGAAAAATAGGGAGATCCGATTAAAGGCGGCTCTTTATGAGCGGGCGCTTCTCCCCCCCAAGGATGGCCAGCAGAATGGCGGCCAGACAAAGGATTTGCTTTCTAAAACACTTAAAAAGACGAAGAAGACAAAGAACGCCGGGAAGCCAAAGTCCTTACCAAATCCGGCGAAGAAGCCGGCGGGTCCCTCCAGCGGAGAGTCTTGGCTCGCTAAGCTGGTCGAGTCTGGAGAAGAGGCTTCCCGAGCCGAGGCTGAAAGGCAGCCGGAGTCGATGTCGGCCCAGGCACGCCACGAGCGTGTCCTGAGAGCGGAAGGGGAGTCGGCGTCGACGAAACCACGCCTCGCGCGTGCGCAGGAGGCGTCTCAAACGAGCGGAACCACGCCTCCGATGCCGATGCTCTCGGCGCCGGCCCCGCCTCCGTCCCTAGCAGGCGGGAGGGAGGGGGAGCCAAGCAGGGCTTCCCCGGTTCATCCCTCGACATCAGCTGGTGCAGGGAGTGCCCCTGATGGCATAGCTAGACGCCGGGCACGTGCGCCTTCGCGATCAGCAAGAGCGAAGGGGTCCAGGAGAGACAGGTCTAGTTCCAGCGATTCCACCACGTCGTGTTCGGACTCCTCATGCTCTGCAAGGAAGCGGCGGCGTTCGAGAATTGAGAGGGCTTTGTCAATCGCCTCTTCGAGATCATCCCGCTGGGGAGGGCAGAAGGAGGGGCGTGATCACCCTCCTCCACAAGCAGGCTTCTATCAAGTTACTCCTAATGGAGGCATTGTTTATTTTGGAAGTGATGACATACCTTCTCCAATGATCCAGAGAGTCAACAGGCAACCTGCTCCTGAGAAACATACCACTGTTTCAAGGCATCGACCTCAACTCTCAAATAAGAACTTGAGATGCCCCCTGACAGGCATTCCAGCTGGGGACTTGGATGAGATGGAGTGCAATAACCACGAAGACTACACCTTGGTTAATAACATTGACTCAGATGCCTCTGACGAGGCAAATGATATCTCTAAGGAAGAAAAGGATGCGGAGCTTCATCCCGCTCGCTCTGATGACTATAATAAGTTTATGCAACTCATAGGGAGGATGATAACTGCCTTGGAAATTGCAATTCCAAAGCCGTCCTCTACAGTGGATGACCCAATGTTTCCCCCAGAACAGCAAGATAACCCGTCATCTGCTATACTCCCTACTTTGCCATACTTACTAAAGCTGACTAAAATTCCTGATATGTCCCCTGCCATAGTATCAGCGATACCTAGAAGGGTAGACCTTCTTTATAAGGTGGATCTATCCACAGCTAAGTGGTTAGCCCGTCCTTCTGTACCAAATACGGTGGTGGCTGAGGCGGCTAAATCCAAGAAGCCAAAGAAATACACCATCTCCCCCCCGGATAAGGAGGGCAGGAAGATAGACTCTTTAGGGAAAAAGGTCCACATTGCGGCGGGTTTATTTACTAGAATAGCCCACTATGCCACGTATCTAAGTGGATATCAGAGTTTTCTGTGGAACCAAATAGCACCATATATTGACAGGTTGCCTGTAGGAGATAGACGTTTGCCACGGGCCTTTCTAGCTGAGGCAACCTCCCTCTCTCGTTTTCAGAAGGATATTGGCAAACACATGGCGGAGTCCGCGGGCAAGTTACTAGCTACTGCTACTGCCATTAGACGTCACGCTTGGCTTCGCGCTTCCTCTTTATCAGAGGACAGCCGTTCTTTAGCCGAAGACCTTCCCATGACAGAAGAAGGCCTTTTCGACCCTTCCACTGACGATAAAATAAAGCATTCTAGGGAGGTTCTACAGGCAGCCAAGTATGAGTATCCGTGGCAGCCGGGATACCAACAGAGGTCTCGCTGGCAGCAACCAGCAAGCTCATATCGTAAGGGGTATTTTAGTGGATACAATACTGGTCCAGGTTTTAGGAATGTTAACAACAAATTTCAACCTAATAAGAAACAGAATTATAGCGCTAAAGCAAGGTTCCAGCCGTATAATAGCAGGGCAAGGAATGGAGGGAATCAAAAACGTCGTCTTTGATGTTCCCTTTGCATTTGAGATTTTGGAGCGTACTTCCTGGCATAAAGCGGATGCTCCAAGTATTACACCCCCCACCCAGCCCGTGTTGTTTTTCGAGAGACTTAGGCCTTTCAGACATGTTTGGGATATGATCACTACCGATAAATGGGTTTTAAATATAGTTAGTTTTGGTTATGCGATGGAGTTTGTGTCTCTGCCCCAGTTGGGCATTTTGAAACGCACCCCTGAGTCTCCTCCTTTGATGGAGGAAGTATCTAAGCTATTGGGTAAAGGAGCAATCTCCCCTATCGACCCCCGCGATTTTAATAGATGTTTTTTCTCAAGGTATTTTTTGATTAAAAAACGGGGAGGTGGGCTTCGACCGATTTTGGATTTAAGAGAAGTTAACATGTTCATTTTTTCCCAAAAGTTTCGCATGGTGTCTTTGTCATTGATTCTGCCATTACTCAATAAAGACGTATGGTTCGCTACCATAGATTTAAAGGATGCTTATTTCCACATATCAATGGCGAAGCATCACAGGAAATTCCTTTCATTTATGGTTGGAGAGCAGGCTTACTGTTTTAATGTCCTTCCCTTTGGGCTGACAACAGCCCCACGGGTTTTCACGAAGTGTATGGCAGTAATCGCAGCCTACCTTCGTACCCGTGGAGTGACTATTTATCCATACATAGACGATTGGCTCTTGGTGGGAGACACCTACGAGGGTTTGATTGTGCACATAAATTCAACGATTTCTCTTCTCCAGTCTCTAGGGCTTGTTGTCAATGCAGAGAAGTCCAATTTACAACCACATCGCAGGATCCAATTTATTGGAGCTGTGCTAGACTCGACGCTTCAGAAGGCCTTCTTACCAGAGGACCGGTTTGTGTCTCTACGATCCCTGATTGTCCATATCATTCAGGCAGACCGAGTGCCGGCAAAGAAAGTGCAGGTTCTATTAGGCCATATGGCATCCATGACTGCCGTCACGCCGTATGCAAGACTACGCCTCAGGCCTCTGCAAGCCTGGTTCTTGTCTGTTCACAACCCGGGAGTGGACAAGGCCAGTGCTCGGCTGAAGATGCCATCTGGGGTCAAGCAGTCCCTTTTATGGTGGATGGAGCCATCAAATGTCTGTGCAGGCCAACCATTTCTACCCCCCGAACCATCAAGGGTAGTTACCACAGATTCATCCATGAGTGGTTGGGGGGCGCATTTAGACGGCCTCGTAGCCCAAGGGATGTGGTCTTCCGAAGAGGCTGTGTCCCACATAAATGCGCTGGAGCTTTTAGCGGTGGAAAAGGCTTTGAAGTCCTTCGAGGGGCAACTGTTGGGTCAAGTGGTGCAGGTGGTGACGGACAACACGACCACTATGTACTATATAAACAAACAGGGGGGTACCCGATCGCGACCACTGTTAGACCTAACGTCGCGCATTTGGGATTGGTGTGTAGCCAGAGACATTTATTTGGTGGCGGTGCACCTACCTGGGGAGGAGAATGTGCTGGCCGATGCCCTCAGCAGGTCTCCTCTGTCAACCCACGAGTGGTCCCTTCATCAAGGCGAATTAAATCTCATTTGCAATGCTTGGGGAACACCAAAAATAGACCTTTTTGCATCCCAGGAGAATGCGAAGTGTCCCCGGTATTGTGCTCGCAGACGAGCCAATCACGATCAAGGCTGTCTGGGGGATGCCTTCCTTCTAAAGTGGGTAGGCAACTTCCTCTATGCATTCCCCCCGTTTCCACTCCTCCTCAAAGTAATAACAAAGTTACGGAGGGACGGGAGCCACTGCATTCTAATCGCGCCGTGGTGGCCCCGCCAACCGTGGTTTGCGGCTCTCCTCGAGATGTCGCGGGGCACATACAGACGACTGCCGGGCAGGGTAGACCTCCTAACGACTCAGAACGGCAAAGTGTTCTACCCGGACGTCCACACCCTGGGACTGACAGCTTGGAGAATCACTCCCAGTGTTTAACTGATCAACTTTCTCTGAAGGTTAGGGAAGTGTTAGAGGCTGCCCATAAGCCGTCAACCACAAGGTCTTACACATATAAAATGAGGCGCTTTACAGAGTTCTTGAAGATTCGGGGCTGCGATCCAGCTACGGCTCCGGTCACGGAGGTACTAGAGTTCCTAGGTTCACTTCTGGACTCAGGTTTTACATTATCGTCGGTGAAGTGCTATCTCGCAGCCATTTCGTGGCATAGGAGAAAGCAGGGCATGCCATCTCTCTTCACAGACTATTTCGTCAAGCTGTTTCTAAGGGGCATGGGGAATTTGAGACCGTCGGTTTCCCCTGTTGCCCCGTCATGGAGTTTGGAGTTAGTACTAGATTCTCTCCAAGGGCCCCCATATGAACCGATGGCTACGTGTCAGATGTCCTATTTGTCCTGGAAGGTTGCCTTCTTAGTGGCCATAACATCGGCCAGGAGAGTGAGCGAATTATGTGCACTCAGAGCGGATTCGCCGTACCTACGCATTCATAAGGACAAAGTGGTGCTTCGCACTGACATCGCGTTTTTGCCAAAGGTGGCGACTAACTTCCATATGTCTCAAGAAATAGTACTTCCAGCCTTTTTCCAGAACCCATCCTCACCGTTGGAACGGAAACTGCATCTGCTAGACGTTCGCAGGGCCATTGCATTTTATCTTAACCGGACTATGGACATAAGGAAGACTCCCAGGCTATTTATAAAATATCGACAAGATTCCAAGGGCCTCCCGGTGACCTCGCAGCGTTTGTCTGCTTGGATGGTGTCAGTAATAAAGTTAGCGTATCAGAGATCGGGTCGTGAACTACCTCTGGGCGTTAAAGGACACTCAACTAGAGCGCAATCAACGTCCACGGCTTTTCTGAAAGGTGTGCCGCTGGATGCCATATGCCGTGCAGCCACGTGGTCCACACCTGTGACTTTCGTGTCGCACTACAAGCTTGACTTAACATCGAAGAGAGATGCTGCCTTCGGTCGAGTGGTACTGTTTTCTGCGGTGGCATGACTCCCACCAGCCTCGGTGAGTGGCTCGCTAGTCTGTTACCATTAGTGCGCATTCACAGCATAGCCACGCAGGGAAAATGAGAGGTTGCTTACCTGTAACCGTAGTTTCCCTAGTGGTATGCTGTGAATCCGCACGGCCCCGCCCATCCTCCCCGCAGTTGTCATGCCTCCTCTTTGAGCAGCTGCTGCGGCCGAAGAGAACTGAGGCGGTTAGCCTGCCGCTGGCTATTTATAGTAGCATGGGGAGTGTGCGCGGGGCCAACCGCCATTCCATTTCAAAGTTTAACTGAAAATTTCCGAGCTGTGCTGCGCATGCGCAGAAGGATACCATTAGTGCGGATTCACAGCATACCACTAGGGAAACTACGGTTACAGGTAAGCAACCTCTCATTTCTTTCTCCAACTGAATATAGAAAGAGGCGGTGTCTGCTCTAGAGTGGGGAAAAGATTCTGCTGAGCATCAGGACCATGTGAGTCTTATCTGTTTCTCTCTGAATTCTCTTGAATGGCAATTTTAGATAATATTAGTTTTAAAGTGCTTGATTTATATATTATTTCAGTCACTGTGGGCAGTTATTTATCTCCCTTTCTTTGACAGAAACTCTAAGTTTGAGCCTTTAGGGAGGAGATAGCTATCATACAGAAAACCTGTGTTGTGCTAGTGTCTGCTTGTGCAATTAAAATGGAAGCTTTTTGCCTTTGTGGTCCATAGTTCCTACCATACCATACGGGATGTAAATGATGCATGAATTGACTTATTGCTAGGATACGTGCTATGTGTCAGAAAGTAATTATCCATCATTGCCTTCAGCCAAACAACCTGTCACCAATCTGCTCAGTGAGCCAGGAGAAAGAAAGTGTGCTCGAGAGAGGACTCGGCAGCAGCCCCATCAAATCAGAGCGGGAAGCCTTATTAGTGGGTAAGGAATACTGGGCCACAATATAGATTCTACTTTGAGTCCCCTCCGGGCTGCCTTGAGTCCCCTCCAGGGTGAGAAAGGCAGGATATCAATATGGTAAATAAATACATAAATAGTTGTCTGTAAAGTTAAGCCTGGAGCTGAGTCCAAGACTTCTTTGGTCAAAGCATAAGACTGCTGCTACGTTACAACCCTCCCCCACCTTTGAGATGTACTAACATTATCAGTTGAAGTTAAAATGCATCCTTAATACCTGTTGGAATAGGCACAGTCTAAGTTAATACTGCGTCTCAAGCTGCATTGTCTTTAGCCATTAGCCTGGAAGCCTAGCTGCAATTTGAAATCAGACACACAAACTCTGAAGCCTGCCATAGAAAGAATGAAGCACCCCATCTCTTCTCTGGGCCCAGAATAAAAGCCAAGCATGTCACTGAAGGATTGGTATCCTTTTTAAAAAGCAAGTTATCATTGACATTAAGTTCTCTGTTTCTCATATACCAGCCCCCAGTATAATAATTTGCAGGCACATGGCACCTGAATGATAATTTACAAGATTGGCTTTAAGCATTTTGCATATAAAGCAGTTCCATCACATGGCAGGGGCGATGTGTTGCTGGAACCCAATCAGATTTTAGTGTGATCCATGCCAAAGGAAACCATTGTGCTAAGCCCATAAAGTTGGGGAGTTGGAGGGGTCATCTACCCCAGCCCCCTGCTACAACTAAAACAGTGCTGGACTCCAATGAAGGAGTTTGGCTTTGTGTTTTAATTAGGGAGATGATAGGTGGAGTTGTGGGATAAATATGTAAAGTTTACAACAGGCGTGGACAAACTGTTGGGCAAGTGGGCTTATTAACAAAAGACCCTCATAAATGTACAGCAGAGTAACTTCCTAGCAGCAGCGTGACCCAGCACCAGTAGCCAAAAGTGATAAAAGAACAAAAACATACAGACCAATGTTATCTTTTCCATAGGAGGCTTTTCATTATAACAAAGTAATATGGATGTAATATTTACAAGAACAACAAGGTTTTCATAACACAAATAAAGTTCTTTACACTTCCCTCTTTGCTTTCACGCTAAGCTTCAGTCTCATGCTGATAAACAGCTTTGCTCTCACAGAGCCTCTTCTCACACCGAAGTTACACAGGAGCTTCACACAGTCGCTTTTTACACACAGCTGCCTTCACACACGAAAGCCTTTAACCTGGGGCTTCCTCTCACCAAGGATTCTCACACCAGGCCTGCTCATACTGAGATGTACTAACACTGAGGCCTACCTCACACTAAGGCCTTTCTCCCACTGAGGCCTTCTCACACTGAGAGCTTTCTCAGACTGAGGCCTCTCACATGCTGAGAAAAATTGACAAAGCTTCTCACACCAGGCGTACTCATACCAAGACGTACTAACACTGAGGGAGGCCTACCTCACACTAAGGCCTTTCTCCCACTGAGGCCTTCTCACACTGAGGGCTCTCTCAGACTCAGGCCTCTCACATACTGAGACAAATTGACAAAGCTTCTCACACCAGATGTACTCATACTGAGACGTACTAACACTGAGGCCTACCTCACGCTGAGGCCTTGTCACACTGAGGGCTCTCACATACTGAGGCGAACTAACACTGAGGCCTTCTCATACTGAGGCCTACTAACACAGACCTACCTCACACCGAGGCCCTTCTTCCACAGAGATCTCTCACAGACTGAAGGCTCCTAAGCTACAAGCATACCTGCTTATATTGAACTGCAGCTTTTGTTGGGTCATGGCATCCATTTAACCCTTTCGGTGCTTGACTCACATTTTTGTAATTAAAAACACCTAGTTAATATTTAATATTTCTGACACAAACTTCAGCCCTCCAGGTGTTTTGGACTTCAACTCCCACAATTCCTAGCAGCCTACTGGCTGCTAGGAATTGTGGGAGTTGAAGTCCAAAACACCTGGAGGGCTGAAGTTTGCCTATGCTTGTATTAGAGGCATATATGTCTGGCTTGTTGACCTTTTGAGCCGTGGGAGTAAGTTTTGAAATGTCTTGTCTCTAGGGATAATCTCAACCTTCCTCCATGTCCATCCTTTTGGAGCAAACATTGAATACATCTGTTCCTACCTTCAGCGCCTTGACAGTAAGGTAGGTGTTGGGTGGAGCGTGTAGTCTAATCTGTCATACATGTAAATGCATCCCAAACTGTGGCCTATAAAAGAACCTCTGCCTAATATCTGAGTGCCTGTTGGCCCTCTTGATGTCCCATACCTTTGTTTGGCGTGGTACTCTTTGTCTTCTTCTCTCTTGTAGATTTGTGCCAGCGAAGTGGAAGCCCTCCTGACGCGGCTCCAGCACACATTCAAGCAGGAAATGAGTGGGGTGGGAGCGAGCCTGGAAAAAAGGTGGAAGTTCTGTGGCTTTGAGGGACTCAAGGCAACAACGTGAGCTTGAAGCCATAGCACAGCTTCCAACGCAAGCTGTTATCCAGCGTGTGCGGACTACAGAGAGAAAAAGGCCGCCGTCTACACAGATGTGCCATTGGCTCGGCTCGCAGTCCTTGAACAGCATCACAATGAAAGTTTGGGGCCAATTTTTAAGGGCTGTATTAATATTCCAGTTGTATTTTGTTTTATTTTCTGGGGGGTTTTTGGAGCAGACACAGCCCTTTTGCAAAGGACAGACTTGGCACATTCTGGAGTCAATCCAAACACTCCTATTTGAATCTTTGATACTTTTTACAAATGCAGTTGGATAAAACACACACACACACACTTTCATAGCTTGTTTGTACATGGTTTTCTCAAATTCCCATCAACACTCAGGACATTTTTATCCTTGAGGGTGATCATAAAGTAAAAGATTGAGTAACCACACAAGACAGACAATTTTTTTCTTTACATCTGGCATCACTTGATAATAAAGAAATGTGCTAAATGTTTCAAGGTAAAATAGTTTGTGAATGAGCATACAAACACCAGCGGGGGCCATTACCTTTTCATGTCAGAACTGAGAAATAATATTAATAATATTAAAAATAATAATGTGACCTCACAATCATGGAAAAAACAAACCATGAATTGACAATGTTGTAATCCCAGGCGACAGCAGAATCGACAAGAAGCAACTAGAAAAGCTGACACAATATGAGGATTTAAAGATCGAACTGCAAAGACTCTGACACAAGAAAGTCTGCGTGCATTATTCGCCGATACATCACAAAGTGCCCGACAGCAGAGTGATTTTGTCTGCTGTGGACTCATCTTGTTGTGTTTTTAATAATAATAATAATAATAATAATAATAATAATAATAATAATAATAATACAAGTTACAGAGAATGAATATAATATGCCAAACGCCTCTGGAACTTCTGGATTCAGACAGACAGAGTTTTGAAGCATAATATTCCTGACCTCACAATTGTGTTAAAAAACAAAGTATTGATTGTTAATGTCACAATCCCAGGTGACAGCAGGATTGCAGAGAAACAACTGGAAAAGCTGACACAATATGAGGATTTAAAGATCAAACTGCAAAGACTCTGGCACAAACCAGTCAAGGGGGTCCCAGTGGTGATCAGCACACTGGGTGCAGTGCCTTGGCCTGCACTTAAACACAATCAGCACTGACAAAATCACAATCTGTCAGCTGCAAAAAGCCACCCTACTGGGATTTGAATGTATTATTCACTGATACGTCACACAGTCCTAGATGCTTGGGAAGTGTCCGACATGTGATCCAATACAAAAGCCAGGAGAGTGATCTTGTTTGCTGTGGACACATCTAATGATGATGATGATGATGATGATGATGATGATGATGGGCACACTGGGTGCAGTGCCAAAAGACCTTGGCCTGCACTTAAACACAATCGGCGCTGACAAAATTACCGTCTGCCTGCTGCAGAAGGCCACCATAGTGGGATCTGCACGCATTATTTGCCGATACATCACACATTCCTAGACATTTGGGAAGTGTCCAACGTGTGATCCAAGACAACAGCCAGCAGAGTGATCTTGTCTGCTGTGGACTCATCTTGTTGTGTATCTAATAATAAATAATAATAATAATAATTATTATTATTATTATTTATTTATTTATAGGCCGCACTCTCTCCCTGAGGGAACTCAGAGCGGTTTACAACACAAAAAGACAAACATTCAATGCCCAGACAAATGCAACCCGCCCAAAAAACAAACAAAAACAATTACAATAATGCAATATAATCAACATAATGACAGTAAACTTATTATGTAAAAATTGACATCAAAATTAAAAACGAGATACCAATAATTGCATAGGTTACACTAATCACATACTCAACACTAAGACATCTCAAATGATAAAAGCAATTAAAATAAATGGAAACTGGCTGATTATAGTTGTTTTTTTTCTGTCCCCAGAGTATATTTCCCACCTATATGAAGGTCTATTTTTATGACCCCGTTCCTTTATGAGTTTCTCCCTCACAATCTGCTCCATCCCTGTCTCATCCTGATTTTAGTATTTTAGTTTTTATTTTGCACATGCTAATTGTTATTATATTGTGTATGATTTTGCTTTATCGTGGTTTTTTTTTGTACTCCTATGTTGTATGTATTTTACTGTGTTATTGTGTTTTGGTTTTATTTTATTGTAATATGTAAGCCACCCCGAGTCCCCATTGGGGAGATGGTGGCGGAGTATGAAATAAAGTTTATTATTATTATTATTATTATTATTATTATTATTATTATTATTACTTTTGATATGTACCCAAGTGACCACGAGGTACAAGTAGGTCAGCCAGCATTCCAATTGATCTAGAGCAGGCTTGGGCAAACTTTGCCCCTCCGGGTATTTTGGACTTCAACTCCTAACAGCCTTTGTTGTTGTTGTTCATTTGTTCAGTCGTTTCCAACTCTTCGTGACCTCATGGACCAGCCCACGCCAGAGCTCCCTGTTGGTCGTCACCACCCCCAGCTCCTTCAAGGTCAATCCAGTCACTTCAAGGATACCATCCATCCATCTTGCCCTTGGTCGGTCCCTCTTCCTTTTTCCTTCCATTTCCCCCAGCATCATTGTCTTCTCTAAGCTTTCCTTTCTTCTCATAATGTGGCCAAAGTACTTCATCTTGGCCTCTACTATTCTTCTCTCCAATGAGCAGTCGTGCTTTATTTCTTGAAGTATGGGCTGGTTGGATCTTCTGGTGGTCCAAGGCACTCTCAGGACTTTCCTCCAACACCACAGTTCAAAAGAGTCTTATCTGCCTTTACTCAGCCTTCCCTATGGTCCAACTCTCACATCCGTAGGTTACTACAGGGAATACCATGGCTTTGACTAGGCAGATCTTTGTTGCCAGTCTGATGTCTCTACTCTTTACTATTTTATCGAGATTGGCCCTTGCTCTCCTCCCAAGAAGGAAGCGTCTTCTGATTTCCTGGCCACAGTCTGCATCTGCAGTCATCTTTGCACCTAGAAATACAAAGTCCGTCACAGCCTCCATGTTTTCTCCCTCTATTTCCCAGTTGTCAATTATTCTTGTTGCCATAATCTTGGTTTTTTAATGTTTAACTGCAACCCAGCTTTTACGCTTTCTTCTTTCACCTTGATTAGAAGGCTCCTCAGATCCTCCATCAATGTGATATCATCTGCATATCTAAGGTTGTTAATGTTTCTTCCAACAATTTCCACCCCAGCCTTGCATTCATCAAGCCCCGCACATCTTCGCATGATGTGTTCTGCATACAAGTTGAATAGGTTGGGGGAGAGGATACAACCCTGCCGTACGCCTTTCCCAATCTTGAACCAGTCTGTTCTTCCGTGGTCAGTTCTGACTGTTGCTACTTGGTCCTTGTACAGATTCTTCAGGAGAGAGACATCAGGGTGGTGTCATCTGCATATCTGAGGTTGTTAATGTTTCTTCCAGCAATTTTCACCCCAGGGATGTCTACAACTCCCATAATTCCTAACAGTGCAGTCATGGGTCAACTTCAGCCTGCCCTCCAGGTGTTTTGGACTTCAACTCCCATAATTCCTAACAGCCTACCGGCTAGGTTCTTGTGGTTTTTTTCGGGCTATAGAGCCATGTTCTAGAGGCATTTCTCCTGACGTTTCGCCTGCATCTATGGCAAGCATCCTCAGAGGTAGTGAGGTCTGTTGGAACTAGGAAAATGTTTATATATCTGTGGATTGACCAGGGTGGGACAAAGGACTCTTGTCTGTTGGAGCTAGGTGTGAATGTTTCAACTGATCACTTTGATTAGCATTTGATGACCTGCCTGAGCCTGGGAAAATCTCTTGCTGGGAGGTGTTAATCTGTGCCTGGTTGTTTCCTCTCTGTTGTTTTGCTGTTGTAATTTTAGAGTTTTTTTAATACTGGTAGCCAGATTTTGTTCATTTTCATGGTCTCTTCCTTTCTGTTGAAATTGTCCACATGCTTGTGGATTTCAATGGCTTCTCTGTGTAGTCTGACATGGTGGTTGTTGGTGTAGTCCAGCATTTCTGTGTTCTCAAATAATATGCTGTGTCCAGGCTGGTTCATCAGGTGCTCTGCTATGGCTGACTTCTCTGGTTGAAGTAGTCTGCAGTGCCTTTCATGTTCCTTGATGCGTGTTTTGGCAATGCTGCTGCGTTTGGTGGTCCCTATGTAGACTTGTCCACAGCTGCATGGGATACGGTAGACTCCTGCAGAGGTGAGAGGATCCCTCTTGTCCTTTGCTGAACGTAGCATTTGTTGGATTTTCTTGGTGGGTTTGTAGATTGTTTGTATGTTGTGTTTCCTCATCAGCTTCCCTATGCGATCAGTGGTTCCCTTGATGTATGGCAGGAACACTTTTCCTCTGTTAGGAATGTTGGCTGTTAGGAATTATGGGAGTTGAAGTCCAAAACACCTGGAGGGCAGGCTGAAGTTGACCCATGCCTGCACTAAAGGACCACTGCTGCCTGTATGTAGTCTTGATTGTTGTGCTGTGCCAGGGCGCCACCTAGTGCGCAGGCGCAGCCTTGAGACTCCTTAGCAGTGTGTTCCACTTGGTGACGTCAAAAGCAGTCGCCTCTCAGTGCAGAACTTCCGGCGTGGAGATGCCTCCCAAAGGGAAAAGCGGCGGTGGGAAAGGGGGCAAAGGTGAGGCGGGTTGGGATTATTCTCCTGGAACTAGGCCCCAATCTACACTGTCCAGTTCCAAACCAGTATGGAACGGAGTGGATTGGCTAGCCAGGGACCTCATCACACTAGATCTATTTTGAATCCAGCTTCTGCAGAATTCTGGGACTTTAGGGAAGGGCCTTTAAACAGTTCAGTCTCACTAAACTGCAAACCCCAGAATTCTGCAGGAGGCAGGAACCGGATTTAAAGTGGATCCATGCTCTAGTGCTGTGTTTCTCAACCTGGGGGTCGGGATCCCTGGGAGGAGGGTCGTGGGGGTGTGTTAGGGGGGTCGCCAAAGACCATCAGAAAACAACACTATTTTCTGTTGGTCATGGGGGTTCTGTGTGCCAAGTTTCTTTGGCCCAATTCGTTGGTAGAATTCAGAATGCTCTTTGATTGTAGGTGAACTATAAATCCCAGCAACTACAACTCCCAAATGTCAAGGTCTATTTTCCCCAACTCCACCAGTGTTCACATTTGGGCATATTGAGATCATGCCAAGTTTGGTCCAGATCCATCATTGTTTGAGTCCACAGTGCTCTCTGGATGTAGGTGAACTACAACTCCAAAACTCAAGGTCAATGCCCACCAAACCCATCCAGTATTTTCTGTTGGTCATGGGAGTTCTGTGTGGGAAGTTTGGTCCAATTCCATCATTGGTGGAGTCAGAATGCTCTTTGATTGTAGGTGAACTATATATCCCAGCAACTACATCTCCCAAATGTCAAGGTCTATTTTCCCCAAACTCCACCAGTGTTCACATTTGGGCATATTGAATATTCATGCCAAGTTTGGTCCAGATCCATCATTGTTTGAGTCCACAGTGCTCTCTAGATGTAGGTGAACTACAACTCCAAAACTCAAAGTCAATGCCCACCAAACCTGTCCAGTATTTTCTGTTGGTCATGGGAGCCCTGTGTGCCAAGTTTGGGTCTATTCCATTATTGGGGGAGTTCAGAATGCTCTTTGATTGTAGGTGAACGATACATTCCACCACTCCCAAATGACAAAATCAATCCCTTCCAACCAGTATTTAAATTTGGGTGTATGAGGTATTTGTGCCAAATTTGATGCAGTGAATGAAAATACATCCTGCATATCTTATGTTTATATTACGATTCAGAACAGTAGCACAATTAGTTATGAAGTAGCAACGACAATAATTTTTATGGTTGGGGGTCATCACAACATGAGGAACTGTATTAAGGGGTCGTGGCATTAGGAAGGTTGAGAACCACTGCTCTAGTGTGATTTTTTTCCGTGTCAGGAGGAACTTGAGAAACTGCAAGTCACTTCTAATGTGAAAGAATTGGCTGTCTGCAAGGACACTGCCCAGGTGTTTTTGTTTTTATGTTTTACCATCCTTGTGGGAGGCCTCTCTCATGTCCCTGCATGGGGAGCTGGAGCTGACAGAGGGAGCTCATCCGCGCTCTCCCCGGATTCGAACCTGCGACCAATCGGTCTTCGGTCTTGCCAACGCAAGGGTTTAACCCACTGTTGCAGAACATGACCAAGGTGTGTTCATGATATACCAAAAAGAAAAATGGGTTCCCCTAAAACTGTGGAGACCAAAATCCACTGATTGTGTTGTGGATCCTAAGGGGACATAGATAGTGGCTAAAGGTCCATTGTAACATGAATTATAAACCATACATAGAGAAATATAATATCTATGAGACAAAAATAATATAATACTCAAAGCTATTCTTTGTTGAGCGATGTACTCTGCAAGGAGTTTTATTCTGTGGCGAGTATAGGATCAAAATAACTCAACTCATTACTAATATAGCAAGTCCATTGGTCAGGTGATAGTTACATCATTATCAGTTCAGAATACATTGGGGTAAACCTACTCTGTTATAAAAAAAAACAGTCATATGAATTGGTGTTGTTTAACCCTTTTGGATGTTCTGTTTGCGGGGTAAAGATCCAGAAGGATTCCCGTTGTAAAAGTTTAGTTTGGAAGTCAGTGTCTCTGGGTGGAGTAACCACCTCTAAAACCTGTACTTTAAATGATTCAGGGCTGTGGTTCAGGTCCACAAAATGCTTATACAGAATGGAATCAGTAGAATGTTTCCTGATTCTACTCTTGTGCTCAGTGATCCTGAGCTTGACTTCTCTGCTTGTTTGAGCAATGTAAATAAGTGAGCAGGGACAGGTGATGGCATATACTACACCTTCAGTGGAACAGGTAGCCAAGTGATTGATTCTATCAGTGGATTGTGTTCATGATATACACAGAGCTCAAGACCGATTGCAAAGCCTGAATATCTACTGCCATATAATCCAGTCCAAAGCAGATCTATCTATTTAGATTCTATGGCAGTGTGGATGCATCCAAAGCGCGCGAGCGACAGTTATGATATCTTACTGTTGTCTCTGTTTTTCTCTTCAAAGGGGGATCCTCATCAAGCGGCGATGCTGCAGAGAAGAAGAGCCAGGGCCCCAAAGGGGGAGGCAGCTCCGTGAAGGTGGGTGCCGTCCTCCTCTTTCAAATTGGAAGCCTTCCCATACATCTTGTTAGTCTACGTGGTTAAAAGATCCAATTAAGGGCTTATATTCCATCATTGTAAGCCTTCAGTTGTCCTGTTGCTGGACTATAACTCCACCAGCCTGTATTCAGGAATTAATTACAACCAGAGAACATCTAAACCTCACTATATGTGATCCAGAGGGATGTAATTTATGCAGGCCAGTGGGACTCCATTAGGAGTCTAGTGTCTAGATCCAGGGAGGCCATGCTACCCCTCTATTCTGCCTTGGTCAGACCACACCTGAAATCACGCTGTGTCCAGTTCTGGGCACCACAATTGAAGGGACTGTATGTGCCCAGAGGAGGGCAACCCAAAGGATCAGGGATCTGGAGAACAAGCCCCATGTGGAGCGGCTTAAAGAGCTGGGCATGTTTAGCCTGGAGAGAGGATGAGGGCTATGTATAAAGAGGTGGGGGAAGTCAAATGGAGGAGGGAGCAGACTTGTTTTCTGCTGCCCTGGAGACTAGGGAGCAATGGAACAATGGTTTCAAACTATAGGAAAGAAGATTCCACCTGCACATTACGAAGAACTTCCTAATTGCGAGATCTGTTCAGCAATGGAACTCTCTGCCCTGGAGTGTGGTGGAGGCTCCTTCTTTGGAGGTTTTTAAGCAAAGGCTGGATAGCCATCAGTCAGGGGTGCTTTGAGTGCAATTTTCCTGCTTCTTGGCAGAATGGGGTTGGACTGGATGACCAACGAGGTCTCTTCCAACTCTAGGATGCTGTGATTCTATGAACTCTCACGCAGAGACAAAGAGCTCAAAATATTGCTGAGCTAAATGCCTATCATGTCTCCCTACACTATGTAAAATGATTATTGTTCCTGGGTTATAAATGTCACCTCCTAATTGGTTCTAGCATAAAAATATGGAAATAGTTTATCAAACTGGAAAAACTTTGCTTTTGGTGAAACATTCCGCTACAGCACAATTTGGTCTACTTTTTCAATGAACCTATAAAACCCTATACGGTTCCGATCCAGCATACCTGTCCGAATGTATCTCCTTCTGTGTCCCACCTCGGAGTTTAAGATCTTCTGAGGTGGGGCCGAGAGGTGCTCTCGGCCCCACCTCTGTCTCAAACACGGTTGGCGGGGACGAGGGACAGGGCCTTCTTGGTGGTGGCCCTCCGCCTGTGGAATTCACTTCCCGGGGAAATTAGCTCATCAGCATCCCTCCTCACCTTTAGAAAGAAGGTAAACATGTGGATGTGGGACCAGGCCTTCGGGCAATTGGATTAAAGGACAATGGATAATGTTTGACTATGGCTTGGAAGTGGATTTGGATAAGTTAAGCAGAGTACTCAATAGTATATGGCTAGATAAATAGCCACCAGACTGGTAATAGCTCAATGGACTGTAAGTATACTGTTTTAAAATTTATGTCTTAATGTTTATGTTTTTAACTGTTATAATTGCTGTTTTGTATTTTATGATGCGGCATCGAATTGTTGCCAATTGGAAGCCAGGGGTTGAGAAGGGCGGGGTGAAAATGTTTGAAATAAATAAATAAATAAACATCTCATAGAATCTCAACCAATTCAACATAGTTTGTTTCTGGAGTATAACAACTACTTTCAAAGTAAGTACTTCGCAAACAGTAAATAACACATTTGCACCATGGACAGAACATTTTGCAAATTTTGTTACATAGTGCTATTAATAACACAATATGTAAACAAACACCCATAGGCTCCCCATCGTTGCACCAGAGGCTCAGTAAAAATGTTTGTTGTTTTTGCACGTCTTCTTTGTGGCATCTAAAGGTGAGGCATATCCTTTGTGAGAAGCAGAGCCGAGCCTTGGAAGCCATGGAAAAACTAAAGGCTGGAATGCGTTTCAGTGAAGTCGCCTCCCAATACAGTGAGGACAAAGCCAGGCAAGGGGTATGTATGCACGGGTGTATCTCTGGATTAAAATCAGCGTATGGAAAACCGATGGAGCGCTGATGCTACAGCTGTGGCTTTCCCTTCTTGCTCTTGAGGAGTAGGGGAAAGGGAGCAGTTCAGGGGGCATCACATTGCTTTAGCCGCAACTATAGCATTATTTATTTGTTTCTTTTAATTATATTTATGTATTTATTTCTGTTTTAACGTTTGCATATTTGCATATTTTAAACTATATGCTCATGTTTTATGCTAGGCTGCTTTGGGAGAGATAAAGTGAGGTATAAATACAAATAATAATAATAATAATAATAATAATAATAATAATATCTGGGACTTCTGGATTCAGATTGACAGAGTTTTGGAGCACAACACTCCTGACCTCACGATCGTGTTAAAAAACAAATGAATTGTCGATGTTGCAGTACCAAGTGACAGCAGGATTGCAGAGAAACAGCTGGAAAAGCTGACACGATATGAGGATTTAAAGATCGAACTGCAAAGACTCTGGCACAAGCCAGTAAAGCTGGTCCCAGTGGTGATCGGCACACTGGGTGCAGTGCCTAAAGACCTTGGCCTGCACTGTTTATGTTTTGGTTTTATTTCAATGTAATATGTTGTCCAGGCTTGGCCCCATGTAAGCCGTTCCGAGTCCCCATTGGGGAGATGGTGGCGGGGTATAAATAAAGTTCATTATTATTGTTGTTGTTGTTGTTATATGGCGTAATAAATTTTACTAGTACTAATACTTAGACTGGATCTACATTGCCATATAATGAACTTCAATGCAGTCAATATCCATTCTGAAACTGCATTATAAGGCAGGGTAGATCCGACCCTATATACCTCATGTTAGCAGCCCTGAGTCCCTGAGGGGGGATGGAAGCAGGGTATAAATAAAGTTAATAATAATAATAATAATAATAATAATAATAATAATAATTGCAGTAGGATTATAGAACTAAAAGATTTTGGTGTTCGCGGGCCCGTTTTTGCCTTGCCCATTATAGGAAATCTACCCTCAATCTACCAACATCTATGATCTACTTTCTGCCTATTCCTCCTCTGAAAGATATATATCCCCTCATTTTTAGACTGCAAGGATTCAGATCAGTATCTATTCTAAGAGACTGAAATTTGCTTGCTTCCTGAGAGTTTTGCTTTCTCACAAAGACTTCCAAAATAGCATGTCTAACATTTCCTTTTTCGATCTAATTGCTCATATTCTCTGATAGCTCTCTAGAGTAACATGTTGACCCAACCTTAATTTTTATTTGGTTCATTCCCTCACTGCCAAGCACAAGGCATTGCTCCTGATCATTAAACCCAGGTCTGAATAAAGAAGTGCTTCTAAATCTGACAAAAAAACACAAAAAAACAAAACACTGCTCTTACTATATCATCATCAACATCATCATCATCATCATCATCATCATCAATATTATTATTATTATTATTATTATTATTATTATTATTATTATTATTATTTGAAACACCACAAGATGAGTCCACAGCAGACTCTCTGCTGGCTGTTATATTGGATCACATGTTGGACACAATCGGCGCTGTTAAAATGACCATCTGCCAGCTGCAGAAGGTCACCTTACTGGGATCTGCACGTATTATTCGCCAATGCATCACACAGTCCTAGACACTTGGGAAGTGTCCAACATGTGATCCAATATAACAGCCAGCAGAGTGTCTGCTGTGGACTCATCTTGTGGTGTTTCAAATAATAATAATAATAATAATAATAATAATAATAATAATAATAACAATAATATGATGATGATGATGATGATGATGATTACGATGATTACCCTTGATGATCTATTCCAATCAAGGTGGAAAAAGATAGTTCAAGAGAAAATCCTAAACCTTGGATTCTCAGTTAAAAATATCCTGACCATGGGCTATACAAAAGCTAAAGAAAACATACGACAGCGTATCTGGGACACTGAGCTGCAAAACTATCTAAGCGCAGCCTCTTTTCTTCCAATCTTTAAAGATAATGGAAGGGCACTGCTACCTGCAGAGTATCTAGGCAATCTAACTATTCCCAATCATAGGAAGGCGTTCTCTTTGGCTAAATACAATGTACTCCCTTCTGCTGTATTGGAGGGAAGATACAACAAAGTACCATACAATGAGCGCCTATGTCCCTGTGAGGACGAGACAGTGGAAACTGTGGAGCACATTTTGTTGTACTGCTCTTTTTACTGTGACCTTCGTAAACATTTTATAAATCCAATTCTAGAAAGTCTACCAGGGAGATCTGCAAGGTTTTATACAGATTATCTCCTGTCTGACCAACACCCCAAGGTCACTGTCAGGGTTGCTAGCTTCTGTGCAGCAGCTATGGCTTGTTGCCCCAAGATGCTGACACAGACTTAGAAAGTTTTAACATATATTTTACCATTGATATTTTAGTATTTAAATGTTTAACACCATTTTAATTACTTTATTCAATATTGGGTTTTAAACTCTGTTTTAACATTGTTTCCTGATACCCAGATGTGTGTGTAACCTGATGCTTGTATACTTCTGTACATGTGCTTGTACATGTGTGTGTACTCTGACACTCGCACACCCTGACACTTGTACCTTTTGATGCTGGTCATTGACCGTAATAAATGTTGTTGATGATGATGATGATGATATAGTAACACCATTGGCCCAAGAACAGTGGGGTTTTTTTTTCAGATTTGGGAGCACTTGCCTTATTCAGACCTGGGTTTAATGGTCAGAAGCAATGCCTTTTGCTTGGCAGTGAGGGAATGAACCGAATAAAAATTAAGGTTGGGTCAACATGTTACTCTAGAGAGCTATCAGAGAATATGAGCAATCAGATCGAAAAAGCAAAATGTTAGACATGTTATTTTGGAAGTCTCTTTGGGAAAGCAAAACTCTCCAGAAGCAAGCAAATTTCAGCCTCTTAGAATAGATACTGATCTGAACCCTTGCAGTCTAAAAATGAGGGGATATATATCTTTCAGAGGAGGAATAGGCAGAAAGTAGATCATATATGTTGGTAGATTGAGGGTAGATTTCCTATAATGGGCAAGGCAAAAATGGGCCCGCGACTTCCAAAGTATTTTAGTTCTATGATCCTATTACAAGTATTATTATTATTATTATTATTATTATTATTATTAACTTTATTTATACCCCACCTCCATCTCCCCTCAGGGACTCAGGGCAGCTAACATGAGATATATAGGGTCGGATCTACCCTGCCTTATAATGCAGTTTCAGAATGTATATTGACTGCATTGAAGTTCATTATATGGCAATGTAGATCCAGCCTAAGTATTAGAACTAGTAAATTTTATTACACCATATAACAATAATAATAATAATAATAATAATAATAATAATAATAATAATGAACTTTATTTATACCCCACCACCAACTCCCCTATGGGGACTTGGAGCAGCTTACATGGGGCCAAGCCTGGACAACATATTACATCGAAATAAAACCAAAACATAAACAACGACCAATATCATCAAAATTACACAAAAAACAAAAACCCAAACCAAACAACAAGATTTGATAAGACTTTATTACATTCTAGTTAGTAAGTTAAGCCTAAGTCTTAACATAATCATTTCAACTGATTGAAATGGGTTTTTTGGGGGAAGGGAATGCAAAAACTGGGAAATAAATAAATGATGGTGCAAAGAGGAAGTGGATGTGCCTGCCTACGTATGGAACCCCAGAAGGCTGGGGCAGGCTCCCCATCTCTGTTTGCAGCTCAAAGAGTCTCTCTATTTCTGTGCTGTCTTTTCAGGGCGACCTGGGCTGGATGGCCAGGGGCTCCATGGTGGGGCCCTTCCAGGAAGCTGCCTTTGCTCTGCCGGTCAGCAGCATGGACAAACCCGTCTACACAGACCCTCCAGTCAAAACCAAGTTTGGCTATCACATCATCATGGTGGAAGGACGGAAATAATAAAACGAAGGTTGCATAAGTGCCAACGAGTCCTTGTCCTTTGAATTGAGCATTGCAGACATTGGAGGTGCTTCTTCCCAAGATGGGAGCGATGCGTTATGGGAGCGCCATGCGGACCTCAACAAAGCTACACACAGGCGAACCACAACATGATCTGGCACAGTGATGCATTGGATTTGTTTTGAGGGTGCAAAATGGGAATGATGCACTCTTCTATTGGACTACCACTCTTCCCAGTCTTTAGCATTGGCCATGCTGGCAAGGGCTGCTGGGAATTGCAGTCCAATAATATTTAAGAGGGCATATTTTCCTATTGTTGTTATAGATACGAGGATGAGAGAATGACAATTACAGCCAACTTTCTCTGAAGACATAATAATAATAATAATAATAATAATAATAATAATAATAATAAATCACATATTAATAATAATAATAATGTAATAATAATAATAATAATAATACATCACACAGTCCTAGACACTTGGGAAGTGTTCGACTTGTGATTTTGTGATATGAAATCCAGCATATAGATCTCGTTTGCTGTGACATACTGTGCTTTTGTGTCAATTATTATTATTATTATTATTATTATTATTATTACTTTATTTCTTACCTGCCTCTCCTTGTGGCTCAAGGCAAGTTAAAGCATAATTAAAACATATAAACATTGTACAAATTCCATAAATATGTATGCTTCTATAAAAGATACATATTTTATAGAATATGTATTCTATAAAATACATATTAAAATACACAAATGTTCCCCACTCTTGACTTACAGAAAAAAGAATATCTGCGAAAAAGAGAATAAAGGTGTTAAATAGTATTTATAATGCTTGGACCGGGTGACGCTTGTGCTCTTTTCCAACTCTGTAACTCTCCTTTATGAAAGTTGTTGCCACTAGTACAGGCATGGGCAAACTTTGGCTGTTAGAAATTGTGGGAGTTGGAGTCCAAAATATCCAGAGGGCCAAAGTTTGCCCATGCCTGCACTAGAAGCTCTGTTGACTGATTTAGAAAATTACAGAGTAGGAAGAGACCACAATGGCCATCTAGTGCAACCCCCTGCCATGTAGAAAAAGCACAATCAAAGCACCCCCAGAAGATGGCCTTCCAGTTTAAAAGCTTCCAAGGAAGAAGCTTCTATCACATCCTGAAGCAGAGAGTTCCACTGTTGAACAGCTCTAACAGGACGTTCTTTCTAATGCTCAAGTGGGATCGCCTTTCTTGTCATTTGAACCCAAAATAGCCACATTTCTGGTGGGAAAGTATCAATGAAGATACTTCCAGCAGGCCTACTTTGACAGTCTTTAAAGATAAACATGAATTTTAATGTATGTCCTTTGTTTAATATCTGTTTAAATATGTATTTCATAGAGATACATTTTGGTATGTCACTTATATGTGCCGCCATGGGCAAAATTGGACCTTCTAGGTGTTTTGGACTTCAAATCCCACAATTCCTAACAGCCGGTAGATTGTTAGGAATTGTGGGAGTTGGAGTTCAAAACATCTACAGGGCTCACGTTTGCCCAGGCCTGTTGTAGTGTGTGCATTTATAGTGTTTCTGCTGTGTTTATGTATTTTGATTGTTTTGTAACCCACCTCCAGCTGTGAGGAGAGACAGGTAAGAAATACAATTATTAATAAGTATTAATACAATTATAATTAAATAATAATTATTAATACAATTATTATTAATAATAATAATTATCAATGCTGGCTGGTCATGGTGACCCTGTGATTGGTTTAGGAGCTCCTTAAAATCTATCTATTTATTTATTTACGGCATTTATATGCCGCCCTTCTCACTCCAAAGGGGACTCAGAGCAACTTACAAGATATATATATACACATACATACATACAATATATTATTATTAGCATAGCATAGGTCAGTCTATCACCCTGTCTCTCTACAAGTTCTCACTCACAAATAATTCTGCTTTTTTATCTCACCCTGAGTTTTTAAATAATTTTATGTACATGTGACCCGCTCACTGTCATTATGTTTGGTTTATTGCTTTTTTAATATTTTGTTTATTGTTGTCATATGTTCTGTGTTTTACTGTGATGTTTTTTATTTTATTGTAACTTGTATCTTATTTTATTGTAATTGTTGTTTGGGCTTGGTCTCATGTAAACCGCCCTGAGTCCCCGTTGGGGACATGGTGGCGGGGTATAAATAAAGATTATTATTATTATTATTATTATTATTATTATTATTATTATTATTATTATATCGGTATTAGGTAAAGGTAAAGGTAGTCCCCTGACATTAAGTCCAGTCATGTGTGACTCTGGGGTGTGGTGCTCATCTCAATTTCTAAGCCGAAGAGCCAGCATTGTCCGTAGACACCACCAAGGTCATGTGGCCAGCATGACTGCATGGAGCGCCCTTACCTTCCCGCCAGAGTGGTACCTATTGATCTACTCACATTTGCATGTTTTCGAACTGCTAGGTTGGCAGAAGCTAGGGCTGACAGCGGAAGCTCACGCCGCTCCCCGGAATCGAACCTGCAACCTTTTGATAAACAAGCTCAGCAGCTCAGTTCTTTATTATTTATTTATTATTTATTTATTTGGGGTTCTTGTACCCCGCCCTTCTCACCGCGTAGGGGACCCAGGGCGGCTTACAACAGCAAAGGCACGCTTGGATGCCTGCCACACAAAACAATCATCACAGAAGTACAACAATTCATAGTTACCACAATTCAAGCCATTATCCCAATAAAAACAATAAAAATCGATAAAATCAATACAAACCGAATTCTTCCTCCTACCCTATCAGTGTACACTATCTTTAACCCACTGCGCCACATATTGTACTATACCATTATTTTGTAATATTATTGGTAATATTAAATGTAATATAAAATACATAATTATAATATTGTATTATTATTATTAGTTTTATATTGTATTACATTATAATATTATATCTATATACATTATACGTATTGTATATTGATGGCTCCTCTGGGCCCTCTCCTTATTAAAGAGACCTGTATAAAAAGTCCTTGGCAGGGCTGCGGGAGCGAAGGGGTTAATGCTCCCACTTTGGACAAGTTTTGTTCCTCTCGCCACGCCCCTTCGCAGGCTTCTCAGGCACCGGATTGGCCATTCCTCGCGGCGCTAGTCGGACCGCGCTCTGATTGGTGGAGCTGCGAGAGCGAGGCGCTGCGATTGGCTGGCGGGCTCTTCCGGGAGAGGCAGCTGGGAGAGATGCAGAGAGATCCTTTCAGAGTTGGAAGAATGGCTGCGGTGGCTGGGATGCTGCTGTTGTTGGCAATGGCGCGGTGGAGCGGAGCCCTGGAGAACGGCCTGGCCCGCACGCCGCCCATGGGCTGGCTGCACTGGGAGCGCTTCCTCTGCCAGACCGACTGCGGGCAGGAGCCGCTCCAGTGCATCAGGTAAGGCCCGCCTTTCTGCGCATGCGCCGGAGCAAAAGGGGACTCCAACTCCCAGAAGCCCTCGCCAGCCTGGGCAACGGCCGGGGATTCTGGGAAATGAAGTCCAAAACACCTGGCAGATCCAGAACCACTCATTGGGAGCTCTTTGAGGGTCTTTACCCCCAAAATAACCAATATAATACTAATAATAATACAATATAATAATTGTATATTTTATATTACTTGTAATATTACTTTTATTTATTTATTTATCGTGTCATCTGCAACCAGAACATTGTATTACATTTCTAACAGAACAAAACAAACAAACAGATTTAAAAAAACCAAATTTTTCAAACTTGGTAGTTGATTAAATGTCCTTTGACCAGTATCTGGCCACTTGGAGTGCCTCTGGTGTTGCCGCAAGAAGGTCCTCCCTTGTGCATGTAGCAGGGCTCAGGTTGAATTGCAGCAGGTGGTCTGTGGTTTGCTCTTCTCCACACTCGCATGGCGTGGACTCCACTTTGTGGCCCCTTTTCTGAAGGTTGGCTCTGCATCTCGTGGTGCCAGAGCGCAGTCTGTTCAGCGCCTTCCAAGTCGCCCAGTCTTCTGTGTGCCCAGGGGGGAGTCTCTCATCTGGTAATACCCACGAATTGAGGTTCTGGGTTTGAGCCTGCCACTTTTGGACTCTCGCTTGCTGAGGTGTTCCAGCTAGTGTCTCTGTAGATCTAAGAAACCTATTTCTTGATTTAAGTCGTTGACTGGCTGGCTGATACCCAAACAAGGGATGAGCTGGAGATGTCTCTGCCTTGGTCCTTTCACTATTGGCTGCTACTTCCCGGCAGATGTCAGGTGGTGCAATACCGGCTAAGCAGTGTAATTTCTCCAGTGGTGCAGGGCGCAGACACCCTGTGATAATGCGGCATGTCTCATTAAGAGCCACATCCATTGTTTTAGCGTGGTGAGATGTGTTCCACACTGGGCATGCGTACTCAGCAGCAGAGTAGCATAGCGCAAGGGCAGATGTCTTCAGTGTGTCTGGTTGTGATCCCCAGGTTGTGCCAGTCAGCTTTCGTATGATATTGTTTCTAGCACCCACTTTTTGTTTGATGTTCAGGCAGTGCTTCTTGTAGGTCAGAGCACGGTCCAGAGTGACTCCCAGGTATTTGGGTGCAATGCAATGCAATGGGGGACATGAGAGAAGCCTCCTTGCAGGATTGCAAGACATCAGGGTGTCCCCTGGGCAACGTCTTCGTAGACGGCTGATTCTCTCGATCCAGAAGCAACCAGAGACGACTTGCAGCATGCAAACAAGTAAGCAAAACAACCAACGGACCTTTTCAGGACCAACCATGACAATAATCTCAATCAACATCGAAGGCATGTCAGCTGCCAAAGAACAACTGCTTTATGAACTGTAATATTACTAATAATATTGCAGTGTAGTGGCATAGTACACTATAGTAATATATAATACTAATATTGTAATGTAATACAATATAATACTAATAATACAATATAATGATTATATAATTTATATTACTTGTAATATTACTAATAATGCAGTATGGTGGCATGGTATAATATAGTAATATATAATACTAATATTGTAATGTAATACAATATAATAATAATAATACAATATAATACTAATAATAATACAATATAATAATTATATATTTTATATTACATGTAATATTACTAATAATATTGCAGTGTAGTGGCATGGTATAATATAGTAATATATAATACTAATATTGTGCTGTGCTAATAATATAATGCATTGTATGTACATATAACTTGTAAGCCGCTCTGAAGGTTGGGATATAAATGTCTTAAATAAATAAAAAAAGTTTGCTAGCAAGCTCTGGTCTGGAAAGTTAGACCTTCCGCTTCTCTGTTGTACCAAAAGGAGAACTGGTTTTAGGGAAGCACTTTTTTTTTTTGTCGTGTCAGGAGCGACTTGAGAATTTGCAAGTTGCTTCTGGTGTGAGAGAATTGGCCATCTGCAAGGACGTTGCCCAAGGGATGCCCAGATGTTTTGATGTTTTACCATGCTTGTGGGAGGCTTCTCTCATGTCCCCGCATGAGGAGCTGGAGCTGATAAAGGGAGCTCATCTACGCTCTCCCTAGATTTGAACCTGCGACCTGTCAGTCTTCAGTCCTGCTGGCACAGGTATTTAACCCACTGCGCCACCGGGAGCTCCTAGGAAAACTTTTTGAATATGTCTTGATGGATTTCAACTGTGAATTTATTTAGCACTGTTTGTTTACATTCTGTTTTTACTGTTTGCAATTTGGATATTTTAAATTGTATACTAATGCTTGGAACCCCCTTTGGGAGAGAGAAAGGGGGCAATAATAATAATAATAATAATTTATCATGTCAGGGGCAACCAGACAATTGTATTACATTTCTAACAGAACAAAACAAACAGACAGACACAAAACAAATTTTGCAAGCTTGGTAGTTGATTAAATGTCCTTTGACCAGTATCTGGCCACTTGGAGTTCCTCTGGTGTTACTATAAGAAGGTCCTCCACTGTGCATGTGGCAGGGCTCAGGTTGCATTGCAGCAGGTAGTCTGTAGTTTGCTCTTCTCCACACTCACATGTTGTGGATTCCACTTTGTGGCCCCATTTCTGAAGGTTGGCTCTGCATCTCGTGGTGCCAGAGCGCAGTCTGTTCAGTGCCTTCCAAGTCGCCCAGTCTTCTGTGTGCCCAGGGGGGAGTCTCTCATTTGGTATCAGCCATTGGTTGAGGTTCTGGGTTTGATCCTGCCACTTTTGGACTCTCGCTTGCTGACGTGTTCCAGCGAGTGTCTCCGTAGATCTTAGAAAACTATTTCTTGATTTAAGTCATTGACGTGCTGGCTGATATCCGAACAGAGGATGGGCCAGAGATGTCTCTGCCTTGGTCCTTTCACTATTGGCTGCTACTTCCCGGCGGATGTCAGGTGGTGCGATACCGGCTAAGCAGTGTAATTTCTCCAGTGGTGTAGGGCGTAGACACGCTGTGTTAATGCGGCATGTCTCATTAAGAGCCACATCTACTATTTTCGCGTGGTGAGATGTGCTCCACACTGGGCATGCATACTCAGCAGCAGAGTAGCAAAGCACAAGGGCAAATGTCTTCACTGTGTCTGGTTGTGATCCCCAGGTTGTGCCAGTCAGCTTTCGTATGATATTGTTTCTAGCACCCACTTTTTGCTTGATATTCAGGCAGTGCTTCTTGTAGGTCAGAGCACGGTCCAGAGTGACTCCCAGGTATTTGGGTGTGCTGCAATGGTCCAGTGGGAAGGAAAATAATAATAATAATAATCAACAGTCACCAGGGAATATCCAGTGAAACCGAGGTCATAAGATCTTCCACTGGGCTGATTAGTCATAGTCTTGAGTTAAACAAGCCCCAGGCAATGTGATAACAGAGTCACCACTTCCCTTTCTGCAATCTCCCTATGATAACATAGTCTAATATCATTGTATTGTAAATAATGAGGACTCCCCCCCCCCCCGGTGTCGCAATGGGGTAAACCCTTGTGCTGGCAGGACTGGTGACCGACAAATCAGTGGTTCAAATCCAGGGAGAGCGGGGTGAAGTTCCTCTGTCAGCTCTAGCTTCCCATGTGGGGACATAAGGATAACAATATTAATAATAATAACAACAACAATAACTTTATTTTTGTATTCCACTACCATCTCCCTAAAGGGACTCGGGGTGGCTTACATAGGGACCAAGCCCAGTAAAACACAATTAAAACAGGATGGTACAACATCAAACATCCGGGTGTCCCCTGGTCAACGTCCTTGCAGACTGCCAATTCTCTCACACCAGAAGCGACTTGTAGTTTCTCAAGTCACTCCTGACACAAAAAAACTATAATTATTTTCTTAATTGAGGTGATTAACGTCCTTCAGAAATAGAAAACAGCCTCTAAGTTCATGAGAGGGTGTGTCTGTACCATTCCGTCTCATTGGTGAGGAAGGTATTCTAACAATCCTCAGTGTTGTACTTTTTGTTGGAGGGGATTACTATAATGTTATTATATTATAGTAATTATTATGTTGGATTGTATAGGGAAGAGTTAACACCTTTGCGAGCCTCCGGTGGCACAGTGAGTTAAACTGCTGAGCTGCTGAACTTGCTGACTCAAAGGTCGGCAGTTTGAATCCAGGGAGCGGGATGAGCTCCCATTGTTAGGCCCAGCTTCTGCCAACCTAGCAGCTCAAAAACATGCAAATGTGAGTACATCAATAAGTACTCCTCCGGCGGGAAGGTAACGGCACTCCATGCAGTCATGCCGGCCACATGACCTTGGAGGTGTCTACGGACAATGCCGGCTCTTCGGGTTAGAAATTGAGATGAGCACCACACCCCAGAGTTGGACACGACTGGACTTAATGTCAGGGGAAAACCTATACCTACCTAACACCCTTGTGGTGTTTCCTTGGCATCCTGTGCCTCTATTTAGAAGATTTCACCTCAATTTCTGCCCCTGTGAGAACTGGATTTTGGAAAATGTGTCCTGTTATGATAAAACTTCAGTTGGTGATAAAGCTTCCTTACTTTTGCAACAGAGAAAGGGAAGGTCTAACTTTCCAGAGTAGTAATTAAATTATAATAACATTATATATATCAATGATATTATATCATAATAATTATAATAATACTAGCTGTCCCCTGTCACGCATTTCTGTGGCCCACATGGGGGTTTTGTGTGGGAGGTTTGGCCCAATTCTATCATTGGTGGGGTTCAGAATGCTCTGTGATTGTAGGTGAACTACAAATCCCAGCAACTACAACTCCCAAATGTCAAGATTCTATTTTCCTCAAACTCGACCAGTGTTCACATTTGGGCATATTGAGTATTCATGTAGAGTTTGGTCCAGATCCATCATTGTTTGTGTCCACAGTGCTCTCTGGATGTAGGTGAACTACAACTCCAAAACCAAAGGACACTGCCCACCAAACCCTTCCAGTATTTACTGTTGGTCATGGGAGAACTATGTCCCAAGTTTGGTTCAATTCCATCGTTGGTGGGGTTCAGAATGCTCTTTGATTGTAGGTGAACTATAAATCCCAGCAACTACAGCTCCCAGATGTCAAGATTCTATTTTCCTCAAACTCCACCAGTATTCACATTTGGGCATATTGAGTCTTCGTGTAGAATTTGGTCCAGATCCATCATTGTTTGTGTCCACAGTGATCTCTGGATGTAGGTGAACTACAGCTCCAAAACCAAAGGACACTGCCCACCAAACCCTTCCAGTACTTTCGGTTGGTCATGGGAGAACTGTGTGCCAAGTTTGGTTCAATTCCGTCGTTGGTGGGGTTCAAAATGCTCTTTGATTCTAGGTGAACTATAAATCCCAGCAACTACAACTCCCAAATGACAAAATCATTTTTTTAGAGTGAAGGACATACATTGTATTGTTAGGTGCCTTGTGTCCAAATGTGGTGTCAATTCGTCCAGTGGTTTTGGAGTTCTGTTAATCCCACAAACGAACATTACGTTTTTATTCATAAAGATAATTATAATATTATCCTAATAGATTACTAAAGTAGAATTGTATTTATAATAAACTATACTATCAGGGTGTCCCTCCTGATAGTATTATCTTAATCATATGATGGTATAATAATATTATGAGCTCATAATTACTGTGATACATAATAAATATAATAATAAAGCTTTATTTCTATTCCGCCCTATCTCCCTGGTCGGGACGCGGGGCAGATTCCAACATACAACAGCAAGCATTCCATGCCTCACTAAACAAACAAGATCTGACATAATAATCCCAGCAAAACCCCAACGTTAGAACCAAACATCAATGAATTAGACCAAACAGAATCCAACAGAAATTATATAATAACATAACATCTAAAGTTAAAAACATTCACCTTGATTTACAGAAGCCAACTGTCACTCACAACGTTGTGTGGGTTTATTATGTGGCCATCGATCGTAACTGAACTAACAAAAACTAGTAAAGCCTGAAAACGAAATGGTTTCCAACCAGAAATCTGGCAGTGATCTCTATCATATATGATAGAACTATATTATAATATATTGTGTTACCAGGGTGTCCCTCCTGACTTTTTTATAATAATTATATGATCACCTAACCATATAATTATGTATGAGCTTATAATTATGTTGTAATAATGTCTACAAGTGGAGTGCCGCAGGGTTATGTCCTGGGCCCAGTCCTGTTCAACATCTTTATTAATGACTTAGATGAAAGGCTAGAAGGCAGGATCATCAAGTTTGCAGACGACACCAAATTGGGAGGGAGAGCCAATACTCCAGAGGACAGGAGCAGGATTCAAAACGATCTTGACAGATTAGAGAGATGATGGGCCAAAACTAACAAAATGAAGTTCAGCAATGACAAATGCAAGATACTCCACTTTGGCAGGAAAAACGAAATGCAAAGATACAGAATGGGGGACGGACGAGGCCTGGCTTGAGAGAAGGATGTGTGAAAAAGATCTTGGAGTCCTCGTGGGGAACAAGTTAAACATGAGCCAACAATGTGATGTGGCGGCAAAAAAAGGCAATGGGATTTTGGCCTGCATCAATAGGAGCATAGTGTCTAGATCCAGGGAAGTCATGCTCCCCATGCTCTATTCCGCCTTGGTTAGACCACACCTGGAATATTGTGTCCAATATTGGGCATCACAACTCAAGAGAGATATTGACAAACTGGAATGTGTCCAGAGGAGGGCGACTAAAATGATCAAGGGTCTGGAGAACAAGCCCTATGAGGAGCGGCTTAAGGAGCTGGGCATGTTTAGCCTGAAGAAGAGAAGGCTGAGAGGAGATATGATAGCCATATATAAATATGTGAGAGGAAGCCACAGGGAGGAGGGAGCAAGCTTGTTTTCTGCTTCCCTGGAGACTAGGACGTGGAACAATGGCTTCAAACTACAAGAGAGGAGATTCCATCTGAACACGAGGAAGAACTTCCTGACTGTGAGAGCTGTTCAGCAGTGGAACTCTCTGCCCCGGAGTGTGGTGGAGGCTCCTTCTTTGGAAGCTTTTAAACAGAAGCTGGATGGCCATTTGTCAGGGGTGATTTGAATGCAACATTCCTGCTTCTTGGCAGGGGGTTGGACTGGATGGCCCATGAGGTCTCTTCCAACTCTTTGATTCTATGATTCTAACACTCTGTTCAACGGTTATGATATCATAAGATGCATATACAGCTTTGTAACTGCCGGGAGTTCAATATTTAGCACTGGGACTGTGGCGCAGTTGGCTGGGAGTCAGCTGCATTAAGATCACTGCTGACCAAAAGGTCATGAGTTCGAAGCCAGCCTGGGTTGGAGTGAGCTTCCGACCATTGTGTGTAGCTTGCTGTCGACCTTTGCAGCCCGAAAGACAGTTGCATCTGTCAAGTAGGAAATTTAGGTACCACTTATGCGGGGAGGCTAATTTAACTAATTTACGACGCCATAAAATCTCCAGCAAGCAAAGAATGAGGAAGTACTCCATCAGTGTTACAAATGGACGGTGAAGCGACAGCTCCCCTTATGGCCAGAATACGACTCATGTAAGCTGGAAAGTTAAATAGCCTCTGTGTGTCTGTCTATATATGTTGTGTCTGTGGCATTGAATGTTTGCCATGTATATGTACATTGTAATCCGCCCTGAGTTCCCTGCGAGGTGAAAAGGGCAGAATATAAACACTGTAAATAAATAAATAAAATAAATATTTATATCATGGACATCCAAATGGGACCCTAGCAATGCTCCAAAGTTTATGTTTACTATTAATAATAATAATGGGAGCCCCCAGTGGTGCAGTGGGTTAAAGCCCTGTGCCGGCAGGACTGAAGACCGACAGGTCGCAGGTTCAAATCCGGGGAGAGGCGGATGAGCTCCCTCTATCAGCTCCAGCTCCTCATGCGGGGACATGAGAGAAGCCTCCCACAAGGATGGTAAAAAACATCAAATCATCCAGGCGTCCCCTGGGCAACGTCCTTAAGGTAAAGGTAAAGGTAGTCCCCTGACATTAAGTCCAGTCATGTCTGACTCTGGGCGTTGGTGCTCATCTCCATTTCTAAGCTGAAGAGCCAGCGTTGTCCGTAGACACCTCCAAGGTCATGTGGCCGGCATGACTGCATGGAGCGCCCTTACCTTCCCGCCGGAGCGGTACCTATTGATCTACTCACATTTGCATGTTTTCGAACTGCTAGGTTGGCAGAAGCTAGGGCTGACAGCGGAAGCTCACGCCGCTCCCCGGAATCGAACCTGCGACCTTTCGATCAACAAGCTCAGCAGCTCAGTGCTTTAACCCACTGCGCCACCGGGGGCAACGTCCTTGCAGACGGCCAATTCTCTCACACCAGAAGCGACTTGCAGTTTCTCAAGTTGCTCCTGACACAACCAATAATAATAATGATAATGATTATTATTATTATTACTCTCCACAAAGGAGACTCAAAGCATCTTATGATGGTGCAGGATTTCTGCCTCTGTTTTCATTACAAACGCCATCCCATTACCTCCTGCTTCTTATGTTCTGTCTTTCAATAACACGTGTAAACAGTGGATAAAATAGAAGTTTTTAGTAGGCAATGCTTTTCTCATCGAAGGCAAAATAGTCTGATGAGAGAGCAAGTGTTTATCTATTAGAATACAAGGCACAGACAGCAAACCCTTCCCTATGCTCTCCAAAGCTATATATCCAAAACATCTCTAGTTGAAAGAGGGGAAATGCACTCCTGATAGTCTGTTACCGCAGAACCGGTTTGGTAGGCAAATGGCCTGATTAGTTGCCTCCTCTCCTTTCCTGGTGGTTTCCCCCTTTTCCCATTTTTGCTGACTTTTCTCCCTCCACAGCGAGCAGTTGTTTATGCAGATGGCGGATCTGATGGTGTCTGACGGGTGGAAAGACGTTGGCTACGAATACCTGTGCATTGACGACTGCTGGATGGCCCCCACCCGCGACGAGCAGGGCAGGGTGCAGCCCGACCCAAAGCGCTTTCCCAGTGGGATCGGCAAACTGGCCGACTATGTGAGTTGATGCCTGTTCATTTTATCCCGTCTTCCCAGCTGAGAGGATGATAAGAGTTGGCAGAGATGACATGGTCCATCTAGTCCAAACCCCTTCTGCCAGGCAGCAAAAACACAATCAAAGCACTCCCAACAGATGGCCATCCAGATCTCTGTTTAGAAGCCTCTACAGAATCACTACCATTTCACATCTAAAATCAGGACAGAACATTCAAAAAACAAGGGAATTCCTGACATGAAACAATCAGGGCCAGGTAACACCTCCCAACAAAGGATACCCCCAGGCAGGAAGCAGCCAGGCTTTGAAGCTGCAAGGCCATTCGTCCATCTTGCCTCTATTGAAGCCTTTAGGGCTGAAAACGATACAATTCTCTTCTCTAATTCATAAAAATGAATTATGAACATGAACAAAATCTGGCTACCAGTATTAAAAAAACTCTAAAATCAGGACAGTAAATTTAAAAAAAACTCTAAAATCAGGACAGAACATTCAAAAAACAAGGGAATTCCTGACATGAAACCATCAGGGCCAGGTAACACCTCCCAACAAAGGATTCCCCCAGGCAGGAAGCAGCCAGGCTTTGAAGCTGCAAGGCCATTAGTCCATCTTGCCTCTAAACTGAAACTTTTAGGGCTGAAAATGATACAATTCTCTTCTCTAGTTCATAAAAAATGAACTATAAAAATGAACAAAATCTGGCTACCAGTATTTTAAAAAACTCTAAAATCAAGACAGAACATTCAAAAAACAAGGGAATTCCTGACACGAAACAATCAGGGCCAGGTAACACCTCCCAACAAAGGATTCCCCCAGACAGGAAGCAGCCAGGCTTTGAAGCTGCAAGGCCATTCATCCATCTTGCCTCTATTGAAACTTTTAGGGCTGAAAATGATACAATTCTCTTCTCTAGTTCATAAAAAAATGAACTATGAAAATGAACAAAATCTGGCTACCAGTATTTTAAAAAAATCTAAAATCAGGACAGTAAATAAAAAACCCTCTAAAATCAGGACAGAACATTCAAAAAACAAGGGAATTCCTGACATGAAACAATCAGGGCCAGGTAACAGCTCCCAACAAAGGATTCCCCCAGGCAGGAAGCAGCCAGGCTTTGAAGCTGCAAGGCCATTCAATGCTTATCAAGGTGGCCAATGGCAACATTCACACTTGCCTACAACAGACAAGAGTTCTTCCTCCCACCCTGGATATTATTCCACAGATACATAAACCCAATTTTCCTAGTTTCCAACAGTCCTCACAACCTCTGATGATGCCTGCCATAGATGTGGGCAAAACGCCAGGAGAGAATGCTTCTGGAACATGGCCATGCAGCCCAGAAAACTCACAACAACCACGTCCCTGTTCTGACTTACAAGCAAATTCAACTTAAGAACAAATCTACAGAACCTCTCTTGTTTGTAACTTGGGGGCTGCCTGTCGTAGTCCTGCATCACCTCACTACCTCTGAGGGTGCTTGCCATAGATGCAGGCGAAGCGTCAGGAGAGAATGCTTCTGGAACATGGCCATATAGCCCGAAAAAGTCTACAACAACCCAGTCCTGCATCTTGTTTCTCCCAGCAGCTTCATCTTTCTACCCAGAATATTTATTTTTATTTATTTCCTATATTTATACCGCACCCTTCTCTGGAGGATCCTTTTCCTCCCATCTGCTAATCAAATGCCTTTCCCTCTCCAGTGACCCTGGCTGCTTCCTCCCCATATTTTGTGCTCCAGGTCCATTCCAAAGGGCTGAAGCTGGGCATCTACGCAGACGTTGGGAACAAGACCTGCGCTGGTTTCCCTGGCAGTTTTGGCTCCTACCAGCTGGACGCAGACACCTTTGCCAACTGGGGGGTCGATTTGCTGAAATTCGATGGCTGCTCCTTTGGCAACTTGGAGCTCCTGGCAGAAGGTAGCACCTGAGACCACGCTCACCATAACGCAGACACGGGCAAGCCTCGGCCCTCCAGGTGTTTTGAATTGTGGGAGTTGAAGTGGCTGTTAGGAATTGTGGGAGTTGAAGTCCAAAACACTTGGAAGGTCAAAGTTGGCATGGGTAAACTTCAGACTGCCCTCCGGGTGTTTTGGACTTCAACTCCCATAATTCCTGCTGTTAGGAATTATGGGAGTTGAAGTCCAAAACACCTGGAGGGCAGTCTGAAATTTATCCATGCCTGCACTGTTAGGCCAACTTGCAAAAGAAAACCATAATGACCCTGAGAAGCTAGAGCAGGCATGGGCAAACTTCAGCCCTCCAGGTGTTTTGGACTTCAACTCCCATAATTCCTAACAGCCTACCGGCTGTTAGGAATTATGGGAGTTGAAGTCCAAAACACCTGGAGGGCAGTCTGAAATTTATCCATGCCTGCACTGTTAGGAATTGTGGGAGTTGGAGTCCAAAACACTTGGAAGGTCGAAATTGGCATGGATAAACTTCAGACTGGCCTCCAGGTGTTTTGGACTTCAACTCCCATAATTCGCTGTTAGGAATTATGGGAGTTGAAGTCCAAAATACCTGGAGGGCAGTCTGAAGTTTACCCATGCCTGCACTGTTAGGAATTGTGGGAGTTGAAGTCCAAAACACTTGCGAGGTCAAAGTTGGCCCATACCTGTCTTAAGATGACTCTTGCCATAGGGTTTTCATGGCAAGATTTGTTCAGAGCGGGGCTTTGCTTCTTCTGAGGTTGAGAGAGAGTGACTAATCCAAGGTCACCCAATGGTTTTCCGTGGCCGAGAGAAGATTTGAACCCAAAGCCACAGTTCATCAGTCAAAGCACTATACTAGTTTGACTTCTCCCATCCCTGTAGTATTTGAAAGCTGTGTTGTCGAAGGATTTCATGGCCAGAATCACTGGTTTGCTGTGATTTTTTTGGCTGTTCCAGAAGCATTCTCTCCTGACGTTTTGCCCACATCTATGGCAGGCATCCTCAGAGGTTGTGAGAATCATAGAATCAAAGAGTTGGAAGAGACCTCATGGGCCATCCAGTCCAACCCCCTGCCAAGAAGCAGGAATATTGCATTCAAATCACCCCTGACAGATGGCCATCCAGCCTCTGTGAGGTCTGTTAGAAAGTGGAATAATGTACTTGGTGGGAGAAAGAACTCTTGACTGTTTGAGGCAAGTATGAATGTTGCAACAGGCCACCTTGGTTAGCATTGAATGGTCTTGCAGCTTCAAAGTCTGGCTGATTGCTCCTTTGTTTGGAGATGTTAGCTGGCCCTGATTGACTTCATAGCTATTTGTCAGATGAGTAGCTCTCGGTAACCTTGAAAACCTTTATCTTCTTAATGGAAGTGAGTGGGTCGCTTGGCTGAAGTCTTTCTGATGTGTTCTTTAAGGAGTTCTTCCCTTTTTCTCTAGGATATAAAACCATGTCTCAGGCTTTGAACAAAACCGGGAGAAACATTGTCTACTCGTGCGAGTGGCCACTGTATGAGAGACCGATGCAGGAGGTAAGGAGGAGTATCTATTGGGGGTGCTTAGCTTGTGTTTTCCTGCATGGCAGGGGTTGGATTGGATGACCCTTGGGGCTCCCTTCCAATTCTACGATTCTGTGTTGCTTCACCTTCTAAAACACAGCATATCCAAGATTTCCAAGATTTTCAAGAGGCCAAGGAGAAGGAAAGCATTCCAGAGCTGGCTAAACAAATGGAAGCAAAACCTATGTTTTGTGATTGAGTTTGGACTTTTGGACTGTGCTTCCGTGGCCAGGAGATGCGGGGATTATTTCAGGGACATGGAAACCTTTAGCCTTCCAGATATTTAGGCTACAGCTCACTTCCCATTGGTTGTGCTGGATGTCAACAGATTGGAATTGTAGCTACAACATCTGAAATAAAAGCGAGTTAGATAGTCGGTGATTTCTGGAGTGTGTTTCACAAACTAAACTAGCATTCACTCATTTTGGGGGGGGGGGGGTCTCACATCTTTTGGAAGCAACCCAGTCCATTTCTTTTAGCTATATAGAAACTTTGATTCAACGTTGTTGTGCTGTCACGCGCTGGGCCTATAGCAATTGGCTTTTGAACAGGACGTGCTCTTTGTGCCCAGCGGGAAGCCGGGGTGCCTCAGCTGAGAGGCTGTAAGGATTTTCCTATACAAAAGTCTTTAGAAGCTTGAAAAGTTTAACAAAGTCCTTTATTATTGCTTAGGTCTCCAACAAAACAATCAAATACTTCCCAGATCTTCAACAGGTCAAACAAATACTTAAAGGCTTTGAATCAACAGGTGGCTTTCTTAATCTTGTCCACAAGGGACAGGCAACTGGCTTCGTGAACTGTTTCTTTTCTTTAAGAGGAAAACCCTTTTTAACCCCTCCTTGGGCAATCTGTATTTAGGCTTTGCTGGCGTGGGGCCCCTACACCCGGTTCCAATTTGCGTTATAGCTGCCGCGAGAGGTCCTTACCAAGCCAAAGTCTCGGTGTAGATTCTCCAGCTGGAGTCCTTTTGTTTTCCCCCGGAATTTCGTAAGAAACGAAGCTTTTCTACAGGTGAAGCTGATTCACGTCATGTAGCTAAGCTTTCAACTGTAAGACTGAGCTAAAATGGCTCCCTTTCCTTCCTGAACTCTGGGGAAAGGGGCGGAACTAAAAACCCAACGATGATAGGCAGAGGGCTGCAAACCAAGAGAAGCCACCTTATTGCAAAATGCATGGAACATTGGAATACATGCAAACACTCAGAGAAAGAAAAGGAATTTGGAGCTCCTGGTACAGCCATACCAGCACAGTTGTCTTTGAAACTAAAATAAGGGTGAAACACTTTGAAAGTGCGTGAAAACTAAGCAGATCCTCCTCCTGCTTTATGCCGGCAGCCCAACTACACAGAGATCAAACAGTACTGCAATTACTGGCGGAATTATGCCGACATCTACGATGCCTGGAACAGCATCAAAAATGTCTTGGACTGGACGTCTTACCATCAGGACAGCCTTGTGGACGTTGCTGGACCAGGAGGTTGGAATGACCCAGATATGGTGAGTTTCTGGCTTCTTAAAAAGACATGCTAACATCACATGCAGTGCCATTCCAAGCTTGTTGGCAACTGAAGGTGAGGAATTGCTCCTATTTGTATCTTGTGGTGTCTTGTGTTCTTTCAATGTCCTCACACATTTCTGGTGAACCCATGGCTTGCTTAATACTATGCATTTTAATGACGGCAGTGGCTCTCAGCCTTTGGACTTCTTCTTTCGGAAGCACCAGCCAGCATTGTCAGGGATTTTTGGAGTTGAAGTCCAAAACATCTGGAGAACCAAATGTTGAGAAGCACCAAACAAGCTAGCCATTGGGATGTGGCAGTTAGACAGCTGAAGGGGGAGGAAGAACAACGTACTTGAACTTATGGGAGGAAATGCTGCAAATTGAAGTCATAATATTGGTCGGCATCCCGTTAGGCAGATAACTAAGACCATGTTTGTATTCACATTATAATTGTGGCAACACTGCCATGAAAGCAAGAAGGGGGTAATAAATAAATGTATTATTGGGTTGCTGTAGGATTTTTCGGGCTGTATGGCCGTGTTCTAAAGGCATTCTCTCCTGACGTTTCACCTGCATCTATGGCAAGCACCCTCAGCCCCTGGTGGCGCAGTGGGTTAAAGCACTGAGCTGCTGAGCTTGTTGATCAAAAGGTCGCAGGTTCGATTCCGGGGAGCGGCGTGAGCTTCCGCTGTCAGCCCTAGCTTCTGCCAACCTAGCAGTTCAAAAACATGCAAATGTGAGTAGATCAATAGGTACCGCTCCGGCGGGAAGGTAACGGCGCTCCATGCAGTCATGCCGGCCACATGACCTTGGAGATGTCTACGGACAACGCTGGCTCTTTAGGCATAGAAATGGAGATGAACACCACACCCCAGAGTCAGACATGACTGGACTTAATGTCAGGGGACTACCTTTACCTTTAATAGTATCGCTTTTGCTTTCTGCACATTTATAAACAACTAGTCATCCCCTGCCACACGTTGCTGTGGCCCAGTCTGTATATATGTGTGTGTGCATATTTGTGTATATGTGTATATATGTGTGTTTGTGTATATATGTGGTTTTGTGCATGCGTTGTAATGTGTTCTTTGGCTTTTTGGTTTTTTAAATCCCTTTTGCTGTGTTTTTCAGTGTTTTTCTGAGTGGTGGTCACTCATTGGCCTGATAGGTGTCTTGTGTCCAAATTTGGTGTCCATTCGCCCAGTGGTTTTTGAGTTATGTTAATCCCACAAACGAACATTACATTTTTATTTATATAGATACTAGCTGTCCTCTGCCATGCGTTGCTGTGGCCCAGTCTGTGTATATGTGTTTTGTGTGTGTATATATGTGTATATTTGTATATATGTGTTTTTGTGCATGTGTTGCAATGTCTTTTTTATTTTTTGGCTTTCTAAGTCTCTTCTGCTGTGTTTTTCAGTGTTTTATGAGTGATGGTCACTCATTGGCCTGATAGGTATCTTGTGTCCAAATTTGGTGTCCATTCGTCCAGTGGTTTTTGAGTTATGTTAATGCCACAAACAAACTTTACATTTTTATTTATATAGATAAGATTAGTTGTCTGCCCTTTAAGATGCTGGGACTTGTAGTGTCAATAGTTGAAAGGGTCAAGGTACCACCATATTGAAAAATCCCAATCTACCTGCTTCTCTACATGAGTTTCAGATGATTTCAGGATTTTAAACAGACATAAAAAGTGAACATCAGAAAACTTGACTGTTAGGAATTGTGGGAGTTGAAGTCCTGGAGGATCATAGGTGGAAGAGTCCTCCTCTAAAGCGTGATTTCCTGATAATTGCATGCTTTGATGTAGGTTTTCCCCCATTTCCTCTTCCAGCTGGTGATTGGGGACTTTGGGCTGAGCTGGGACCAGCAGGTGACCCAAATGGCGCTCTGGGCCATCATGGCTGCCCCCCTGCTCATGTCCAATGACTTGCGCCGGATGAGCCCGCAGGCCAAAGCCCTGCTCCAGAACAAGGATGTGATCGCCATCAACCAGGATCCACTGGGCAAGCAAGGATACCGGATTACAAAGGTACGGGTGGCCACCCGGGAGGGCAAGGCACACACTGTCCAGCAGTTAATACCAAAGCTGGACTTTGATTATCCTTGATTTCCAGCAAGAACAAAGCTTTTTGTTATTAGATTGCCCAGTCAGTGGCCTCCACTTTCCCGATATGAATTTATAGGGCTGCTGTGATCTTTCTCCCAGTCTTTGGCATCATGGATCCATTTGTATCAGCTTTCTCATTTCGAAATGCATTTATTTCCAGAGCAAGCATGCCTATGATGTGACATCTCAGAGCATTTAGATAAATAACCATAATCTACAATCTTTTGCTGTTGAACTATTGCATCTTCTGCCTTGCAGAACAGGACAGGCAGTAGATTCTTGTTTGACTTATTCTGTTCACACACAAAAACACTAGAACACCTACTTCAAGGCGGTGGCTGCAGCCCTGTATGCATTCTTTTCATTGTTAAGGGAATACTGACCTGGCTTACTGTTAACCATTCCTGAAACCATACTTTTAAGTCCCTTTGAATTTAAAATAATTATTTTACTCTGTAGGTACTGGGATATAATTTATGTAAGATCTGGAGAAATCTGGTGTGTGTGTGTGTGTGTATATATGTGTGTATATATATACACACACACACACACACACACAACAGTTTTGTTAGTGAGTCTTCGTGGATTTTAGAAGCATCCAATTTGTAGGGTAAGGTAAAAAGATTTGAGTATAGTGACATACTATGTTGCTGTGAGTTTTCCAGGCTGTCTGGCCATGTTCCAGAAGCATTCTTTCCTGATGTTTTGCCCACATCTATGGAAGGCCTCTGTTGAAAGTATTGTAAAGTGTGCAAAATTATATTGTTCCTGGATGTATTTAGAAGTATCAGAAGTTGAGAGTCTGTTGGAAACTAGGCAAGTGGGGTTTATGTATCTGTTGAATGTCCAGGGTGGGAGAAGGAACTCTTGTCTGTTTGAGGCAAGTGTGAATGTTGCAATTGGCCACCTTGATTAGCATTGAATAGCCTTACAGCTTCAAAGCCTGGCTGGTGGCTGTCTGGGTGGATCCTTTGTTCCAACAAACTTCACAATCTCTTGAGGATGCCTGCCATAGATATGGGTGAAACATCAGTAGAGAATGCTTCTGGAACATGGCCAGACAGCCCAGAAAACTCACAGCAACCCAGTGATTCCGGCACTGAAGTCCTTCAACAACACATAGTGGCATACATTAATTCAGAATATATCACCCAAAATTTTGATTTAGGAGCTTTTAAAACATGGGTTGACATTTTTCAGTAGTTTGACAAATCAATTCAAAATGGAAGGTGTTTGTTTTGTCTCCTAATCCCAAGACCTTCCAAGTCTTGAACATGTGAAGACTTAGTTACTTTAAGTGAAGACTGAGTGAATATGTGAAGACTTGGTTATTTTATGGCAGCTGATAGGCTGTTAGGAATTGTGAGAATTGAAGTCCAAAACCCCTGGAGGAGAGTCGAAGTTTGCCCATGCCTGGTTTATAGGGTAGTTTATGGTACTGATCAAGGTTTAGTAAGATGCTGTTGTTCTTGATACATTCCTTCCAGGACAACTTCTTTGAACTGTGGGAGCGGCCCCTCTCCGGAGGCGCCTTTGCCATCGCAGTGGTGAACCGTCAGGAGATGGGGGGCCCGCAGGCCTTTGCCTTCTCCACCGCCATCCTTGGGAACGGCTTGGCTTGCAACCCCACCTGCTCCGTCCAGCAGATCCTCCCCAAGAGCAGAGACTGGGGCCTGCACAACTTGGTCTCATTCCTGAAGGTGGTGGTGAACCCGACTGGCACCGTGCTGCTGCGGACGGTGGTGAATAAGGAGGAACTTAATGTTCGACCAGGGAAATAGGCACTCCCAGGACATCTTATAAGGTGCCCTAAAATCCAAGAAACTTTGGTATACTGTCTCCTTACTTCCCCCTTTCTAACTTTTGGCATCTAAATCTCAAGGAGAAAACTTATCTTTCTAATCTGGATTCCATAGCAACAAACTGGGGTACTTTAATTGTGCTTTCCCTGCATGGCAGGGGATTGGACTAGATGACCCATGTGGTCTCTTCCAACTCTATGAAACTTTCTGGGCAAAGGGAGCCCCAGAAACCAGTCCCAGGAAAGATATCTTGAAAACCTCCCAGAGATCTTTGTTTCTACCTCATTGGAAGAATGTGGGAAAATAAATGCAGATTTTGCCAAAGATCCCTAGGCAGGCCTGTATTCTTCCACTAGCTTGATATACTAGAGGTAGGTACACGTCAGGCTGGGCATTGTACCAAAAATGTAGCAAGATACAAACTTGTAAGGCAGCTCCTTGAACAGGAGTCATGCCCAGTAAAGATAACCACTTATTCTAAGGGTTTTTGAGGGTTGATTTTGAGTTTGGTTTCTCCCAAGACAGAGAAGAACAAGCCTGAATTACTTCCAACAGGATCTACAGAGCAGCCTTCTCTTCTAGCTAATGGCTGGAGCTTAATCGTTATTTTAAACTTCCCAGCCATTTAGAACATAACCATAGGTGCCTGGCTGCTTGGGGCCAATTTTGACTGCGTGGGGGGGGGGGGGGGGGGGGGTTTTTGGATCAGAGCTATGGTCTTAAATAGTTCATGCCCTCTTCCAACTGCTTTAGGATGAGCCTCCGAGGCTCAACGTCACTGAATATGTTGCTGGCAATGGACAGGGGAAGCGAGGGAGCATGTTTGGTAGGGTTCACAAATGTGTGTATTGAGTTGCTGCTGATTGGATGAAGGGAATTTATGATGGAAGTAATTATTTGACTTAAAATAATGGTAAAGGAACACATATGTTGCAATTGTTTCTATTCTGTGAAATAAAATGTTTTCCTTTCAGCAACTTGTCATTTCAGATAGCTTTTTTGATAAGGCCTGCTACATTTTTGGTCCGTTATAGAGCCTCATTGCCCATGTGCTCCCTTGACTATAGGCCCCCTATGGTCAACTCCCCCATAGAGCCTGATCTTATCAGAGCTGATAAGGTCATCAGGGTATTATACCACAGGCATGAGCAAACCTGGGCCCTCCAGATGTTTTGGACTTCAACTCCCATCATTCCTAACAGACTTAGGCACCTTCCTTTTCCCCCTCAGCCGCTTATGCGGCTGAGGGGGAAAAGGAAGGGGCCTGAGTCTGTTAGGAATGATGGGAGTTGAAGTCCAAAACACCAGGAAGGCCCAAGTTGGCCCATGTCTGCTATATCACAAAGGCAAAGAGAAAACACAACTCTGCAATAGGTTGTTATTTTATTGTGATTCATGACAAAGAGCAAAAATGAATGTTTAGAACTGGATGACCTGGCCCTGTAAAGAAGGAGGAGAACAGAACAGAGTAAGTATAAGGCACAGACATGGGGGAAAATAAACCAGATTTATCATGACACAGGTCACCCCCAAATTAGCAAAAGCGTCCCAGTGTAAGTAAAAATATATATGCAGAAATGGATTTTGAATCCATTTGTTGGGTTTTTCCATAACAAACATAATTCTATCAACTCGAAATACCTCTATGAAATAATAATAATAATAATAATAATAATAATAATAATAATAAACCTTTTTTACATACCGCTATCTCCCCGAGGAGACTCAGAGCGGTTTCCAAGTAACATCATCAATCATCAATACATACAGAGTAAATAATATAACCGTAAGATTAATTACTTGATAGCGCAACTACTTGATAACGCAATGGAATAACTATTTGACATGGAGACGCTCACGATAATGTTTTAAGGTTTTGTATGGTTTTTATATTTTTATATCATATGCTATTGTTTTTAATAGAATTTCTGGACTGCTTTTACTTGTTATAATTGTTGAAGCATCGAATTGCTGCCAATTTGTGAACCGCTCCGAGTCGCCTCTGGGCTGAGAGGGGTGGTATATAAATATTTATTTATTGTATTTGTATACCGCCTTTCTCAGCCAATCGGCGACTCAAGGCGGTTTCCAACAAATCAGTACACATAAAACATAATATAAATTAAAACATTAAACCGTATAAAACACCAGAAGAGCAATAAAAACAACATCATTAGCGTCTCCTTATTATTAAGCTTTGTCCAGTTCCATTGTCAAGTCATTCGATTTCCTATATTAGCTACTCTGCATTTGTAAACGCTTGCTTGAACAGCCATGTTTTTACTTGCCTACGAAACGTTAAGAGCAAGGGAGCAGATCTGATCTCCTTAGGGAGGGTGTTCCATAGCCGAGGAGCCACCACTGAGAAGGCCCTGTCTCTCGTCCCTGCCAAATGTACTTGTGACAAAGGCGGGACTGAGAGCAGGGCTTCCCCAGACTATCTTAAAGTTTTCGATGGTTCATAAGGGGAGATACGTTCAGACAGGTAAGTTGTAGTAAATATAGTAAATAAATAAACAAAACAATATAAGCATAAAAATTGTCGCCATAACACATTAAAAGTAACCCTGCCTGTTCAAGGCAATTTAAAAGGTCGGGCTGAGATTAGTGCAAGCTCAAAAGTTCTCGGTGCAGTGCTATAGCAGGCAACAACAATAATAGGTACGGGTCTATGGCTGTTCATTTCCGGGGCCTATTAGAGGAAGTGACCTTGGTAATTGGTAGGAAGAATAAGGCCATATTCAACAATGTCTAGGGCTGAGCTAGAACTAGTCATTCTCAAAGACTATTAAAAGTAATAATCTTTTCAACCTTCCGAAAGGTGGCATTTTTCACCTATCCTTTCAGCACTTCTACTGTAATTTCATTACACTGCACCATTTGCTATATATATGAAGTCTCAACTGAGTAACTGTCTCCCAGGGAAGATAATATCCATGGCTAAGTAGGCATCAGTTATATAGGTGCACATCTAAGAAATGACCTGAGCACATCCAGAATAACCTAGCCCTAAGGTGGAGTACCTTTCTCTTCTTGTCTCCTCCCAACTCGAAGTGCTTGCACCTCTTAATGGCCAGCATCCTCTTGGACCGGCAGTTGGGCTCCACACACTCCAGCCTCAGCACAATCTTCTTCGTAGTCTTTGCCTGAAAAGAGGTTCATTTGGGATGAATGGCAAAATCGAGTGTCTCCTCATTTGCCACAACTATTGAACGGGGAGGCTAAACAGGAGGGAAGGAGTCATGAATCAGACAAGCTGCTAGATTTGAAGACTTCCATGAAGGAAATTGTGAATATAAGGAAATTTTTCAAAGCCCTTTTCAACTTTGAAACACAAACAGTAATGACATTGCCTGAACCCCATTAAAAACTAGGATCTAGTTCAGCAATGATTAATTCTTAAAAGGGAAAGGATTGACACAAGATCCCCTAAGACTGCCCTCCAGTTTCCCCAGTCTGCACTGACAGCTCACCTTCTTGCGGAAGATAGGCTTCGTCTGACCACCGTATCCGCTTTGCTTGCGGTCATATCGACGCTTTCCTGCGGGAAAGAAATCCTCCAGGTAAAGAAATACTACCTTGAAAACTCTGGTCTTCTGTGTTCACTAGAAATACCGTTTAAACAGGCATTCTTCTCAGTTATAAAGACAGCTGGATCTTCTAAACCAGGGCTTTTTATAATCTTTCCACTTTGTGCCCGATAAATTCTTTCATGTCCCCAGGCATATAAGTATATAAAATAGGTATAAAAACCAATCATTTACTTAATCATCATTTGCAAGGCTTGCTAAAGTAAAAGTTTCCTCTTAACACTACGCCTAGTCATGTCTGATGCTGGGGGTTGGTGCTCATCTCCATTTCTAAGCCGAAGTCCGTATACACCTCCAAGGTCATGCGGCCAGCATGACTGCAGGGAGCACCATTACCTTCCCATCAACTGCTAGGTTGGCAGGAGCTGGGCTAACAGTGGGAGCTCACCCGGCTCCCCAGATTCAAACTGGCAATCCTTCAGTCAGGAAGTTCAGCAGTTTAACCCGCTGCGCTACCGGGGGTGCTACATAAGCTTGCTAGTAAAAAGTAAAGATTTTCCCCTGACATTAAGTCTAGTTGTGCCCAACTCTGAGGGGTGCTGCCCATCTCCTTTTCTAAGGCAAAGAGCCAGCATTCCCCGTAGACACCTCCAAGGCCATGTGGCTTTCACCAAGCTTTCAGCGTGTGGTCTTGTTATTCCATGGTGGGTCATCATCAAACGTTTTATGGTGAGGGTTTTTCCACTCTTACAAAAAACTGAAGATGTCCTGAGCAATAGGGCTATCCTCATTTTTGGATGTAAAGTGAGGAATATCAACTATATTACATATTTCAGGTATACAGAAGCTGTGCTAAACAAGCAAAATTCACATAGTAAAGGGAAACATTTTTTAAAAAAATACAACAAACCAGTGCAAACGCTAGCCTAAATTCTATTATAAGTCCCGAGTCAAGATAACTGGATTTAACAAATGATTCAGTGGATCTGCTTGTGACCAATCAAACAAATTCCAACTGTTGTTTTCATTTTGAGTAACGCAAACCGCTTTGAATAAAACTTGCCAAGAAAACGTTGTGATTGATCAAGATGGAAATAACTTAGGAACACACAAGCATTAAGATGATAATAATGGAAACATGCCATCTGCTTTCATAAAAAAAGGGACTGGCAAGAAGCACAGAGAATAATTCATGGTTAGGTTTAACGAATTTGTTAAACCATAGCAACAGAGTATATTCACAAGGAGAGATGGAACCAATGCAAGAAAAGAACCCAGAATGAGAGAGAGGCTTAATTCTGCAACTCACCCTGTGCATACAGAGACTCTTTGCCCTTCTTGTACTGAGTCACTTTGTGGGGCTGGTGCTTGCCACATTTCTTGCAGTACGTCCGGCGGGTTTTGGGAACGTTCACCTGGCAATGAAGACCCAGTTAGTTTTCATAGGATTAGGCAATGTGGTTTTACAATACTGGCTCCCAAAGGGAATTATTTTGTCGCTGCTAAGGTAAGGAAGGAAACTTTACTGCATTTTTTTACCATTTGGTTCAAGTTCTCCTTCAGACTAATAAGTGACGTGGTCTCCGTCAGCACTAATGCTCTCTTGAGGCCACCCGAAACAACATCTGAGGAAACAACTGAGCCCAGATGCAGACCTGTGCCATCACTTTTGCTCCCATGTGCAGCTTTCAGCATAGGTGCTTAGGATTGATTCAAAGGCCAATCTCCCACTTCCTAGGCACTTATTCTCATGCAGGTTGTTCACAAAACAGTTTGAATACCATTGCCAGAATAATCCAAATGGCATATGAACCACAGTAATATTCAGATACAAGAAGCAGAATTTATTTATTTATTTACAGTATTATTTACAGTATATTATTTACAGTATACACTTAAATCGCTTGTTTTGTAATTCCACAAATTCATTGCATGAAAAATAACATCTGGCCATATCATTTGTCGGTGGGTTAATTACAAAGTAGCAGCACATGTGTGCGCGCTCTCTCTCTCTCTCTCTATATATAAAACACTATGTAACAAAATTTGAAAATGTCTGTTCCTGGTTTGAAAGTGTTATTTCCTGTTTAATTGTGAAACACTTACTTTTAAAGTAATTGGTCTACTCCAGAAACTTTATGTGGCTGCCACAAACTAGTTTGAAACTCAATGAGATATTCATGGAAAAACTATCACAAAATGTGCTGCAGGGATGTCCCGCATAAAATCAAATTTTGCAGTTTAATAAACATATCCCAATGTTTTTTTGTGAGAGAACTAATTAGAAAATGACATTTATAAGCCAACAACAAAAACTTTGTTACATAGTGTAATTAAATGACTGTATTTTGATACAACGTAAAAGCTAAAACAGCAAGCAGTGGTCCCGAAATCCTGGCATCAATGCAGCAAACACACTCTACGATGGGATCTCCGCTTTTGAAGGTTTTGTGGATTTGGGTAAAATGTTCTCTCCGGGAATCTCTAGGTCAGAGCTTTCCAAACATTTCACATTAGTGACATGCTTTTAAAAGATATGCGTTGTATACAAAAACTCAATATGCAGGGAAAAAATGATTCCATTCAACACAGGAAGAACGTCCTAACAGTAAAAGCTGTTTGGCACTGGAATATATTGCCTCAAGTGTTGCGCAGCCACCTCCTCTGAAGGGTTTGAAGGAGAGGGTGGCCGTCTTTCGGGAGGGCTTTGATTGTGTCCTCCTGGCTGGATGGTCTTTGGGGTTCCCTTTGAACTCTAGTATAATGTAGACTGCCTTGAAGTCCAATGGAGTCTCCTTCCTTCTCTGGAGGTTTTGAAGCAGAGGCTGGATGGCCATCTGTAGGGAGGGCTTTGGTTGTGTCTTTTTTTTTTTTGATAATGTAAGTTCAAACTGGATGGCCTTTAGAGTCCCTTCCAACTCTACTAGGGGTCTATGGTAATTGCATGAGCGCTTTATGCAGCTGATTCCTTGGCTGTTCCTTATTGGATTGAAAACTTTGCTTCATTTCACTCTGGATTAAAACCAGGCCCCAAATATCACATTATTTTATTTATTTATATCCCGCTTTCTCTCTCCATATGGAGACTCAAAGCAGCTCAGTCAAAAACATTACAACTTAAAATATACAAACATACAATAAAACAGTATATTATATATTATCAGTAATTATACTTAATATATCAGTATTACTATATCACAATATTATTATATACTATTATATTGTATTATTAGTAGTATTACATTGTATTACATTATATTAGTATCACTATTATATGTATATACAATATATTATTTTAGCATATCACAATATTAGTATTGTGTATAAAAATATACTAATATACTGTGATATTATTAGTAATATTACATGTAATATAAAATATACAATTGTATTATTTTATATTATATTGTATTATTATTAGTATGACTAGCCGTCCCCTGGCCCAATCTGTGTATATGTGTTTTGTGTGTGTATATATTTGTTTATATATGTGTGTTTGCATATGTGGGTGTATATATGTGTGTATCTATTTCTGTGTTTATATGTGTACATGCATATTGTGTATATGTGTGTACTTGTCTATATGCATATTTGTGTGTATATATGTGTATATGTATATTTCTGTGCATGTATGTATGTGTATGTATATGTATGTGTGTATATGTGTATATTTGTGTGTGTTTGTGTAGATATATACATATGTGTATGAATGTGTGCATATGTATATGAGTGTATGTGTATATGGTGTATTTTTGGGGTTTTAAAGTCTGTTCTGCTGGGATTTTGTGTGTGTTTATGGGTGATAGACACTTGTTGGCCTGATGAGTGTATTGTGTCCAAATTTGGTGTCTATTCGCCCAGTGGTTTTTGAGTTATTTTAATCCCACAAACAAACATACATTTTTATTTATACAGATACTAGCTGTCCCCTGCCACATGTTGCTGTGGCTCAGTCTGTGTATGTGTTTTGTGTGTGTATATATTTGTGTATATGTGTGTTTGCCTATATATAAATAAATAAATATATATATATGGTTTTGTACATGTGTTGCAATGTATTTTTTTTTGTTTTTTGGCCTTTTAAGTCTCTTTTGCTGTGTTTTTCAGTGTTTTTAGGGATGATGGTCACTTGTTGGCCTGATAGGTGTCTTGTGTCCAAATTTGGTGTACATTCGCCCAGTGGTTTTTGAGTTACGTTAACCCCACAAACGAACATTACATTTTTATTTATATAGATGGAATGGTGTCTGGGGGTAGAAAGAACTCTTGTCTGTTCGAACTAGGTGTGCTCATCTAAATTTCTAAGCCAAAGAGCCGGCGTTGTTCCGTAGACACCTCCAAGGTCATGTGGCCGGCATGACTGCATGGCGCGCCCCCCCCTCCCCACACAGTGCCCCTCCGTTGGCTGGCTCACGCTATCCGTCAGGCCCGATGGACTACGTGAGCCAGCCAAGGGAGGCTGCTCCGCGTGGTTTACTTGCGTGTAAAGCACGGCTCACACTGTCCATGGGGCCTGATGGACAGCCTGAGTCAGCCAAGGGAGGCTGCCCTGCGTGGTCTACTCTACTTGCGCGTAAAGCACCTTGCAAGGTGCTTTACTCCCAAGTAGGCCGCGTGGGCCTGCTCCTCCCTTGGCAGGCTCACGCTATCCATGGGGCCTGATGGACAGCCTGAGCCAGCCAAGGGAGGCTGCCCCGCGTAATCTACTCTACTCGCGCGTAAAGCACCTCGCGAGGTGCTTTACTCACAAGTAGGCCGTGTGGGCCTGCTCCTCCCTTGGCAGGCTCACGCTATCCATTGGGCCCGATGGACAGCCTGAGCCAGCCAAGGGAGGCTGCCCTGGTGCTCCAGGCAGTCATGCTGGCCCCATGACCTTGGAGGTGTCTACGGACAACGGTGGCTCTTCGACTTAGAAACGCAGATGAGCACCTCACCCCAGAGTCAGACACGACTGGACTTCATGTCAGAGGAAAACCTTTAACCAGGAAATTGTGGACGATCCAGGGTGGGAGAAAGAACTCTTGTCTGTAGGTATGAATGTTTCAATTGGCCACCTTGATTGCCATTTCATAGCCTGACAGTTTTTAGGGAGAATCCTTTGTTGAGAGGTGATTAGCTGGCCCTGATTGTTTCTTGTCTGGAGTTCCCCTGTGTTTGAGTGTTGTTCTTTATTTACAGTTATAATTTTAGAGTTTTTTAAATACTGGTAGCCAGATTTTGTTCAGACTAGAAATAGGAAGATTTCCCATTCTCTGCTCCTGGAATTACTGCCTAAAGAGGGCTAGAAAGAACCCCCTCCCTCGAAGGGCCCTTCCACACCGCAAAATAAGGGATGTGCAATGTGCATAGGAGTTTTTTTTATTGATTTCTTTAAAAAAACTGTAGTCCGGCCCTCCAACTGGCCCCCGGTTTAAAAAGTTTGAGGACCCCTGGTCTAGCACAATATTAGTATTACATATTACTATATATTGTACTATACCACTATACTGCAATATTGTTAGTAATACATGTAATATATAATATACAATTATAATATATTAATACATCATATAAATAAGTAATGAGTCCCATCGCTATTTATTTGTACATTTATGTATGTATTTATTGGGTTTCTAATCCCCTTTCCTTTCTCCTGTCCTTAGAGGAGTCAAAGCGGTACAAAACCATTGAAACACATCGAGGTATCGCATAGAAGGACTGAAATGACGCCTGAAAGGCCTCCTCTGATGCCACAAATGATAGAAGGCTTCAGCGGCCTGTACTAGGCCTCAGCCCGCTCCGGCCCCGGCCTCGCCTGCCTCGGCCTCCCCAACAGCCGCTATGCCTCCCGGACAGGCCCCCAACTGCTCCGGCCGGCCTCCCCCGCTTCTCCCGGGTCGCCCCCCGTCCCTTCCTTTCTCCCCGGCGGAGGATGGAAAGGGATCCAAGCCACTCACCATCTTGCCGGCGGCGTCGGCAGCTCGGAAAGAAAGGCTTCGCCGGAAGCCGGAAGTGGGCAAGAGGCGTGAGCAGAAGAGAAGCGGAAACCCGACTAGAGCGGCTAGGAGCGGGAAAGCGCGGGTGTAGAGCGCCCCCTGGACTCTTGGCCGTTTTAGGATGCTATGGCAAAGGAGTCTCTGCAAACCTAGCTGGACTCTTAAAAGACTTCATTGCACTGAAGATATATTATGTATATCCCGCTTTATCTCTTCATACGGAGACTCAAAGCGGCTCACAATTAAAAACATTACACTACAACTTAAAATATACAAATAACAATAATAATAATAAAAACTTTACAATGCAACTTAAACTATACAAAGGAAATAATAATAATAAATATAATAATTAAAAACATTACAATACAACTTAAACTATACAAATAAAATAACAAATAATAAATAATAATGAAAACATTACAATACAACTTAAAATATACAAATAATAAAATAATAATAATAAATATTATAATAATTAAAACACTAAAATGCAACTTAAAATATACAAATAAAATAATAATAATAAATATAATAATTGAAACATTACAACTTAAAATATACAAATAAGAAATAATAATAATAAATATAATAATAATGAAAACATTACACTACAACTTAAAATATACAAATGAAATAATAATAAAAATATTATAATAATTAAAAACATTACAATGCAACTTAAAATATACAAATAAAATAATAATAAATATAATAATAATTAAAAACATTACAATACAACTTAAACTATACAAATAAAATAACAAATAAATAATAATGAAAACATTACAATACAACTTAAAATATACAAATAATAAAATAATAATAATAAATATTATAATAATTAAAACACTAAAATGCAACTTAAAATATACAAATAAAATAATAATAAATATAATAATTAAAACATTACAACTTAAAATATACAAATAATAATAATAATAAATATAATAATAATAAACATTACAATACAAATTAAACTATACAAATAAAATAACAAATAATAAATAATAATGAAAACGTTACAATGCAACTTAAAATATACAAATAAAATAACAAATAATAAATAATAATGAAAACATTACAATACAACTTAAAATATACAAATAAAATAACAAATAATAAATAATAATAAAAACATTACAATACAACTTAAAATATACAAATAATAATATAATAATAAAAATAAATATAATAATAATTAAAACACTACAATGCAACTTAAAATATGCAAATAAAATAATAATAATAATAATAAATATAATAATTAAAACATTACGACTTAAAATATGCAAATAATAAAATAATAATAAAATAATAAATAATGAAACAGTATCATCATTACTATATATTATCAGTAGTATTATAATTAATATGTTAGTATAGCACAATATTAGTATTATATATTATATTGTACTATACTACTATACCGCAACATTATTAGTAATATAATATATAATTATTATATTATTATATTGTACTATATTATTATACCACAACATATATATCACCAGAATATTATTATATTAGTATAATATAATATATTGTATTATATCATAACCTATAGTATATATAATATATAAAGTCAAGTGTCTGGAAGCGTATGTTACCATACAGATCATTAGTTATTGTAGTAAGTGTTTATTAATTGTGTGTTGCGCGGGATTGTTAACTGTTTTATATCTGGCATTGAATTTCTGCTGTTCTTGTTGGTTGTGAACCGCTGTGAGTCGCCTTCGGGCTGAGAACAGCGGTATATAAGTAAGGTAAATAAATAAATAAATAAATAAAAGATTAAGCATAATCTGTTTTGAAATTAAATGGGTTATTTTCCTACCTCCATCACACACTAGCAAACTATCCATTTCATTCGGGAGTTCTCAGTTGATTTGCCATCCCATTGTAGAGAGTTGTTCCCGCCCGTTGTCCCTTTGTGGAAAACAAAACACCTCCTCTCCTGGACTATGATTTTTGTTCCTGGGTGAGCAACGTCCTATCCCAATTGGTTCTATCATAAACACATGGGAAGAGTTTATGAAACTGCACAAGCTTTGTCTTTGCAGGAGGGACAGCACAATTTGCCACAGCACTATTTCTCAATGATTGCATATCTTGTAGAGTCTCCACCAATTTTACATAGTTTGTGAGCACAAAAACAAAGTTTCTGGAGCACATCAACTACTTGTGTAGTAAGGACTACACAATTAAACAGGAAATAACACTTGTAAACTAGAAACATATTTTCTTTATTATTATTATTATTCAGAGGCAGGATGGCTATCTGTTGGGGATGCTTTGATTGTGCTTTTGCTACATGGCAGAAAGAAGGGGGTTGGACTAGATGGCCCTTGGGGGTCAATCAAAGGAGGAAGAGGGAAAGAGACATCTGTGGGCTCTCCCTTTGCCAGTGATCCTCTCTCCTTGTCTCTCTCCTTCCCATGTTGGAAGAATGAAGGAAGGAGGGAAAGAAGGAAAGGAGGGAACACATGGCGCACACAACACACAGAAGGAAGGAAGGAAGGAAGGCCCCCAGAAAGTGCATGAGACAGAAAGGAACACAACATACTGCCAATCTTTCCTCTTCTGTTGAAGTCGAACATGACGCCCCCCCCCCCTTAGAGATAGTAACTTATAGTTTTGCTAAGGGCAAGGATGCCAGGCTGGATAATAAGGGTTAAGCCTTGGTCAGTTTAGTCTGTATCATGTTTTCTGACCTTGCCCTGGCCCTTTTGCCCTCTTCCCCTCTCCTTGGGGGAAATCTACAAGGAAGCTGCCCTGCCTCTGGAAAAGCAATCAGCGATCAGGAAAAGACCCTTATCTTTGGACATTCTTTGCATGGACAATAGTAAAGGAAATCCTTTTGTCTTCGGAGTTGGGCCACCATTAGGATTTCTGTTTGGCAGACTTTTTAATCATATAACAATGGGGGGGGAATATGACCTTAGGAAAGTCCTCTTTTCCTCCAAGCCGTTTTTCTTTCAAATCTTTCCACTAAGGACATTCACAAAAGTTTCCCCTTTGTGCCCTATCTGATTGTAAGAGGAAAACGGATTAAGCCATCAATGCTTATCACAGACCCATCTCAGGACAATAAAGTGGCTTCTCTGGAAGGCTGATTATCCTCCCAACCCTGCTATATGCCTGTGAGACGTGGACTGTCTACAGACGTCACATGCAACTCCTGGAACGATTCATCAGCGCTGCCTCCGGAAAATCCTGCAAATCTCCTGGGAAGACAAGCGGACAAACGTCAGTGTGCTGGAAGAAGCAAAGACCACCAGCATTGAAGCGATGGTCCTCCAACATCAACTCCGCTGGGCCGGCCACGTTGTCCGGATGCCTGACCACCGTCTCCCAAAGCAGTTGCTCTACTCCGAACTTAAGAACGGAAAACGGAACGTTGGTGGACAGGAAAAGAGATTTAAAGATGGGCTCAAAGCCAACCTTAAAAACTCTGGCATAGACACTGAGAACTGGGAAGCCTGGCCCTTGAGCGCTCCAGCTGGAGGTCAGCTGTGACCAGCAGTGCTGCAGAATTTGAGGAGGCACGAGTGGAGGGTGAAAGAGAAAAACGTGCCAGGAGGAAGGCGCGTCAAGCCAACCCCGACCGGGACCGCCTTCCACCTGGAAACCAATGCCTTCACTGTGGGAGAAGATGCAGACAAGAATAGGGCTCCACAGCCACATACGGACCCACAGAGAAATCCATAATGGAAGACCATCTTACTCATCCAACGAGGGGTTGCCTAAGTAAGTAAGTAATCACAGACCCATCTCAGGACAATAAAGTGGCTTCTCTGGAAGGCTGATCCCCGGACTCGATAAGCCTAAGGACATTAAAACTCCATAATCCACTCCAGAATACATTGTCTCCCTCCATCCCGCCTCCTTCCCTTCTGATTCGCTGGAGTGTCGAGGCAGCAGGAGCCTCCTGATAGGCTCTGGCATCCCGCGAAAGCCCTGTGATTGGCCCTGATGGATGGGGGACGGCCAAGCCTCCTCCCAGCTGCTTGAGCGTCAGCCAATCCCCTTCGAGCTGGGCGGGAGGGGGGAGTGGGCAGGGTAGGCTCATATAATCCAGTTCAAATCAGATAATGTGGATTAATATTAATAATAATAATATAATAAACTTTATTTATACCTCGCCACCATCTCCCCAAAGGGGACTCAGAGCGGCTTACATGTGGCCAAGCCCAGCGATACATTATAAACAAATATAAACAACAAAATAACATCACAATAAAATAAATAAACTAATCAAGTAAAATAAACAGTACAAAATAACATAATGGAAAATCAAACACAGTGGGCGGGCCAAATGCACGGCATAAAATGATAAAACTCTGGATGAGATAGCAATTAAAATGGTATATTTGTTGGGGAGGTGCTCGTAGGGGACCGAACAGTGGAGTTAGACTTTCAATAAGGTGGGAGAAAGTGAAATATAAGGAAAACAGTGTAAGTGAAACAACAGGACTGGAATATATGGTCACTCCAAAGGCACATCGGAAAAGCCGATTATGTGGCAGTGTAGGAGGGGCTTTGGTCAGAAAGAACAGAAATGGACTCCCAACCCGTAGCACGATGGGCTGCTCAAAAAAAGAGGAAGCCTGTAGGTTTGCGATTCTTCTGCCCAAAATAAATGGTTGTGGTTATATTTAAAACCTGCTATGTTGTACAAAATGCTCGAGCAATAGGAGAAGATGAAAGAAGGAAGAACTTTGTGGGCTCACAACGCTTAGGGACTGGGGCCCCTTCTACTTTGCCATATAATCCAGATTACCAAAGCAGAGAATCCACATGATCTGATTTGAACTGGATTATATGAGTCGACACTGCCAAATAATCCAGTTTAAAGCAGACAATCTGGATTTTATATGGCAGTGTAGGCGAGGCCATAGAAGGGGCCAAAGTGAGGGTTCACCAGAGCCGGCCCAAGAGAAAAACAGTCAGCTGACTTTGCATCTGCTTCCATCTTTCTATCGTTTTGTTCCACTATCTGCTCACAATTACGACGTGTGCGTCTACACTGCAGGATGAATGCAGTTTTGATAGAGCATGCAAGGAATCAGTGTGTGTGTGTCCACTGTAAAATAAGATACATGAAGCTGATTGGTCCAGCAATGTTTGGGGAGCTAGCTGAGCCTGGGACTTTTGGTTGCTGTTACATTTTTCAGGCTTGAGCTATTCAAGTGTTTGAAGAGAAGCAGAGAACGACAGAATTTGGAGTGTGCTCTTGCTTCATGAGTTGCTGAAGGAGTTTATCCACATAGACAAAGAAAGATAATTTTAAATCTCTCATAAAAGGACATTATGCGAGTTGTCGCAACTGATCACATTGTACATATGTTGTCCTGAACTTTTGAAGGGTTAACTACGTGTTCTTTACTGTTCACCGGGGTGGCATATTTTCTTTCTCTGGGAAGGCCGACCAAATATGAACTACATGTGGTTTATTTTACATTACACCACAAGTTTGACACCACTTTTAAAATGCTACGGCCCAACGCTATTGGGATTGTAAACATTGTGGCTTTGCAAGGCCTTTCGCCTTCTCTTCCAATGAATGCGCACATCTCAGCAAACTACAAATCCTAGGATTACAGAGCATTGAGTGTTCTGTTGCTCGCTGGGCCTGTAAAGAATTTTCTTTAGAACAGGACGTGCAACCTTTGCCCAGCGGGAAGCCAGGGGGCCCAAGGAGAAGTTCTCAGAGGTTTTCCACCACAAATGATCTTTAGATGGCTTGTGAAGTATAACAAAGTCTTTTATTAATGAACAATCAAACAGAAACTTCTCTTGTCTTCAGAAAGTTAAACAAATGATTCCAGGCTTTTATGCAACTGGTAGCTTCCTAAACTTGCCCACGAAGGACAGGCAACTGTCTTCAATAACTTCTTCTTTACTTTAAAGGAAAGTCCCCTTTTTAACTTCTCCCAGGCTGACTGTAATCTAACCCTTACTGATGTGGGCTCCGCTACCGGGTCGAACTGCTTCTCGAACACCGAGTGGACCTACCAGTAAAGGCTTAGATGTTCTCCAGCTGGAGTTCTTTGGTCTTTAGGGCTGTTTCCCTGGAAATCTTTGGAGACTCTTAAGACTGTTCTCCCCCCGGAAAGTCTTAAGGGTTGAAGCTTTTGTACAGGGGAAGCTTGCACACGTCCTGTACATTAGCTTTCCTTGCTGAGACTAACTAAAAATGGCTCCCTTCCCTTCCCAATTGCCCTGAGCAAGGGGCGGAACCAAATCTTAACGATGATGGACAGGTGACTTGCCCTACGACTGCAACCAAAGGAAGCCACCTATGTGCAGAGTTCCTGAAACCCAGGACTGCAAACAAACATTCAATACAAACAAATAAAGTTGGAGCTACTGGTACAGCCGTACCAGCACACTAAGCCATAGCAGTTAAAGTGCTGTCAAAATGCATTCGTTCTACAATGTAGGACCCTTCTACACTGCCATATAAAGTCCAGATTGGACTGGATTATATGGCAGTGTAGACTCATGTAATCCAGTTCAAAGCAGGTAACATTAAGATGCTTTGATAATATGGATTATATGGCAGTGTTGAATAGGCCGTAGATAGGAAGAGAAGGAAAGTCAGGGAGAAGCAGAACTATCAGTGTGGGGTGTGGAACGAATACGGTTTGGTACCACCGTAACCTTTTTTAACCAGGCATGGTCTGGTTTGCTTGCTTTAGCTAGAACTCTCTCTTCTGAAAGGTGGCTTCATGGCTGAAATGAAACCAAGTCAGTTTGGTCAGAAACTAAGAAAAGGGGAACTGAAAGGGTGGGGTTAGCTGCGGATGACAGTCTTCCCTGCAGTTCAAGGCAGCTCTTTGAAGCAATCTCCTGCCACTATTGATATTCCTCTCAAAGAATATCCTAAATGCGTTGGTGGATCCAGAGTCCGGAGGCATCTCGAGGAAAGCTTTGCCTGTGAACAGGAGTCACCTGGAGTTCATGAACAGCAAGGAGGAGAGATAACCAGTGAGTCCCCTTTTCCTTTTTGCTTTTGGGCCAGCTCAGAAGGAACGTGGCAGGGAGAAAGAGAACTATTTGGGGCGGGAAAGAGAATCATAGAATAGAATCATAGAGTTGGAAGAGATCTCATAGGCCACCCAGTCCAACCCCATTCTGCCAAGAAGGAGGAAAATTGCATTCAAAGCACCCCCAACAGATGGCCATCCAGCCTCTGCTTCAAAACCTCCAAAGAAGGAGCCTCCACCACACTCCGGGGCATAGAGTTCCACTGCTGAACGGTTCTCACAGTCAGGAAGTTCTTCCTCATGTTCAGATGGAATCTCCTTTCTTGTAGTTTGAAGCCATTGTTCTCCATTGTGTTCTAGTCTCCAGGGCAGCAGAAAACAAGCTTGCTCCCTCCTCCCTATGACTTCCTCTTATACATGGCTATCATGTCTCCTCTCAGCCTTCTCTTCTGCAGGCTAAACATGCCCAGCTCTTTCAGCTGCTCCTCATAGGGCTTGTTCTCCAGACCTTTGATCATTTTAGTCGCCCTCCTCTGGACACATTCCAGCTTGTCAACATCTTACAACATTCACACTTGCCTCAAGCAGACAAGAATTCTTTCTTCCACCCTGGACATCATTCCACAGATATATAAATCCCACTTGCCTAGTTTCCAACAGACTTCACAACCTCTGAGGGTGCCAGCCATAGATGTGGGTGAAATGTCAGAAGAGAATGCTTCTGGAACATGGCCATGCAGCCCAGAAAACTCACAGCAACCCAGCCATGAAAACCTTTGACAACAACTCCTAGAATTGCCAGTTGTCTGTCTGTGGGATTCTGGAAGATATAGTCCAAAATTGAAACTTTTCTACACTCTGTTCTGGACAAATTTACAGGTATTGTCAAAGGTTTTCATGGCTGGAATCAATGGGTTGTTGTCAGTTTTGCGGGCTGTCTGACCATGTTCCAGAAGCATTCTCTCCTGACATTTTGCCTGCATCTATGGCAGGCATCCTCAGAGGTTTTGAGGTCTGTTGGAACTAGGAAATTTGGGTTTATATATCTGTGGAATGTCCAGGGTGGGAGAAAGAACTCTTGTCTGTTGGAGCTAGGTGTGAATCTTTCAACTGGCCACCTTGATTAGCATTTAATGGCCTAGCAGTTTCAAGGTCTGGCTTCTTACTACCTGGCCATACAACCCGGAAAACTCACAACAACCAAATGTACAGGTGTTCTGCAACTTTGCAATTGGACTAATTGCTTTACAGGCAAATAATAGGTTTGTTACCGATTGGATCTTTGCTACTTTGTCATATAAAATATTGATACATTGCTTTTCAACCAGCAAGTAGGAATGAAATTGCTACTAAGGAATGACAGGGAAGAAAGTGCAAAAACAGTTACAGTTGAATATTAAGAAAGCAAAATAATAACCACAGATTATTGACGCAATCTTAAAGTAAATTATGAAGACACCGAAATAGGCAAAGACTTTTATAGCTTGGGTTAGTTGTAATTCTAAATGGAGACTCTAGTCAAGAAATCAGAAGACCAGGAGGACTAGGAAGAGGAGCAATGAAAGAACTAGATAAGATCTTCAAGTGTAGAAACAGATTCTATGTATTATTATGAAAGCTAGGTAGTGAAGAAAGCGGACAGGAAGAGAATCAACTCCTCTGAAACGTGGTGCTGGGAGAGATTTCTACAGAAATCAATGTGCTTTCGAAAGCTTTCAGAATCACTGGGTCACTGTAAGTTTTCCGGGCTGTATGGCCATGTTTCAGAAGCATTTTCTCCTGACGTTTTGCCCACATCTATGGCAGACATCCTTAGAGATTGAGGAGTCTGTTGGAAACTAGGCACGTGAGGATTATCTATCTGTGGCATGTCCAGGGTGGAAGAAAGAACTCTTGTCTGCTTCGAGCAAGTGTGAATGTTGCAAATGGCCACCTTAATTAGCATTTAATGGCCTTGCAGATCCAAAGCCTGGCTGATTGCTGCCTGGAGGAATCCTTTGTTGGAGGTGTTAGCTGGTCCTGATTGATTCTTGTCTGGAGCTCCCCTGCTTTTTGAGTGCTCTTTATTTACTCTCCTGATCTCTACAGAGATCACCAATTGCCAGAACGATCATGAAATGTGTCCAAGCGCAAGTAACTCTTGAACTTTCTCAAGAAGCTGTGGTTCTTGGATACACCTCGAGAGGATATGATTCATTAGGAAAGATTATAATGCTTGGTAAGTGGGAGAGATCAGGAGAAGAGGAAGACCACATTGCAGGTGGATTGGCTTCATCCACAGTCTTGAGTTTTCAAGATCTGGACAGAGCTGTCAATGAGGATGGTGGTCTCTCACGCATCAGGTTGCCTGACTTGATGACAATTAACAATTGCAAATATAGTCATCTGTGGAGCTTAGTCATTTGTAACAGTGTTTTTAGCCAACCCAAATCACCTTTTATTGTCAGCGGCAGCCCAGCAAATATACCACAGAAGAAAGGGAGGAGGAGACAAGCACCATGTCAAATGTCCTCCTGGAAAGCATCTTCCTGAAACGCTCTCAGCAGAAGAAAAAGACCTCTCCGCTCAACTTCAAGAAGCGCTTCTTCCTGCTGACGGAGAGCAAGCTCTCCTATTATGAATATGACTTTGAGCGTGGGGTGAGTATCTATCCAGGGGAGGAAAGAGCCACTGTTGTGGGTTCCACACCAGGAAGAACTCAGCTCAGAAACCTATGGCATTATTATTGTTTTATTTACGTATCTGAACTTGAATTATTTCTATATCGTCTCTCAACCCACAAAGGCTACTAAGGTGATGTACCAGTAAAAACTTAATCATAAAAACATTTTTAAAAACCACCTACAAACCCCTTTTAAAATTCCTAAAAACAGTCTAGGTCAGGCGTGGGCAAACTTTCTAACTTGAGGGCTGCATGCTAGCACTCCCTGCTAGGAGGAATGGCTGCCCAGTAATGGAAGGAAGGAAGAGAAGGAGGAAGGAAAGAGAGAAGAAAGGAAGGATGAAAGGGAGGAAGTGAAGGGTGGAAGGAGAAACAGGGAGGGAAGGAAGGAAAGACAAAAGAGAGGGAGGGAGGGAGGGAGGGAAGGATGAAATGGGGGACAGAAGGAAAAAGAGAAGGGAGGGAGTAAGAGAAGGAAGAAAAGAGAGAAGAAAGGAAGGAGAAAGAGTGAAGGAGGGAGGAAAGAGGTAAGGAAGGAAAGAAAAAGAGAAGGAAGGGAGGGAGGGAGAAACGGAAGGAAGGAAAGACATGAAGGAAGGAGAAAGAGGGATAGAGGGAAGGAAGGACAAAAATGTGGAAGGGAAGGATGGAAGGAAGGAGAAAAAGGGAGGTAAGGAGGAAGGAAAGAGAGAAGGAAGGAAAGACAAAAAGGATGGAAGAAAGGAAGGAAGAAGGAAGAGAGAAGGAAGGATGAAAGGGAAGGAGGAGGGAAGGAGGAAGGAAAAAGAGAAGGGAGAGAGGGAGGAAGAGAAGGGAGGGAGGGAAGAAAGATAAAGGAAAGAGAGAAGGAAAGAAAAGGGAAAGGAAGAAGAAAAAAAGGAGAGAAAGAAGAAAGGATGAAATGGGGGAAAGAAGGAAAAAGAGAAGGGAGGGAGGGAGGAGGAGGATGGAAGGAAGGAAAGAGAGAAGAAAGGAAGGAGAAAGAGTGAAGGAGGGAGGAAAGAGGTAAAGAAGGAAGGAAAAAGAGAAGGGAGGGAGGGAGAGAGAGAAGAAAGGAAGGAAGGAGAAAGAGGGAGAGAGGGAAGGAAGGAGGACAAAAAGGTGGAAGGGAAGGATGGAAGGAGAAAAGGGGAGGTAAGGATGAAGGAGAGAGAGAAGGGAGGAAAGACAAAAAGGATGAAAGGAAGGAAGAAAAGAGAGAAGGAGGATGAAAGGGAAGGAGGGAGGGAAGGAGGGAAGAAAAAGAGAAGGGAGGGAAGGAGGAAGAGAAGGAAAGAAGGAAAGAAGGAAGGAAGGAAGGAAGGAAGGAAGGAAGGAAGGAAGGAAGGGAAAATAAAGGAAAGGGAGAAGGAAAGAAAGACAAAAGGGAAGGAAGAAGAAAGAAAGCAGAGAAGGAAGAAAGGACGAAAGGGTGGAAAAGAAGGAAGAGGGCTTCTGTTTTTGCCCTCTAGATGAGGGAGAATTGCAACTCTCATCATCCCTAGTCAAGCAAAGGCAGAAACTTATCTAAAGCATTCCCGTCTCCCTTGCAGCGACGAGGAAGCAAGAAGGGTTCTGTGGATATTGAGAAGGTCACCTGTGTGGAAACTGTGACACCAGAGAGCAACCCTCCTCCAGAACGGCGGATCCCAGAAGTGAGACATTTGTGCATTTTTATTGGAATGCATCTCTGCATCTCTCTCTTGGCCACTGCAGGATGATGCCTTTAAGCCTATATATACCTTTCCATGGGTCACACTACAATGCAGTGTGACACACGTGCATTGCCTCTTCCGGGTGTTGCCCATATTACCAATACATACTATGGAATCTAGCCCTCGGCTACCCAGCATTTTCTCCCCATCTCAGAGGAAGTGGGAGAAGGAACCATACTTCAGGCTGCATATAAACTGGGTTAAAGCACTGAGCTGCTGAAATTGCTGGCCGAAAAGTCACAGGTTCGAATTTGGGGAGCGGGGTGAGCTCCTGCTATTCGCCCCAGCTTCAGCCAACCTAGCAGTTTGAAAAGATGCAAATGTGAGTAGATCAATAGGTACTGAAGATTGACAGGTTGCAGGTTCAAATCCGGGGAGAGGTGGATGAGCTCCCTCTATCAGCTCCAGCTCCTCATGCGGGGACATGAGAGAAGCCTCCCACAAGGATGATAAAAACATCAAAAATCATCTGGGCGTCCCCTGGGCAACGTCCTTGCAGACGGCCAATTCTCTCATACCAGAAGCGACTTGCAGTTTCTCAAGTTGCTCCTGACATGATAAATAAATAAATACCTCTTTGGCGGGAAGGTAACAGCACTCCATGGAGTCATGCTGGCCACATGTCCTTGGAGGTGTCTACGGACAACGCTGACTCTATGGCTTAGAAATGAAGATGAGCACCAACCCCCAGATCAAACACGACTAGACTTAATGTCAGGGGAAAACCTTTACCTTACCTTTTTATACACTGTAGAATTAATAGTTTGATACCATTTTCACTGCCAAGGCTCAATGCTATAGAATCCTGGGATTTGTAGTTTGGCACTATTTAGCAGAGTTGGTTAAAGACCTTTCAAAACTACAACACCCATGGTCCTATAGCATTGATCCATGTCAGTTAAAGTGGTGTCAAACTGCACAATGTAGATGTACCCTCAGAGGTAGAGCGCATGCTATTCCAGATGCCATTGCCATGCCCTTATGCAAGGATGGGGAACATATGATCTTGGGAAGTTATTAAACAATCACCCTATAATTTCTTACAAATTATCTCTGCAAACTGGAGATGGAACTGCATTAAACGCCTGAAGGGCCAAATATATTCCATCCACGGCTTTTGCATTTCTAAAGGATCGAAATGGCAGGCTGTGTTTTTAATATTCTGATTAAGAAGGTGCCTTCCCAACATGTCACGGGACTATTAGAAAGAATCCTCAAATCAACACAGTCTTCTGGATGTGTGTTTTGAATTGGGAAGCCAGCCTCTAATCTTCTGTCTCTCTTACACACAGAAAAAAGGAGATGATTTAAATGAGCCGGAACAGATCTCCATTATAGAGCGGTTCCCCTACCCTTTCCAGGTGAGTTACTTTGCGGATATGGGATTATCAGTCTCTTACGTTGTTGCTTTGATGGCATTCAATATCTACTGCTTCCAACTGCAATCATCTCATATTAAACCACCTATTAGCACATGTGTGGAAAACATCACTATACCTCTCTTTTGCATGCATGCCATATAAGACATGAGCAATGTTGTTCCTCCTCCAGAAAGTATAGCTAAATTCCTAAACCTTGCAAAACTGGAGCCAATGTTTTCAGGGCTAAATTACCAGTTGGGACAAATATCATCATTTGTCTTCTTTCGACCTCCCCATTTCCTCTCTCTATATTTTTAAAATGTGTAATGTTAACATAAGGGCCTCCTGGTGTCACAGCAGGTTAAACCACTGACCTGCTGGACTTGCTGACCAAAATCCAGGGAGCAGGGTGAGCTCCTGCTGTTAGCCACAGCTTGTGCCAACCTAGCAGTTTGAAACATGCAATTGTGAGTAGATCAATAGGTACCACTTCTGCAGGAAGGTTACAGCGCTCCATGCGGCCATTCTGGCCACATAACCTAGGAGGTGTCTACGGACAATGCCGGCTCTTCAGCTTAGAAATGGAGATGAGCACCACCCCCCAGAGTCGGACACGACTAGACTTAAAGTCAAGGGAAACCTTTACCTTTACCTTTAACACAAGAGCAGGACAATATATAAGTTGTAAACATCTCTCTGTGTCTTTTAGATTGTGTATGATGAAGGACCTCTCTATGTGTTCTCGCCAACTGAAGAATTACGGAGCCGTTGGATCCAGCAGTTAAAGAGTGGTGAGTCTTTATGTGGTTTAAACATATATATTTCAAAGAAGCAAAAGACGAGATGAGCCTGGGAAAACCTAGTTGTGACAGAAGAGAGAGTCAGGAACAGACGATAAAGCAAAAGTAAATCTAGAAGTCAGGGCTGTAGAATGAAGGCCGGCTTTAGCACAGCAGGTTAATCACCAACTGCAACTGCAATAAATCTTGCCAAGCAAAAGGTTGACTATTCGAAGCCGGGTCAGGGTGAGCTCCTGATCTTCAGCCCAGCTCCCACATTCACCTAGCGGGTCGAAAACAGCAATGTGAATAGATGAATAGGAACCGCACTAAGCAGGGAGGTATTTTCGGCATGGCGTTTGGAGGAAAGTTTATGAACAAAGAAAGCTCTTCGGCAAGGAGATGGAGCGACAGCGCTCTCCTGTGGCCGGAACTGAGCACAGCCTCCAAAAAATGCCGAATGATGAGAAAAAGCCTAAATATATCTGTCTTGTCGTTGTATAATCGGCATTGAATGTTTGCCATCTATGTGTTCTGTGTTCCACCCTGAGTCCCCTTTGGGGTGAGAAGGGCACAATATAAGTACTGTAAATAAATAAATAAACTGGAAAGCATTGACAAAGAACAAGAAATACGTCAGAATGAAAGCGAACTAGAAATTAGGATTGAAGGACAGCCAAAGTTAAAGGAACCAGTTCTTTGAAGTAATGTGTTAAAAGTAATATTAGGATCTTCCAGAGTAGTCTAAAGAAGCACAAGTTCTCAGAATATGTTTCCTCGGATTTTTGCAACGTTTTTCTCATTCATTCTATTATTTTCTATGGGAGTGGGGTGTTTCTTGGGTCTGTGCTGGAGTTTTTGGGTCTGTGTTGGAGTTTTTCTAAAACCAGGCCAAAGTTTGTTGAGATGTCCTATGATATGAAATACAACTTTCTCTCTTCTACTTTTATTTTTTTCCATCCTGGATTGTGCAGTTTGAGGTGCTGCACTTATCATTCTCAGTTGGAGAGCTGTATTGGTTCACTGAACTACAATATACCTGCCACAATGCCAGGGATCTGCCAGTAAACAGGCAGAGATGAACCAAAACAACACCCAGTTTATATCAAACTGTTTAATTAAAGCACTTACTTTCTGGTTGTTTTCATAGTCCAAAATATAAAACATTAAGATAGCACCCAGCCACAGAATAATAAAACAAAGACTGCCAGCAAACGCTGATGCAGGTTCAGGAGAACACCGTAGTCAAAGGGTCCAGTCCAGTGGTCAAAATGCTGAGAGTTCAATAAGTCAAGTCCAGGGATTAAGAGTCTATACCGTAGTCAAAAACCAGTCCAGAGATTCAAGGTTCCAGGGTTCCAAGAGTTCAAGAGACAGATCAGGATACTGAAAATCCACAAACCTAGGGAGAAACCAGCAGCATCTACCACCAAAATAAAACAAATACTTTTCTCTGCAGTGATTCGCTACAACAGCAACCTGGCACAGAAGTATCACCCCTGCTTCTGGACTGATGGGCAGTACCTCTGTTGCTTCCAGACCGCTAAAATGGCCATGGGTTGCCAAATCGTGGGAGACAAGAGCAGAAGTAAGTGATTGCATCGGTGTGGTCATCAGCCTCCTCCCGTCAACCTCTGTGCTCCACCTTTATTTATTTTGCTTCCCATCCCTTATCTACTTCTTTTTCATTATAACAGACCATTAACTTTCACTATATATGAATATAAAAGAGGTGTCAATAAAAACAGTATCTCCAGTGAGGCCCTTGTGTGTTGAATCAAGTGAGTTTTACTTAGAACTTCAAAGACTGGCCACCTGCCCTTCCATATATGAGGGGCTGCTGATAAGTCTTTGGCTTTACCCAGAAAGAAACGAGATAGGAAGATGGAACTTTAGATTTATTCCACATACTCTCCACTGATATGGACACACTTCTTACATCAGTATTCCAAGTTCTGTAAGCCTTGCAAAAAGAAGGAATATTGGTTGTGCCTCAATCCAGTCATCTGTAGCAACCATGGCATCATAAATGGTGTGACATTTGGTACCCTTGAAGTGTTTCTTCAAGTTTGGAAATGGATGATAGTCAGAGGGAGCTAGATCTGGTGAATAAGGTGGGTTGTCAACCAGCTGGAAGCCTAGCTCCACCAGTTTTGCCATGGTCGCTTATGCAGTGTGAGCGGAGGCATTCTCCTTTGGACAGCTTGCTGTACCTTTTGGCCTTTGGAACTACCTTCAATTGGTCCAAAAGTTCTGTCTAATACCTTGCATTGATGGTTGCTTATCTGACATAAATGGGGTGGTAGAACATCAGATAAATGAAAATGCTGGATAATTCGGAGCTCTTACTGTTAATCATCCAATGCTGTGCTAGACACCTAGAATACTAACGACAGAGAAGAGTTAAGGCAAGGCAACACCTTGGGGCTAGAGCAGCCCAGCAGGAAGTGCCCGGATGCGGAAGAGGAGTATGAAAATTACAGAGGGAAGGACAGAGGATGCTTCCCCTTCCGGTCCTGCCTCTTTCCTCTGTTTTCTCCCTCCTTCTCCTTGTTCACTTATTGGGAATGGAGAGAAAGTTGGGGAGCACTTCTTTAATTGAAGAGGAAATGCTGGAGGAAAACGGGGTGTCGGATAAGAGCGTCGGACAAGACGGAATGTCGGATAAGCGAAGGTCGGATAAGCGAGACTCTACTGTACTTTCAGCAGGTTTGGTGGGTTTTGTGAAGGATGGGTTAAGATGCTCTCTCTTTTGCTGGGTCACCAGCAATTCTATTCCTTGTTTCTACTGCCCATTCATAATTTCCCTCTTCTTTGGGTGCCAATCCATGTCACTATCTAAGGAATTAGGAAGCATTAGCTCCTCTTCTTGGGTCATTATTCACTTACCTAGAGATGACATGTGAACAGAAGGCACAGACAACAAAGTTTCTATCTGAGGTAGCCAGGATAAGACAACTTCCTGAATTAGACTCAGGCTGAAACTTGCCTTGTATCTATTTGCAGTGTTCTTGCCCTTGTTCATATGCATCTTACATTGCGCATCATCCTGTGTTTAACTGACCTTAAGAGTCTGCAGTCGTGCACCTTTCACCACTGAGCAAATTGGGTCTTTGGACCATAATAAAGTTTTAATTTATTTAAACAAAAGAGAGGTGAAGAGAGACGCTAATAGAGAGTTGAAGAGAGAGAGACTTCTCTGTCCATTCTATGTGTAAACTTGAACATCTACTGTTTTGTTTTATATCTATGCCCATGTCTGTTATTTTATCATTTCATTGGTTTTGATATATAGCTATATGTATTTTAGATATGTGGTTTATTTTTAAATATGTGAGGCATTGAATTTTGTCATTACTATGTTGTGAACCGCTTTGAGTCCCCCCAGGTGTAAGAAGAGTGGTATATAAGTGCAATCTATATACATAAAAATGTAATGTTGATTTGTGGACTTAACATAACTCAAAAACCACTGGGAAAATTAACATCAAATTTGGACACAAGACACCTCTCAGGCCAACAAGTGACCACCACTCATAAAAACACCAAAGAACACAGTGGAAGAGACTTAAAAAGCCAATAATAATAATAATAATAATAATAATAATAATAATAATAATACATTACAATGCATGCACAAAACCACATATATACAAATATATGCACACATAAATACACACATATACACACAAAAACACATATACACAAATTGGGCCACAGATACGCATGGCAGGGGACAGCTAGTCTATATAAATAAAATGTAATGTTTGTTTGTGGGATTAACATAACTCAAAAACCGTTGGACGAATGGACACCAAATTTGGACACAAGACACCTATCAGACCAACGAGTGACCATCTCTCATAAAATCACTGAAAAATACAGCAGAAGGGACTTAAAAAGCCAAAAAAGCAAAAAGACACTCCAGCGCATGTGCAAAATAACTCCCCCAGCAAACAAAACACACAATAGCATATTCACACTCTCTTCCAGACTACAGCTCCCAGAATCTCCTAGACCAAGCCCTTTAGGAGAGGAGGATGATCCAAATGCACTGCTTCCAAGCTGCAAGCTTTCTTCTCCTCGGATTTCTTTGAGAGCATCCCACTCCCTGCATACTTCCAATTTCCTATTCTTGGACTGCAACTCCCAGCAATCCTCCAGATAGATAAGATAGATCGCTAGATTCGATAGAGATAGGTAGGTAGGTAGATAGATTGATCAGGAGGACTGCTGGGAGTTGCAATCCAAGAATAGGTAGAGAAGGAAGAAAGGGGAGAAAGGGGAAGGGAAAGAAAAGGGGGGAGGGAAGGGAAAAGGAAGAGAAGGAGGAAGGAAGGAGAGAAGGAAAGAAAAAAGGGAAGGAAGGAAAGAAAGAGAGGAAAAGAAGGAAGCAAGGAAGGAGAGAAAGAAAGAAAGAAAGAAAGAAAGGAGAGAAAGAAGGAGGGAAGGTTGGCCACAGCAACATGTGGCGGGTACATCTAGTAAATAAATAATACATAAATAATTTTTCTTCTTCAAGGAGGTTCCAGAAATGCCGGTTCTATTCAAAAGGCCGACAAGCCTCTACCTCCAACTCCAGAGGAGAACCAGGTATGAGCAACACCAGCTATTTCTGCAGAAAGTTATGAGGTGTGGTCCTGGGAGAGGCCACCTAAATGTCTTTCTGCTGTTCTGTTTCATGCCTTCCTCCTCACCAAGATGATGAAGAAGCAGCTTCCCCCAACGCCAGCAGCCAACACTCTGTCTAAGACAAGGAGAGTTGTGGCTCTCTATGACTACACCCCCATGAATGAGCAGGATCTGCAGCTGCAGAAAGGCGAAGAGTACCTGGTCCTTGAGGAGAGCAATGAGTCTTGGTGGAGAGCCCAAGACCAAGCGGGGTAAGAGGCCCAGAGCGGAGAGAGGTCCAAAGCCCTCCCTTGGGTTGATAGCACTTGTGTGGATGCCACACAGTACGGTCCTTTCCTTATATGGTTCCTTCTCCATTCCAGATAGTAGCTTATTGCCTTATTTTCTTCTCTCCTGTAGGAAACAAGGTTATATTCCTAGCAACTACGTCACTGAAGCAAGAGATTCACTGGAAATATTTGAGTGAGTGTCTTTCGTCTGAGGACAGAACTTACTAAAGTATTTCTCAACCTTCATAATGTTGCGGGACCCCTTATACAATTCCTCATGTTGTGGTGACCCCCAACCATAACATTATTTCTGTTGCTACATCATAACTGTAATTTTGCTACTGTTATGAACTGTAATGTAAATATCTCACATGCAGGATGTATTTTCATTCACTGGATCAAATTTGGCACAAATACCCAATGTGCCCAAATTTGAATATTGTTGGGGTTGATTTTGTCATTTGGGAGTTGTAGTTGCTGGGATTTATAGTTCACCTACAATCAAAGAGCATTCTGAACTCCACCAACGATGGAATTGAATCAAAGTTGGCACACAGAACTCCCATGACCAATGGAAAATATTGAAAGGGTTTGGTGGGCACTGACCTTGAGTTTTGGAGTTGTAGTTCCTCTACATCCAGAGGGCACTGTGAACTCAAACAATGATGGATCTGGACCAAACTTGGCACTAATACTCAATATACCCAAATGTGAACACTGGTGGAGTTTGGGAAAGACAGACCTTGACATTTGGGAGTTGTCATTGCTGGGATGTATAGTTCACCTACAATCAAAGAGCATTCTGAACCCCACCAACGACACAATTGGGCCACACAGAATCCTCATGACCAACTGAAAATACTGTGCTTTCTGATGGTCTTTGGCAACTCCTCTGGCACCTCCTCATGACCCCCCACAGGTGTCCCACCCCCAGGTTGAGAAACGCTGACTTAATATGATGGGAAAACCTTTTATATAAATGCTTCATCAGTTCCCATCTTTGAGTGTCTGCACCTTCCCTTCAAAGCCCTCTCTGTGGTTGCCCCCCGACTTTGGAACACCCTCCCCAAAGACATTAGACTAGCACCCACGTTGGCAGTCTTTAGGAAGAGCTTGAAGACCTGGCTATTCCGATGTGCCTTTCCGGAATAGGAAAACCCCAGCACTATGCCCCAGAAGCACTTTATTAGAGCTTAAGACTCTCTGCACATTGCACTTGCCTAGAAATCCAACATACCAAAGAACTTTTTAATCTGTACCCATCACTGGCCCGGCCCTGGTTTTTATGGCGTAATGGTGTAATGTTTTGTTATTGCTTTATGTTTTTAATTTGCTTTGAATTGTATTGTTGTTGTTATGCTGTTGTTGTGTTGAGGCCTTGGCCTTTGTAAGCCGCATCGAGTCCTTCGGGAGATGCTAGCGGGGTACAAATAAAGTTTAATAATAATAATAATAGGGTCAACTAATTCAGCAAATGTAGGCTTCAGAGCAAATTGGAGAGTTAGTAGTTCTTTAACTAACTAACAGAAATAACCTCATTGTGTACACCTCCTGCAGCCCTATTCCAGTCTTTCAGGTTCAGAGAATGGCACTGGTAAAGTTTCCAAATATTTCCAAGAAAACCCTAGAACTGGATTACTTTAAGTTAGAAAAGACTTGAAGGGACATAGCAATAAGAACGACAGAAAAATGCATCATTTTATGTTTCAGGTGGTATTCGAAAAACATCACCAGAAGGCAAGCAGAGCAGCTGCTAAAGCAAGAGGTGAGTGTGCAAATATGGATGGCTTGTGGAAAGAAAAATGGGGAAATCAAACATACAAACCATTGTTTTGGTAAATAATTTTTTTCGTGTCAGGAGCAACTTGAGTAACTGCAAGTCGCTCCTGGTGTGAGAGAATTGGCCATCTGCAAGGACGTTGCCCAGGGGACGCCTGGATGCTTTGATGTTCTACCATCCTTGTGGGAGGCTTCTCTCATGTCCCTGCATGGGAAGCTGGAGCTGACAGACAGGAGCTCACCCTGCTCCCCAGATTCAAACCACTGACCTTTTGGCACAAGAGTTTAACCCATTGTGCCATGGGGCTTTGGTAAATAATTAACAATATACTACCATTTCCAAGTTTTCTGCCTAAAAAGTGTTTGCCTCTATCTCCTTAATGGCAGGATCAGCTCTGAGCCCTGCCTGTTATTTTGATAGAAGCAAAGATTTGATAAGATCTGATTGAACTTAAGGTGCTGGGCTTCATCCTTCTAAAGCAGGGAAGAATCTTTCTGGTATACGGGAAGATCTCTCAATGTTTCCTACCCACTTACGCATTTCATATATCAGGATTGTCCTCTGTATTTTTTTTAATTTTCAGGGCAAAGATGGTGGCTTCATTGTCCGAGATTCCACCAGGAACACGGGGAAATATACTGTCTCTGTATTTGCCAAATCATCTGGGTAAGTGGAGTTTGCTAATGTGGAGTTTGCTAATGTTGTCAGTCTAGAGCAGTGGTTCTCAAACTGTGGGTCCCCAGATGTTTTGGCCTTCAACTCCCAGAAATCCTAACAGCTGGTAAACTGGCTGGGATTTCTGGGAGTTGTAGGCCAAAACACCTGAGGACCCACAGGTTGAGAACCACGGCTCTAGAGTATAATATGAGGGTCTTTGAAGGCCGGAGAATGTATCTGCCCTTCCCGATCTCTTTGTAACATTAACATAGTTTGGAAAGTTAGTGTTTCAGACCATAACACCTAGAACCACCAGTAACTGGCCATTCTGGGCTTTGGAGTTCATAAACCCTAACTTTTCTAACTTTGGGCATCATCAGTGCATGGTTGTTTTTACAGGGAACCCCAAGGGACCATCCGCCATTATGTGGTTTGCTCCACACCCCAGAACCAGTATTTCCTGGCAGAAAAGCACCTCTTCAGCACCATCCCAGAGCTCATCAACTACCATCAACACAACTCAGCAGGTAAGGAGGATCTGAGTGGGATCTTTCCCCTTCCTTTGCTGATCTTAGCAAGTGAGTTCAATAGACGGTAGGTGAATAACTGATGTTTCAGGATGAAGATAGGAGCCCCCAGTGGTGCAATGGGTTAACCCAATGGTTCTCAACCTGTGGGTCCCAGATGTTTTGGCCTTCAACTCCCAGAAATTCTAATGGCTAGGAAACTGGCTGGGATTTCTGGGAGTTGTAGGCCAAAACACCTAGGGACCCACAGGTTGAGAACCACTGGGTTAAACCCTTGTGACGGCAGGCCTGCTGATCAAAAGGTCAGTGGTTCGAATTTGGAGAGCAGGGTGAGCTTCTGTTTGTCAGCTCCAGCTTCCCATGCGGGGACATAAGAGAAACTTCCAGCAGGACTGCTGACCGAAAGGTCAGCGCTTTGAATCTGGGGAGTTGGGTGAGCTCCCATCTGTCAGCTGCAGATTCTCATGCGGAGATATGAGAGAAGCCTCCCACAGGATGGTAAAACAGCTGGGTATCCCATGGGCAATGTCCTTGCAGATGGCCAGTTCTCACACACTAGAATGGACTTGTAGTTTCTCAAGTTGCTCCTGACATGAAAAAAAATGATGAATATGTGGAGGAAAAAGGGAAAACTACTCTGGGTTGAGAACATTGATTGATGTGATTGAAGACTGAGTGAGAAAATGCGACATTTTGCAGCATCAGTGCAATGCCGGTCCAATAGCTCTGGTTTTCGCATGTGAATTGTAATTGCATTGCGATAGGTTGCTAATAAATAAATTATTTTGATGTGCTGCAGGGCTTATATCCAGATTGAAGTACCCTGTGTCATTGCAACAAAAAACAGCTCCTTCCACAGCAGGACTTGGATATGGTAATAAATAAATATTCTGAATTTAGGGACAATATGTATATGTTATGCTCACATCCTTTGCTATACTTCCCTGGAATGGTAACTGGACTTGGGATAAGTGAAACAAAATGCTGGTTTCAGTAGAAAGCTGCCCATTTTAATTTCCCATAGGATCCTGGACTGATGCAATGGATCCTTGGTATCTGCTGGGTTTAGTTCCAGACATTGCATGGATACAAAAATCTGTAAATGCTCAAATCTCATTATATGCAATGATTTTTAATAAGAGTTTCAAGCCATGGATGGTGAAAACCATGCAGAGCTGACTGTAACTTTGTTGGATGATTCCCTGGAATACTGAGAGATAAATGCCCCAACATCTGCATCCTTTCCTACAACCATTTACACCCTTCCTGTGTCTTGCATTGGTTCTAGGGGCATGGGAGATTGATCCAAAGGACCTGACCTTCCTAAAAGAGCTTGGGACCGGGCAGTTTGGTGTCGTGAAGCATGGGAAATGGAGAGGTCAGCACGACGTGGCGGTCAAAATGATCAAGGAAGGCTCCATGTCAGAAGATGCATTTATCGACGAAGCCAAAGTCATGATGTGAGTGGCAGCAAATCCTTCTCTTCACCCCTCTTTCAGGATCCTTTCCTTAGATCAAAGGCAAGGAAATCTCTTTCAGCATAAGTTCTTCATTAAGTTTCCGAAACCCTTTTTTGGTAAGGCTAGGAGATATTGCTGAAGTGTACTAAAAAGATGGAAAGGGAGAAAATTTTGATAATAAAGGTAAAGGTTTCCCCTTGACATTAAGTCTAGTAGTGTCCAACTCTGGGGGTTTGTGCTCATCTAAGCCTAGGAGCTGGCATTGTCCATAAACACCTCCAAGATCATGTGGCCAGCATGACTGCATGGAGTGCCGTTATCTTCCCGCCAAAGCGGTAACTATTGATCTACTCACATTTGCATGCTTTCAAACTGCTAGGTTGGCAGAAGCTGGTGTTAACAGCGGGAGCTCACCCCGCTCCCCAAATTTGAACCACCAACCTTTTGGTCAGCAAGTTCAGCAGCTCAGTGGTTTAACCCGCTGCACCACTGGGGACTGGTTTGCATTAATAGGAGTGTAGTTTCTAGAAGGGAAGTTAGAGTCATACTTTGTTCTACTTTGGTCAGACTTCACCTGGAATAACTCTGTGTCCTGCTCTGGGCACCACAATTCAAGCAGGATATAAACACCACTGCATAACTTATGCCATCTCAGTTTTAGAAAAAGGCAATCCCCATGAACAAATCTTGCCAAGAAAATCCCATAACAGGTTCATCTGAGAGCAACCAGAAATGACTCAAAGGCACAGAACAACTGCCAGTGATATTCTGGGACTTTAGAGTTGAGAATTCTGGGATTTGTAATTGTAACATGGCTAGTATTTCAGTCTCACATATTCTAAGCAATTACTTCTATCTCTTTATGCCTGCTGGACAAGGAAACAAAATATTCCAGTCCCTAAAGTTTCCAGACTTCTGCTCTTTCTCCTTCTGCTTTTCTTCAGGAACCTCTCTCATGAAAAACTTGTGCAGCTGTTTGGGGTCTGCACCAAGGAGAGACCTATCCTGATTGTCACAGAATACCTCTCCAAAGGGTGCCTTTTGAACTATCTACGAGACAGTCGACAGTCCTTCCAAGCCACTGACCTTCTAGAGATGTGCAAGGATGTCTGTGAGGCCATGGAGTACTTGGAGTCCAAGCAGTTCCTGCACAGGGACCTGGTGGGTTGAATACTCTTTGCCATTCTCCTGATGCAGGCCAACCTCTGTCTGGGCTTTACCACTTGAGACTAAATAGTCTCACAACCTCTGAGGATGCCTGCCATAGATGCAGGCAAAACATCAGGAGAGAATGCTTCTAGAACATGGCCATACAGCCCGAAAAACCTACAACAACCCAATGATAGGAGTTGTGCTTTGAAGCATCTGGAGAGCATGAGACATCTACAGACATTGCAAAGTTCCTTCCAGAAGACAATTTCAGAAGAATCTGCTTATTCTAAGAATGTGTACGTTACCCTCAAAGTCTGGAAGGCAACAAGTATCTAAGCATAGTTATTTGGGAAGGGAGAAGGCAAAGGAAACAACAAACACAGTTACGTTTTAAAAACAAAGAGGGAAACAGTAACACGAGCAAAGTTATTTCATTGTTATGAGGTTTAACAGCTTTTCATTCATTTTCGATGTTACTTTAAGAGAAACATTCTTACACTTTTCCTTAGTTACCCCAAGTGGATTTTCCCCACTCAAAAAACAGAAAGTGATGGAAAAAGCAGCAAGCAATGTAAGAGGTAATACAATGAGTTAGCTTTCTCCGCCATCATAATGAGTGGCAGGAGGAACAGTAAATTACGAAAATGCAAATTCCAAAGGCTCCCGGATTCCTCCAGGCGGAATGACCAGTTTTCATCGTAAGGTGCTTTTCTAAGTTTAGTGCATCTGAATCTTGAGAGTAAAGGACAGAGGTGATTACTCTCTTCCTTTCTAGGCTGCCATGCTCTTCCCTTGAGACCTCTTCCTCTTCTCTCTTCTACAGGCTGCCCGCAATTGCTTGGTCAATGAACAAGGTGTTGTCAAAGTCTCTGATTTTGGTCTCTCCAGGTCAGTTGGGAAAGAGTTGGGTTGCTTGGTCTCTCTCTCTCTTGTTCTTTCTCATTTTTAAATTTGCTTTGTCTTGTCTCCTTACCTTTGTGGCCTCCTGACATGCTTCCTTCTCTCTCATCTATTTACTATTTTCTTCCATTCCTAATAATAATAATATATTCCACTTTATCTCCATGGAAGGACTCAGAGTGGATTCCAGTATACAGATATATGGCAAACATTCAGTGCCCTTTACACCGTGAACAACAACGATATACAATACATAGACAAATGTAGAGTCCTCTCTCTTTTCATCTCTGGTGTCTGGAGGTGATGCTCAGCCCCGGACATGGGGAGGTGCTGTTGTTCCATTTTTCCATACTGAGGAGTCTGTTGTCTGTAGACATCTCCAATCGCATTTTGCCACATGTCTGGATGTCTGCTTGGGGTGCACTTTTACTTTCCTATGAGGCAGTACCTATTGATCTACTTGCATTGCATCTTTCGAACTGATAGGTTGGCAGAAGCTAGGACTGACAGTCAGGAACTCACCCCAATTAGTGGCTTCAAACTGCTGACCCTGTGGTCAGTAGATTTCCTGCAACTAGCAGTTTAACCGAGGCCCCAAAATAATTCCTACCATTCTTTCATTCATTATGTGGCTGTTTTCTTCCAACTCTTTTTATGTTGACTGCTTTATAGCTTTACGCCACTTAAGCAAATTTTAGAGTGCTAGACTCAGGGTTTTTTTTTCAAAAGCAGGTTTTCCAGCTGCACAAATATTCTTCCTCTTTTTTTTTCTTCTCCCCTTCCTTCTTATCTTCTTCCTCATCTTTTCTTCTTACTCGCCCACTCCCTCCTCCTTCTTTTCTTATTTTTCCTCCTCCTTCTATTTATTTCTATCCCGCTTTCTCTGTCTTAAAAGAGACCCAAATGTTCCTATCTGATTCCCCACCATCCCTTTTTAAAATTGCTTTGTATCTTTTGTAATTTCTACATAGAAGTCAGTTGTATTTATCTCCAATATACCAACAATTTGTTTATGAACAATTCAGGGCTTATCCAGAAGGGAAAAGATTTCCAGAAGTATCAAGACTTTTGGAGTGGTGGTTATCTGAAAACCCCCAGGTTTGGCCCAAACTCCTCCATTTCCTTGTGTTCTTTGTCCCATTGATTATCTAGACCAGCGTTTCTCAACCTGGGGGTAGAGATCCTTGGGTGGGCCATGAGGGGGTGCCAGAGGTGTCATCGAAGACCATCACAAAACACAGTGTTTTCTGTTGTTCATGGGGGTTCTGTGTGGGAAGTTTGGCTCAATTCTATGGTTGATGGAGTTCAGAATGCTCTTTGTAGGTGAACTATAAACCCCAGCAACTACAACTCCCAAATGTCAAGGCCTATTTCACCCAAACCAGTGTTCACATTTGGGCATATTGAGTATTCATGCCAAGTTTGGTCCAGATCCATCATTGATTGAATCCACAGTGTACTCTGGATGTAGGTGAACAACTCGAAACCTCAAGGTCAATGCCTACCAAACTCTTCCAATATTTTCTGTTGGTTGTGGGAGTTCTCTGTGCCAAGTTTGATTCAATTCCATCAGTGGAATTCAGAATGCTCTTTGACTGTAGGTGAACTATAACTCCCAGCAACCACAACTCCCTAATGGCAAAATTAATCTCCCCCTCAACCCCACCAGTATTCAAATTTGGGCATATTGGGTATTTGTGCCAAATTTCATCCAGTGAATGAAAATACATCCAGCATATCAGATATTTACGTTACGATTCACAACAGGAGCAAAATGACACTTATGAAGTAGCAATGAAAATAATGTTATGGTTTAGGGTCACCACAACATGAGGAACTGCATTAAGGGATTGTGGCATTAGGATGATTGAGATCCACTGATCTAGACTCATGTAACATTTTGGAAACTGATCTTCTCTCATTTCAGCGGTGGCTTTTTAATTGTTATTCAGAAGTAATATTTAGCAATATTAAGACTAGTCACACATCAGAATCAGTTTGTTTTGATGCAAAAATTCTCTCCCCCCCCCCCCCACTTTATCTCTGTTGAATGTGTTCTAACTTCTGGTGGCAACAGCTGTGTTTGCTGACATCCACCATTTTTTCCAGTTCCAAGTTAACTCAATTACACCATAATCTTTACAGGTATGTCTTGGATGATGATTATATTAGCTCCATGGGATCCAAGTTTCCAGTGCGTTGGTCCCCTCCAGAGGTCCTTCTCTACAGCAAGTTCAGTAGCAAATCAGATGTCTGGGCTTTTGGTGAGTTCAAATCACATGGAAAATCTTGCAACCTGTCAGAGATATGGTGATCCCAGCACTACTGCTAGGATCCACAAGCCCTGCTTTGGATGGCAGTAAATGAGTGAGGAGTAGAGTCCCAGTTCTTCAGCTAGCTATATGGGTTTAGGATTTGTCAAAGCTACTTTGTGTTGGCTTCCAAATGCAACGGAAGTACCAACAACAGGGAGGGGACTGTAGTACTTCCTAAAAACTGCCACTAGTAAGCTCAAAAAAGGGGCCGTGCCAGGGACAGGAAGCAGACTGCTTTGGTGGAATCTAAATGTGGTTTTGGATCTGAATGTGTATTTTTTGTTCAAGAAAAGCCAGGACCAAAATAAATTATTAATAATAATGCACCCACCTCTCTGCATTGAGGGATGAATTCATCTGTCCTTCTCACTCTCCCTTTCCTCAGATTTTTCTATCTGATCCCTTCTGTAGAATGAACATAAAAATGGTATTAGATCCCAGACAATAATGTGTAACTTGGATTGTCCCCTTAATACTGCTGAACTGCAACTCCTATCAGCCCTAGGCAGCATCATCAGTAATGAGGAGCAATGAATGTTAACCATGAACAACTCCTGAGGGGTCATATTCCTTATCCTTAGCTTCTAGGGCAGGGGTCCTCAAACTATGGTCCGAGGGCCAGATACGGCCCTCCAAAGTCATTTACCTGGCCCTCACTCAGGGTCAACTTAAGTCTGAAATGACCTGAAAGCACAAAACAACAATAACAGACCTTTCTCATTTAGACAAAAGCAGGCCCACACTTCCCACTGAAATACTAATAAGCTTATATTTGTTAAAATTGTTCTTCATTTTAATTATTGTATCATTTTAAAGTGTTTCTGCACTAAAAATAAGATATGTGCAGTGTGCATAGGAATTAATTCATGTTTTTTTCAAATTGTAATCTGGCTACAAATACATGGCAAAGCAGAAACAAAACTTAAATGAATTGATGTGCATGGCATTCCCACTTCCATCAGGATCACCTTCTCTTCAAGTAGATTCCTATTGTAAGCCCGTGGCACCCCTGCTCCTGAAGACCCCCATTATGCAGAACTAAGGGTTATCGTCACTGTAGAAATAATGGTGCTTTACACCACTTGATCTGCCATGGCTCAATGTTATGGAATCACGGGAGTTGTAGTTTATAAGGTCTTGAGCCTTCTCTGCCAAAGAGTGCTGATAGCCCATCAGAGTACAACTCCCAGTTAAAGTAGTGTCCAAACACATTTATTCTATGGTGTAACTGCATCCCGAAAGATAACCCAGAATCAGATAATCATATTGGCAGAGAATGCATGGGCCATCTAGTCCAACTCTCTTCTGTCATGCAGGAAAAGCACAATTAAATCACCCTCGACAAATGGCCATTCAGACTCTGTTTAAAAGCTTCCAAGGAAGGTGCTTCCACTGGAGTTTCACTGTTGAACAGCTCTTCTTAAAGCCAGGAAGTTCTTCCTAATGTTAAGGTGGAATCTCCTTCCCTGTCATTCGAACCCATGGCTCCATTGAGACCTAGTATCCAGGGCAGCAGAAAACCAGTCTGCTCCCTCTTCATTAGAGCATCTTTTCATACATTTACACATATCTAACAGAAGGCTGTACTGTGAGTAATTTCATGTCTTCTTGTGGTATTTTCCTGGCTGGCAGGTGTCCTGATGTGGGAGCTCTACAGCTTGGGAAAGATGCCCTATGAGCGGTTCAGCAACAGCGAGACAACGGACCACGTGACCAAAGGTCTGCGTCTCTACCGTCCTCAGTTGGCTTCGGACAGAGTCTACAGCATCATGTATAGCTGCTGGCATGAGGTAAGGCAGCCCCAAGACCCGGCGAATTTTGGCTCTCCAGGTGTTTTGGACTTCAACTCCCACAATTCTTAACAGACTGTAGGCTGTTAGTAACTGTGGGAGTTGAAGTCCAAAACACCTGGAGGGCCGAAGTTTTCCCAGGCCTGCCCAAGACACTACTTCAGGAGAACCTTAACCACAATGCAAGCAATGAGAACTTTCAAAGCAAATGGCAAACACGCACGCACACACACAAAGAAACAATACTTTAAATAAAATTAAAATAAACTCAATTTTTAGTGGAAATGTCACATAATCAATATAACATTTTTACTATGAATTGAATTTATTTTAATTTTTATTTAAAGTATTTGTTGTTGTTTATTTGTTCCATCACTTCCAACTCTTCGTAACCTCATGGACCAGCTGTCATGGATTTAAAGTATTGTTTCTTTTATATATATTTTGGCTAGGTCTTTTTGTTTTTAAAAGTCTTAATTTGCTTATAATGACTGTATTCCAATGTCAATATCAAGTCAATGGTATGGTATAGTATGGGGCATGCAGTATTAGTTAGGCCTTTTCAAATAGCAACTAGCAACCAACCAGAAACAACATTTATCTGGCATCCACCAATCCCCATGGATGCAAGTTAAGAGAGAATCTACTGTGTTAGGCTTTCCTTACAAAAAGAAAACAGAAATGAGGAAACCATGAAAATGAACAAAATCTGGTTACCAGTATTTTTTTTAAAAAAAACCCTCCAAAATCAGGACAGTAAATAAAGAGCAACACCCCAAAAGTGGAAATTCCAGACAAAAATCAATCAGGAACAGTGACACATGGTTTATCAATATTTCGACAACACAATGAACTTAGAGTTTCCAAAATAACAGTTAAACAATATCCGGCACAGTGGCACAAAATAACACTTTCTATGTAGTCGAAAGATCTTCTTCCATAAACAACATCAATGACAGTGACACACAACAAGGTCTCCCGGGTTGTTTCCCTTGTTTCGCAATGTCTTCATCAGGTGTTATGATGTTGTAATTRACTAAATAAGAAACACAGCAACATACAAATAATAGATATACTACAATCCCCAAAWTGACATAGTTTTGAAAAGGTTGTCATTGTACATGCATGKCTACTTACATTCTWATAGGTYGCTATCAGTTCTGTTTTGATTTCCTATCAGCATTTATAGTTTTTGGATTCACTAGATAGGAAAAGGACAATATATAAACAAAAAGGTATACTAGAATGCCCAAAACCCCATTGWWTGAAMSSKTTRWAACAATGGGGTTTTGGGCATTCTAGTATACCTTTTTGTTTATATATTGTCCTTTTCCTATCTAGTGAATCCAAAAACTATAAATGCTGATAGGAAATCAAAACAGAACTGATAGCRACCTATWAGAATGTAAGTAGMCATGCATGTACAATGACAACCTTTTCAAAACTATGTCAWTTTGGGGATTGTAGTATATCTATTATTTGTATGTTGCTGTGTTTCTTATTTAGTYAATTACAACATCATAACACCTGATGAAGACATTGCGAAACAAGGGAAACAACCCGGGAGACCTTGTTGTGTGTCACTGTCATTGATGTTGTTTATGGAAGAAGATCTTTCGACTACATAGAAAGTGTTATTTTGTGCCACTGTGCCGGATATTGTTTAACTGTTATTTTGGAAACTACAATAAAGTTGGTAAATTGCAACATTCACGCTTTCCTCAAGCAGACAATAGTTCTTTCTTCCACCCTGGACATTCCATAGATAGGTAAACCTCTTTTGCCTAGTTTGCAACAGACCTCACAACCTCTGAAGATGCCTGCCATAGATGTGGGCAAAACGTCAGGAGAGAATGCTACTGGAACATGGCCACGCAGCAGAGAATACTCACAGCAACCCAGAAAAGAAAAATCTCAATGACATTCATACTCCCTGGAGGGTATTTGTTTTATTAGACTCTGATTTGTAACAACCCCATCCAATATTTCTCCCCGTTGTTTGGGCCATTCTGCTGAGAGAGCACTTTCAATGTTCATCCAAATGCCGTCTTCTGTTTTTTTTTAAAGTTTAATCTACATAACTCTTTTTCTTTTACCCCAGAAACCGGAGGAGCGCCCCACCTTCCACGTTCTCCTGGGTCACATCGTGGATTTGACCAATGAAGACCCTTGACATGGTACTCCTTTTGCTGCTGTTCATTTGTGCCATCTTTGCTTGATAAATTTCTGAATGGACATAGGATGGATCAATCTGCAAGGAGACCATCATGGCAGACATTGCTGGATCCACAGGAAATTTTCTTATCTCTTCGCTTCCATGTAACAAGTGGCTTGTATATAAAATTCTCGACGAACAACCACCCTTCTGAGGGCAAAAAACTGGTTAGACGCCTTTTCCCTTAAAAGTCTTATGTCATGGCCTGTGGCTAGTACAATAAACACTTTCTTACTTAGGAGACCCCTCGTTGTCTGAGTAAGATTGCCCTCCAAGTTTGCGTCTGTAGGTGACTGTGGACTGTGGAGCCCTATTCTTGACCTTGGGCAGCTGGAGGTCAGCTGTGACCAGCAGTGCTGCAGAATTTGAAGAGGCACAAATAGAGGGTGAAAGAGAGAAACGTGCCAAGAGGAAGGCGCGTCAAGCCAACCCTGACCGAGACCGCCTTCCACCTGGAAACCAATGCCCTCACTGCGGAAGAAGATGCAGGTCAAGAATAGGGCTCCACAGCCACCTACAGACACAAGAATTCTGATCCTGGAAGACTATCCTACTCGGCCAATGAGGGATTGCCTAAGTAAAGTAAGTAAGTAATTCTTGACCTGCATGTTCTCCCACAGTGAAGACATCAGTTTCCAGGCGAAAGGCGGTCCCAGTCATGCCTTCCTCTTGGCACATTTCTCTCTTTCGCCCACCATTCATGCCTCTTCAAATTCTACAGCACTGCTAGTCACAGCTGACCTCCAGCTAGAGCGCTCAAGGGCCAGGGATCCCAGTTCTCGGTGTCTATGCCACAGTTTTTAAGGTTGGCTTTGAGTACAATAAACAATTTGTTCATTCATTCATTTCCTCAAAATGCATGGATGTCTTTGTCTAACACAATGGGATTTAAACATTATTTCAAGGTTGTAAGACTCGAGGAAATAATTGTACAATGACTGAATCATAATTACAAAAGTAATGTCAAAATGTAGTATGGCATATTAAGGAAATGTATTTTGTTGCTTCAGTCATTGTCCTGCCAGAGGTTCAGATCTGCTTTTCATTTTCAATTTTTTAAAGATAGGGTGAATTCAGGTAAAAGGTAAAGGTTTCCTTTTGACATTAAGTCCAGTCGTGTCTGACTCTGGGGGCGGGGGTGCTCATCTCCATGTCTAAACCAAAGAGCTGGCATTATCCGTAGACAGACACCTCCAAGGTCATGTGGCTGGCATAACAGCATGATGGCAGAGGATTGTCACTTCAATGCTGGTGGTCTTTGCTTGTTCCAGTGTTCTTCTGTAGTGATTTATTTACAGATTAAACCAGCAAGCATAGATAAGAATACCACAGCACGGTTGTTGATAACCGTTTGCAACTTTCGTTTTGCTATTTGTTATAGATATCTGATAGATAGATATCTATCAAAAGATAGATGCTTTTGAACTGTGGTGTTGGAGGAAAGTCCTGAGAGTGCCTTGGACTGCGAGAAGATCCAACCAGTCCATCCTCCAGGAAATAAAGCCCGACTAAAGTTCACTGGAGGGAAGGATACTAGAGACAAAGTTGAAGTCCTTTGGCCACATCATGAGGAGACAGCAAAGCCTAGAGAAGACAACGATGCTGGGGAAAGTGGAAGGCAAAAGGAAGAGGGGCCGACCAAGGGCAAGATGGATTTATTTATTTATTTACTTACTTACTTTGCTTCTATACCACTGTTCTCAGCCCGAAGGCGACTCACAGCGGTTCACAGTCAGTAAAAACAGCAATAATTCAATGCAACATATAACAACAATTAACAACTTAACACATTACCCGCTCAGTACACAATTACTACCATAACCAAACCCAATCGTCTCATCATCAAAAAACATAATCCAGATTCGTCATCCATTGTTCATTCCTATGTTCATTACCAATCATTGTACTAGTTATTTGAACGCCTGCACACACAGTCAGGTCTTCCGTTTTTTACGGAATACCATGAGAGATGGGGCCGATCTAATGTCCATGGGAAGGGCGTTCCACAGCCGAGGAGCCACCACCGAGAAGGCCCTGTCTCCCGTCCCCACCAACCGTGCTTGAGAAGCTGGCGGGATCAAGAGCAGGGTCTCCCTGGAAGATCTCAAAGTCCTGGTGGGTTCATAGGCAGAGATGCGGTCGGATAGGTATCTTGGGCCGGAACCGTTTAAGGCTTTATAGGCCAACGCCAGCACCTTGAATTGAGCCCGGTAGCAGATCGGCAGCCAATGGAGCTGGCGCAACAGGGGGGTTGTATGCTCCCTGCGTTCCGCTCCTGTTAGATGGCATCCTTGAAGTGACTGGACTGACCTTGAAGGGGCTGGGGGTGGTGACGGCCGACAGGGAGCTCTGGCGTGGGCTGGTCCATGAGGTCACAAAGAGTCGGAGACGACTGAACGAATGAACAACAACAATAGATATCTGTGTTCCTTGGATGCTCAATGCCATTGAAGGGGGGGATTTTAGTTGTACAAGGCCTTAGGCCTTCTGCTTCTAAATAGTGCTAGGCCCCAACAGTTCCTCATGAAACTCCCACAGCCCTTCAAGTGAGGCCTCCATCCCATCAAGAGAGCTCTTGGCCTGGGCTGTGTTTCCAACTGACGCCTGTCACTCTTTGGAGTCGCTCTACCACTGACAACACCCCCTCTCAGGGTGTTCCTTGCTGTTTGCGTGCTGCGCATGCGCAAGGCGGCAGGCCGGAAACAGGAAGCGCGATCCACTTCCGGCGAGGCGCCCGTGCGTGTGTGGAGGCGCGGGAAGGTCGGGGCCCGGCATGGAGGCTTCCTCGGCGGCGGGGGACCTGGGGGCGGCCGTGAACGACCCCCAGCTGCAGCACTTCATCGAGGTGGAGACGCAGAAGCAGCGCTTCCAGCAGCTGGTGCACCAGATGACCGAGCTGTGCTGGGTAAAGAAGGAAGGAGGAAGGAGGCCCAAGGGCGGCCCTTGCCCGGCCCTCACCTCCCTCCAGGACAGGGCCCCGCGGAAACTGCAACTCCCAGGGACCCGTAGCCTTGGGCCAGGGCAGAGCAAGGGCCTCCTCACAGAAAAACAGAAGGCCAGGAGTCTGCCCCCCTCCCAACTTCAACTGCCTCTTCCTATCTGCTTTGAACCGGATTATATGCCAGTGTGGACTCGGGGCTCATCCACACAGCTTTATAACCCAGAATATCAAGGCAGAAAATCCCACAATATTTGCTTTGAACTGGATTATATGACAGTGTGACTCGGGGCCCTTCCACATAGCCATATAACCCAGAATATCAAGGCAGAAAATCTCACAATATCGGGTTTGAACTGGATTATTTGACATTGTGGACACGGGGCTCTTCCACATAGCCATATAACCCAGAATATCTGCTTTGAATTGGATTATATGCGAGTGTGGACTCAGGGCCCTTCCACATAGCCATATAACCCAGAATATCAAGGCAGAAAATCCCACATAATCTGCTTTGAACTGGATTATATGACAGTGTGGACTTGGGGCCCTTCCACATAGCTATATAACCCGGAATATCTGCTTTGAACTGGATTATATGGCAGTGTGGACTCGGGGCCCTTCCACATAGCTATATAACCCGGAATATCTGCTTTGAACTGGATTATATGCCAGTGTAGACTCAGGGCCCTTCCACATAGCTATATAACTGGAATATCAAGGCAGAAAATCCCACAATATTTGCTTTGAACTGGATTATATGACAATGTGGACTCAGGTCCCTTCCACATAGCCATATAACCCAGAATATTTGCTCTGAATTGGATTATATGACAGTGTGGACTTGGGGCCCTTCCATATAGCCATATAACTAGAATATCAAGGTAGAAAATCCCACAATATTTGCTTTAAACTGGATTATATGACAGTGTGGACTCAGGGCCCTTCCACATAGCTATACAACCCAGAATTATCAAGGCAGAAAATCTCACAATATCTGCTTTGAACTGCATTATATGACAGTGTGGACTCGGGGTCCTTCCACATAGCCATATAACCCAGAATATCAAGGCAGAAAATCCCACATGATCTGCTTTGAACTGGGTTATCTGAGTCCATACTGCTATATATTCCAGTTCAAAGCAGATAATGTGGGATTTTATCCAGCTGTGTGGAAGGGGCCTCTGATAACCCAGTTAAAAGCAAATACTGTGGATTTTATGACTTGATATTCTGGGTTATATGGCCATATGGAAGTGCCTTGAGTCCACTCTGCCATATAACCCACGGCCCTTCCACACAAGCCTGTAATATAGAATATTAGAATAGAAAATCCCACAATATCTGACCTAAGACCACTTCTACACTGACATATAGTCCTCATCTGATCTGTCCAAGTTATTAATACACACACACACATATATTTTTAGAAACTGGCATTTTGTTAATTGGGCATCTACTAGCAGTCATAGCTCTAGACCTGCATTCGCTTGCCTTCAGTGTTTCTCAACCTGGGGGTCGGGACCCTGGGAGGGTCGTGAGAGGGTTTCAGAGGGGTCACCAAAGACCATCAGAAAAAATGTATTTCTGATGGTCTTAGGAATTCCTTTGGCATAGTTGTTTGGTTTCACAGAGGATCTAGGTGAACTACATCTCCCCTAAAATCATGGTCAATTCATCCCAAATCTGTGTGGGAAGTTTGGCCCAATTCTATAGTTGGTGGGGTTCAGAATGCTCTTTGATTGTAGGTAAACTATAAATCCCAGCAACTACAACTCCCAAATGTCAAGCTCTCTTTTCCCTAAACTCCACCACTGTTCACATTTGGGCATATTGAATATTTGTGCCAAGTTTGGTCCAGATCCATCATTGTTTGAGTCTATAGTGCTCTCTGGATGTAGGTGAACTACAACCCCAAAACTCAAGGTCAATGCCCACCAAACCCTTCCAGTACTTTCTATTGATCAAGTTTGGTTCAATTCTATCATTAGTGAAGTTAAGAATGCTTTGATTGTACGTGAACTATCAATCCCAGCAAATCCCAAATGACAAAATCAATCCGCCGCCCCCCCAAAACTCCGCCATTTGGATGTATCGGGTATTTGTGCCCAATTTGGTCCAGTGAATGAAAATATATCTGCATATGAGATATTTATATGACAATTCCTAACAGTAGCAAAATGACAGTTATGGAAGTAGCAAGGAAAATATTGTTATGGTAGGGGGTCACCACATGAGGAACTGAGTTAAGGGGTCGCGGCATTACGAAGGTTGAGAAACATTGTGTTAGGTGATTTTCTCTTTCATTCTCCCATAGGAGAAATGCATGGACAAACCGGGCCCAAAGCTGGACAGCAGAGCAGAGGCCTGCTTTGTGAACTGCGTGGAGCGGTTCATTGATACTAGCCAGTTTATCCTCAACCGGTTGGAACAGACGCAGAAATCCAAGTCTGCCTTCTCTGAAAACCTCTCGGACTGAACTTGAAGCTATGGCAACCATGTTTTCTTCATTGAAGGGGAAGCAGAGGAGGTGGTGGAAGGAGCAGAAGAAAGGATCTTTAGTGATAAGCTATGTAGAAGGTCGACTGCCACGTTTGTGATGGACTTCTGAGCTTCATGACCACCTTTCTCAACTCAAGTTTTAAATTCCCATTGTACGAACATCAGCAGATGAATAAGGCTGTGCAGAATCACGCACGTACTGCTTAACATGGGCTTGTGTTGCCCCACGTTTTTTAATAAATGGTTTCCGTTTTGGATAATGGAAACTTTATACCAGAATTGTGATTTGAACAGCATGCTTTCCCGACGGTGATTCCAGGGAAGCACGCCTGTTCATGCTTAAGAACGTCTTTCTTTTTGAGATTTAAGAATATGGAAATCTTGAGACACTAATGTGAATGATGGGACGAACGGGTGCAGATGTGCCTTTAAAATGGTACTATGTTTTAGCACTGTTAATTTAAGCAGTATGAATTGCTTGCCTGCCGCTTGCTTGAAATATGCAGCTGAGTTGCCTTTGAAAAGCTGTAACTGGATGTGGCAGTTGCACAAAGGGAGGCAGGCTCAGTTTGCGGGAATGTGCCAGTCAAGACGTGTTGTCTGTCACAAGGTGCTTTTTCCAAACCCTTCTTAGCACAGCTGGAAAGAATGCTACAGAGGGCACGTGTCTGTTTTGGGAGGGACTGTCACTCATGTGGTTATGTAAATGTTTCACTTAAGAAGTCCAAAAGGCAATCCTGACTTTCTCCATTAACTCCTTTCCTCTTGATCAGTGGAATAAACATAAACTGGATCCATTTTCCAATGTCTGTTTAGTTGGTTGTTATTTCCACTCACTATATTGGGGAACCAAGTATAGGAGTTAGTGTGCCCTAGAGCAGTGTTTCTCAACCTGGGGATCGGGACCCATGGGGGGGTCGCGAGGAGGTGTCAGAGGGGTTGCCAAAGACCATCAGAAAACACAGTATTTTTCTGTTGGTTGTGGGTGTTCTGCGTGGGAAGCTTGGCCCAATTTTCTCATTGGTGGGGTTCAGAATGCTCTGTGATTGTAGGTGAACTATAAATCCCAGCAATTACAACTCCCAAATGTCAAGCTCTATTTCCCCCAAATTCCACCACTGTTCACATTTGTGCCAATATCTGGTCCAGATCCATCATTATTAGAGCCCACAGTGCTTTCTAGAGCTTGGTGAACTATAACTCCCAAACTCAAGGTCAATACCCACCAAACTCTTCCAGTATTTTCTGTTGGTCATGTGTGCCACGGTTGGTTCAATTCCATCGTTGGTGGAGTTCAGAATGCTCTTTGATTGTAGGCGAATTATAAATCCCAGCAACTACAACACCCAAGTGACAAAATAAATCCCCCCAACCCCACATATTGGGTATTTGTGCCCAGTTTGGTCCAGGGAATAAAAATACATTCTGCATGTCGGATTTTTGCATTTCAATACATAACACTAGCCAAATTACAGTTATAAAGTAGCAATGTAAATAATGTTATGGTTGGGGGTCACCACAACATGAGGAAATGGATTAAGGGGTCGCGGCACTAGGAAGGTTGAGAAACACTGCCCTAGAGTAAAGGTTTCCCCTGACATTAAATCTAGTCATGTCAGACTGGAAGGGGGGGGGGGGGGGGGGGGGGGGGGGGGGGGGGGTGTGTGTGATGCTCATCTACATTTCTAAGCTGAAGAGCCGGCATTGTCCATAGACACCTCCAAGGTCATGTGGCTAGCATGACTGCATGGAGCTCTGTTACCTTCCCGCAGAAGCTGTACCTATTGATCTAATCACATCTGCATGTTTTCAAACTGTTAGGTTGGTTGGCAGGAGCTGGGCTAAGAGCAGGAGCTCACCCTGCTCCCCAGATTCGAACTGCCACCAACCTTTCAGTCAGCTAGTTTGGCAACTCAGCAGTTTAATCTGCTGCGCCTCAAGGGAGCCGTAGAATACTATATAGCCATGGTGCAACAATTTGAGGGACTGTGACCTGGCCCACTGTTTAAAAAGTTTGTGGACCCCTGAATTAATGCATCACATAAGAGGTTTTTAAATTATTATCCTTTACAGAAGCCTACTGTTGCCTACTCAGATGAATATCAATCATACTTAATCTAAAATACTTATAGCTAAAGCTTTTCTACCTGCTGGCTTGAGCACTGTATTATAATCCCAGAGACCAGGGTTCAGATCCCCATTCAACCTAACTAGCATAACCAGGAATGAGGATTGCCTGGAGCTACAACTAAACAATACTTGGAATGTCAAAAGCTTTCATGGTCAGAATTACTAGGTTGCTGTGAGTTTTCCGGACTGTATGGCTATATTCCAAAAGCATTCTCTCCTGACGTTTCGCCCACATCTCTGGCAGGCATCCTCAGATGTTGTGAGGCCTGTTGGAAACTAGGCAAGTGAAGTTTATATATCTGGAGCATGGCCATACAGCCCGGAAAACTCACAGCAACTCAATATTTGGAATGATACATGATTCTCATCCCTGGTCCAGATCTACTAACATAAATGTCTTATAGATTCTATAGCTTGTCCCTTCTGGGGGTAACAAATCTAGCTAATCCAATTCTGCTCAAATATACTTGCAAACCAATTGGCTTTCCAAGAGGTGACACAAACCAAATTACGCACTATTCTACAGATAGAATCATAGAGTTGGAAGAGACCTCATGGGCCATCCAGTCCAACCCCATTCTGCCAAGAAGCAGGAATATTGCATTCAAAGCACCCCTGACAGATGGCCATCCAGCCTCTGTTTAAAAGCTTCCAAAGGAGCCTCCACCACACTCTGGGGTAGAGAGTTCCAGTGCTGAACAGCTCTCGCAGTCAGGAAGTTCTTTCTCATGTTCAGATGGAATCTCCTTTCTTGTAGTTTGAAGCCATTGTTCCTAGTCTCCAGGGCAGCAGAAAACAAGTTCGCTCCTTCTTCCCTGTGAGTTCCTCTCACATAAAAATAAAAGATCTATTTTGAGTAAACCACATTTTCAATATATCTAGAAGGGAAATGCTCTGAAGAGCCACTGTGCATAGCAACTGGCCAGGCAACAAGTTGGGATGCAAGGCCTTCTAAAAGGAAGACTGAGTGGTCCTGAACAGCTAGCATAAGTCTGAAGTGTCCAAAACAATTTACATGTATCTCCAATTCCTGTAACTGGAAATGCTGTATTGTACAAACAAAGTAAGACTGATTTTAAATAACTTATAAACTTTAATACTTAAAAATGTTAATCTTTAAGGCCACCTAAAATGCATTGTCTTTATGTTCACATAGGAGATGAACAGATGAGGCACACATGGAAGGGGGAAAAAAACAAGTCCTTCTGATTTTGGCAAAAATCAAGGATTTTGCTTAAGGAAGCTGTCTGGTATCATCTGCTGGTATACAAAAGCTAAACCCTCTACCAAGCACCTAGTAGCATCTGTGGGATACCTTAGGTAGCAGAAGCAAGCCCACCTGGCATCCATTCCAGTTATTGCTCCTCTGTTCTTAAAATGACCCAAAGGAAGGGAAATACAAGGTGAATCCTTGTTCATACTCATGGGCATTTTCCCCATTTCCTGTCTTCCACTTTCTGAACTGAGAAAGCAGAGAAGAGAAAAAAAATAAAATTTCCTTCTTACTTAAACATTCCTGGCTATGGTATTTTACTTGTGTCCATTCTATACGATTCCTCCCCACCTCCCCTCCAATCCTAACTATTTCCAGATGATAACATTTCAAAGCTGGTATTGCATGTGGAGCAAGTAAATCCAAAATGTCAATCTGTATATTATCCTTCGGGCCGTTTTGGATATCTGGAAGACAAGAAATCAACAAAGTGAGTTTTAGTTCATCCACTTTCTGAATTCCAGCTTGGTTCTATTGGTCCTCTTAGTTTGGTCAAACATGTCATCAGTGAATGCTCAAGTATGAAAACAGTGGCCCCAAATGCTTCAGTATTTGATGCCTGATCCCAGTTTTCTGCTGGAAAGCACCAGTAGTCTTTTAAAAAGGCCCGAAGCTTGTCATGCAGTGTTTGTGCGATGTTATGAGCCAATGTATTAGTGTTCATAAATCTTGGCTGGCCTGCTCTTCTGCTCTGTCTATGTCCACCTTGTTGGCATACTCTGGCTCCAGAAGGGGCTGGTGGACACAAGAGTAATGCTTGCCCTCACTTCTCCAAGTATGCGTGTTTGTTTGGTCCTGCTTCAGGAACAGAGGTAGCAGGTCTGCAGTAAAGGGGATGTCTCTGAAAGCATGAAGGAGGAAGATGCCGAGGACTATGGTGAGGAAGCCGCTGATAGTGCCGATGATGTTCATCAAGACAAGATGCTGCCACTCCTTGAACAGGATGGCTGAACACATCATGACTGCTGTGGTGAAGAGGACATAATAGATGGGGGTGACCACAGAGGTGTTGAAGATATCCAAGGCCTTGTTCAGGTAGTTGATCTGGATACTGATGCAAACGACGAGAGACACCAAGAGCACCCAGCCCAGCGGATCCTTCCAGACAGGCTTCCCAGCGAACAGCTCTTTCAAGGCAAGGCCCAAGCCTTTGACGCAAGAGACGGAGAGCGAGCCAATGGCGGAGCAGACCAGAACGTACACCAGAACGTTGCGCTGCCCATACCGAGGCCCAGCCACGAAGATGAGAAGGAGCGAACTCAACAGCATGCATGCAGCAAACACGATAAATCCTGGAAGGAAGGAAAAAGGAAGTCATGAAGATCTATTTCAGGCATATGTAAACTTTGGCCTGAATTGTGGGAAATGAAGTCCAAAGTGTTGGAATTCAACCCCACACTACTCAAGTCTGCAGTCCTCAATGAGGAACAGTTTAGTTAGTTTAGTATAGACTAAAGTTTCCCTTCCTCCATGTCGCCTGAATGACACCTGGGAATGTATTTTCTTCTTCTCTCTTCTCTGTTTCTGCTTTCATTCTGTTTGGTTGTTTAAAATGGATACTTTTCTACTGCAAGCCTTTTAAAATCTGCCTTCTGCCTTCTTACACTTTACTATGGAGAGTATGTGCTGTGTGCTTTGAGATCTCTCTCTGCTTGTGTGTCAGGAGAGATGTAATGGTTGAGTTTCTCCCTCTCTTGAAACCTTAGAAGAGATGAGTGTTAGAGTAGCCCAGACCCAGTTCTCCATCATTAAGAAATGCAGTTATTTCCTATTATTGTAAATAAACCTTTTGTGATTTTTAATATTGGACTCTGCATGTTTGCCTCCTAAGCTCTGAATTCTTTACAGCCACATCACATGCCTCGCTAATGAGCTGATGCTCAAATTTTGTATTGTTTGTTTTTTGAATATTCTGCCATATTTTAGGGTAGTTTTCTCTAACACAAGCCTGGAGGGAGGGCTGAGGTTTGGCCATGCCCGATCTATTTGTATCTTAGGAGTGAGTTCAGAAAAGTTGAGAATGGTTTGTACTTGGCCTTGTACCTGATTTATTTTTCCGATGAAACCATCTTGACCAAAGCCTTCGACAATGGGTTATTACTTTTTAAACACAGCACTGTTGCAGTCAACTATTCCCTCCCCACAAAAAAACAACATACTAATTAACAAGTTCTTTCTCAGCCTAATCAATGCTCCTGTCCCCCCCATAATATGATATTTTGATGATACTGATATTGCTGAAGGAAAAATATTACAATACTAGCTATCCTCTGCCATGCATTGCTGTGGCCCAGTCTGTTGATCTGGAAAATAAACTAATGAGAAAGTGTTGGTTTCTAATAGTATATGTAATTTCTTTCTGCTTGGGGGTAAACAGTATTTCTTGCTGTTTCTTTGTCAGTGTTGATGTGGAGAGTGTCTGGTTTGCCCACCCTGGAACATGCTACATATCATTGTCCTTCTTTAGGGGCCCCTTTGCAAATCTAGGTTACTATATCTGTGTGTGTGTGAATTATATCTATCAATCTATATCTATGGATGGATGGCTCTTTGTCAGGAGGGCTTTGATTACGTTTTCTTGCCCTGATGAAGGGAGTTGGATTGGATGGCCTTAAGTATTTGCTGATGGTCATGGGGGTTCTGTGTGGGAAGTTTGCCCCGATTCTGTCGTTTGTGGGCTTCAGAATGCTCTTTGACTGTAGGTGAACTGTGAAGCCCAGTGACTACAACTCCAAAATTTCAAGGCGTATTTTCCCCAAACTCCATCTGTGTTCATATTTGGGCGTATTGAGTGCTTGTGCCAAGTTTGGTCCAGATCCATCATTGTTTGAGTCCAAAGTGCTATCTGGATGTAGGTGAACTACAACTCCCAAATTCAAGGTCAATGCCCACCAATCCCTTCCAGTATTTTCTGTTGGTCATGGGAGTTCTGCGTGCCAAGTTTGGTTCAATTCCATCATTGGTGGAGTTCAGAATGCTCTTTGATTGTAGGTGAACTATAAATCCTAGCAACTACAACTCCCAAATGACAAAATCATAATTTTTTGAGTGATGGTCACTCCTTGTGTTGTGAGACATTTTGTTGCCAAATTTGGTGTGATTTCGTTCATTGGTTCTTTTGTTTTTAAGGTACTCGTTATGCACAGAGCATTTATATATATATAGATGCATTTATGTCCTTGGATTATTGGAACAAAACAAGCTTAAATTATTGAATCCTTCAGCAGTTTTCAAGTGACGAGATGGGGAAGCTGAGAAGTGCTGGTCCAGAGCTTTTAATACAGAATGTCCTGGACCAACCATCAAGGTCTGCATTAGTTTTGATTAGTGGGCTCTAGTGCAGGCATGTGCAAACTTGGGCCCTCCAGGTGTTTTGGACTCCAACTCCCACAATTCCTAACAGCCTCAGACCCTTTCCTTTCCCCCCTCAGCTGCTTATTCTCCTCTCCAAACTCAAAGTTTTCATGATACAGACAAGAAGAGGGCTAATTATAATACCTGGATCCTTTAGTTTCTCTGCCATTGACTCCAGACTGGAGACTTCTTCCTCCTGCGGAGCGTGGATTACCATCACGGTGGAACCTAAAATGCTCAGGATGCAGCCAATCTTCCCATGAATGTTGAGCTGTTCATGCAGGAAGTAGGAAGCCAAAACTGCACTACAGAGAGAAAGGCAATGTTTGTGGGAAAGGGTCAGAATACGTCAGCAGAGACCTGGTCTCTAGGGTGAATGCTGAGAGAAGAGGTGACATATAGCCCTCCAGATGTTTGACAACAATGCTCCCCTTTCCTATTCAGCAATGTTTACAATGGCTTGCCCAAAACAAGTCACTACCCTCAATTTAAAAGCTAAGAAGCACCTGATGGCATTGTGCTTACCTAACTAAGACACTTAAGGCTCCAAGAGGAGTGACGAGTGTTGCTGGGGCAAAAGCATATGCAGCAAAGTTGGCAGCTTCTCCGATTCCCACTGTAAGAAAGAATTAGTCCGTCAGAGATGCAACATGGCAAATACACAGCAATGTTTGTCTCGGTTTGACAACATGCTTCTTAATTAGCCATTTTATTTGATGGGCAAGAGCAAACAGGATGATGGGCTAAGGAATATTCTTCATCCATCAAGCTGTCAGTGTGTGATACTAATTATTATGACTAGCAAGGCTATGTTATGAGAAAAAAAAACCCATCTTCACCAAGTCAAATAAATGTGAAAGTCAAATAATTTTCAGGTAGAGACAGCCAAAATGGTCATGGCAGCGGTCAAATCTTGCATTGAGATGCTCACTAGACAGCAGTCCTCCCCACCACAGCCATTCTTTCAGGTACGCATGGCCTCCAAGACCTGGGAAGAAAAGAGCAACACAAGCCCAAGGTAAGCTTCACGGGAAATCAGAACTGAGCCCAGCCAAATAGGTCGAACCCCTATTTGGACAACTTGGTTGCTGGGATTTTTCTATTTGTGATTTAATACCTGCTCTGACAGAGCCTTTGCCATTCAGCTTGAGAAGCCCCTTCTTCTTCAGGATAAAACTTCCTCCGATGAACAGGCTGGAAATGAGAGCTAAGCCCAATCCAATGTAGAAGTCATAATGGGCAGTTAAGTCTTCCATCCCAGTCGCCCTAAAGTTTTTGAGAGGAATTGACCAGATGATTAGACTTTTGCTCCAAAAAGTAGTCACGTACGCAGTATTTATTTCATATATTCTCCCCACAAGGGGGACTCAGCGCGGCCTCACATGAGCATCAGAGGATGCTAACAGCATAAATACCATAAACATTACAATTCACAATAAAATCATTTTAAAACATTGTACAACATCATCAGTAAAATTTAACAATAAATTAATAGATTAACATGCCAGTAAAACCAAGCCGAGCCAGGAGAATCCATATCGCAAAATCCAAACTTCCTTTTCCTATTGCCGCTGGCCTCTAATCGAACGCCTGGCCCCAGAGCCAGGTCTTCAGTTGTCTTCTAAAGTACAGGAGGGAGGAGGCCAACCTGATATCCTTGGGAAGAGAGTTCCACAAACGGGGGGGCCACTGCCGAGAAGGCCCTGTCTCTCATCCCCACCAACCGCGTTTGCGAGAGTGGTGGGATCGAGAGCAGGGCCTCTCCTGATGATCTTAAGCTTCGTGATGGTTCATAGCAGGAGATATGTTCAGACAGTTAATCTGGGCCAGAACCGTTCAGGACTTTAAAGGTTAAAACCAGCATTTTGAATTGTGCCTGGAAGCTAATCGGCAGCCAGTGGAGCTGGCACAACAGAGGAGTGGTACGCTCCCTGTACGCAGCTCCAGTTAACAACCTGGCCACCAACCGCTGGACTAATTGGAGCTTCCGAGAAGTTTTCAAAGGCAGCCCCACATAGAGAGCATTGCAGTAGTCTATTCGGGATGTAACCAGAGCGTGGACCACTGTGGCCAAGTCAGACTTCCCAAGGAACGGGCGCAGCTGGCACACAAGTAGTCATATTTGTTACCTTCATTGTATTTATTTAATTCAGTGGTTCCCATTCTGTGGTCTGTGAACCACCAGTGGTCCATAAGAACAAAAATATGGTCCATGGCCTCACCATTACTACACCGTTGCCTTGAAACCACGTGGCATTGAAAACAACTGATCTTGCGAAACCATCTTATAGTGCTGAGGCAACGGGGATGTCGGGAGAGGAGAGGCTGACTACCTACCAAAGATTACTACAACCACATTAAATATGGTTTTCTGTGGACGAGCAGGTGGCGACAACTGGTTGGCCTATGTTCTGTATCAGAAACTAGAGCTGATGTGGTCTATCTAATGCAATTTTCTGAATCAGCACCTCAAATAACCAAACCAAATCTAAAGTTGACCAAAAATTGATTAGTAATCCTTTTGGTATTAATGTTGGAGAGTGGTCCCTGGACAAAGTGTTCCCTGGTCAAAAAAAGGTTGGGAACCACTGATTTAATTGATATCTTGTCTTTCTGCCAGCACAGGGCCGAAAGCAGCTTACAAAACTTTTCAAAAAGTTATGCTAAAATCTTGTACAAGAAATGTTAAACAATTAAACAAATATTATTATGATTATTATGCATCTCTGGCTCAAGAGGTAAAAAAAGTGTGGGGCTGCATCTGCCTCACATACCTTCCTGCTCTATAGTTATTTCTAGTATTTGTATTCCACTTTCTCTCTCTCAAGGAGACTCTAAGCAACTAACAATTAAAATGGCACAATGCACAAATTACATCCTGATGTATATACACATTAAAATAGAATTTAAAATAGGACTTAAGAAACACAGACGACTAAAACAAATAAAATCCTTAAACCCATTTTGTCAAGCTATAGGCTGGGCAGCTGGGCTTTGAAAGCGGGTGGGAAGGAGGAAGAGAATATATATATCTCGAAAGGAAAGGAAAGTGAGGGAAAGGAAGGGAAAGAGAAAGAATGGAAAGAAGGAGATAAGGAGAAGGGAAAGAGGGAAGGAGAAAGAAAAGAGAGGGATTGAGAAAGGGGAGGAAAGAAGGAGGGAAAGAGAGGGAAAAGGAGAAGGAATGTTTTATTATGATAATATTGTTTATTTATACTCAGCTTTTCCTCTTGACAAGGAGAATCAAAACAAAAGCATTTCAAGGGATGCTTTTAAGGGAGTGAGAAGGGAAAGGGGGAAGGAGAAGGAAAGGGAAAGAGGGAGAGAAAGAGGGAAGGAGAAGGGCAGGGAAAGAAGAGGGGCAGGGAAGGTAAAGAACGGAATTGAAAAAGGAAAGGGAAAGAGGGAGGAAAAGCAAGGCGGAAAGAAGGAAGGAGGGAGAAGAAGGGAAAGGGGGAAGGAGAAGGGAAAGGAGGAAAGGGAAAAAGGAGGGAAGGAACGGACATGAAAAGAAGGAGGAAGGAAATGAAAGAAAAGAGGGATTGAGAAAGGGAAGGAAAAGAAGGGGGAAAGAGAGGGAAAAGGAGAAGGTAGATTTTATTATAATGATATTGTTTATTCATACTCAGCTTTTCCTCTTGACAAGGAGACTCAAAACATTAAAAGCATTTCAAGGGATGCTTTTAAGGGAGTGAGAAGGGAAAGGGGGAAGTAGAAGAAGGGAAAAGGTGAAGGAGAAGGAAAGAGAAGGGAAACAGGGAGAGAAAGGGGAAAGGAGAAGGGCACGGAAAGGAGGAGTGCAGGGAAGGTAAAGAGAGGAATTGAGAAATGGAAGAGAAAGAGGGAGGAAAAGCAAGGGGGAAAGGAGGGAGGGAGAAGGGAAAGAGTGAAGGAGAAGGAAAGAGAAGAACCTGGGAGAGAAAGAGGGAAGGAGAAGGGCAGGGAAAGAAGGAGCGCAGGGAAGGTAAAGAGAGGAATTGAGAAATAGAAGGGAAAGTGGGAGGAAAAGCAAGGGAGGGAGAAGAAGGGAAAGTGGGAAGGAGAAGGGAAAGAAGGGCAAGAGGAGGAAAGAGAAGGGAAACAGGGAGAGAAAGAGGGAAGGAGAAGGGCAGGGAAAGAAGGAGGGCAGGGGAGATAAAGAGAGGAATTGAGAAAGGGAAGGGAAAGAGAGAGGAAAAGCAAGGGGGAAAGAAGGAGGGAGGGAGACGGGAAAGGGGGAAGGAGAAGGAAAGAAAAGGGAAACAGGGAGAGAAAGAGGGAAGGAGAAGGGCAGGGAAAGAAGGAGGGCAGGGAAGGTAAAGAGAGGAATTGAGAAATGGAAGGGAAAGAGGGAGCAAAAGCAAGCGGGGAAAAGGAAGGAGGGAGAAGGGAAAGGGGGAAGGAGAGAGAATGGAAACGGGGAGAGAAAGAGGGAAGAAGAAGGGCAGGGAAGGTAAAGAGAGGAATTGAGAATGGGAAGGGAAAGAGGGAGGAAAAGCAAGGGGGAAAGAAGGAGGGAGGGAGAAGGGAAAGGGTGAAGGAGAAGGAAAGAGGGAAAGAGGAGGGGGAGGAAGAAAAGGGCATGGAAAGAAGGAGGGAAGGAGAAGAAGGGAAAGAGGGTCTGAGAAAGGGAAGGGAAAGAGAGGGAAAAGAAGAACAGGGGGATTATTTTGATTATGTTTGTTTACATTCCTTTTTTCTCTGCACAAGGACACTCAAAGTGGCTTACATTAGGGAAAGAAGAAGGGAAGGGAAGGTGAAAGGAATTGAGAAAGGGAAGGGAAAGAGGGAGGAAAAGCAAGGGGGAAAGAAGGAAGGAGGGAGAAAAAGGGAAAGGGTGAAGGAGAAGGAAAGAGAAGGGAAACAGGGAGAGAAAGAGGGAAGGAGAAGGTCAGGGAAGGTAAAGAGAGGAATTGAGAATGGGAAGGGAAAGAGGGAGGAAAAGCAAGGGGGAAAGAAGGAGGGAGGGAGAAGGGAAAGGGTGAAGGAGAAGGAAAGAGAAGGGAAACAGGGAGAGAAAGAGGGAAGGAGAAGGTCAGGGAAGGTAAAGAGAGGAATTGAGAATGGGAAGGGAAAGAGGGAGGAAAAGCAAGGGGGAAAGAAGGAGGGAGGGAGAAGGGAAAGGGTGAAGGAGAAGGAAAGAGAAGGGAAACAGGGAGAGAAAGAGGGAAGGAGAAGGTCAGGGAAGGTAAAGAGAGGAATTGAGAATGGGAAGGGAAAGAGGGAGGAAAAGCAAGGGGGAAAGAAGGAGGGAGGGAGAAGGGAAAGGGTGAAGGAGAAGGAAAGAGAAGGGAAACAGGGAGAGAAAGAGGGAAGGAGAAGGTCAGGGAAGGTAAAGAGAGGAATTGAGAATGGGAAGGGAAAGAGGGAGGAAAAGCAAGGGGGAAAGAAGGAGGGAGGGAGAAGGGAAAGGGTGAAGGAGAAGGAAAGAGAAGGGAAACAGGGAGAGAAAGAGGGAAGGAGAAGGTCAGGGAAGGTAAAGAGAGGAATTGAGAATGGGAAGGGAAAGAGGGAGGAAAAGCAAGGGGGAAAGAAGGAGGGAGGGAGAAGGGAAAGGGTGAAGGAGAAGGAAAGAGAAGGGAAACAGGGAGAGAAAGAGGGAAGGAGAAGGTCAGGGAAGGTAAAGAGAGGAATTGAGAATGGGAAGGGAAAGAGGGAGGAAAAGCAAGGGGGAAAGAAGGAGGGAGGGAGAAGGGAAAGGGTGAAGGAGAAGGAAAGAGAAGGGAAACAGGGAGAGAAAGAGGGAAGGAGAAGGTCAGGGAAGGTAAAGAGAGGAATTGAGAATGGGAAGGGAAAGAGGGAGGAAAAGCAAGGGGGAAAGAAGGAGGGAGGGAGAAGGGAAAGGGTGAAGGAGAAGGAAAGAGAAGGGAAACAGGGAGAGAAAGAGGGAAGGAGAAGGTCAGGGAAGGTAAAGAGAGGAATTGAGAATGGGAAGGGAAAGAGGGAGGAAAAGCAAGGGGGAAAGAAGGAGGGAGGGAGAAGGGAAAGGGTGAAGGAGAAGGAAAGAGAAGGGAAACAGGGAGAGAAAGAGGGAAGGAGAAGGTCAGGGAAGGTAAAGAGAGGAATTGAGAATGGGAAGGGAAAGAGGGAGGAAAAGCAAGGGGGAAAGAAGGAGGGAGGGAGAAGGGAAAGGGTGAAGGAGAAGGAAAGAGAAGGGAAACAGGGAGAGAAAGAGGGAAGGAGAAGGTCAGGGAAGGTAAAGAGAGGAATTGAGAATGGGAAGGGAAAGAGGGAGGAAAAGCAAGGGGGAAAGAAGGAGGGAGGGAGAAGGGAAAGGGTGAAGGAGAAGGAAAGAGAAGGGAAACAGGGAGAGAAAGAGGGAAGGAGAAGGTCAGGGAAGGTAAAGAGAGGAATTGAGAATGGGAAGGGAAAGAGGGAGGAAAAGCAAGGGGGAAAGAAGGAGGGAGGGAGAAGGGAAAGGGTGAAGGAGAAGGAAAGAGAAGGGAAACAGGGAGAGAAAGAGGGAAGGAGAAGGTCAGGGAAGGTAAAGAGAGGAATTGAGAATGGGAAGGGAAAGAGGGAGGAAAAGCAAGGGGGAAAGAAGGAGGGAGGGAGAAGGGAAAGGGTGAAGGAGAAGGAAAGAGAAGGGAAACAGGGAGAGAAAGAGGGAAGGAGAAGGTCAGGGAAGGTAAAGAGAGGAATTGAGAATGGGAAGGGAAAGAGGGAGGAAAAGCAAGGGGGAAAGAAGGAGGGAGGGAGAAGGGAAAGGGTGAAGGAGAAGGAAAGAGAAGGGAAACAGGGAGAGAAAGAGGGAAGGAGAAGGTCAGGGAAGGTAAAGAGAGGAATTGAGAATGGGAAGGGAAAGAGGGAGGAAAAGCAAGGGGGAAAGAAGGAGGGAGGGAGAAGGGAAAGGGTGAAGGAGAAGGAAAGAGAAGGGAAACAGGGAGAGAAAGAGGGAAGGAGAAGGTCAGGGAAGGTAAAGAGAGGAATTGAGAATGGGAAGGGAAAGAGGGAGGAAAAGCAAGGGGGAAAGAAGGAGGGAGGGAGAAGGGAAAGGGTGAAGGAGAAGGAAAGAGAAGGGAAACAGGGAGAGAAAGAGGGAAGGAGAAGGTCAGGGAAGGTAAAGAGAGGAATTGAGAATGGGAAGGGAAAGAGGGAGGAAAAGCAAGGGGGAAAGAAGGAGGGAGGGAGAAGGGAAAGGGTGAAGGAGAAGGAAAGAGAAGGGAAACAGGGAGAGAAAGAGGGAAGGAGAAGGTCAGGGAAGGTAAAGAGAGGAATTGAGAATGGGAAGGGAAAGAGGGAGGAAAAGCAAGGGGGAAAGAAGGAGGGAGGGAGAAGGGAAAGGGTGAAGGAGAAGGAAAGAGAAGGGAAACAGGGAGAGAAAGAGGGAAGGAGAAGGTCAGGGAAGGTAAAGAGAGGAATTGAGAATGGGAAGGGAAAGAGGGAGGAAAAGCAAGGGGGAAAGAAGGAGGGAGGGAGAAGGGAAAGGGTGAAGGAGAAGGAAAGAGAAGGGAAACAGGGAGAGAAAGAGGGAAGGAGAAGGTCAGGGAAGGTAAAGAGAGGAATTGAGAATGGGAAGGGAAAGAGGGAGGAAAAGCAAGGGGGAAAGAAGGAGGGAGGGAGAAGGGAAAGGGTGAAGGAGAAGGAAAGAGAAGGGAAACAGGGAGAGAAAGAGGGAAGGAGAAGGTCAGGGAAGGTAAAGAGAGGAATTGAGAATGGGAAGGGAAAGAGGGAGGAAAAGCAAGGGGGAAAGAAGGAGGGAGGGAGAAGGGAAAGGGTGAAGGAGAAGGAAAGAGAAGGGAAACAGGGAGAGAAAGAGGGAAGGAGAAGGGCAGGGAAGGTAAAGAGGAATTGAGAAAGGGAAAGGAAAGAGGGAGGAAAAGCAAGGGGGAAAGAAGGAAGGAGAGAGAAGAAGGGAAAGGGGGAGGGAGAAGGAAAAGCGAAGGGAAACAGGGGGAGATAGAGGGAAGGAGAAGGACGGGGAAGGTAAAGAGAGGAATTGAGAAAGGGAAGGGAAAGAGGGAGGAAATGCAAGGGGGAAAGAAGGAGGGAGGGAGAAGAAGGGAAAGTGGGAAAGAGGGAGGGAAGGAGAAGAAGGGAAAGAGGGTCTGAGAAAGGGAAGGGAAAGAGAGGGAAAAGAAGAAGAGGGGGATTATTTTGATTATGTTTATTTACACTCCTTTTTTTCTCTGCAGGAGACTCAACGTGGCCTACATGAGGGAAAGAAGGAGGGAAGAAGGGAAGGAGAAGGCTGGAAAGAAGGAGGGAATGGGAAGGAGAGGGGGAAGAGGAGGAGAAAGAAAAAAAGAAGGAAGGAAGATGGGAAAGAAGAAGATATTATTATCATTATTATTATTATAGTATGAATTTCAGGGGGTGCCTGCCTGCCGTACCTGCTCTCCGGGAAGCACCTCCACTGCTCCTCTTCCGGGGTGTGACGTCACCCGGCGGCTCCCTTCCGGCCTGCTTTGCCCCCGCCCCTTCCGCTTCCGCCTTCCCTGGGACTCCCAGGCAGAGAAGGCAGCAGGTGAGTCCAGGCTGGTGTGGCTTAGCAGGGGGTGTTGGCTCTGGCTCGCAGTCCTTCTCTTTGGTGTAACTGTGTTTTCTTTTTCTGCCTTTGTGTTTAGTTTTTTTGTGAATGGTTGACCTTGTTGTAAGCCTTTGTGTGGAGCCAGAAGAGGAAAAAAATGGCGTCGACAAGTAATGCATTTGCTCTCTTATTTTTCTGTTTGTTCTCTGGTTCTGACACCCCCCCCCCCCCCCTTTCCAGCTCAGAAAAAGATTAAAGGAATCCCCCCCCCCCCCCCAAATTAGCCCTGATTTTCCTGAAATTATGTCGAGGGAGGGAAATATATCATCATCATCATCATCATCATATATCCAACCCACTGCTAGCTGTCTTTGTATCTCTTTCTCCCTCTCCTCTTTCTCTCATACACCTCCATCCCTTCTTTTCTCTTCCCTTCTTTTTCTCTCTTCCTTCCATTCCTTTATCCTTTCTTCTCCCCTTCCATTCTCTCATACCTTTTCCCATTCTTTTGCCTTCCTTCATTTTTCTTTCTCCGTCCTTCCCTCCTTTTCTTTCCATTTCTTTTCCTTTCTTTCTTCCTCCCTCCCCTTTCTTTCCTTCCCTCCTTTTTTTCTTTCTTTTTCTTCTTTTCTCCCTCCCTTTTCTTTCCTTTTTTAATTCTTTCTCCCTTCCTTCCCCTCCTTTCTTTCTCTTTCTCCTTCCCTCTTTCTCTCCCTTTCCTTCCCTCCCTCCCTCCCTCCCTCCCTCCCTTCTTTCTTTCTTTCCCCCTCTCTCTTTTCTTTCCTTCTTTAATTCTTTCTCTCTCCCTTCCTTTTCCTCCTTTCTTTCTCTTTCTCCTTCCCTCTTTCCTTCTCTCCCTTTCCTCCCTTCCCTCCTTTCTTTCTTTCTTTCTTTCTTTCTTTCTTCCCCTCTCTCTCTTTTCTTTCCTTCTTTAATTCTTTCTCTCTCCCTTCCTTTCCCTCCTTTCTTTCTCTTTCTCCCTCCCTCTTTCCTTCCTTCTCCCTTCCTTCCTCCCTTCCTTCCTTCCTTCCTTCCTTCCTTCTTTCTTTCTTTCTTTCTTTCTTTCTTTCTTTCTTTCTTTCTTTCCCTCCCTCTCTCTCTCTCTCTCTCGCTTTCTCTCACTTCTTTTCCCCCTCCCCTTACCTTATTTTCTTTCCTTGCTTCCTGCTTTCTCTTCTTTCTTGCATCCCCTTCTCTTTCTTTCTTTCTTCTTCTTCTCTCTTTCCTTCCTCCTTCCTTGCTTCCTTCCCTTTTTCTTTCCCCCTCCCTCTCTTCTTCCTTTTCCTTCCCTCCCTTCTTTCATTCTCTCCTTCTTTCTTCTCTTCTCTATTCTTTCCTCCCTCCCTTTCCTTCTTTCCCTCTCCCTTCTTCCTCTCTCTCTTTCTCTTTTCCTCCTTTCCTTTCCTTCTCTCTTTCTTCCCTCTCCCTCTTTTTCCTCTTCCTTTCTCTTCCTTCCTTCCCTCCTTTTCTTCCCCTCCCCTCCTTTCCTTTCCTTCCTTCTTTTCTTCTCTTCCTTCTTCCCTCTCTCGTCCTTTCTTTCATTCCCTCCCCCTTTCTTTCTTTATCTCCTTCCTCCTCCCTCCTTTTCTTTTCTCTTTCCCCTCTCTTTCTCCTCTTCTTCTCTCCCTCCTCCCTTTTTTCTTTATTTCTCTTCTTTCTTTCCTCCCTTCGTCCCTCTTTGCTTTCTTTCTTTTGCTCTTTCCCTTCTTTCTTCCCTCCCTTTCTACCTCTTTCCTTCATCTCTTTCTTTCCTTCCTTTCCCCCCTCCCCAATAAGCATGTCACTTTTCTTTCCCAGTGACAACACAGATGGCCATTTTACCTAGCAACCCAACCTTAGTGCCACATACATACATACATGGTTTGACTTCTATATCAATAGATGTGGGGAGATGCTTTTACCTCACAGCTTATGTTTTTCAAAGCTTGAGTGCATCAGTGCCTTTAGGCATAGGTTAATGCCCCCCCCCCCAAATCCCTTAAATAAGGTGCTTGTGTTTTTGTGTCCTGCTGTGTTGTGACTCCTGACAGCCAGTTGGATAGCAAAAGGTGTTGAGGGGTCCATTGCTAGGCTGTAGTGTAACCATGCCTCATCTTCTCTCATTTCCTGAACTCACAAGAACTGAAGATGAGTAAGAGCAAGGACGATGTGCCCCATGAGCTGGAGAGCCAGTTTATTCTGCGACTGCCTCCGGTAAGTGGCCCTGGCAGCAAACAACAAAAAAGTGCTTTATGCTTGCTGTCTGATATTGTTTCATTGTGTATCTTTGCCTCTCATTTCACCACATTCACTCCACTCATCTCTTCAGGAATATGCATCTACGGTGCGGAGAGCAGTGCAATCTGGGAGTGTCAACTTGAAGGACAGGCTCACCATTGAACTCCATGGTAAGGAGACAACATCGACCAGGGTTTTTGTTGTCTTGGCTTTTCTGATTATCCCTCCCAGGCCTTGAGATATTACTCTGGACCCTTCTGCATTGCCATATAATCCAGATTATCACACCAGATAGTCCACATTATCTGATTTGGATTATATGACTATACACTATACACTGCCATATAGTCCAGTTCAAAGCAGATGATTTGGATTGTATATGGCAGGGTAGAAGGGGCCTCTATAGCTCAAACTGCTCTGGGTTATTAAGAAAACCTTGGATTACCATGCCAACAGTTTTAGGAGTGGTACATAGGAGTAGTGCAAAAGTCCCATCTATCTGATTCTTGATATTGTTTTTAATGCATGCATCATATGATTTTCCATACACTTGTGGACTGGGTTGTTGTAGGTTTTTTCGGGCTATATGGCCATGGTCTAGAAGCATTCTCTCCTGACGTTTCGCCTGCATCTATGGCAAGCATCCTGAGGATATATAGCCCGAAAAAACCTACAACAACCCAGTGATTCTGGCCATGAAAGCCTTTGACAATACACTTGTGGATTGACAGCCAGTTGCATACAATTCTCTGAAAAACACTGTGCTTGAGGTTATGTGGGGGACTTGTTTGCTGGGCCATTCACATTGGGAAGTTGCTATGAGATGTTACAGTGCTCCCAAGTGACTTACTTGTCTTTGTGAACTAGCTGAGTAAACTTTTAGTGAATTACCTACCAATCTGATGTATTATGCTACTCTGCTGCTGAGTATGCATGCCCAGTGTGGAACACACCTCACCACGCTAAAACAGTAGATGTGGCTCTTAATGAGACATGCTGCATTATCACGGGGTGTCTGCGCCCTACACCACTGGAGAAATTACACTGCTTAGCCGGTATTGCACCACCTGACATCTGCCGGGAAGTAGCAGCCAATAGTGAAAGGACCAAGGCAGAGACATCTCCAGCTCATCCCCTGTTTGGGTATCAGCCAGCACGTCAACAACTTAAATCAAGAAATAGTTTTCTAAGATCTACAGAGACACTCGCTGGAACACCTCAGCAAGCGAGAGTCCAAAAGTGGCAGGCTCAAACCCAGCACCTCAATCTATGGCTGATACCAAATGAGAGACTCCCCCCTGGGCACACAGAAGACTGGGCGACTTGGAAGGCGCTGAACAGACTGTGCTCTGGCACCACGAGATGCAGAGCCAACCTCCAGAAATGGGGCTACAAAGTGGAATCCATGACATGCGAGTGCGGAGAAGAGCAATCCACTGACCACCTGCTGCAATGCAACCCGAGCCCTGCCACATGCACAATGGAGGACCTTCTTGCAGCAACACCAGAGGCACTCCAAGGGGCCAGATACTGGTCAAAGGACATTTAATCAGCTACCAAGCTTGCAAACTTTGTGTTTTGTCTGTCTGTTTGTTTGTTTGTTTGTTTTGTTCTGTTAGAAATGTAATACAATTGTCTGGTTGCCCCTGACATGATAAATAAATAAATATCTGATGTATTCCAGCATACAGAGATGGCATATGTTAATTAAATTGTTAATTAAATTGTTAATTTAATGCCTATTGTAATTTTACTAACAATGTGCATGTCACTTGCCAGTGCAGTCTAGTATGTCACAATGCCATCTTAGAGACTTCTTTGCTTAAAATATAATCTGCTCAGCATTAGGGTTGGTGCATCCACTACTCATAGCACTAGAATCATCTCATGATCTTTAAATAATGTAATACAATATAATAATAATAATACGATATAAGAATTGTATATCATATATTACTAATCATAATGCAGTATAATAGTGTAGTACAAATATTAATATATAATTCTAATTTTGTGCTATGCTAATGATATATATTGTATGTACATGTAATGTTGATCATAATATTGTAATACAATATAATCATATAATATTTATATATGATATATTACAATATTGCAGTATAATGGTATAGTACAATATAGTAGTATATAATATGAATATTGTGCCATGTACATATAATATTGATCATAATATTGCAGTACAATATAAGACTAATAATAATACAATATAATGATATAATAATTATATATGATATTTTACAGTATTGCAGTATAGTGGTATAGTACAGTATAGTAATATATAATACTAATACTGTGCTATGTACATATAATATTGATCATAATATTGCAATACAATATAATACTAATAATAATACAATATAATGATATAATAATTATTTATGATATTTTACAATATTGCAGTATAGTGGTATAGTACAGTATAGTAATATATAATACTAATATTGTGCTATGCTAATATAATATATTGTATGTACATATATTGATCATAATATTGTAATACAATATAATGTTAATAATACAATATAAGCATATATAACGTCAACGACTTAAATACAGACATAGTTTTCTAAGATCTACAGAGACACTCGCTGGAACGCCTCAGCAAGCGAGAGTCCAAAAGTGGCAGGCTCAAACCCAGAACCTCAACCAATGGCTGATACCAAATGAGAGTCTCCCCCCTGGGCACACAGAAGACTGGGCGACTTGGACGGCGCTGAACAGACTGCGCTCTGGCACCACGAGATGCAGAGCCAACCTTCAGAAATGGGGCCACAAAGTGGAATCCCCGACATGCGAGTGCGGAGAGAAGCAAACTACAGACCACCTGCTGCAATGCAACCTGAGCCCAGCCACATGCATAAGAGAGGACCTTCTTGCGGCAACACCAGAAGCACTCCCAAGTGGCTAGATACTGGCCGAAGGACATTTAATCAACTACCAAACTCACACATTTTGTATTTTCTCTGTTTGCTTGCTTTGTTCTGTTAGAAATGTAATATAATTGACTGGCTGCCCTGACACGAGAAATAAATAAATATAATAATTATATATGATATATTACAATATTGCAGTATAGGGCTATAGTATGAAGTAGTAATAGATAATACTACTATTGTGCTATGCTAGTGAGATAATATATTGTATGTACATATAATATTGATCATAATATTGTAATACAATATAATGATACTAATAATAATACAATATAATCATAATTTTACAATATTGCAGTATAGTGGTATAGTACAATATAGTAATATGTAATACTAATATTGTGCTATGCTAATGAGATAATATATTGTATGTACTCATAACTTGTAAGCCGCTCTGAGTCCCCTTCGGGATGAGAGAAGGTGGGGTATAAATACAGTCAATAAATAAATAATAAATATGTTCCCTTTCTACCTGCAGGGGATGGGCGTCATGGGATTGTGCGAGTTGACCATGTCCCATTAGCTGCCAAGCTGGTGGACTTGCCGTGCATCACTGAAAGCTTAAAAACCATTGACAAGAAAACTTTCTATAAGACAGCAGATATCTGTCAGGTAGGTATCGTGGTTGTCTATCAATAGCCCACTCCATCTTTGTTTTTTTCTGCTCAGCTGGGAATTTACACAGTTTGATACCACTTGAACTGTCTCAGTGCTGTGGAATCATGGGAGTTGTAGTTACGGAAGGCTAAAGACTAATAAAACTACAATTGCCACAAATATATAATATTGAGTTACGGCAGTCCAAGTGCTGTCAAACGGCATTAATTGTACAATGTAGGTGCATCCTATTTTGCTTTTTGTTTGGTTCCAGCACAACTCTTCATGCTTCTCTTCCATGCTTCCCTACATAACACTGTCCTATTTATTTCTTTTGGGGCCTCCAGATGCTTGTGTGCACCGTAGATGGCGAACTGTACCCCACTGTGGAAGAGCCGGTGGTCAGTACCGATCCGAAAGCCAACAAGAAGAAGGACAAGGATAGAGAGAAGAAGTTCATCTGGAACCATGGAAGTGAGTGGAGGAAATATCTGCCGGTACATCTTTGCTTCTGAAAATTAGCTAAACTTCTCCACAAAGTTCTCACATTGATTTTAAAGAGTATATAATATTATTTATTGTTTGATAGTACTATCAAGACCCAGTCCATGTGTCAAGACCCAGGCAGACCAGCAAAGCAAACGGCACTGTAAGAGTTAAATGAAGGTCTTTAATGTCTATTAACAAAACAAAAGGAGGCTCTTAAAGTCAGAGTTGTAAACACAAAAGGCTTGTGGTCAGCAGGAATGTAAACAAACTGGTCTCAGTCAGTCTTTGCTGTCAAAAGGAAAGCAAGTCTAAACAGAAGCAGGCAGCTTGGATTCAGCAGTAAAACTCAGTTCGTTTCAAAGGCAAACAAAACAGCAAACAGCAATCCGCATGAAGAGCGGTCCAACGAAGGTTCCAGGGATTAGCAGAGGCGTAGTCAGGCAGTCCGAGGGTCAAGGCAAGGAAGACTCACGAGTCTGGTTCCGGCAGGGTTGTTCACACGATCAGGAAACACGAAGCTGCAAACAAGAGCTCACGGCAGGAGTTAAACACAAGGCACACGGTAACGCGACACTTTGAACTCTGCGATCAGTTTGTCCCCAAACTGCTCCTTAAATCTCGTCAGAGTCGCTGGAGTCACTTTCAGCTGCGTCTAATTCCACAGGTGAATCCCGGCTGCGCCATTGTTGCCAGTCAGTACTTCGGGCTCCATCCTGCAAAGTATTATCTGCAACCCAAGTATCATCAAAACCCTGGAATTCATCACTAGAGGTGGGAGCAGTAATCACATCCATTACTTCCTGAACTTTAGTCCAGTCCAGCTCTTCCTCTTCGCTGTCAAACTCCCCACAATCAGCTATATCTCTAAGGCGTTTAGCAACAGATCCCACATCGCTATTCGAGCTGCTGGCTACTCTCTTTACACCTCTGTAATCTTCCAGCTCCATTTCCTCGCGAGTAAAACCCTCAAAATCCTCCTCATCCGTAGTCTCTAAGAACAAGTCTCTAATCCGTTTCAGCTGTTGCTGAGCTTCTTCATCCTCTAAACCACGTTTCCTTCTACTACTAGTAGTAGGTGCATGAGACAAACGCTGAGTCTCAACACCATGTATGTGAGGAACACTATCCAGACTGGATAATGATTGGTAATGAAATGCAGAGGACTTATGGTTTTTTATTATTGATTGATTGATTGATTTATTTACTTACAGCATTTATATTCCTCCCTTCTCACCCTGCAGGGGACTCAGGGCGGATTACAGTGTACACATATATGGCAAACATTCAATGCCAATTTTTGACATACAAACATATACAGACATACACAATTTTTGACATACAAACATATACAGACATATACAGACATACCTGTTTAGTGGAAGGAAGAGTCCTTAAACAACTCTTGTTTAAGAAAAGTTATAAATGTAATCTTTTTTTTCTGGCCGCCAGGGGAGCTGTCGCTTTCATCGTCCATCTGCGACACTGATGAAGTACTTCCGCATTCCCTGCATGCTTTTTTTTTGCTGGAGTGCTTTGCTGGAGTCTTTTTTATGGCCTCATAAATTAGTTAATTTAGCCTCCCCACATTTTAAGGTGGTACCTGATTTTCCTACTTGACAGATGCAACTGTCTTACGGGTTGCAAAGGTCGACAACAGGCTACACAATTGGTTGGAAACCCACTCCAACCCGGGCTGCTTCCGAACTCATGACCTTTTGGTCAGAGTGATCTTAATGCAGCTGACACTCAGCCAGCTGCGCTACAATCCCGGTGTTTTATCGATATTATTTGTAATTAATTTTTTATCTATGTTAAATGTTTTTAATGTTTAATTATTTTTGTATTGCTGTGGGCATCGAATTGTGCTGTTTTGTAAACCGCCATTCTTTGGCTGAGAATGGGGGTATAGAAGTATAGTAAATAATAAAATAATAATAATATCCTCCATTCTGCCAAAACATCAGAAGCTGGATTCTTTTCTTCATCTCTACCTTTGACTTATCTCTACTTTTTAACATAGTATCATTATTTTCTATGTGTTATTTCAGTTACTCTTCCACTGAAAAATGTGAGAAAGAGGCGGTTCAGGAAGACAGCTAAGAAAAAAGTGAGTTGTAATTGCGCTGCACCTTCGCTATTGTTTGTTAGACTCAAAATACTCATGTATTTTTTTACTGAGGAAGCAACTAACTTGGACTACCATTCTTTTTCTCTTTCCTGGCCCAGTACATTGAGTCTCCAGATGTGGAGAAGGAAGTGAAACGCCTGCTGAGTACCGATGCTGAAGCCGTCAGTGTTCGTATCCTTTTTATAAAACAAGGATTCCTCCTGTGGTGAAGTGTAAATTTTTAACTTGCAGTTATGTGTAATTATAGATGTTATGTATAATTATAGACAGATGTTTAAAGGGTAAGTATTGAAAGTTGCATAACCAAGGGAGATGACAGCCAGCTCAGCTTATTGTGAGCTGGGTTACCATGGAAACAGGGGCGGAGCCAACTGCCACTTGGCAGGGCAGCCATTTTAAACAGTTAGTCTGTAGCCGGAGAGCTACGGAGAAGACTGATTCTCTAGGAGGAGAATCAGGGAAATAGTCTACAGTCTGTGAACGGTAGGAGAGGCTGGTTCTGTTGAGTAGAGAGAACCAGAAGGGATCTGTAGTTTAAAAACTACAGGGAAAGAACTGATTCTACTGTAGTAAGAATCAGAGAGGTTTGGGCTTTTAGCCTGAGTAGTTTAAATAAGTCGAGTTGGCTTATTTATATTAATAGTTAGTGTTGAGAGAAAGGGTGAGAGAAACTCAGTGAGAGTCTCTATTCTAACAGAAACACCATAAAGAAAGAATAAGCTTGTAACTGAAGTAATCTATTAAATAAAGAAACACAGTTTGAAGAAAAATAAGTTGGAAACCTGTTTAGTGGAAGGAAGAGTCCTTAAACAACTCTTGTTTAAGAAAAGTTATAAATGTAACCTTTGAAAATCTGTGCCTCTAAGAGTAGGAAACACTGAATCCATCACACTGCTTCTACATTTCAATAAACTGGTTACTGTTTTTCCTAAAGCCTTATCCTGGTAACATTTCCTTTCCAAGTTAAGTCACACTACACAGAACAAAGACCAAATCAATATTATGAGCTATCAATTAAATAAACCCTCACAAAGTGGTGGCTCCTTTACAAACAGTTACAAATTGGTAGCAGTAATCTTATGCTTCCTCACACCCCCTTTCCCCTAGATTCTTACTCTTTTCTCATCTTTCTCTCTCTTTCAAAATGATTGTCAGGAAGTTGAACTTTAACTCAACCTCAGTTAATTAAATATAAACTCAACTTATACTTCACAATATTAATTCTTTCATAATGATATTTGCTTGGTTGCAAGCTTCATAGCATTCTCATTTTGATCCAAAGGTGTTTGTTTTTTTTAAGCAAAAGAAATGTAATTGTTTACTTTTTTAAAAAGACTGTAATGGATAATAGCTGTGAACTGTATTCCAAATTCTGTAACATGTAATGGGAATATTTTTCTTTCAAAAAGTAATCTTGTAAGGTCTCTAAGAAAATGATACTTTGCAGACAAAGTGTTACACTTATGATGATGGTTAATATTAGTATTATTATTATGTTTATTTATAGCCCGCTTTTCTCTCCACAAGGAGACTCAAAGCAATTGGTATTTCTATAAACAAAAAAGAGGTTGGGAGCCAAACTTTGATGACATGAGAGAACCGTGAACCCAAATTTCTTGGTTGTTGTAGGTTTTTTCGGGCTATATGGCCATGTTCTAGAGGCATTCTCCTGACGTTTCGCCTGCATCTATGGCAAGCATCCTCAGAGGTAGTGAGGTCTGTTGGAAGTAGGAAAAATGAGTTTATATATCTGTGGAATGACCAGGGTGGGACAAAGGACTCTTGTCTGCTGGGGAGCTAGATGTGAATGTTTCAACTGACCACCTTGATTAGCATTTAATGGCCTGAGTGCCTGGGGCAATCTTTTGTTGAGTGGTGATTAGATGTCCCTGATTGTTTCCCCTCTGCTGTTATGCTAATCACCTCTCAACAAAAGATTGCTCCAGGCACTTCCAGGCCATCAAATGCGAATCAAGGTGGCCAGTTGAAACATTCACACCTAGCTCCAACAAACAAGAGTCCTTTGTCCCACCCTGGTCATTCCACAGATATAGAAACCCATTTTTTCTACTTCCAACAGACCTCACTACCTCTGAGGATACCTGCCATAGATGCAGGTGAAATGTCAGGAGAGAATGCTTCTAGAACATGGCCATACAGCCCAAAAAACCTGCAACAATCCCAGTGATTCCGGCTGTGAAAGCCTTCGACAATACACTAAATTTCTTGACTGGAAGTGCAGCTTTTTCAGCCATACTATTTCTCTCCAACCATTTCTACCATGCTGTTTCTCTTACAGAATTTGTTAGCGGGGGGGGGGGGGGGGGATTGCCTTCCTGTGAGGCTTTTTTTTGTGTCAGGAGCAACTTGAGGAATTGCAAGTCCACCAGTGGCGCAGTGGGTTAAACCCTTGTGCCGGAGGACTAAACACCGATAGGTCAGAGGTTCGAATCCCGGGAAGGTGGATGAGCTCCCTCTGTCAGCTTCATCTCCCCATGTGGGGACATGGGAAAAGCCTCCCATAAGGATGATAAAACAGCAAAACATCTGGGCATCCCTTGGATAACGTCCTTGTAGGCAGCCAATTCTCTCACACCAGAAGTGACTTCTGTGAGGCTGAGAGAATGTGACTTGCCTAACGTCATTTGGTAAAACTCCCCCCTTTTCTGTGGCTGGGGATTTAAACCCTATTCTTCTAGTACAGCACTTAAATCATTACACAACACTGTCTCTATTATTTCCCCCCAAAGTACACCTTCCAATTGATCAGGTTTTCCCTTGACTCTTTCACTCCTGCTCTCAGGCTGGGAAGTCATTGCTGAAGATGAAACAAAGGAAGCAGACAACCATGGCTCCCTCACCAGTCTGGATATTTCTTCTCCCAGGATGTCTGGACACAAGCAGAGCCATGGTTCCATGGGTACTTTCCCATTTGCTGTACTTCTCAATTGAAGCTTAATGGTATGTTTTTGTTTTGCAATTTGACAATGAAGTATCCATTTACTCAGGTCAAAGTATGTTATATTTTGTGCATTTATGCTTTATGCATCTTCATGGTCCTGCTAGTTACCGCATGGCTATCGGGCATGGTCCCTATCTCGATGGGGATGCTGGTTTCAATGTGACATATTTTGATATGAGTAAATTGATACTTAATGGTTGCATTGCAAAACAAAAAGATATCAGGCTTGTAGGTAGACACTTTTAAAATAATTTGCTTTGAACTTTGGTAGATTTTGCCATTTGTGCGAAAAGTGCCAAATTTGAAGATATCCTGCAGGGTGGTTATAGATGCAGGGTAGTTACAAATTTGGCATCCTTATGTCCAGCACAAGCATAATGATTGGTCAAAAATCCAAGTCCGTATCTTCGTTTGCATGGAAATCATTGCAGTCTGAATATTGGTCAAAATTTGTCACGATACATTTGGATGCACATTTTGAGTCAACTTGTTTGACAGGATGTTGCATCCACGATGTTAAATTTAATGTCATTGGAATCAGCAGAAAAAACTCTATAGGATTTCAATTTACTAGCCATTATTATGCATTTAGTTTGAATTTTATTAGGCCTCAAAAATGGCTGGCTACCCTTCAGATAAGAGGGTCTCGATCAGCAACTTTTGCAGTTGGAGACCTCAAATTTTAGGAAACTTAGTTTAATGCCAGAATGGTGCTTCAACTAAAATTTGAACAACATTGGAGAACATGATGGTGGTAACTTTGTAAAATTTTAGACCACTTGTCATGGAATGACCCTAGGTGAAGGCACTGGGTTAAGGGAAGCATTCCGAATGTTTACAAGGTGTGTATAGGGCAGGCATGGGCAAACTTCGGCCCTCCGGGTGTTTCGGACTTCAGCTTCCACAGTTCCTAATTCTGACTGTTAGGAATTGTGGGAGTTGAAGTCCAAAACACTTGGAGGAGGGCTGAAGCTTGCCCATACCTGGTATAGGGTTTACATCAGCCACAATTTCCTCCTGTTCTGTTCTGCTTCCCTCCAGTAGAACATGATGAACTCCGGGAGCTGTTCAAGGATGTCAGCAGCACCAGCAGCGATGAGGATGAGCGGGATCGGCATGATGACGAAGACCTGAACATAATGGACACCGAAGAAGATCTGGAGAGGAGGCTGCAAGGGAAGATGAACGAAAGCAGTGGGCAGCAGCAAGAAAACGAAGGGGCCAATCAGATAGGTTAGAAGACCTAGGAAATCTCTCTTTTTAGGAGAATACCTTTGTTAGGCTTCCCAAAAGAGCATTTATTTATTTATTTATTTATTTGCTGTGCATGTACACCACCTTTCTCAGCCTGCAGATGTATGCAGCTTTTGATGCTCTCAAAGTCTTTTCATCAGATGTTGGGAAGAGATTGATCTATGTTGTGATCACAATCGAGGTAGAATAGATATGGAGTGGTGTGCTGATTTTAAGTGCATAGCAGGTAATGGGTGAGCATCACAGTTAATAATAATAATAATAATAATAATAATAATAATAATAATAGTAGTAGTAATAATAATTGGGTTGTTGTAGGTTTTTCGGGCTATATGGCCATGTTCTAGAAGCATTTTCCTTTGATGTTTCGCCTGCATCTATGAAAGGCATCCTCAGAGGTTGTGAAGATGCCTGCCATAGATGCAGGCGAAATGTCAGGAGAGAATGCTTCTAGAACATGGTCATATAGCCTGAAAAAAGGAAAACAACCCAGTGATTCTGGCCATGAAAGCCTTCGACAATGCAATGATAAGGTTCTTGTGGGTTTTTTTGGGCTATAGGGCCATGTTCTAGAGGCATTTCTCCTGACGTTTCGCCTACATCTATGGCAAGCATCCTCGGAGGTAGTTAGGTCTCTAGAACATGGCCCTATAGCCTCTAGAACATGGCCCTATAGCCCGAAAAATGCCTCTAGAACATGGCCCTATAGCCCGAAAAAACCCACAAGAACCTAGTGATTCCAGCCACGAAAGCCTTCAACAATACAATGCAATGATAATGATAATAATAGTAATATTAATAATTAAAAAGCAAAATATGGATAGTTGATGTTGCAATCCCAGGTGACAGAGAAACAACTGGAAAAACTGACACAATATGAGGATTTAAAGATCAAACTGCAAAGACTCTGGCACAAGCCAGTCAAAGGGGTCCCAGTGGTGATCGGCACACTGGGTGCAGTGCCTAAAGACCTTGGCCTGCACTTAAACACAATCAGCGCTGACAAAATTACCATCTGCCAGCTGCAAAAGGCCACCTTAATGAGATCTGCACGCATTATTCGCCAATACATCACACAGTCCTAGACACTTGGGAAGTGTCCGACGTGTGATCCAATACAACAGCCAGCAGAGTGATCTCGTCTGCTGTGGACTCATCTTGCTGTGTTTCTAATAATAATAATAATAATAATAATAATAATAATAATAATAGGGTTGTTGTAGGTTTTTTGGGCTATATGGCCATGTTCTAGAAGCATTCTCTCCTGACATTTCACTTGCATTTATGGCAGGCATCCTCAGAGGTTGTGAGGATGCCTGCCATAGATGCAGGTGTAATGTCAGGAGAGAATGCTTATAGAACATGGTCATATAGCCTGAAAAACCTACAACAACCCAATGAAAGCCTTCAACAATACAATAATAATGATAATAATGATAATTTATTTTATTTATGGTGTCAGTATCAACCAGACAATTGTATTACATTTTCAACAATTTTTTAACAAACAGACAAAACTATGTTTGCAAGCTTGGTAGTTGATTAAATGTCCTTTGACCAGTATCTGGCCACTTGGAGTGCCTCTGGTGTTGCTGCAAGAAGGTCCTCCATTGTGCATGTGGCAGGGCTCAGGTTGCATTGCAGCAGGTGGTCAGTGGTTTGCTCTTCTCCGCACTCGCATGTTGTGGATTCCACTTTGTAGCCCCATTTCTTAAGATTGGCTCTGCATCTCGTGGTGCCAGAGCGCAGTCTGTTCAGCACCTTCCAAGTATGATGATGATGATGATGATGATGATAATAATAATAATAATAATAATAATTTTCTGACCTTCCTCTCATCACAGCTTGAAGTGGGTTACAGCATAATTAAAGGACATAAACAAGTTACACCGGGTGTTAGCTTGAATTAACGTATTTGAAATGTGTCAGAGGAGATTTTAATTTGAGATGGGGGAAAAAGCAAGTGCTCTGTTCTGCCTTCCAGCAATGGGCATCCAGAAGCAGATTGACAACCTGAAAGGCAAGCTGCAGGAGACCCAGGAGCGCAGGAAGCGCCAAGAAGACCTCATCATGAAAGTTGAGAACCTGGCGCTTAAGGTGAACCCTGCACTGTGCCCCCTGTTTTCCTTATATCTCTGAAGGCCTGCTCACTTTGGTAGAGATTGGGAAAATGACCAGGAGGCATCCCTTTCAGCAAATAAAGCTGTACTTATTGGGACAGGCTGTAGCTCAGTCAGAGAGAATGTGTTTTACAGAAGGTGTCAGGGTCAGTCCCTTGGATCTCTAGAGGTCCCTGCCTTGGACTCTGGGAACACCGCCAAAACTGAGCTACATAAAGAAATAGCTGTTGCAGGATATATTATTATCTCCAAGACTGCGAAAATGCTCCAGTTATTTAGTTCATTACCTTTCTAGAAATCAGGCAAAAACTTGAATTAATAATCCTGTGTAGCACGATTTTTCCTTGGTTATAAATGTCATTTCCTAATTGGGCCTATCATAAAAACATGGAAAAAGTTGATTAAACTGCGAAACTTTGTTTTTGCGGGAGAGGCATCCCGCCATAGCACATTTTGCTCTAGTTTTTCCATGAATATCTCATTGAGTCTTAACCCATTCAACTTACTTTGTCGCAGCCACAAAAATGAAGTTTCTGGAATAGAACAACTACTTTCAAAGTCAGTTCTGCACAATTAAACAGGAAATGACACTTTCAAACCAGGAACAGAATATTTTTCAAATTTTGTGACATAGTGTTGAGGAAGTGAAGCACTGGAAAAAAGTACTTAATGTTGCTGTAACCCCTGTGACATTGATTAGAGTAAGCCATAAAGAGGATTCTGGCTAAAACTTGTTTCCATCGCTGTCCTTTTCCAGACTCGGCTCCAAGCTGTGCTGGATGAGTTCAAACAGCAGGAGGAGCGAGAGAAGCAGCAGGTAAGGAGTCTGTTAGTCTTGAAATGCTAGCAATAGAGGAAAGGCTGTGAATTTGGAGGGATCCCCTCTTTTGGGATGTAAAGGAGAAGAGATGCTCCCGTTTTGTCTCACGCGTTTCCAGTGTTGTGGAAACACATAACGAAAAATTACAATGCAGTGGAAAGAGTTGGAGTTCTGCTTTTGTTACTGGCTTGTGGAGGATACTTGGACAGTTGCACATTTTTTCATCTGTGGGGCAAAGGACCACTTTGAGACAAGAAGGAGAGTTTTGACTGGGCGAAATAATAAAAGAGAGGAAGGATTGTTCCCCTTGAGAGTGCTGCATTTTTTCTCTCCTTCCCTTCCTACATATGACCTAAAATTGGAACCAATTGGAACATGAGATCTGTGTTAGTGGGAATTGTTTGGGGTCCTTTGGTGGCTGAAAGACTAGGAATTGGATTGAAAGATCTTGGAATTCTTTTGAAGGTGGGTTGCCATGTGTATACTAAGGTAAAGGTAAAAGTTTTCCCCTGATATTAAGTCCAGTTCTGTCCAACTCTGGGGGTTGGTGCTCATTTCCATTTCTAAGCTGAAGAGCCGGCATTGTCCGCAGACACCTCCAAGGTCACCGGGACTGTGGTGCAGCTGTCTGAGTGTCAGCTACATTAAGATCCCTTCTGACCACAAGGTCATGAGTTCAAAGCCAGCCTGGGGTGGAGTGAGCTTCCGACCAATTGTGTAGCTTGCTGTCGACCTTTGCAACCCGAAAGACAGTTGCAGCTGTCAAGTAGGAAAATTATGTACCACCTGTGTGTGGGGAGGCTAATTTAATAAAATATACAAGGCCATAAAAAAGACTCCAGCAAAAGCATGCGGGGAATGCGGAAGGACTTCATCAGTGTCGCAGAAGAGTAGTATTGTTTGAAGGCATTTGGTGGAACATTTCCCTCGAGGCTAAAAGATTCCAGATTGGATTGAAAGATCTTGGAATTATTTTGAAGGTGGAATGGAACGTGGTTCTTAAATGATAAGAAGTAAAAATAAAATTGCTGAGTCCTCTCATTGCTTTTCTTTCTTTTTGCGCAGCTGGCCTCCCTCCAAGAACAACTGGAAGCCCTTATGGAGAAGTGAGGTCCCACCTGAACCTCCCAACAGTGCATCCCACTTCCGGAGATATCGGATTCTCCAATTTCTGATCTAGTGGGATCTATGACTGACAGGTCAGGCAGGTCCCAGCAACTGTATGGATTTTCCCTTGTTCCACAGCTGGTGTCATTCAGATAATGGACTGGACATTCAGGCAGAACCTACGCACACTTTAGAAACGAGAAAAGTTCTCTGGAGTACAAAGCCTGGTCATTTTTGAAGACAAAATGTCACTGCAGTCATCTTGACTTAATCTTTCTTGCTTTTTCATGAAACCGTGTGCAAAACTTTTTAAAGTTTTTAGATGCGTTGGACTTTCAGCATTATGGACTGAAACATGTGGAGAGCTGAAGTTTGCTCCCTGTATTGGGATTGTACAAAAATTGTGTTTGCAAAAAGGTTTCAAGAAATAAAATGCAGTTAAGTTGTGTCTCATTCAGTTGTCAATTCATTGCATAAATAAAACAAGTTTTTTTTGTCGTGTCAGGAGTGACTTAAGAAACTGCAAGGTGCTTCTGGTGTGAGAGAATTGGTTGTCTGCAAGGACGTTGCCCAGGGGACACCCAGATGATTTGAAGTTTTTTATCATCCTTGTGGGAGGCTTCTCTCATGTCCCCGCATGAGGAGTTGGAGTTGATAGAGGGAGCTCATCCGCCTCTCCCCGGATTCGAACCTGCGACCTGTCGGTCTTCAGTCCTGCCGGCACAGGGGTTTAACCCACTGCGCCACCAGGGGCTCAAATAAAACAAGTATAAAATTGATAAAATAGAGGGAAAACAAGTGGCTAAAAAATTTTGGACCAAAAACGGGCAACAGCGACTGCATTGTCTGTAGCTTTAAACAATTCTTCCTGTGTGCGTGAGGCAGGGCATTGTGGGCAAGCATACAGATGTGGAGTTGTTTTTCTGCGCCACAGTCGCACAAGGTGGAGGATTCTTTTCCTGACGTCTCGCCTGCATCTATGGCAGGCATCCTCAAAGGTTGTGAGGTTGATGCAGGCGAAATGTCAGGAGAGAATGCTTCTGGAACATGGCCATACACCCCCCAAAAACTCACAACAACTCAGTAATTGCATATTATTTACCGCAGGCTAAATCGCTGTGCTGCAGAAAAATCCTGCCAATTGGAAGGTGAGCAGTTTGAACCTGGGTTGGGGTGAGCACCCACTGTTAGCCCCAGCTCAACTGCCCACCTAGCAGGTCAAAAGCAGAAATGCGAGTAGATAAAATAGGTACCGTTTTTGGCAGGGTGATAATAAAGGTGCCCTTAAGGACATCGATTGGAGGAAAGCTCCTTGCTATGGAATATGGAGCGACATCACCCCCTGTGGCCGAAGTTTAGCAGAGTCTCCAAGATGCCGAAAATAAGATGTCTGTCCTTGTTAATTGTATAATCGGCATTGAATGTTTGCCATATGGGTGTCTGTAAGCTGCTCTGAGCCCCCTTTTGAGGTGAGAAGAGCGGGATATAAATACTGTAAATAAATAAACAACGTAGCTGCATTTTCCATTGTTTTTGGTCACTACATGTGTGAACCGTAACGGCATAATGTCCAATCATTGAACCCAGTTTGCTGACATACTTGTTAAATGAAAGTAATGAATTTACATATCAACTGATTCATTACTAGCAGTTGTCCCTCAGTTTTGTTGGAGAGTTTCATGGCTGGAATCACTTGGATGCTGTGAGTTTTCCAGGCTGTATGGCCATGTTCCAGAATATGGCCATACAGCCTGGAAAACTCACAGCAACCCATTTGCCCCTCTTTCTCCAAATGACCCACTTGCCTTATTATTATTATTATTATTATTATTATTATTATTATTATTATTATTATTAGAAACACAACAAGATGAGTCCACAGCAGACACTCTGCTGGCTGTTGAATTGGATCACACGTTGGACACTTATTTATTTATTTACTGCACTTGTAGACCGCCGTTCTCAGCCCTAGGGCGACTCACGGCGGTGTACAACATATAAAAACAAACAATTTACAATAAAGGCAATATCACAAACCACAATAACAACATCACTATCAATAATACAATTACACTAATCATTCGCGACGTCTCATCATAGACACTTCCCAAGTGTCTAGGACTGTGTCATGTATCGGCGAATAATGCGTGCTGATTCCAATAAGGTGGCCTTCTGCAGCTGGCAGATGGTAATTGTGTTTAAATGCAGGCCAAGGTCTTTAGGCACTGCACCCAGTGTGCCGATCACCACTGGGACCACCCTGACTGGCTTGTGCCAGAGTCTTTGCAGTTCGATCTTTAAATCCTCATATTGTGTCATCTTTTCCTGTTGTTTCTCTTTAATCCTGCTGTCACCTAGGATTGCGACATCGACAATCCATACTTTCACCTCACTACCTCTGAGGATGCTTGCCATAGATGCAGACGAAACGTCAGGAGAGAATGCCTCTAGACCATGGCCATATAGCCCGAAAAAACCTACAACAACCCATTGATTCCGGCCATGAAAGCCTTCGACAATACAAATCCATACTTTGTTTTTAACACAATCGTGAGGTCAGGAGTGTTGTGCTCCAATACTCTGTCTGTTTAAATCCGGAAGTCCCAGAGTAGCTTGACATGTTCATTCTCTGTAACTTTTTCGGCTTGTGATCCCACCAGTTCTTTGTCACAGGTAGGCGGTATTTGTGGCACAAGTTCCAGTGAATCACCTGAGCAACAGTGTTATGCCTCTGCTTGTAGTCTGTCTGCGCGATCTTCTTGCAGCAGCTCAGGATGTGATCTATTGTTTCATCTGCTTTCTTGCAGAGATTATTATTATTATTATTATTATTATTATTTAGAAATAGTACTGGTGCATAACTATGGTGAAAGTGAATTTTAGGAACAATATTTTGTTGTTAACCACTTTAACCCATTAGAAATAGCAAATGAATCTGTCACAAATTATTTCCAAACTGGTGGGATCAGCTGGTCCAAGCCTCAGGAAATGGCTCGCATCGCCCAGAAGGATATTGGGGGCAGCCCCTGTTTATTAAACAGCCTAATCTATTTCCAAGCAAACAAAGAAGACAAATCCAGGATTAACCTGGAAGGACAAGAGAGGATCAGGAGAAGGAAGGTCGCGTTAATACGTGTGCATTTTCCTCAACACCTCAGAGTTGGAGAGAGCTCTCCTTTGAAAGGGTCTCTACAGAGTCAGGTTCCTGCTTAATTGGAAAGATTGTGACTTCTGGAAACACCAAAATTCATCATGTTGATGTTTGGCAAAATAGATTAGACAGGAAATTGGTAGAAGTGACTTCAATTAACCTTCTGAAACACTAAGCGAAGAGCTCATCAACCAGGAAAGATTTGTGAGCCACTCAGCCATGGAAGAAACGTACCTGCTGAATGTGGAAGGCGTCAAGAAAAAGATTTTACACGGAGGCTGCGGAGTTCTTCCAAATTTCCAGGATGGAAGCAAGGTGAGTGGCTTTGAGAAACTGCAAGTCGCTTCTGGTGTGAGAGAATTGGCTGTCTGTAAGGAAGTTGCTCAGGGAACGCCAGGATGTTTTACCATCCTGTGGGAGGCTTCTCTCATGTCACCACATGAGAAGCTGGAGCAGACAGGTGGGAGCTCACTCCGCTCCCAGGACTTGAACCGCTGACCTTTTGGTCAACAGTCCTGCCGGCACAAGAATTTAACTCATTGCACCAACAAGGCTGGAGCTGTTGGCCGATCTTCAGCTTTAACAACTATGCAACAATGGATCAAAGGAAATAAAGCCACATCAGAGTAAAGTTTGGGATTTTAAAACATTTTTCTGGGAAATGCAGTCCAAAAATCCCACATTTTGGTTCAGAGCTGACATTCTCCTGAAATTTCTGGGGATCACCAGCAGACTGGTGGAAAACTGGGTGCTACGCTGGGCAGGAAAGGCTTGATTCTCTTTCCCTGCCTTTCAAAATGATCTCTCTTCTATCAAAGCCTTGTGTTGCTGTCTTCTCCTTCTCCTTCTTTTCCTTCTCCTCCTCCTTCTCCACCAACACTACCTTCTCCTTCCTTCTGATTTTCCTCCTTCTCCTCCTCTTCATCTTTCTCCTTCCTTCTCCTCCTCCTCCTCCTCCTCCTCCTCCTTCCTTCTCCTCCTTCCTTCTCCTTCCTCCTCCTCCTCCTCCCTTTTCCTCCTCCTCCTTCTTCCTTCTCCTCCTCCTCCTCCCTTCTCATTCTTCTCCTTCTTCTTCCTTCTCCTCCTCCTCCTCCTCCTCCTTTCTCCTCCTCCCCCTTCCTTCTCATTCTTCTCCTCCTTCTCCTCTTCCTCCTCCTTCCTCCTCCCTCCTTCTCTTTCTCTTCCTTCTCTTCCTTCCTTCTCCTTCCTTCTTATTCTCCTTCTCTTCCTCCTCCTTCCTTCTTCTCCTTCCTTCTCCTTCTCCTCCTTCTCCTTCTCCTCCTTCCTTCTCCCTCCTCCTTCTCTTTCTCCTCCTTCTCTTTCTCCTCCTCCTCCTCCCTTCTCCTTCTCCTTTCTCATTCTCCTTCTCTTCCTCCTCCTTCTCCTTCCTTCTTCTCCTTCCGTCACCTTCTCCTTCCTTCTCATTCTCCTTCCTCCTCCTCCCTCCTCCTCCTCCTCCTTCTCCTTCCCAGTAGTTTGGATCTGGACTAACTATAAGACCAAACCAGCATTCACCTTCACCTGTTTTGCTGCAGGTGACCTTTCACTTCCAGACCCTGAAGGATGACTTTGAGCGAACAGTAATAGACGATAGCCGCCAGGCCGGCATCCCTATGGAGATTATTATTGGGAAAATGTTCAAAATTGAGGTGTGGGAGACCCTTCTGACTTCCATGCGGATTGGTGAGGTGGCCGAGTTCTGGTGCGATGCTGTGGTGAGTATCTGTGCTGATGAGATGTTCCCTGATGGCACAATGCTGCCTCTAATCCTGGGGACTTTGGCTACTCGTCATGATGCTCCTTTGCTACCTCCGTTCTGCAAGACAGGTGTCGGGAAAGAAAGCCTCACCATCCGCTCCTTTGTTTCCTCAGCACACAGGGATGTACGCCTTGATCTCCAAGGGCATGAGGAAAATTGCGGAGGGCAAAGACCCCTTGGAGGGGCAAAAGCACCGCTGCGGGATGGGCAACATGTTCGACTATCACAGCACCGGCTACGCAGACCTGGATGAGCTGCAGAGGACCCCACAACCCCTCATCTTTATAATGGAGCTGTTTAGAGTGAGTTGGATTTGGAGTCGTATGTAAACATGACCATTTTGCCTATTTGATGTATTGCTTAACAGTTTCATAGCCACCTTCCATCCCAACACAGAGCATATAACTCATTTCAAACCAACAGCAAAGTTTTAAAGTTCTCAACATTCACATTTAAATTGGAAAATAAAAATATATACATGATATACGGTTGGTCCTCCATAGGCACAGATTCAACCATCCATAACTGTTATTCAAAAGGAAACCTTGATTTCACCATTTTATAGAATGGGACTCAAACATTGACGTATTTTGGTATCCATGCGGTGTTCTGGGACCAAACCACATCAGATAGCAAATTGGGTTGCTGTGAATTTTCTGGGCTGTATGGCTATGTTCCATAAGCATTTTCTCCTGACGTTTCTCCTGAATCTATGGCAGATATTGTGAGGAACGTTGGAAACTATGCAAGGGTTTATATATATGTGGAATAATGTCCAGGGTGGGAGAAAAAGCTCTTGTCTGCTTGAGGCAGGTGTGTATGCTTCAGTTGGGCACCTTGGTTAGCATTGATTAGCCTTTCGGTTTCAAGCTCTGGCTGTTTACTGCCTGGGGGAATCCTTTGTTGGGAGGTGTTTGCTGGCCCTGATTGAGCAAATTATTTTTTCCAAAAGGTTAATGGGCTGGTCCAGGTTCTTATGTTGGTTTCCTTTACTTACTTTACTTAGGCGATCCCTCGTTGTCTGAGTAGGATAATCCTCCAGGGTGGGTCCGTAGGTGGCTGTGGAGCCCTATTCTTATCTGCATGTTCTTCCGCAGTGAGGGCATTCGTTTCCAGGTGGAAGGCAGTCCTGGTCAGGGTTGGCTTGATGCACCTTCCTCTTGGCACATTTCTCGCTTTCGCCCTCCATTCATGCCTCTTCAAATTCTACAGCACTGCTGGTCACAGCTGACCTCCAGCTGGAGCGCTCAAGGGCCAGGGCTTCCCAGTTCTCGGTGTCTATGCCATCGTTTTTAAGGTTGGCTTTGAGCCCATCCTTAACTCTCTTTTTCTGCTCACCAACATTTCTGGGTAGTTGTAGATTTTTTCGGGCTAGATGGCCATGTTCTAGAGGCATTATCTCCTGATGTTTCGCCTGCATCTATGGCAAGCATCCTCAGAGGTTGTGAGGTCTTGCCCACCAACATTCCATTTTCCGTTCTTGAGTTCAGAGTAGAGCAACTGCTTAAGGAGACGGTGGTCGGGCATCCAGACAATATGGCCGGTCCAGCGGAGTTGATGGCAAAGGACCATCGCTTCAATGCTGGTGGTCTTTGCTTCTTCCAGCACACTGACATTTGTCTGCTTGTCTTCCCAAGAGATTTGCAGGATTTTTTGGAGGCAACGCTGATGGAATCCTTTAACACAGAAGTATGGAGACATTGGCCCTGTGGATATGCTTGTCCAATGCTTCCAATTCATGTTTTTCTGCTGCCCAGCAGAATGGCTCCTGACAGTGTTTATAGTTTTATTAGGGATGTTTTTATGGAAAATAGTGGATACATGAATAGATTTTGCATCTAAATCATAAACACTACCATCTGTTCTACCAGGTGGAGGACCCCACTTCCTACAAACGGGATACGTGGGCCATGAGCAATGACGAGAAGCTGCTGGCAGTGCCGAAGTTGCACACCGAGGGCAACCGTCTGGTCCTTTCCAGGAAATTCAAGGAAGCAGCCGAGAAATACCAGGAAGCCGTCATCTGTTTGCGCAACGTCCAATCCAAGGTGAGAACTGGTTCAAAATAAATTACCAGGAACCAAAACTTCAGTCGTGTTTTACTTGCAAGTTGGAAGCTGTCAGAATTCCTTGCTCTGCCAATAGATCTGTGATTCTCAAACCTTGGTCTTAGGACATTATCACATTGGGATATAATCCATTTATATCAGTATGCATCGTATATTATTTCAGGACTGGATACATAGTGGATTGAGACGGGATGCATACTTTCCTCATCATACCTGATTATTATGATTCTTACGATTTGAAAATACTGCGCTTTGACTCATCACACCACGAAAGGCTGGCTCCTCCCAATCCATCCGAAACACCCCTTACACCACTCTAAGACTTTTAAAAAAGTATTCTTGCTGATGGGATGTATACAGATTTTCCTATCACACACAAAAACAGCGCTTCAGCAATGGAAAAATCCAGAGTATTTCAAAAAACTACAATTAGAATTCCGTCTGCAAATAATCTGTTTCTGCAACGCTTTGCAGACGGATTCCAACGGAATACTGACGTGATTGGAGCAAACGTCATGTGATGGGACCCGCTCGAAATCATTCTCAAACAGTCTCAGAATTCGAGTATTTCCAAATGTGATAAGGTCCCTATTCAACTCACTAAACTCCCAGACTGTCGGGAATTCTGGGAACTGAAGTCCAAAACACATGTAGGGCCAAAGTTTGGCAACCACTGACCTACATCTTCTTCTGTTGTTGTTTATTTAGTGTCAAGTTATCTTAAACTTATGGTGCAGCTGGCTGGGAATCAGCTGCATTAAGATCACTACTGACTGAAAGGTCATGAGTTCGAAGCCAGCCCGGGTCGGAGTGAGCTCCCGACCAAAGTTGTGTAGGTTGCTGTCAACCTTTGCAGCCCGAAAGACTGTTGCTTCTGTCAAGTAGGAAAATTAGGTACCAGTTTGTGGGGAGGCTAAATTAACTGATTTACGAGGCCATAAAAAATCTCCAGGAAGTATGCAAAGAATGAGGAAGCAACAGCTCCCCTGGTGGCCAGACGCTGGAAAGTTAAATAGCCTCTGTGTGTCTGTCTATATATGTTGTGTGTCTATGGCATTGAATGTTTGCCATGTATATGTACATTGTAATCCGCCCTGAGTCCCCTGCAGGGTGAGAAGAAGAGCGGAATATAAATACTGTAAATAAATAATAAATAAATAATGTAAATATCTGATGTTCAGGAGGTATTTTCATTCACTGGACCACATTTGACACACATACCTGATACGGCCAAATTTGAATACTGGTGGGGTTGTGGGTGAATTATTTTGTCATTTGAGATTTGTAGTGGCTGGGATTTATAGTTCACCTACAATCAAAGAGCATTCTGAACTCTATCAATAATGGAATTGAACCAAACTTGGCGCACAGCACTCCCATGACCAACAGAAAATACTGGAAGGGTTTGGTGGGCTTTGATCTCGAGTTTGGGATTTGTAGTTCACCTACATCCAGAGAGCACTGTGGACTCAAACAATGATGGATCCAGACCAAACTTGGCATGAATACTCAATATGCCCAAATGTGAACACTAGTGGATTTTTGGAAAAATAGACCTTGACATTTGGGAATTGTAGTTGCTGGGATTTATAGTTAACCTACACTCAAAGAGCACTCTGAGCTCCACCAACGATGGAAATAAACCAAGCTTGGCAGACAGAACTCTCATGATCAACAGAAAATACTGGAAGGGTTTGGTGGGCATTGACCTTTAGTGTTGGAGTTGTAGTTCACCTACATCCAGAGAGCACTATGGACTCAAACAATGATGGATCCAGACCAAACTTGGCATGAATACTCAATATACCCAAATGTGAACATTGGTAGATTTTGAGGAAAATAGACCTTGACATTTGAGAGTTGCAGTTTCTGGGATTTATAGTTCACCTACAATCAAAGAGCATTCTGAACCCCACCAACAATAGAATTGGCCCTAACTTTCCGCACAGAACCCAGATGACCAACAGAAAATACTGATGGTCTTTGGTGACCGCTCTGACCCCCTCTGGGGTGGAGAAACGCTGCTCTAAAGGTATCTTGGAGGTCACCATAAGCCCTGCTTAGGTCTTGTGAACTCAGGGCTGGAGCCTCCTTGACTGAGTCTTTTCACCAGAACCATCTTCCTCTTCTCCTAAGCATTCATGTTCATAGAGAGAGAGACAAGGGCTCTTCTGCATTGGGGTTCATCCCAGAGATGTTCTTTCTTTCTTGGGTGGTGTCAGATTTGACAGATTTCCTTGATTTCCAGGAATGCGTGTTGTGCTAGGCCCAGTATCACCCTCATCTTCTTTCTTGGATATCTCAACAGGAGAAGCCATGGGAAGAGGACTGGCTGAAGTTAGAGAATCTCATCACGCCTCTTGTACTCAACTATTGCCAATGCCAACTGGAGCTGGGAGAGTATTATGAAGTGCTGGAACACACCACCGATCTTCTCCAGAAGAACAACAGTGAGTTCCCCTGCCTGATACCTATTTGCATTCCAGTCCAGCCCTTTTCCTGTTCTGGGACCAGAGTAAAGAGAGAGGGGGCCAGGAAGACATTCCATCTTGTCTCCTGTACTATGCTAATAATATAATATGATATGATATAATATAATATAATGGCGCTCCATGCAGTCATGCCGGCCACATGACCTTATTTATTATTTATTTATTTCGTGTACTTCTACCCCGCCCTTCTCAACCCCCGAGGGGGGACTCAGGGCGGCTTACAAAAGGCACAATTCGATGCCAGCACAACAACAAGGTAAAAATAAAACATATATAAACAGCAATTAAAACAATTAAAACAATCCCATTATACATCACACTCCCTAAAAACCAATCTAATGCTCAACGTTTGCCAGCTCAGAGTCTGTGAATTCAATTCCACATTGTCGAATCTGTCAGTTCTAGTCGTCGCTTGTCCTTTGTCTATCTGCCAGATTCCCTGAAAGCCTGGTCCCAAATCCATGTTTTTAATTTCCTTCTAAAAGAGAGGAGGCATGTCGATGACCTAATTTCCCGGGGAGTGAATTCCACAGGTGAGGGGCCACCACCGAGAAGGCCCTGCTCCTCGTCCCCACCAACCTCACTTGTGATAGAGGTGGGGCTGAGAGCTGGGCCTCCCCAGAAGATCTTAAGCTCCGAGGTGGGACGTAGAAGGAGATGCGTTCAGACAGGTACGCTGGGCTGGAACCGTATAGGGTTTTGTAGGTCAAAACCAGCACTTTGAATTGTGCTCGGAATTGGATCGGCAGCCAGTGGAGCTGACACAGCAGAGGGGTGGTATGCTCCCTGTATGACGTTCCGGTGAGTAATCTGGTTGCTGCCCGCTGGACTAATTGAAGTTTCCGAACAGTCTTCAAAGGCAACCCCATGTAGAGTGCGTTGCAGTAACCTATTCGGGATGTAACAAGAGCGTGGACCACTGTGACCTTGGAGGTGTCTATGGACAACGCTGGCTCTTCGGCTTAGAAATGGAGATGAGCACCACACCCCAGAGTCAGACATGACTGGACTTAATGTTAGGGGAAAACCTTTACCTTAATATAGTACAAAATATAATAATAATAATAATAATAATAATAATAATAATAATAATACAATGCATTTACATATAATATGTATAATATTATATTGTAATACAATATAATACTACTACTACTAATACAATATTATAATTATGTATTATATATTTTATATTACATGTAATATTACTAATAATATTATAGTATAATGGTATAGTGCAATATAGTAATATATAATACTGATATGGTGCTATGCTAATAATATTGTATGCATATAAGCACAGTATTTTCCAGTCATAATAATCATAATAATCAGATGTGATGGGGAGAGTATGCATCCCATCTCAATATAGTATGCACCCAGTTCTAAAAAAAATATGGGATGCATCAGACCATCCTAAATGCTTATCTTCTCTTTGCAACAGTTCTCAACAATGTTGTGCAGACAAACCCATATCTCCATCCAATTCGACATTTATATAAACAGATTATATCCCAATGTAGAATCATAGAGTTGGAAGAGACTTTGTGGGCCATCCAGCCCAACCCCATTTTACCGAGAAGCAGGGAAATCTCATTCAAAACACCCCCATCCAGCCTCTGTTTAAAAGCCTCCAAAGAAGGAGCCTCCACCACACACTGGGGCAGAGAGTTCCACTGCTGAACAGCTCTCTCACGCAGTCAGGAAGTTCTTCCTCATGTTCAGGTGGAATCTCCTTTCTTGTGGTTTGAAGCCATTGTTCCATGTCTTAGTCTCCAGAGCAGCAGAAAACAAGCCTGTTCACTCCTCCCTATGAGTTCCCATCATATATTTATATATGGCCCTCATCATATCTCCTCTCAGCCTTCTCTTCTGCAGGCTAAACATGCCCAGCTCTTTAAGCCACTCCTCATAGGGCTTGTTCTATTCGGATAAGGTCCTTTATGAGATTTGTTTCATAGGAACGAATTGCCTTTGCTCTTTTCTAGAAAACGTGAAGGCCTATTTCAAGAGGGCAAAGGCACACGCTGCCGTCTGGAACGAGAAGGAGGCCCGGATGGACTTTGCGAGGGTGGCCCAGCTGGACCCGTCTTTGGCCGCTGCTGTGAGGAAAGAGCTACGGATTTTGGGGGAGAGGATGAGGCAGAAGCACGTGGAAGACCGCAAGAGATACCAAGGTCTCTTCCAGCCCTCTTCTCAAGGGGAAACCAAGGAGAAAGTGGTGGAAGAGAGCGAAGAGAGAAAGGAAGAACTCCCTGATGAAGGACACCAGACAGAGACGGATGAAAGGAAGGAAGATGCCTTCTTAGGGCCAAAGAGAGATGGTCAAGAGATGAGTGTGAGGAATAGAGAAACAGTGGAAGGAAGCAAAGAGGAGGAAAAGAATGGATCCCCAGAGAATCCAAGCAGAAATGACACAGATGAAGCTTCCCTTCAGAAAGAAATTGAGGTCAGAACAGGAACCGAAGAACCAGAAGAACAAGGAAAAGTTCAGAGTTGTTCTAAAGATAATATTGCCAATGGGGAAACCTCTGAGAACGATGCTGGGCATCACCAGTCAAGCAAAGAAAGAGAAAATAGAGAAACAGAGGGCTATCAAAGGAGACAAGCAGATTCTCCAGCACTGAAGGGAGAGCCAGAAAGAACAGGTGTCCATGTTGTGTCTAAAGGAGTTGTGAGAGCTCCAGGAATCGCAACAAACAGCATAGGAAAAGAAGTCATGGAAGGATGTTGTGATGGTGAAAAAGGAGAAGACATCAACCCCAGCAGCCAATTCAGGGTTCAGGACAGTGTTGGCTTTGAAGAAGAGAATAATAAGGAAGGAGCAAGAGAGGAGAGTTCTGAGGAAAGCCATGGAGGAGATCCCTTCCTTCAGGTCCAAGAAGAAGGTCCAAAGAGGGAACCAGAAGCATCGGCGGAGCTGAATTTGAAGGAAGACGCAACTCGTGGCAAGGAAAAGGACGAAGAGCCATGCAAAGTTCATTCTGCTGCAGAGAATGATGAGAGTAGAGAAGACACAGAGTCGGAACAGGCAAAAAGAGAGACTGGCAACCATTCACAGTCTGGAAAGGAAATGTGTGAGTCTGCTCAGTGTGAGGCCAACAGAGAAGGCAATGGGATGGTAGATGGAGATGACGAGAGAGGAACACTAGAAGGCAACACGAGCATCAGAACAGAGGACTCCAAGCAAGAGAGGGATGGTATTCAGGACAAAATAGGTGGAGATGGACAGAAAGAGTTGGCCAAAGATGGGTCCAGCGCTGAATCACAAGGAGAGATACAAGGGGACGAGACAGAACAAGGATGCCTTGAAGAAGAGATGAACTTCAGGAGAGAGATGAAGATGGTGGAGAGCTCTGTCTCAGGACAGGAAGGTTCACAAGCCACTTGGGAAGGACTAAAAGAGAGCCTGGAAATGCATATGGATGAAGACTGTTTCCAGGGGAATGACGAGAGGTCAGAAGTTGGCACAAAAGAAAAGAAATGAGCATCGAGCATAGAGGTGGCTTGGCCTGGAACTATAAATACATTGAATGTTTTCGTCCTGACTGAGACTAACCTAGAGAAGCAAGGTGGGCAAAAGAGAAGTTGTCGAAGGCTTTCATGGCTGGAATCACTGGGTTGTTGTAGGTATTTCAGGCTATATGGCTGTGTTCTAGAACAGTGTTTCTCAACTTGGGAGTCGGGACCCTTAGGGGGGTCATGAGGGGGTGTCAGAGGGGTCACCAGTGACCATAAAAAAACAGTATTTTCTGTTGGCCATGAGGGTTCTGTGTGGGAGGTTTGGCCCAATTCTATCATTGGCGGGGTTCAGAATGCTTTTTGATTGCAGGTGAACTATAATTCCCAGCAACTACAACTCCCAACTGTCAAGTTCTGTTTTCCCTAAACTCCACCAGTGTTCACACTTGGGTATATTGAGTATGCATGCCAAGTTTGGTCCTGATTCCTCATTGTTTGAGTCCATAGTGCTCTCTGGAGGTAGGTGAACTACAACTTCAAAACTCAAGGTCAATGCCTACCAAACCTTTCCAGTATTTTCTCTAGGTCATGAGAGTTCTATGTGGCAAGATTGGTTTGATTTCATCATTGGTGGAGTTCAGAATACTCTTTGAGTGTAGGTGAAAAATAAATCCCAGCAACTACAACTCCCAAGTAACAAAATCAATCCCCCCCAACACTACCAATATTCAAATTTGGGCATATTGGGTCTTTGTGCCATAATTGGTCCAGTGAATGAAAACTCATCCTGTATATCAGATATTTACATTATGATTCATAACAGTAGCAAAGTTACAGTTATGAAGTAGCAACAAAATTAATTTTATGATTGGGGGTCACCACAACATGAGGAACTGTATTAAGGGGTCGCGGCATTTGGAAGGTTGAGAAACACTATTCCAGAAGCATTTTCTCCTGACCTTACAACCTCTGAGGTTGCTTGCCATAGATGCAGGCAAAACGTCAGGAGAAAATGCTTCTAGAGCATGGCCATATAGCCTGAAAAACCTACAACAACCCAAAAGAGAAGTTGGCAACACCTGCAGACATTTCCATGTCTGTTGATGAGCAATTTTTGCAGAAATGTCTGGTTTGGCTTCTTGTGAAATGGCAAGCTGGCATTAACACCTGTAAATCTGCCAATTTGTGGATTGAGGCACAGAAAGAAAGAAAGAAAGAGAACATCCAACATATTACACTACATTGTTGAAAGCTTTCATGGCCAAAATCACTGGATTGTTGTGTTTTCCGGGCTGTACGGCCATGTTCCAGAAGCATTCCCTCCTGACATTTTGCCTACATCTATGGCAGGCATTTTCAGAGGTTGTATCATAATAACAACCTCGGAGACCTCACAACCTCTGAGGATGCCTGCCATAGATGTAGGCCAAACGTCAGGAGGGAATGCTTCTGGAACATGGCCATACAGCCTGGAAAACACGCAACAACCCATATTACACTATGTAACACAGGTTTTTTTGTTCCTGGGCTATTAATGTCTTTTCCTAATTAGTTGTATCATAAAAACAGATGCACCCTGAGCCCCACTACATGCACAATGGGGGATGTGCTGGTACAGCTGTTCCAAAGTTCCATGCATTTTGCAATAAGGTGGCTTCCCTTGGTTTGCAGCCACCTGCCTATCATCATTGGGTTTTTTATTCCGCCCCTTTCCCCAGGGTTCAGGAAAGAAAGGGAGCCATTTTAGCTCAGTCTTACAGTTGAAAGCTTAGCTACATGACGTGAATCAGCTTCACCTGTAGAGAAGCTTCATTTCTTATAAAATTCCGGGGGGAAACAGTTCAAAAGGACTCCAGCTGGAGAATCTACACAGAGACTTTGGCCTGGTAAGGACCTCTCGCGGCAGCTATAACGCAAATTGGAACCGGGTGTAGGGGCTCCACACCAGCAAAGCCTAAATACAGATTGCCCAAGGAGGGGTTAGAAAGGGTTTTCCTCTTAAAGAAAAGAAACAGTTCACGAAGCCAGTTGCCTGTCCCTTTTGGACAAGATTAAGAAAGCCAGCAGTTGATTCAAAGCCTTTAAATATTTGTTTGACCTGTTGAAGATCTGAGAAGTATTTGATTAATTTGTTAAAGACCTAAGCAATAATAAAGGACTTTGTTAAACTTTTCAAGCTTCTAAAGACTTTTGTATAGGAAAATCCTTACAGCCTCTCAGCAGAGGCACCCCGGCTTCCCGCTGGGCACAAAGAGCAAGTCCTGTTCAAAAGCCAATTGCTATAGGCCCAGCGCGTGACAGCACAGAGGACCTTCTTATAGCAACACAAGAGGCACTCCAAGCGCTTCTGGTCAAAGGACATTTGGTATAACGCCAAGTTTTTAACTTTGTTTGAGTTTTTAAATACATTGCAACTGTACCCTCAATTTGCTTCTGACATGATAAATAAATAAATCACGTTGTGTGCAAATCCAGTATTTTTCTTGTACCAAAATAAAGGTTTGTTGTCATAGCCAATATTTTTTTTCTTGTACCAAAATAAAGGTTTGTGATTGTATTTTTTTTAAAAGGTTCTCTTTATTTCCAAACCTACTACATTATACAAAACACTCAAGCGATAGAAGGAAGAAGGAAGAACTTTGTGGGTCCACAATGCCCAGTAAAAAATAGGGATATGTTATAGGATTCTGCAGGAAAAGCAATATTTTCTGAACGGTTCCATGACCAAAAATGTTTGGGTACCGGTGACCTAGGGGACATGTTTGTTTGTTGTTGTTTGAAAACTTTTTAGAAATAACTACAACAGTGATCAGTTAAAGGCTCAGACGTCAGTCGAAATAGGGTAACTCCTTGGCAGAAAGCACTGGCATGTGCCCACTGAGAACATTCTTGGCTCGCATGAAAAGGTTTGCCATTATGGAATTCTTAACAGAATGTTCTTTCCGTAGCAAACATACTGCATTCCTTCTTCTTGAACAGCCTAAACAGTGACATTCATATACAGCTACTATGACACCAACCAGCCCACTCCATTCAGTACTCTTCTTACCCTTATGGGAGCCTACGAAATGCTCGACATCCAAGACCACAACCTACACACGACGTACGACGTGCTGCAAGAACCTCCACAACCTACGGGGCTTTCGACATACGTAACATTCCTGTCAAACCACATTGCTGACACAGAGAGTGGGCAAGGCCATAGCACCACCGACCACGAAGAAAGCAAAACCCTAGAAGTAAAAAAAATGTTAGTTTGTACTGCAAATGTACAAGTTGAAAGAGGTTATAAAATTAAATAGTACTTACTTACTTAGGTGATCCCTCGTTGGCCGAGCAGGATAGTTTTCCAGGATCAGTATTCTTGTGGATCCATAGGTGACTGTGGAGCCCTATTCTTGATCTGCATCTTCTCCCGCAGTGAGGGCATTTGTTTCCAGGTGGAAGGCGGTCTCGGTCAGGGTTGGCTCGACGCGCCTTCCTCTTGGCACGTTTCTCTCTTTCACCCTCCATTCGTGCCTCTTCAAATTCTGCAGCACTGCTGGTCACAGCTGACCTCCAACTGGAGTGCTCAAGGGCCAGGGCTTCCCAGTTCTCAGTGTCAATGCCAGAGTTTTTAAGGTTGGCTTTGAGTCCATCTTTCAATCTCTTTTCCTGTCCACCAACATTCTGTTTTCCGTTCTTGAGTTCGGAGTAGAGTAACTGCTTTGGGAGATGGTGGTCGGGCATCCGGACAACGTGGCTGGTCCAGTGGAGTTGATATTACCTTAGCCATCCTTCACCATGTCTTATGCCAATTTTGCAGTGTAAAGACACCACTCGCAACCACGGTACACAACACCAAGACTGTTGCCAACAGTCTTGGACAGCTTAGACTACTATGGCATAGACGCCGAGAACTGGGAAGCCCTGGCGCTTGAGCGCTCTAACTGGAGTTCAGCTGTGACCAGCAGTGCTGTGGAATTTGAAGAGGCACAAATGGAGGGCGAAAGGGAGAAGCATGCCAAGAAGGAGCATCAAACCAACCCTGACCGGGACTTCTTTTCTCCTAGAAACCGATGTCCTCACTGTGGAAGAACATGTGGGTCAAGAATAGGGCTCTACAGTCACCTATGTATCCAAGGCCAAGACACTACACCTGGAAGGCCATCATACTCAGACAATGAAGGATCGCCTAAGTAAGCAAGCAAGCAAGCAAGTAAGTACACAACACGACATTCAACAACATGGAGATCCTGAAATACACTTGATTCGAAGCCTGCTCCTACAATCTGTTTTTGCATCACAGAATGGGAATGTATCAACGCCTAGCACCTCAACTCCGCAACCACAGATACTTGCTATACAGCAGACTAGCCAACCTTAAAATACTTTAATAGTTGATTACAAACAGCTTTTTACTCTATGAGCTTATCATACAGAGCCTCAAAACAAAGTAAAGAATAAACACTAGCTTCGGAGGATTCAGAATTCTGTACAATCAGCTGATCACTTGTGCCAAACCGAGAGTGAAATCCTAGCTGATTAGCTTGTGATTGTGACCTGCATCTGTCACACCTTGAAGGGGAGAAAAGGGAAAGAAGGCAAATGCTTTTATGCATTTTCAAAGGCTTTCATGACCGGAATCACTGGGTTGTTGTGTGTTACCTTGGCTGTATGGCATTGTTCCAGAAGCATTCTCTCCTGACATTTCACCCACATATATGGCAGGCATCATAGAATCATAGAGTTGGTACAGATGCCGTGGACCATCCAGTCCTGTCAAGAAGCAGGAATCACATTCAAAGCACCCCTGACAGATGGCAATCCAGCCTCTCTTAAAAGCCTCCAAAGGAGCCTCCACTTCCACCTGAGCATGCTCAGACCTCTGGGGATGCCTTCCATAGATGTGAGCAAAACACCAGGAGAGAATGCTTCTGGAACATGGCCATACAGCCCGGAATACTCACAGCAACCCACAAATGGTTTTGAGTTAAATAAGAAACGGATGTAGTGCATCGTCTGCCAACCTCCCAGAGTGTTCCAGATGAATAAACAACTGAACAACTGTGACCAAATTATGTCTAAAGAGTAGAAAAATGTGGTTAAGTAATAATCACAAGGCTCACCACAAGCCTCCCAATGCACATAATTAGGAGCTGACCCTAACATAGTTTCTAGTGCTTCCCTATCCTAAATGCCAAGCTTCTACCCTTTCCCCTTCTACTTGTAGTCAACTACAAGCCCTGGTCCTTGAGCACTCCAGTTGGAGGTCAGCTGTGACCAGTAGTGCTATAGAATTTGAAGAGGCACGAATGGAGGGTGAAAGAGAGGAACGTGCCAAGAGGAAGGCACGTCAAGCCAATCCCGACCGCGACTGCCTTCCACCTGGAAACTGAAGTCCTCACTGCTGGAGAACATGCAGGTCAAGAATAGGGCTCCACAGTCACCTACAGACCCATCGCCAGAACACTGACCTTGGAGGACCATCATCCTCGGACTACGAGGGATCACCTAAGTAAGTAAGTAACTAGGTATGTTGAACTGGTCTTCCTGCCTTGCTTGCAATCACTTGGACTCCATGCCTTCCTCTTAAATAAGTGGTTCTCAACCTGTGGGTCTCCAGATGTTTTGGCCTCCAATTCCCAGAAATCCTAACAGCTGGTAAACTGGCTGGAAATTCTGGAAGTTGTAGGCCAAAATATCTGGGGAGCCACAGATTGGGAATCACTGGATTAGGTGGACAAATGAGACCATAACAGACCATAGTGTCTAACAGTCTGCCACAATGACCAAGCATCAAGAGCTTCCCCATCATAAGTTGGAAGAGACCCCAAGGGTCATCAAGTCCAACCCCATTGTGCCAGGCAGGAACACACAATCTACTCACCCCCAATAGATAGCCATCCAGCCTCTGCTAAAAATGTAACTCCAGAAAAGGATACTTTCACAGACTCCAAAGCAGGATATTCTACTGCTGAACAGCTTATACCATGGGTCCTCCAACGAAGGCCCGCGGGCCGGATACAGCCCTCCAAGGTCATTTACCCGGCCCTCGCTCAGGGTCAGCCTAAGTCTGAAATGACTTGAAAGCACACAACAACAACAACAACAATCCTATCTCATCAGCCAAAAGAAGGCTCACACTTTCCACTGAAATACTAATAAGTTTATATTTGTTAAAATTGTTCTTCATTTTAATTATTTTATTGTTTTTAAATGTTTTTTGCACTACAAATAAGATATGTGCAGTATGCATAGGCGTGGCGCAGTGGGTTAAACCCCTGTGCCAGCAGAAGACCGACAGGTCACAGGTTCGAATCTGGGGGATGAGCTCCCTCTATCAGCTCCAGCTCCTCATGCGGGGACATGAGAGAAGCCTCCCACAAGGATGATAAAAACATCAAATCATCCAGGCATCCCCTGGACAACGTCCTTGCAGACGGCCAATTCTCTCACACCAGAAGCAACTTGCTCCTGACACAACAAAAAAAAATCATTTTTTTCCAAATTATAATCTGGCCCTCCAGCAGTTTGAGGGATTATGATCTGGCCCTCTGTTTAAAAAATTTGAGGGCCCCTGGCTTATACCATCAGGAAATTCTTCCTTGTCTCTGTTCAGAAAAACTGCAACTATCCAGAAGGACTGAAATATTGTATTCTGTCAAGAAAGAAATCTGAGCTGATTCTGTCTGGTGGGATTTCGGTTGGGATGAATGGCTGAAAATTGGAACAGATGAACATGAACTGAGCCTTCAGAACAGGCATGGGCAAACTTGGGCCCTCCAGATGTTTTGGACTTCAACTCCCACAATTCCTAACTGTTTCAAACCTGAGGCTGTTAGGAATTGTGGGAGTTGAAGTCCAAAACACCTAAAGGGCTGAAGTTTGCCCAAGCCTGCTCCAGACACTTAGTGTGGTGTGGGATCAGACAATGGAAGACAATTGTTTTGCGGTGGGAGAAGCTATACTTCTAGAAAACTCGATGCAGCTTAGAAGGAGACATCCACATTAGGAGGAGATGGTTATTTGCCAAAAGCACGGCGAAATCTGGATTATCGAAGGCTTTCATGGCCGGAATCACTGGGTTGTTGTAGGTTTTTTCGGACTATATGGCCATGGTCTAGAGGCATCCAACAGACCTCACTACCTCTGAGGACGCTTGCCATACATGCAGGCGAAACGTCAGGAGAGAATGCCCCTAGACCATGGCCATATAATCCGAAAAAACCTACAACAACCCAATCTGGATTATGTTTGCCCCAGTGACCATTTAACTTGCTTGATGCACACCATGGAGCGTATTTTGTGGCACTGTGAATGAGAATGCAAGAGAACGACCGCCCAAGTCTCGAATTTCCCATGCATGGATTGTGCCTCATGCCATGTAAACAAACTCCGGGGACGTGGGAAAGAGTCCCAACTCCCCTTCTCCACTGTCCTGTTCTCAAGAGGTCACTCAGGTTAGAAAAGAAGCCAACAAATCAAGACTGTTTGGGGAGAAATACAAGCCTGATGGAAGGATCATCGCCTTCAAGTAAAAGCAAAACACCAGGGTGCAGAACAGATCCAAACAGCAAAGCCAAAATAAACATATAACAAGGAATTAGAATTTAATGCATGAGGGAGTCCGTAACAGCACTTAAATATGCGCGGATTAAAACAGTAAGGCTCTCTGTTATAAAGCTTCTCTCCTTTAAGGCTGCTTTCTTTCCCGTTGGAATGGTTGGTCTCCAAACCTGCTCCCTCCCTTCTTTTTAATTCCTGTCGCTTTTCCTCATTGGTCTTGGTAGAGATGGAGGCACCTGGATGTTGGCACTGTGTCCAACCCAATACAAAATATTCCATTCCTTGTCCTTAAAGGTAGTTCTGGTGGGGCCACTCTTGCCACGGCCACTGGATGCCACTGTTTGGGATAAATCCGCTATCGGCCACTTCCTGACTCGACCTAAAACTAGACCCAGGAAAGGTTCACGAAAAGTAGAGACAGCCTGTAGTTTGCGCAGAACATCTCCATGTGCCCCCTTTTTCTCGTCCTTGTTGACGTTTCTTGAACCTGGGCCCACGGCAGCACCAGGTCTTGACTTCGTTCATTGGACTGGCCCTGGCTGCCCTTCGAAAGAGCAGCGCCTTGGAGTTGCTGTGTGCTCTGCTGGGTGCCTTGCAAGGAGGCCGGCCGCATTTGCGGAGCCTCCTCTGGAGCGAAGTGAAGCCCACCTCATGAGGAAGGGCAGAGGTGGGAGAAGCAGCCGCCAAATCACTGGTTAGACAAAGCCTCTCGCTTGCAGGAGGGGTTAGATGTGGGAGGTTGGACCTGCAAGAGAAAACGAAACAGGGTCTCATCGAACACACCTGGTAGGAAAGGGTCTCTCTCCAACAGCATCCCCTGTCTTTTGCTGTGTGCACACAGGGGTCTTGTATCTATCTGGAGTAATCACAACCACAAATATCAAATACAGTAGAGTCTCGCTTATCCAACATAAACGGGCCAGCAGAACATTGGCTAAGCAAAAATGTTGGATAATAAGGAGAGATTAAGGAAAAGACCGTTAAATGTCAAATTACATTATGATTTTACAAATTAAGCATCAAAACATCATGTTTTACAACAAAGCAGTCGAATACATGGTAATGTTATGTAGTAATTATTGTATTTATGAATTTAGCACCAAAACAGCTGTGGATCTGCGCGGGAGGCAGACTGCGTTGGATAATACAGAATGTTGGATGAGCGAAGGTTGGATAAGCGAGACTCTACTGTAGATACAAAACATGTATAGCTATAGATGGCATTTCTGTTGTTCTGTTTGATACACATCATGTATCAAAATTTCAAAAATATGTGTTCCTGTCTGGTTTTAAAGTGCTATTTACTATTTCCTTTGAAAGTAATTGTTCTGCTCTAGAAACTTGGTTTTTCTGGCTGCCCCAAACTATGTTGAATTGGCTGAGACTCTATGAGATATTCATTGAAAAACTAGAGCAAAATGTGCTACAGAATGTCCCCCAGCAATAATAATGATGATAATAATAATAATAATAATAATAATAATAATAGTAAAGGTGGTCCCAGTGGTGATCAGCACACTGGGTGCAGTGCCTAAAGACCTTGGCCTGTACTTAAACCCAAATGGCGCTGACAAGATTACCATACATCACACAGTCCTAGACACTTGGGACGTTTGATCCAATAAAACAGCCAGCAGAGTGATCTTGTCTGCTGTGGACTCATCTTGTTGTGTCTCAAATAATAATAAACTTTATTTATATTCTGCTCTATCTCCCTGAGGGGACTCAGAGTTCAAAAACATGCAAATGTGAGATCAATAGGTAACACTTCGGTGGGAAGGTAACAGCGCTCCAAGCAGTCATGCCGGCCACATGACCTTGGAGGTGTCTACGGACAACGCCGACTCTTCGGCTTAGAAATGGAGATGAGCACCAACCCCCAGAGTTGGATATGACTAGACTTAATGTTAAGGGAAAACTTTTACTTTTACCTTGGAGAGCACAGATGTTAGGCACACTTGCACATCTATATAAATAAAAATGTAATGTTTGTTTGTGGGATTAACAGAACTCAAAAACCACTGGGGGAATTGACACCAAATTTGAACACAATACACCTAACAACCCAATTTCTGTCCTTCACTCATAAAAACACTGAAAAACACAGCAGAAGGGACTTAAAATGCCCCAAAAAGCTAAATGACAATAAGCTAAATGACAATACAGAAAAAAAGGAAGAAAGAGGGAGGGAAAGGGAGAAAAAAGAAAGAAAGAAAGAAAGAAAAAAAGAAAGAAAGAAAGAAAGAAAGAAAGGAAAAGAAAGAGGGAGGTAAAGAAAGAAGGAAAGGGAGAAGGAGGCATGGAAGCAAAGAGAGAAGGAAAGAAAGAGGTAGAGAAGGAAGAAAGGAGAGAATGAGGGAGGGAAAGAAAAAGGGGGAAGGAAGGAAAGTTAGAAAAGGAAGGAGAGAAGGAAAGAAAAAAGGGAAAGAAGGAAGGAAAGAGGGAGCGAAGGAAAGGGGGAAGATGTAGAGAAAGAGGGAGGGAAGGAAAGAAGGAAAGAGAAGGAAGAAAAGAGAGACAGAAGAAGAGAAAGAAAAAGGGAGAAGGAAGGAAAGAGATAGAAAAGGAAGGAAGAAGAGAAGGAAAGATAGGAATGAAGGAAGGAAGGAAGGAAGGAAGGAAAGAGGGAGTGAAGGAAAGAGGGAAAGAAGGAGAGAAAGAGGGAAGGTTGGCCACAGCAATGCGTGGCGGGTACAGCTAGTTCATTAATAATATTCTTTACAGGAGTATCATTTCTCCTGGGCCATTAATGGATTATAGTAAGACAAATGCTGGAAATGGGGAGAGATGGAGGCCATGGTGGCTCTGCCATGCCAATGGAGCTTTTGACTGAATTTTAAGAAGCTCCAAGTCCTGGGGTTCAGTTGCTTAGCTATCTTCTTTAAAGCTCTTTTAAAGTTCAGACAAAAACCTAGAGATGATTCACCATGAAGGCCACTAACTGAGACTTACAAAAACCCATAGGATTGAGATTTACAAAATCTAGACAATTCTCAGTCACATTTTTAAATGGTTTTGCAAAGAGATACTTCTGTTTTTTAAAGGGAAATGTGAAGAAAAGCTTAAGTTTACGATGCAAAAGGCGGCTTGTATTCATGCTGTAGGGTTACAATTACTGTTTTTAGTTATCCAAGCAGCAACACAGAGTTAGAGATCCAGAATGCGTTATAAGCACCAAAGTTATAAGCCAGGAGCAAGGTTTTTTTTTAATGCAAAGGGGGTAATACCAGATGCTGCCCTTTCTTAGATTTGAAAATCATCTAGGAGAGGGTGAGGGACTTCTTCAGAAAGGCCAAAGGATGGGGTCTTTTGCCTGTCAGAAGTAAAAGTAAAACTTGTTTTATTTTAAGTGCATTCGGTGTGACGGTGCACCCACCCCTTTTCTACTCAATTGCTGGAATACAGGTCTCTCGGCCATTCCCACCCGGTGCTGGTTGGATTAATATGGATCTCGAGAGGAAAACACCCTCAGTTTGGATTTTAGACACAAATGGTTTCACACACTGTACCTTCAGTGTTGGGGAAAGCATTCCTCAGCTTCTCCATGATGTCCTCCAGACACAGACTGACGTCCTGCGTGCTCACCCCCACCTCGTCTGTGATGAAGGAAAAGGAGGAGAGAACCATACAAAAGGTTAGGGATAGCAGGAGGCAACATTCTCAGTCACACAGGAGCCCCCGGTGGCATAGTGGGTTAAACCCCTGTGCCGGCAGGACTGAAGACCGACAGGTCGCAGGTTCAAATCCAGGGAGAGCGTGGATGAGCTCCCTCTATCAGCTTCAGCTCCTCATGCGGGGACATGAGAGAAGCCTCCCACAAGGATGGTATAAACATCAAAGCATCCGGGCGTCCCCTGGGCAACTTCCTTGCAGACAGCCAATTCTCTCACACCAGAAGCGACTTGCAGTTTTTCAAGTTGCTCCTGACATGACCAAAAAAAAAAATGCTAAAAAAATAAAACTTTATTTTCCATTGGGAACATTAAGGACTTCATCTCACCGGATAAGTCAAGCGTTTGGGATCGTTGTTTTTCCCTTAAGCTTCCCAACATCCCATTTTGAAATTAGGTTAAAGGTTTTCCCCTGACATCAAGTCCAGTCGTGTCCGACTCTGGGGGTTTCTAAACCAAAGATCCAGCATTGTCCGTAGACACCTCCAAGGTCATGTGGCTGGCATGACTGCATGGAGCACCGTTACCTACCTATTAATCTACTCACATTTACATGTTTTTGAACTGCTAGGTTGGCAGGAGCTGGGGCTGACAGCAGGAGCTCACCCCGCTCCCCAGATTTGAACCTGCAACCTTTCAGTCAACAAGTTCAACAGCTCAGCGGTTTAACCCACAGCGCCACCGGGGCCTCAATCTTGAAATTAAATGGATGATTTTCCTACTCCCATCCCACAGTTTCCTTCTTTCCGCTTTCTTTTCTAATTATCCGTTTTCCTCCCCATCACGAGGGAGACATAATTCTCCTCCCACTGTCTCCTCTCCCATTTAATTTGGATACCAACCCCAGAGATCCCTCTGTTCTGAGGACCAAGATCTATTGGAAATTCCCAGTGTCAAGACCTTGCGTCTAACAGCAACCAGACGCAGAGCCTTTACAGCAGTGGCACCATCACTCTGGAATACTCTGCCACCTGAAGTCCGTGCCTTGCGGGACTCACCAGCTTTCCGCAGGGCATGTAAGACATATCTGTTTCGACAGGCCTTTGATCTCTGACGTTGTTCTCAATTCAAAAGGCAGGTCTATTTATTTTACGTTTTAAAAGAGATATAAATATCCGTTCCTTACTTCTCCGTCCAAAATAGGTAATTGTGGAAGAAGGGACTCGGCTCATCTCGGCTCCTCCCTCCAGAATAACATCATTGTTATGTTTACAAGCGGGCAATGGGGAAATCCCATCACTGTTGAACTCTAGCCTGGATTCACCTTTGTACTCAACACCACACAAGAGTCCAATGCTACTAAATAAACAGTTTATTCAGAAAAGCAAATATCAAAAGCTAGAAGGCAAAAAGGTAATATACAAAGTAATGTCCATAAGGCAATAGGAAAAAGGCCTTTAAAAAGCCAAGTCCATACTGTAGAGTTCTATTCAAAAATGACAAGGTATAGAGAAAAAAACCAGGTATAAATCCATAAGCAGGAATAGAGCAACTGCTTTCAAAACATGAATCCGTGAACATGAGTATCAGACTTTCCCGAAGATCTTAGACATAGATGTGAATGTGGAACACAGGCCCAAGATCCACACAGTAACACAGTGTTGCCTGATCTGACTCTTAAGAAAATAAGTCTTTAATTGAAGGAGCACAAAGCCATGAAATCATGCCTTTGACATCTGCTCTGTTGCTTCAAGGATTTCTCACCCTGTTGTTTCTCACGAATACGCTGTGACCTCTGTAATTTGGCTCCCTCCTCCTTTAGACTGACTCTCAAACTCCTACTAGCCATTTCTTAAATGTATAGAAATATTATTATTATTATTATTATTATTATTATTATTATTATTATTATTTACTGTATTTCTATACCGCTTTTCTCACCCCTAGGAGGACTCAAAGCGGTTTACACATAACTGGCAAAACTTCAGTGCCATACATTGGACACTGACGTGATGCCAAACCATAACAACCACAATAATAAAAACCACAATTAAACATAAATCATAATTAGACAGTACATAAGCAATCATTAAAACAATAAATAATAAAAACAGTCTCACCAGTCGTATTGTCATTCTAGTCCATGTCTTTTAAACTCTACAAACATCTACTGTCCGAAGGCCTGATCCCAAAGCCATGATTTGAAATTCTTTCTAAAAATCAGGAGGGAGTGAGCAGATCTTACCTCATTTGGGAGTGTGTTCCATAGGTGAGGGGCCACAGCCGAGAAGGCCCTGTCTCTCGTCCCCGCCAGACGCATTTGCGCAATTGATGGGAGCGAGAGCAGGGCCTCCCCGGATGATCTTAGATTACGAGATGGGACGTAGGGGTGGATGCATTCGGACAAGTAAGCTGGGGCAGAACCGTATAGAGCTTTATAGGTCAAAACCAGCACTTTGAATTGGGCTCGGAGATGGACTGGCAGCCAGTGGAGCTGGTACAACAGGGGTGTGGTATGCTCCCTGTATGTCGCCCCAGTTAGTAATCTGGCTGCCGCCCTTTGGACTAGCTGAAGTTTCTGAACGTCTTCAAAGGCAGCCCCACGTAGAGCGCGTTGCAGTAATCTATTCGGGATGTAACCAGAGCGTGGACGACCGTGGCCAGATCAGACTTCCCAAGGTACGGGCGCAGCTGGTGCACGAGTTTTAACTGTGCAAAAGCTCCGCTCCCCAGAAACATTGATTTTATTGCATATGTTGAAGTCCTTAGATTAGAGGTAAAACATTTAGGAATTTGGGGAGGTAAAAAGGAACGAATTGGTTGTTGGACTGGGTGGTCCTCGTCTCTTCTAACTCAATGATTTAATGAAATTGACATCAAAAATTTTGGAGAAGTGATGGAAGACAAAGGGAGGGTCTGCCTCTTGATGGCTCTGTGGAGGCAGTGTTGTAACATCCTTGTGACTAAGCCATCAGCTTGGTCCCTTGGAGGGAAATAATCGAAAGGGCTGTTTCAAGTAGAGCACTGGACCAAATGTTAAAAAAAAAAGCCCATTGATGCAACAAATTGGGATCTCTCTTCCTTCAACAGAAAGAGAAATGGGAAATGTCCAGTGCCAATCAGGAGACACCACAAAGCCTCACCTGCTGTTTCTGTGTTGGGGGTGTTGGAGTCTTTTTCCTTGAGCTGGCTCTCCTCTGACGGATGGGGAGAAGGCGCCAAGGATGACGCTGTAGAGCCATCGCCTTTGGCATCTGCAGGCGGCTGAAAGAGAAGATGGGGTCTCAAGACTCCTCCTTAGCCTATGCACTGACCATATAATGCAGTTCAAAGCCGCAGCGCCCACAAAGTGCCCACTGGCAACACCATCTATGGCAGTGTTTCTCAACCTGGGGGTCGGGACCCCTGGAGGGGTTGCGAAGGGAGTTTCAGAGGGGTCACCAAAGACCATCAGAAAACACATATTTCTAATGGTCTTAGGGACCTTTTTGGTAGAGAAGGCTGAAGATTTCTCTGCCCGTCTTTCTCTTTCTTTTTGGTGTTGCTGAACTACAACTCCCAGAATTCAAAAACAGGCTCCCCCCAACCACACCAGTATTCAACGTTGGCCATGTAGGAAGTGTACCAAGTTTAGTGCAGATCCATTGTGGGCTGGGTTCAGAATGCGCTTTGATTGTAGGTTAACTATAAATCCCAGCAATGACAACTCCCAAATATCAAGGCCTGTTTTCCCCAAATTCCACCAGTATTCACATTTGAACATATTGATTAGTCATGCTCATGGTCCAGATCCATCATTGTTTGAGTTCACAGTGCTCTCTGGAAGTAGGTGAACTACAACTCCAAAACTCAAGGTCAATGCTCACCACACCCTTTCAGCATTTTCTTTTGGTCATGGGAGTTGTGTGTGCCAAATTTGGTTCAAATTTGGTCCATCGTTGATTAATGCTCTTTGATTGCAGGTGTACTATAAATTCCAGCAACTACAACTCCCAAATGACAAAATCAACCCCCCCCCCCCCCCCCCCCCCCCCCCCCGGATCTCACCAGTATCGGGTATTGTGCCATTTGCTCCAGTGAATGAAAATACATCCTGTATATCAGATTTTTTCATACGATTCATAACATTAGCAAACTTACACTTATGAAGTATCAATGAAAACAATGTTATGGTTGGGGGTCACCACAACATAAGGAACTGTATTAAGGGGTTGCAGCATTAGGAAGGTTGAGAACCACTGATCTATGGGTATACAACACATTTTAAAAGTCTGAGGAAAGCCTGTTGCACTGCAGCCAATGTAAATGTAATCACTTTCCTGGCCTCAAACCATATCCAAGCATGGCAACCTGCCTAGGAAAACCAGTTCTTCCCAAACCAATTCCAAGATGGATTATAGCGCAGAATCACTCTCAATTCACATGGCTCTACTGCTAAAGTATTACATTAGACCAAAGCACAGAGAAGTTGTGGCAACTCTCTATTTGAAAACTTTATAATATTTGAATTTTTTCCACTTAGGGAAGGAAAAAAAAAACAAGTAAAGGCTGGGTGGAATATGATATAGCAGGCATGGGCAAACTTGGGCCCTCCAGGTGTTTTGGACTTCAACTCCCACAATTCCTAACAGCCTAATGGCTGTTAGGAATTGTGGGAGTTGAAGTCCAAAACACCTGGAGGGCCCAAGTTTGCCCATGCCTGTGATAGAGGCATATAACATTTTAAATAATGGTTTCATGATGCTAGAATCCAGTCACCCTTGTTCGTTAGGGAAGTACTTCTGTATGCAAGTGCACCTTCAAATCGCAGGTCAACATATGGCAAACTCAGAAATTTCAAAGGATTTTCTTAGGCAAGGAATACTCGGAGATGGGTTTGCTAGTTCCTTCCTGTGCAATATATCCAACAACAACTGGTATTCATAGATGGATTCCTATCTAAGTTCTAACCAGGGCTGACAATGCTTAGCTTCCAAAATCAGATGGGATCTGGTGATTTTTGGGTACAATTATGTTGCAGGGTTGTTGTAGGTTTTTTCGGGCTATATGGCCATGTTCTAGAGGCATTCTCTCCTGACGTTTCGCCTGCATCTATGGCAAGCATCCTCAGAGGTAGTGAGGTGCTTGCCATAGATGCAGGCAAAACGTCAGGAGAGAATGCCTCTAGAACATGGCCATATAGCCCAAAAAAATCTACAAAAATCTACAGCAACCCAGTGATTCCGGCCATGAAAGCCTTCGACAATTATGTTGCAGCATGCAAAGAGACAATATGTGTGTGTCAACTGTAAAATAAGATGCATGAAGCTGATTGGTCGGGCAATGCCCAGGGAGGTGGCTGAGCCTGGAACTTTTGGATACTGTTACATTTTTGTTCAGGCTTAAGCTATGTACGTGTAGACAGAGACAGTTTTGAAGACAGAAGCAGAGAGATTGTTTGGAGTGTACTCTTGCTACATGAACTGCTGAAGGAGTTTATCCACATGGATAGAAAAAGACCATTTTAAATATCTCATAAAAGGATGTTATGTGTGTTGATGCAACTGATCATATTGTACATAGGTTGTTCTGAACTAAGAAGAATAAACGACTTGTTCTTTATTGTTCACCTGCATGGCATATTTTCTTTCTCTGGCACGCAGTGTGTGGGCTGATCAAACATGAACTACAAGAGCTCTTTGCCCGACCCCAGTCGTTCCACAGATATATAAACCCTTTTTCCTAATTCCAACAGACCTCACTACCTCTGAGGATGCTTGCCATAGATGCAGGCGAAACGTCAGGAGAAAATGCCTCTAGAACATGGCCCTATAGCCCGGAAAAACCCACAAGAACCTAATGAACTACATTTATTTTACATTACGCCACAAATTACACTGTGGAATTCATTACCAGCCTCCCAACGACATAATTCTTCCATCTTGATTTTTTCTCTTTCCCAACTCAGAGGGACACAAACTTAGTTTCTGCCTTTTTTGGTTTATTTTTTCCCTTAATGTTGATGTTAGAATGGCAATGCCTGTTGTACCTGGTATTTTCAAAGAACACATATTTGCACCTTTTTCTTTTTTGCAGCAGCTGTGCCACAGGCCATACCTGCAAGAGCAGCTCTCTCAAGCGCTGCAATTGCGATTCTAACTGCTTGTTGTGATCCTCCAAGATCTGCATCCGGGTTTCCAGGCGGCTCTTGTGTTGCCGAAGGATACGCGCTTCCGCCAACAGCTCTTCGCTGTGTGGATCCTGTGCTGTTTCGGGAGTCCCTTCTGCGGACGCTGCCGCCTCCTCGTGCTGCCACTTCAGGCGCTTCAGCTCCCCTTGAAGAACCCTGAAGGAAGAAGGCAAAGAGGATCTAGAACAGTGTTTCTCAACCTGGGGGTTGGGACCCCTGAGGGGGTTGCGAAGGGGTGTCAGAGGGGTCACCAAAGACCATCAGAAAGCACAGTATTTTCTGATGGTCATGGTGATTCCATGTGGGAAGTTTGAGCCAATTCTATCGTTGGTGGAGTTCAGAATGTTCTTTGATTGTAATGAACTATAAATCCCAGCAAAAACAGCTGGAGTATTTTCCTGGCTCTGGAAGCCCTAGTGCAGTGTTTCTCAACCTGGGGGTCGGGACCCCGGGGGGGGGGTCACGAGGGGGTGTCAAAGGAGTCGCCAAAGGCCATCGGAAAACACAGTCTTTTCCGTTGGTCATGGGGGTTATGTGTGGGAAGTTTGGTTCAATTCCATCATTGGTGGAGTCCAGAATGGTCTTGGATTGTAGGTGAACAATAAATCCCAGCAACTACAACTCCCAAAAGTCAAGGTCTATTTTCCCCAGGCTCCACCAGCGTTCACATTTGCGCATATTGAGTATTTGTGCCAAGTTTGGTCCAGATCCACCATTGCATGAGTCCACAGTGCTCTCTGGATATAGGTGAACTACAACTCCCAAAATCAAGGTCAATACCCACCAAACCCTTCCAGTGTTTTCCGTTGGTCATGGGAGTTCTGTGTGGCAAATTAGGTTCCAATCCAACACTGGTGGAATTCAGAATGCTCTTTGATTATAGGTGAACTATAAATCCCAGCAACTACAACTCCCAAATTACAAAATCAATCCTCCCCCAACCCCAGTAGCATTTACATGTGGGTGAATTGGGTATTTGTGCCCAGTTTGGTCCAGTAAATGAAAATACATCTTGCATATCCGATATTTACATTATGATTTATAACAGTAGTAAAATGACTGTTATGAAGTAGCAACGAAAACAGTGTTATGGTTGGGGGTCACCACAACATGAGGGACTGTATTAAGGGGTCACGGCATTAGGAAGGTTGAGAACCACTGATCTAGAACGTGACAGAACCAAGCACAGGGTCCTTCCAGTTCCACATGTGTAGTGTTATGGTGCTTCTGCCGGCTGCACCCATTTACCTGTTTTCGTCCTCTAAGTGGGCCAAGATCTTCTCCAGTTCCCCTTTGTCATCTGCGTTGGTGCCGTCCTGGGCCTCCTGGCTGCAGACAGGTTCTCTGTCCGTGATGGGGCTGGAATGGCGTAAAAGATACTGGTCTTCATCCCTGTTGTGGACAGAGCTGTGATGAGGGTGAGGTGGCAAAGACCGAAGAGCTTTGAAAGCAGAAGGCTCCAGGTTTATTCCCTCCTGGGTGAATAAACCTGGAGAAGGACATCCAGAAGGTCTGGACTGCAGGCTTCACCGGTACGACCTCTGAGACCCAACACCATGGCCAAAGCCTCTCCAGATACTTGCTTAGGTCCCCCCCTCCCCCCTTTAAAAGAACTCAAAGCAACCTACCATTTTAATTTCATACAATGCCTCCACATCTGACATGCACAACATATTTATTTATTTACAACATTTATATCCCACCCTTCTCACCCCAAAGGGGACTCAGAGCAGCTTACAAGTTTGAAGCCATCCCGGGTCAGAGTGAGCTTCCGGCCATTTGTCTAGCTTGTTGTCGACCTTTGCAGCCCGAAAGACAGTTGCATTTGTCAAGTAGGAAATTTAGGTACCACTTATGCGGGGAGGCTAATTTAACTAATTTACAACACCATAAAAATCTCAAGCAGTGTGCAAAAAAAAAAATGAGGAAGTACTCCATTGGTGTTATAAGTATACTGTAAAGCAACAGCTCTCCTGGTGGCCAGAATTCAAAGCATACCCTCATGAAGCTGGAAAGTTAAATAGCCTCTGTGTGTCTGTCTATATATGTTGTGTGTCTATGGCATTGGATGTTTGCCATGTACATCTGCATTGTGATCCCCCCTGAATCCCTTGCAGGGTGAGAAGGGTGGAATATAAATATTGTAAATAGATAAATAAATAAATTATATTAGTAGGATAGTACAATATTTGTATTATATATTACTATATTGTACTGTACCACTATACTGCAATGTTATTAGTAATATTACATGTAATATAAACTATATAATTATTATATTATTATATTGTATTACTATTAGTTTTATATTGTATTGCAATATTATGATCAATATTATATGTACATACAATATATTATAATTACTAGCCGTCCCCTGCCACGCGTTGCTGTGGCCCAGTCTGTGTATATGTGTTTGTGTGTGTATATTTGTGTATATGTGTATTTATGTGTGTTTGTGTATATATATGTGGGTTTGCTCATGCATTGTAATGTATTTTTGGTTTGTTTTTTTTGGCTTTTTAAGTCTCTTCTGCTGTGTTTTCCAGTGTTTTTATGAGTGATGGTCACTCATTGGCCTGACAGGTGTCTTGTGTCCAAATTTGGTGTCAATTCATCCAATGGTTTTTCAGTCATGTTAATCCCACAAACGAACATTACATTTTTATTTATATAGATTAGCATACCACATACAAGGGGTCTCAGACTAGTTTTTGCAGTCCCCGGCGTCCTTCTTCACCCCATCCCAGGCCCCTTCTAAACTGCCATACAAAATTCAGATTATCTACTTTGAATTAGGTTATATGGCAGTGTAGACTTATATAATCCAGTTCAAATCTGATCATGTGGATTGCCTGATTTGATAATCTGGGTTATATGGCAGTGTAGAAGGGAACCCAGCATTTATGCAGAATAATACTTTACAAAGTGCCAAGGTGCATCTCTTGTTTGTTTGTTTACAAGAAAAGGGTTTAAATAAATGCTGAACGCTTTATTAGATGTACAGAGCACAATGCTCTGCATGCACAGTCATGTCCCTCTCCCTCACATCCCTCAGATGCCATTAAAATGACCAAAAGAGGAAAGGGGGACAAGGGTACCTAAGCAGGGGGAGATATCTCTTGTTCTCACTGATGTTTATCCAGAAAGCATCAACTTACAGGCATCCTTCTTACCAGATAAATAGTGGGGGCTGCCCCAATTTCCATTATAGAAACAAAAGCGAAAATATTGCAACTCACAGGCTGTCGTCCGGAGAAAGGCTGTCATTATAGAAGGAGGAATTTTGGCTTTCCATCTCTGCAAGCCTGAAGGAATCAGAAAAGACGAATACTGAGACATAAGTATTTTGGATTTTGCAATACGTGTATTTGCATACATATACATAATGATATCTATATATTAACTTTATTTACGCTTTATATAGATCTTATACATATTTTATGTAATATTTTGAATACTTTTCTGCACGAAACCAAGCCTGTGTACACTGGTCCATAAGACAATAATAACACACTTTATATTCCACTCTATCTTCTCAGAGGAACTCAGGGCAGGTGACAATATACACATATGAGGCAAACATTCAATGCCTTTTACACACAATGACAGACAACACAGACAAAGGTAAAGGCCTTCCCCTTTTTTCCATCTCTGGCGTCTGGAGGTGATGCTCAGCTCTGGCCATGAGGAGGTGCTCTTGTTCCAATTTTTCATGCTGAGGAGCCTGATATCCATAGACATGTCCGATTGTGTTGCATTATATCTGCATGGGGCACCCTTTTACCTTCCCACCAAGGCAGTACCTATTGATCTACTCACATTTGCATGTTTGAACTGCTAGGTGGGCAGGAGCTAGGGCTAACAGCAGGAGCTCACCCTAACCCGCAGATTTGAACTGCCAACTTTTAGTCAGCAGATTCAACAGATTCAATCATGGCCCCTTGATAGTAAAGCCGTCACTATCTCAGTTATCTATGTGAACATTCTTGGATTATGAGATATTCTGGATTTTGGGATTCCAGAGAAGGATTGCTCAGCCTGCCTTATCTTGCACAATACAGTTTACACTGAATGGCAGCTGTTTCCGGAGGTCCAGCAAGACATTTTTCCTGGTTAGGGTACCTTGGGACTGTATCCTGTGGGCCTTCTCAAGAAAAGCACAAGGACAGGAACTTGCCTTATGCAACAGTTAATGGATTATTTGTGTTCTGGCCTCTCCAATGCCAGAGATACAGCTTAATGGTGTAACATTAGAAAATGTTGACCATTTCTGCTACCTTGGCAGCCACCTCTCCACAAAAGTCAACATTAACACTGAAATACAACACCGTCTGAGCTCCGCGAGTGCAGCATTTCTCCGAATGAAGCAGAGAGTGTTTGAGGACCGGGATACCCATAGGGATACCGAGGTGTTTGTTCATAAAGCTATTGTCCTCCCAACCCTGTTATACTCCTGCAAAACATTATTTATTCATTCATTTATTTATTTACTTCATTTATATACTGCTTTTCTCAGCCCTTAAGCGACTCAAAGCGGTTAACAGTAGCAATTTCAATGCACACATTACAAAACCATTGGAACATTTAAAAACAATAGCCTAACAACAATTCAACATCAATATGACAAATCATTCGCATCTCATCCCTAGAATCAGAATTCAATCTCAATATCCGTTATTCCGTATTCCTGTAATCAATTACACTGCTTAGTCGAATGCCTGTTCGAACAACCAGGTCTTCACTTTCCTCCAAAATGCCAATAAGGAGGGGGCCGATCTGATATCTGTAGGAAGGGCGTTCCACAGCCAAGGGGCCACCACTGAGAAGGTCCTGTCTCTCGTCCCCGCCAGGCGTGCTTGTGATGCCGGCGGGACCGAGAGCAGGGCCTCCTCAGATGATCTTAATGTCCTAGCTGGTTCACAGGAGGAGATGCGTTCAGACAGGTAAGTCAGGCCAGAACCGTTTAGGGCTTTATAGGCTAAAGCCAGCACTTTGAATTGTGCCCGGTAGCAAATTGGCAGCCAGTGGAGCTGGCGCAACAGAGGAGTTGTATGCTCCCTCAGTGCCGCTCCTGTTAGCATCCTGGCTGCCGAGCGTTGGACCATTTGAAGCTTCCGAGCAGTCTATAAAGGCAACCCCACGTAGAGAGCCTTGCAGTAGTCTATACGGGATGTAACCAGAGCGTGGACTACCGTGGCCAAGTCAGACTTCCCAAGGTACGGGCGCAGCTGGCGCACAAGTTTTAACTGTGCAAATGCTCCCCTGGTCACCGCTGAAACCTGAAAACATGGACTGTCTACAGATGTTATACGCAACTCCTGGGACAATTCCATCAGTGCTGCCTCTGAAAAATCCTGCAAATCTCTTGGGAAGACAAGCGGACAAATGTCAGTGTGCTGGAAGAAGCAAAGACCACCAGCACGGAAGCAATGGTCCTCTGCCATCAACTCCATTAGACTGGCCACGTTGTTCGGATGCCTGACCACCGTCTCCCAAAGCAGTTGCTCTACTCTGAACTCAAGAACGGAAAACGGAATGTTGGAGGACAGGAAAAGAGATTTAAAGATTGGTTTAAGCCAACCTCAAAAACTGTGGCATAGACACCGAGAACTGGGAAGCCATGGCCCTTGAGCGCTCCAGCTGGAGGTCAGCTGTGACCAGCAGTGCTGCAGAATTTGAAGAGGGCAAAAGGGAGAAACGTGCCAAGAGGAAGGCACGTCAAGCCAACCCTGACCGAAATTGCCTTCCCCTGGAAACCGATGTCATCACAGCGGGAGAACATATGGATCAAGCATAGGGCTCCATAGTCACCTACGGACCCACCACCAAGACGTCACACCTGGAAGACCATCATCCTCAGACTACGAGGGATCGCCTAAGTAAGTAAGTAAGTAAGTAAGTAAGTAAGTATTTGCGTTTTATAAAAGATACACTTTCCAGGCTGTTTCCCAATGGGAGAGCAGTGAGAAAGGAGAAACCCAAGAAAAGATGCTGTTGTCCTACTCCAAATGTGGTTTTCCTTCCTCGTGTTGTTTTATTTCATCGTAGTTGTATTCTAGATATGTGACAAACACTAGAGGAATTTGATTGGTGGGTGGTTTACACATGCAACGAGGAGCAAGAGAACACAAAGCTGCGGAGTGAAAGACAGGAACATCTCCTGCCTCTTTGTGACACCCGTTTCTGCATCAGCCTATTATCCGCCCCCTTGATCTGTTGTGCCGTTTATGTCGCCACTTCCCCCACACCAACCAACATCTCCGCCAATTGCTTGTTTGTCAAATGATACCTGCTGGCAAAGTGCTCAATCCGAGAGTGGGTGTCAGCGTGAGGCAACATCGGGGAGGAAGCCGGCCTGAAAAAGACACAGAATTGCCAGGTCTAAGCCGTCTGGTAGGATAAGAACGATCAGATCAGTATGTCTAGGAGATCATCCACAATGGGGAACTGTAGCTGTTTCATACCATTTTAATAGCCATAGTGTCAGCCTATAGACCAGTGGTTCTCAAACTGTGCTCCGGGGAGCCCTTGAGGCTCCGCTAGAGGTGATCAGGGGCTCTGTGGGGTCTCTGAGATTATTGTTATTATTATTACTACTACAAAGGCTGTATGGCCATCTGTTGGGGGTGCTTTTATTGTGCTTTTCCTGCATGGCAGAAGGAGTTTGGACTGGATCGCCCCAGGAGTCTTGCACTAAAATACTGTTAAGCTTATGTTGGTTAAAATTGTTATTCATTCTAAATATTTTTTTTTAATTTGCACTCTGTGAATTAGTTCACACAAACACTCTCCATCTATCTGCCACTGGCCCGGCCCATGCCTGTGATATATATATAAGGTAAAGGTGAAGGTTTTACCCTGACATTAAGTCCAGTTGTGTCTGACTCCGGAGTGTAGTGCTCATCTCCATTTTTAAGCCAATTGGTAACAATTCAATGCCACATAATAAAATACAAACCACCAATAATTATAATAGTTAAAAGCATAAAACATTAAAACAATATACTTACACTCCACTGAGCTATTACCAGTCTAGTAGTTATTTATCTAGCCATATACTATGATTGAATACTCTGCTTAACTTATCCATAATCCTTTTCTAGGCCATTGTCAACATTTTCAATTGTCCTTTCTGCCTAATTGCCTGAAGGCCTGGTCCCACATCCACGTTTTGACCTTCTTTCTAAAGGTGAGGAGGGACGACGACGACCTGATTTCCCTGGGAAGCAAATTCCACAGGCAGGGGGCCACCACCAAGAAGGCCCTGCCCCTCGTCCCCGTCAAACATGTTTGAGAAAGAGGCGGGGCTGAGAGCAGGGCCTCCCCAGAAGATCTTAAACTCCTAGGTGGGATGTAGAAGGAGATACGTTTGGACAGGTATGCTGGAATGGAGACGGAAAGGGTTTCATAGGTCAAAACCAGCATTTTGAATTGTGCTCGGAATTGGATCAGCAGCCAGTGGAGCTGACATAATTTGCATTCTAACAGAATGCAAACATCCCAGAATTCTATAGCACTGAGCCACCGCACTTAATGTGGTGCCAAAATGCTGGGATTATGCCGTGGAGATATAGCCTTGGATGAACCTAGACAGTATGCTACTCATCGGTTAATAGATGGCATCCTGAAGGGGAAACATCTCCCATTTGCCCCCAATAGATGAGACCTATGATGCTTTTTATTGTTGACTAGCCGTCCCCTGCCACGTGTTGCTGTGGCCCACATGGAGGTTCTGTGTGGGAGGTTTGGCCCAATTTTATTGTTGGCGGGGTTCCGAATGCTCTTTGATTGTAGGTGAACTATAAATCCCAGAAACTACAACTCCCAAATGTCAAGGTCTCTTTTCCCCAAACTCCACCAGTGTTCACATTTGGGCATATTGAGTATTCGTGTAGTGTTTGGTCCAGATCCATCATTGTTTGAGTCCATAGTGATCTCTGGATGTAGGTGAACTACAACTCCAAAACCAAAGGACACTGCCCACCAAACCCTTCCAGTATTTTCTGTTGGTCATGGGAGAACTGTGTGCCAAGTTTGGTTCAATTCCATCGTTGGTGGGATTCAGAATCCTCTTTGGCTGTAGGTGAACTATAAATCCCAGCAACTACAATTCCCAAATGACAAAATCCATTTTTTGAGTGAAGGACATATATTGGATTGTTAGGTGTCTTGTGTCCAAATTTGGTGTCAATTCGTCCAGTGGTTTTTGAGTTCTGTTAACCCCACAAACGAAAGTTACATTTTTATTTATATAGATTTGGATAAGGACTTCTCATTCCCCCAGCTGCAGCCCTTTCTAGAATATCACCCACAACTAATAAAAAGGACCTTGCTTGAATGCTTTGTCTATTTCTTCTCCAACAGCAAACCTCCTCTCTTCAAGAACATGGGTCCGACAGTCTCCACTCGACCCACAACTTACGTTTCGATGAAGTCTGCCTCCAGCACAGACTGGACTGGCAGGTAGCCTCTCTGGGGATGCTTGCTGAAGTACTGCTTTGACCGAAACTTGTTTTTCAAGGTGGTGGCAAAGTCCCTCATGTTTTCACTAGAGGTGGTCTGGGAATACAAAGAGGAGAATCACAGCTCAATAAAGTCGTCTCTAGGTGCTCTTACTGCCTATTACAGGGAAAACCAACTGATCCCTAATCCATCTAAAACACAGACATGCGCCTTTCACCTTAAGAACAGACAAGCATCCCGAGCTCTGAGGATTACCTGGAAGGAATCCCACTGGAGCATTGCAACACACCCAAATACCTGGGAGTCACTCTGGACCGTGCTCTGACCTACAAGAAGCACTGCCTGAACATCAAGCAAAAAGTGGGTGCTAGAAACAATATCATACGAAAGCTTACTGGCACAGCCTGGGGATCACAACCAGACACAGTGAAGACATCCACCTTTGCGCTATGCTACTCTGCTGCTGATGAGTATGCATGCCCAGTGTGGAACACATCTCACCACACTAAAACAGTGGATGTGGCTCTTAATGAGACATGCCGCATTATCACAGGGTGTCTGCGCCCTACACCACTGGAGAAATTACACTGCTTAGCCGGTATTGCACCACCTGACATCCGCCGGGAAGTAGCAGCCAATAGTGAAAGGACCAAGGCAGAGACATCTCCAGCTCATACCCTGTTTGGGTATCAGCCAGCACGTCAACGACTTAAATCAAGACATAGTTTTCTTAGATCTACAGAGACACTCGCTGGAACACCCCAGCAAGCGAGAGTCCAAAAGTGGCAGGCCCAAACCCAGCACCTCAATCCATGGGTGATACCAGATGAGAGACTCCCCCCTGGGCACACAGAAGACTGGGCGACTTGGAAGGCGCTGAACAGACTGCGCTCTGGCACCACGAGATGCAGAGCCAATCTAAAGAAATGGGGCTACAGGGTGGAATCCTCGGCATGCGAGTGTGGAGAAGAACAAACCACTGACCACCTGCTGCAATGCACCCTGAGCCCTGCCACATGCACAATGGAGGACCTTCTTGCAGGCAACACCAGAGGCACTCCAAGTGGCCAGATACTGGTCAAAGGACATTTAACCAAATACCAAATTTGCAAAATCTGTGTGGTTCCCCCCCCTTTTTCTTTTTAATCTGTGTGTTTGTTTTGCTCTGTTAGAATTGTAATACAATGGTTGCTGATGACACAATAAATAAATAAATGAGCTCAATAAAAAGAGGCCCGGTGGATGAGAACTCTAATACATCTAGAATAGCATCCTGATTCTGCCATGTCAAGTTTTCTGGTATTTGGTATTCAGAGACAATACTGCTTCTGGACTTTTTTCATGTCAGAAGCGACTTGACAAACTGCAAGTTGCTTCTGGTATGAGAGAATTGGCCGTCTGCAAGGATGTTGCCCAAGCCATGCTTGTGAGAGGCTTTTCTCATGTCCCGCATGGGGAGCTGAAGCTGACAGAGAGAGCTCAACCCACTCTCCCCAGATTTGAACCGCTGACCTATTGGTCAGCAGTCCTGCTGGCACAAGGGTTTAACCCATTGCACCATCAGGGGCTCCTGCTTCTGGATATGGTGGTGCTTTCTAATGATCATGACCAGCACAGACATACATAATACCTAATATTCAATTTATCATCATCATCATTTTTAGGGTTATTGGGATCCCCATAAAGCTAACTGATAAGACGTACTTTTCAATTAAGTGGTGCCTATGTCTATATATGTCCAACCTGTCACAAGCTCAATAGCAAAATCTTTCCTGAGAATATCCCAGCCCTGTGTTTCCCACAACACCATCAAAATAAGGCTGCCCAATCTCATTTATATATATGATAGGGTTGCTTGCACTAGAAAATTGCTCTGTGGCATTGGGAGATGGGTTCAGAATTTGCTTCCAAATGCAAATCAGAACAGTGACTACAAGAATAAGGTCAGATAGCACACACCAGGATGGCATTTACAAGCAGTTCTTTCCAGCCAAACCCTGCTCCCGTCCCCAGTCTCTTACTGGGGTGTAATACTCCATAATGGGATAATGCAGCTTGTTGCCTTTGCTGGCTCGCCCTGTCAGGAAACAAGTCTGGCAGATGTCCACATTGAATTGCTTCAAGCTTCGGTACCTAGAATGGAAGAGGTTGGTTTAAGCACAATCAATGGATAAAGCTTTTGCTGAATGGCAACAGTGAATGGCAAGCGTGGTGTGTATTGGTTCGAGGTAGAGTGTGAAAGAGTTCCTTTTTTGGACTACTCAGAAATGTCTGGCAAGCATGGACAGATTCTGAGGGCTGTCAACAAAAAGAAACTTTTCCATGCTCTGATTGGAAGGCAAGCCATCCATCTATCTATCTGTCTGTCCGTCCGTCTATTCATCCATCCACCCATCCGTCCTTCCATCCATCCATCCATCCATCCATCCATTCATCCATCCATCCACCCATCCATCTATCTATCCATCCATCCGTCTATCTGTCAGTTTGTCCATCCATCCATTCATCCATTCATCTGTCTGTCTATCTATCTATCCATCCATCCATCCGTCCGTCTATCCGTCTATCTGTCCATCCTTCTGTCCGTCCGTCTAACCATCCAACCATCCATCCATTTATCCACCCATCCACACACCCGCCCAACCATCCACCCACCCATCTATCCGTCTGTCCATCCGCCCATCCATCCATCCATCCATCCATCCATCCATCCATCCGTCCGTCCGTCCGTCCGTCCGTCTGTCTATCTATCTGTCTGTCAGTTCGTCCATCCATCCATCTATCAATTTGTCTATCCATCCATCCATCCATCCATCCATCCATTCGTCTATCTATCTATCTATCTATCTATCTATCTATCTATCTATCATCCATCCATCCATCCATCCATCCATCCATCCATCCATCCATCCATCCGTCCATCCTTCTGTCCGTCCATCTAACCATCCAACCATCCATCCATCCATTTATCCACCCACCCATCTGTCCATCCTTCTGTCTGTCCGTCTAACCATCCATCCATCCATTTATCCACCCATCCACCCACCCGCCCAACCATCCACCCACACGTCCATCTGTCTGTCCATCCATCTATCTATCTCATCCTTCACATAGCAAACAAGGACATTAGGTGGAAGGGTTCCAGGTTAGCTTCCCTGATAGACAATTTTTCTGTGATACCAATGCAAATAGCAGGAGAAGCATTATCGGTGAAGGACCCCTTGATTTTGTCCATCCTCAGAGTAGCTACTTGACAAACTATGCCTTCTTGCAGAACTCATACCTGAAACCTTTGATGGGGCATTGCCGGCAGATGGAGCACTTCGTTTGATGTTTGACTTGTTCGGCAATGGTCACTCGATGCAGGACAGCCAGCCATACCATCGACTGTGGCTCTAGATTAGCCCATTCCAAAAACTGTGCAGCCTCAATGGATGGTTTTCCATTTCCCTAGGAGACGACATGGAGGTCGTTATTAGTCATTGCTGTTATTAGGGTTTCTCACAAGGTCAGGATGGATGCAATATGATGAGCGTCACTCACAAAGCGGAAGCAGCTGCGGACGCTGGGCTCCACGTTGCTCCCGCCAAAGGCCGCCACTTCCCCCAGCTGCCGCGGGACTTGGATGGCCTCGTGGAGTAGGATGCCAAGGTGCCGCTGGTCACAGAGCCCACTGGGGTTTGCCACTTGGCCAAAGAGGTCTGGAGGAGGAAGGGAACAGTAGACGGCACCTCAATCTCAGTGGAAGACACAGAAAGACTATTGAAACCTTGGGGGAAAGCAAGCTTCAACAAGTAAGGGCAAGAAATAAGACACCATTCTTAAGCAATACAACCTAGATAGCAAACCTAAATACAGTTTAATAGACTTTTACGACCTTATCAAATTAGGAAATACTCCATTTCTGAGACTGTTTGAGAAAGATTTTGAACAGGTCCCATCACAATGGTGTTAGTCCCATCCTGTCAGAATTCCATCGAAATGTGTCTGCAAAGTGTTGCAGAAATTGATTATTTGCAGATGGAATTCTAATTGTGTGTTTTTTAAAAATACTACATATTCTTCTGTTGCTGAATCTGTATGCATCCCATCCTCAATGATAGTTTTTGAAAGCTCGTAGAGTGATGTAGGGAGTGTTTTGAATGGATTGGGAAGAGCCAGCCTTCCACGGTGTGAGGAGTCAAGGCTCAGTATTTTCCAATCAAAAGAAACATAATAATCAGGTGTGATGAGGAGAGTATGCATTCCGTCTCAATACAGTTTGCATACAGTCCTAAAAAAATATGGGATGCATACTGATATAAATGGATTATATCCCAATGTGATAAGGTCCTTAATCTCATAGGAATTTTAATCTCATAGGAATCAGTAATAGAAAATTGTTAGTCTCCCTCCTCTTCGAGGAAAGTTATGACAGCTTAACTGATATACAAATAATGCACAGCTTGCAAAACACTTTCCTACCAAGGAATCATTTCAAGTCAACTAATATGTGATAGAACCACTCTATAGGATGCCAGCCTCCCTCCCATCTCGACTTTGAGATAACTGAAGAACTCCATAGAAAGTAGGACAAAGGGCTGTTTTACATGAAAAGGTAAAGGTTTCCCCTGACATTAGGTTGCCTCTGACCCTGGGGTGTGGTGCTCCTCTCCATTTCTTGGCCGAAGACCTGGCATTGTCCGTAGACCCCTCCAAGGTAATGTGGCCGGCATGATTGCATAGAGCAGTTACCTTCCCACCAAGACGGTACCTATTGATCTACTCACATTTGCATGTTTTGAACTGCTAGGTTGCCAGGAGCTGGGGCTAACAGCGGGAGCTCACCCTGCTCCCCGGATTCAAACTGCCAACCTTTCTGTCAGCAAGTTCAGCATCTCAGCAGTTTAACCTGCTGCACTATCGGGGGGGGGGGGGGAGCTTTGCTTTACATTAAACCCTATCAATAGGTAAGGAACATGAGATCAATTCATAACAACATTCTTTTTTCTACATTAAGACAAATATAATAATAATAATAATAATAATAATAATAATAATAATAATAATAATACTTTATTTATATACCGCTCTATCTCCCTGAGGGGGACTCAGGGCGGTTTCAAAGTAGTATCACCAAAACATACAGAAAAGGATTGTTTACATTCCAACACGGAAAACATGGACAGGTACGCAAGATACAAAGGGATCTTCTAGGATGTGGCTCTGGTTTTTCCTGCAGCTGACTTTCTCTCCGTTTCCTAAACTAAAGCAGAGGTTGCTCAGTCCCTTTGCAACCCATCACCCATCCCTCCAAGGTGACTCACACTGGAACTTTTCCTTCACTTCGGTGCCACACAAACACGCGATGCCCGTCTTGAAGGAGAGCGCCCGCATCTTCCCACTGCGTCCGCTAGAAGATGATAGGAGCAGAGTAAACAACTGGCCCATTATACCCAATGCGGTGTTCCTGTCCTGCTGGGGAAACTTCTCCAAACACTGTTGACAAAATGAATCCAAAACAGACTGGCCTGCACAGCTGATAATCGGAGGGTGCATCTACACCAGGCATGGGCAAACTTTGGCAAAGATGCTTGCCATAGATGCAGGCGAAACATCAGGAGAGAATGCTTCTAGAACATGGCCATATAGCCTGAAAAACCTACAACAACCCAATAATACTTTTATTTGGCACTAAATTGCATTATATGAATCTACACTCCCATATAATGTGGTTCAATGCAGTTAAACAGCATAATTATAATTATATTTATTTATACCCCGCCACCATCTCCCCAAGGGGATTCGGAGTGGCTTACATGAGGCCAAGCCCAGTGATACATTACAATAGCATAAAATAATAATAATAATAATAATAATAATAATAATAATAATTTTATTTATACCCCGCCACCATCTCCCCAAGGGGACTCAGGGCGGCTTACATGAGGCCAAGCCCAACAACACATCAGTAAAAACAAAACAGCAAGCAAATAAAACAGTACAATTAATATAACTTACATATAAACAATAACACACAGAATTTAAAACCTTACATCACAATAAAATAAACCAATCAAGTAACATAAACAGTACAAAATAACATAATGGAAAATAAAGTATGAAATTGCATTACTTGGCAGTGTAGATGGGGCCTAACCGGCTATTTAAAAACCCCAAGCTTAGAAGATGTCTACTTTCCATTTTTGTGTGTGTCAGGGGCGACTTGACAAAACTGTAAGTCGCTTCTGGTGTGAGAGAACTGGTTGTCTATAAGGTCGTTGCCCAGGGGACACCTGGATGTTTTGAAGCTTTACCATCCTTGTGAGAGGCTTCCATCATTTCCCCACATTGGGAGCTAGAGCTGACAGAGGGAGTTCATCCGTACTCTTCCCGAATTCGAATCTCCGACCTGTTGGTCTTCAATCCTGCCGGCACAAGGGTTTAACACACTGCGCCACTGGGGCTCCTTACTTGCAATTGTCAGATGGGGACAAAGAGTAACCTTCCCCATCTTCTCCTGTTTATTAATTTCCTAGAAATGTCCAATATTAGTGATAATAAACTAGAATGGACCAATCTAGCCTGCTCTAGCAAAACATTTCTTATTGCTGTAGATGCCTTTCCAGATACCTGTCAAAAACATTGAGCAACCAATTCAGGCTCATGTCAACACAGAGCGGGACGTTCACTAGGATGCCCCTTTCCTCCTCGAGCCGTTCATAGAGGGCCGTCAGGCAATGGATCACCTCCACCACGTCCATCACGTGGTCACTGGGCTGGAGCTCATGCTCATTGAAGACCTCCAAGGCGGTTGGCAGCGTCACCATGTCCACTGTTGTGCAGAGACAGAAAGGAACAGGGGGAGGGAGGGAGAAATATGTAACTGTGGAAGGCCAAGCAAAGAAAGGAAAAACCCACACAAGCAAACAGTGGGAACTCCCTGGACACCTAGTTGGGGCAACGTTGAAGGACATACAACCTGTGTCCTAGAATTATTACATACATGATCTCCTGTACTTTTACATAATGTGTGAAGGAAGAATGTATCTATGTACAGGCAGTTAAACATTATAAACAAGTAATGAGTAATATAGGTTTGCTCTTAAATTGAATTTTTATGTAAGTTGGAACAGGTATGCTGTTCCAACTTACATTATTATTATTATATAACTGTAACTCAACACACACACGAGGGTGGGTCAAAAAGTTTTGCCTCCTGTGTCATAATCTATATAAATAAAAATGTAATGTTCGTTTGTGGGATTAACAGAACTCAGAAACCACTGGACGAATTGACACCAAATTTGGACACAAGACACCTAACAACCCAATGTATGTCCTTCACTTAAAAAATGATTTTGTCATTTGGGAGTTGTAGTTGCTTGGATCTATAGTTCGCCTACAATCAAAGAGCAAGCTGTTCTAACGTCATTCAAGTCATTGAATCTGAAACCATGTAAGTTGTCTTTCAGAGGTCCGAACAGGGAAAAGATTCAATGACTTGAATGATGTTAAAACATAATTCAACATCAACTTGAATGACACCAAAACAGCTTTAAAATCATGGCTCCCGAAGCAAAACCCTGAATTTTTCCAAAATGGTTTTGATGCCTGAGTTAAACGATGGCACAAGTGTGTACAAATTGATGTTGACTATGTTGAATTGTAGTTTTGCGTAGAGGGCAGTTCAGGCTAGGATCTTTAGCAACTTCTGCTGTTATATGGTCATTCATAACGCTTTTATGACACACACACACACACACACACACACACACACACACACACACACACGTACTTGCTTTGGATAGCATAGGGAAGGGTTAACACCCCTGTGGTGTTTCCTTTGCTGTCCATGCCCCTGTTCAGAAAATCTCACTTTCTGTCCCTGTGATCACTGGGTTTTGAAAAATTGGCTTGTTGTGGAAACAAGGATTGGGGATAAAGTTTCAGTGATACACCTTTTCCCCATAACAATACCTTTTTCAGGAGTGAATTTCCCCTTCTTAGAGGGAGCTTTTTCTCACTTCCTGTTGTCTCATCCCCATTCTTAACTAGGAGTTGTTTCTAACTCAAATGTTTGTAACTTGGGTACTTCCTGTATCGTTCCAATGTGTGATGCAATCAATGTCAGACTGTTATGCTCTACTTGTTCTTCTTTCAAGTCTCAGAGTGAACTTTCCACCCATTTGTATCTTCTAATGGAGAGACATAAACAAGTCCATTCGAAATATTCAGTTTTATGGTTTTTTGCAGTTCTAGCATGTGTATAGGATTGTAGGATTGCAGTTGAGATGAACTGGCCTTAATTATTCCAGGCAGAGAAAGGAATGTGAGGGAGAACGAAGGAATCTGGAGCTTACACCGCAAGGCCTTCTGCACCCGGCGCAACTTCATGGCTGTACGGTAAGCAGAAAACTTGATGTTGTTCAGCTCGGCTGGAAGGAAGAGAAATGAAAACATAGATTTTGCTTCTTGTATTCTAAGTCTCGGGGGTGGGATTTGTATCTCTAGATTTCGAAGCAAAATAATAATAATAATAATAATAATAATAATAATAATAATAATAATAATAATGTGCAAAGACTCTGACGCAAGCCAGTAAAGTTGGTCCCAGTGGTGATCAGCACACTGGGTGCAGTGCCTAAACACCTTGGCCTACACTTAAACACAATCAGCACTGACAACATTTATATATCTGTGGAATGACCAGGGTGGGACAAAGGACTTTTGTCTGCTGGAGCTAGCTGTGAATGTTTCAGCTGATCACCTTGATTTGCATTCAATGGCTTGGAAGTGCCTGGGGGGAATCTTTTGTTGATGATGATGATGATGATGATGATGATTATTATTATTATGATGTTACAGAACACATCAAACTACTCTGGGAGTTCTGAATTCAGACAGACAGAGTTTTGGAGCACAAGACTCCTGACCTCATGACTGTGGAAAAAAAGCAAAGTATGGATCGTCAATGTCGCAATCCCAGGTGACAGCAGGATTGAAGAGAAACAACTGGAAAAGCTGACACGATATGAGGATTTAAAGAGTGAACTGCAAAGACTCTGGCACAAGCCAGTCAAGGTGGTCCCAGTGGTGATCGGCACACTGGGTGCAGTGCCTAAAGACCTTGGCCTGCACTTAAACACAATCAGCGCTGACAAAATTACCATCTGCCAGCTGCAAAAGGCCACCTTACTGGGATATGCACGCATTAGTTGCCGATACAACACAGTCCTAGACACTTGGGAAGTATCCGACGCATGATCCAGTGCAACAACCAGCAGAATGATCTTGTCTGCTATTTACTAATCTTGTTATGTATCAAATAATAATAATAATAATAATAATAATAATAATAATAATAATACCACCCACCAAACCAAACGTAGATCATGCAAAGGTGAACAACAAAACAAAGGTGTATTCCAACCCTGTAACGTCAATTGTTCCATCTCTGATTTCTCTATAGAGTACATAAACTACTTACCCAGCGTTTGGTACAATTCAGTCATCTTGGGGTGGTCCCAGCATGTTGTCTGGGCCTGGTGGCTAAAGGAGAAGCAGGGATAGAAGGGATTAAGACAATGACAATGATCAATACATCCTGCTTTCAAGTCACCTGCTGACCCATGGAACCCTACTAATGTCCCATGCTTTTCTTAAGCAAGGAATACTCTTAGGTGGTGTGATGAATGCCATTATTTTGGGCAACTCTTACAGTATCCAAGGAAGGTCTTGAATGATATTCCTGACTAATCAACAAGAGGGGAAATTACTGGTAAGAAAGAGTTATGATCTCAGATGCAGCCAGAAACTCACTTGATGTAGTATGGGACCTTGTTGGGAGAAATTGCTCGTTCCCAGGGCACCTGGACTGAGGCTGCCAGGAAAGAAACAAAGAAATTCTGAATGCAAAATAAGTCTCACAAATGATGTGACCATCATTATTTATCAGTGACGGTTCTCTGCCCAAAACCACTCCCACAACTGTGCCCCTGGAAAAGAAACTCATTGTCCCTCTTTTGCCCTCAAATTCCACTTTATGGTTAGGTATATGTAAAGGTTTTCCCCTGACATTAAGTTCAGTCGTGTCTGACTCTGGGAGTTGGTGCTCATCTCCATTTCTAAGCTGAAGAGCCAGCATTGTCCGCAGACACCTCCAAGGTCATGTGGCCGGCATGACTGTATGGAGTGCCATTACCTTCCGGCTAGAACAGTACCTATTGATCTACTCACATTTGCATGTTTTTGAACTACTAGTTTGGCAGAAGTTGGGGCTAACAGCAGGATCTCACCCTGCTTCCCACATTCGAACCAGTGACCCTTTGGTCAGCAAGTTCAGCGCTCAGCGGTTTAACCCACTGCGCTACTGGGGGCTAGTCTTTTTATGGTTAATATTTTCTTATTTCAAGGTTCAGCTCCTTCCCTAGATTCCCTGACGAAGAGATGGGAAATCTGTGGCTCCCCAGATGTTTTTGGACTGCAGCTCCCAACAATCCCAGCATGCATGGTCAATGCTAAAGGATGATATGAGCTGCACTCTTACCTCTCCAGCGCACATTAATATGAATGCCTGCATATAAACAACAAGGGAGCATGTGGTGCCCAGACTGCCCCTTCTTGCATTGCAGAGATATGTTTTGATACTCCCAGGAAAATTAGGTGATGGGATTTTAAAATATATTGCGGCTTGCAAAGAGGTTTTCTTGCAAGGAGGAGCACACTCATAATAATAATAACAACAACATCTAATTACCTTTCAAGAAGAGTTTGCTCCAGGCACAGTCAGCCCATTGTATGCTAATCAAGGTGGTCAGTTGAAATATTCACACCTAGCCCAACTGACAAAAGTCCTTTGTCTCACCCTGGTCATTCCACAGATATATAAACCCTTTTTCCCAGTTCCAACAGACCTCACCTCTGAGGATGCTTGCCATAGATGCAGGCGAAACGTCAGGAGAAATGCCTCTAGAACATGGCCATATAGCCCGAAAAAACCCACAAGAACTTAATAATAATAATAATAATCTATTGTTTCATCTGCAAGGAAGCAGATAAAACAATAGATCCCCTCCTCAGCTGCTGCAAGAAGATCGCGCAGACAGACTACAAGCAGAGGCATAACACCATTGCTCAGATGGATTGAAAGATAGAACTGCAAAGACTCTGGCACAAGCCAGTCAAGGTGGTCCCAGTGGTGATCGGCGCACTGGGTGCAGTGCCTAAAGACCTTGGCCTGAACTTTAAAACATTTGGTGCTGACAAAATCACCATCTGCCAGCTGCAGAAGGCCACCTTACTGGGACCTGCATGCATTATTCGCCAATACATCCCACAGTGCTAGACACTTGAGACGCTAATGAGATGTTATATTGATGTTTAACTGTTTATTATGTTATTATTTTAATTGTTTTTAAACTGTTTTTATGATGTTAACTGCTTTGAGTCGCCCGAGGGCTGAGAAAAGCAGTATATAAATGAAGCAAATAAATAAATAAATAAATAAGTGTCCGATGTGTGATCCAGTTCAACAGCCAGCAGAGTATCTGCTGTGGACTCATCTTATTGTGTTTTAAATAATAATAATAAGGACCTCAAAATCGAACTGCAAAGGCTCTGGCATAAACCAGTACAGGTGGTCCCAGTGGTCATTGGTGCACTGGGTGTTGTGCCAAAAGATCTCAGCCGGCATTTGGAAACAATAAACATTGGCAAAATCACAATCTGTCAACTGCAAAAGGCCACCCTACTTGGATCTGCACGCATCATTCGAAAAGACATTACACAATCCTAGACGCTTGGGAAGTGTTCGACTTGTCATTTTGTGATACGAAATCCAGCATATAGATCTCGTTTGCTGTGACATGCTGTGTTTTTGTGTCAGAATAATAATAATAATAACAACAACAACACTTCATTTGTATTCCCTCCTCTTGCAGCCCAAACTGGGTTTTCTACTCGTATCATCTCAGGAGTCTATGGCCTAATCCTGTTGCATGTTTTTGGCACAGCTCAAAATGCACAAATAGAATAGGAAGCCTATCAGCAGCAGCTCTTCCATTTGGACATGGCATTTACATACATGAGAGGAAGTGCTGTGATCCTGGACCAAAGTCCCGATGGGCGTCCTGAAGGTGCTTCAGCCGGTCATTGATGGAGACCTATGTGGAGGTTGAAAATACCAAATGAAGCAGTGGAAATGAGTAGCATTTCATGCTGTGTGTGTGGATCTGTGGCAAAGAGAGATTATGCAAGTATCTAAAGCAATCTGTTGCGGTGCAAACATACACACACACTCTAGAAGGCTAGAAGAGGGGATTAAAATCCCATTAAGTCTGAGCACAACTTTTTGATAATTTTTTTAAAATGCCTCTATTATTTCAACCATGGAAGAAGAATGGGAAGCTTCTGTTTTGCTTCTAGGGTTAGAGCTGTGAGGACAAGGAAGGTCAACATACAGTGGGCTTTGGGTATCTGCTAGTTTTGGTTCAGGACCCCTGTGGATACCAAAATCTGTGGATATCCAAGTCCCATGATATACAATGGCATAGTCAAATGGTTTCCCTATATAAAATGACAAAATCAAGGATATTTTCCCTTTTTTAAAATAATGCTTTCAAGCCTTGAAATGCAGAATCCAGGGATAGAAGGGATGACTGTATTGATAAGCTACTCATTTGTAGAGTTGTGCTCAGAATTTGTTCCTTCTATTTCCTTTGTTTCTTTCGTTAATGTCAGTACTTCGGGAGCACATAACAAGAACCCCCCTTTTGGTACAAAAATCAGCTTGCCACAAAAGCAAGCGGGAGCCAATCCTGGCTCCTTGCCTACTTTTTGGGATCATAGTTTAATCTTTTTTTATTAATCCTTTAAGGTCTTGCATGGTCTGGGGCCGATGTACCTGAGGGACCGCCTCACCCCCTACCAACCCCAGAGATCCCTCCGTTCTGAGGACCAAGATCTATTGCAAATTCCCAGTGTCAAGACCTTGTGTCTAACAGCAACCAGACGCAGAGCCTTCACAGCAGTGGCACCATCACTCTGGAATACTCTGCCACCTGAAGTCCGTGCCTTGCGGGACTTATCAGCTTTCCACAGGGCATGTAAGACATATCTATTTCGACGGGCCTTTGATCTCTGATTGTTTTTAAATTGTTTTAAATTGTTTTAAAATTGTGTTCGATTTTAGCCTGTTCTTGTAAGCCGCTCCGAGCCCCAGGGGAGTGGCGACATATAAGTTCAAATAATAAATAAATAAATAAATCCTCCAGCAAACAAAAAGTAAACTCTCTCTCCCTGAAAACGACTGTCCTCTTCCAGAAGGTCATCATTCTTCCTTACCTGGAAGTGTGAAGACTCCTTAAAATGCATTGGAATGGAAAATGTGGCTGGTGTGGTGTAGCCCAGGAGAGAAAGCGCAGATGCCTGCTAGTACTGCCTGCAACCAAGCACTTACTCTAGAGTAAGTAAGTGCTTACTCCAGAGGAGGTGCTCAGCTGCAGGCACTGACAGGCAGGCACGCTTCTGGACCTGCACTCCACATACATGCACCCTCTTTCCAAGGAGAGTGCGTGTGGTGTGCAGGCCCAGAAAGCGCACACACCTGCCAGTATCTGTAGTCAAGTGCCTCCTCTAGAGTAGAAAGAAACAGCAGGTAAGAAGAAGCTGGAACTGAAAAGCTGGAATGTGTCCAGAGGAGGGTGACTAAAATGATCAAGGGTCTGGAGAACAAGCCCTGTGAGGAGTGGCTTAAGGAGCTGGGCATGTTTAGCCTGAAGAAGAGAAGGCTGAGAGAAGACATGATAGCCATGTATAAATATGTGAGAGGAAGCCACAGGGAGGAGGGAGCAAGCTTGTTTTCTGCTTCCCTAGAGACTAGGATGCAATGGAACAATGGCTTCAAACTACAAGAGAGGAGATTCCATCTGAACATGAGGAAGAACTTCCTGACTGTGAGAGCCATTCAGCAGTGGAACTCTCTGCTCTGGAGCATGGTGGGGGCTCCTTCTTTGGAAGCTTTTAAACAGGCTGAATGGCCATCTGTCAGGGGTGTTTTGAATGCAATATTCCTACTTCTTGGCAGGGGGTTGGACTGGATGGCCCATGAGGTCTCTTCCAACTCTTTGATTCTATGGTTCTAAGCCTCCTTAAAGCACGTGGGGAGCCTGGGAAGTCCTCTACCCCCTAATGGGCTGATAGAAAACAGATCTTTCAGCACCCCAGATCAAAAACAGATTTCTGCCCTCCCAATTTTGGGAGATTCCCAAAAAATGGATCAGGACCCCCACTGAAAGCGGGGACATGAAATGGGTCAAGGTTTACCCTGAATGCACAACCCTACTAGGAGCCCCCGGTGGCACAGTGGGTTAAACCCCTGTGCCGACAGGATTGAAGACCGACAGGTTGCAGGTGCAAATACGGGGAGAGGCGGATGAGCTCCCTCTATCAACTCCAGCTCTTCAGGCGGGGACATGAGAGAAGCCTCCCACAAGGATGATAAAAACATCAAATCATCCGGGTGTCCCTGGGCAACGTCCTTGCAGACGGCCAGTTCTCTCACACCAGAAGTGACTTGCAGTCTCTCAAGTCGCTCCTGACACGACAAAAAAACAACAGCAGCCCTACTCATTTGGTCCCTTGCTTAGTTAATTTGCTTTATTTCTCCTTGGCTTTTGTCCCACACCAGCATTTCTCTTCTAAGGGCCCTTCCACATAGCCATATAACCCAGAATATCAAGGCAGAAAATCCCACAATATCTGCTTTGAACTGGGATATCTGCCACATATTCCAGTGCAAAGCAGATAATGTCGGATTTTTTTCAGCTGTGCGGAAGGGGCCTCAGATTCCTGCATTAGTACAGTGTTACCTCGCTACTTTGCAGTTTGCTTTTTGAGGACTCGCTGTTTCACGGGTTAAAAAAAAAGAACTTAAAATGCAGTATTGTATACAAGTAGTGGGGGAACACTCTTTACCTTCCTCCTCCTCCTCCTCCTTCTTAGAATCATAGAATCATAGAATCAAAGAGTTGGAAGAGACCTCATGGGCCATCCAGTCCAACCCCATTCTGCCAAGAAGCAGGAATATTGCATTCAAATCACCCCTGACAGATTATTCTTGGCACCACCGCGCATGCATCATGGAGCGCGAGCTCAAGGTGGAGGGAAAGCAGCGTCTAGCAGCACCCAGACACAGAGAGAGATTGATTGAGAGAGAGGGGGGCCATCTTCCAGAGGGAGGGCAGATGGGGGACATACATATATGTATGTATACTGTACATATACTGTAAGCATCCCTACTTTGCAGATTTTCACTTATCGCGGGTGGTCCTGGAACGTAACCCCCGCAATACATAAGGGAACACTGTAGTAGATTTTTTTTACATCAGTCTCCAAGATTGGTTCCAGGTTTGAAGGTGTCCCATCAAAAGGCCTCTGGCTTCATGAAACAGTAGGTCTACATCAGTGGTTCTCAACCTGGGGGTCGGGATCCCTTGGGGGGGGTCATGAAGGGGTGTCAGAGGGGTCACCAAAGACCATCAGAAAACACAATATTTTTTGTTGGTCATGAGGGTTCTCTGTGGGAAGTTTGGTCCAATTCTATCGTTGGTGAGGTTCAGAATGCTCTTTGATTGTAGATGAACTATAAATCCCAGCAACTTCAACTCCAAAATGCCAAGGTCTATTTTCTATGTTTACCCAAACTCCACCAGTGTTCACATTTGGGCATCTTGAGTATTCGTGCCAAGTTTGGTCTAGATCTATCCTTGTTTGAGTCCCCAGTGCTCTCTGGATGTAGGTGAACTCCAACTCCCACACTCAAGGTCAATGCCCACCAAACCCTTCCAGTATTTTCTGTTGATATGGGAGTTCTGTGCCAAGTTTGGTTCAATTCCATCGTTGGTGGAGCTCAGAATGCTCTTTGATTGTAGGTGAACTATAAATCCCAGCAACTACAAATCCCAAATGACAAAATCAACCCTCCTCCCAACCCCACCAGTATTCAGATTTGGGCATATTGGGTAACGGTGCCAAATTTTGTCCAGTTAATAAAAATACTTCCTGCACATAGGACATTTACATTACGATTCTTAACAGTAGCAAAATTGGGTTGTTGTAGGCTTTTTTGGGCTATATGGCCATGTTCTAGAGGCATCCTCTCCTGATGTTTCGCCTGCATCTATGGCAAGAGGTAGCTCTGAGGATGCTTGCCATAGATGCAGGCGAAATATCAGGAGAGAATGCCTCTAGAACATGGCCATATAGCCCGAAAAAACCTACAACAACCCAGTGATTCCGGCCATGGAAGCCTTCGACAGTAGCAAAATTACAGTTATGAAGTAGCAACGAAAATAATTTTATGGTTGTGGGTCATCACCACATGAGACCTGTATTAAGGGGTCACGGAATTAGGAAGGTTGAGAAATACTGGTCAACATGCTTTTAAGACATTAGAGGAGTTTCAGAATAAGCTCTACTGTAGTCTGGAAATTTTAGCAGATAGATGGAGCGGAGACAGTGTCATTAGACGGGGTCCCTACTAAATAGCTGGGGCCTGATGTTAGCCTTGTTGTAAGTGTCCACCATCCTCACCTGCAGCTGCTTCCAGCGTGTGTTGATCTGCTCCAGTGCACGGGAGTTCTCCATGGACAGGTGAACATCGGAGATCGCAAGCTGGTGGGCAAGGTCATTCACCATCTTCACACCATCTTTCATAGGTGAGAGCTCCTCTTTGAACAGCTGAAGAGTCATCGCATCCCAAAAGAAAGACAGTAGCAGGAAAGAAACAAAGTGAACGACAGAAAGAAACAGAGACAGTACATGAACTGTATTCTCGAAGGCTTTCATGGCTGGAATCACTAGGTTCTTGTGGGTTTTTTCGGGCTATATGGCCATGTTCTAGAGGCATTTTCTCCTGACGTTTCGCCTGCATCTATGGCAAGCATCCTCAGAGGTAGTGAGGTCTGTTGGAATTAGGAAAATGGGTTTATATATCTGTGGAATGACTGGGTGGGGGAGAACACAGAATGCTGGACCACACCAACAACCACCATGTCAGACTACACAGAGAAGCCATTGAAATCCACAAGCATGTGGACAATTTCAAAACAGAAAGGAGGAGACCATGAAAATGAACAAAATCTGGCTACCAGTATTAAAAAACTCTAAAATTACAACAGCAAAACAGCAGAGAGGAAACAACCAGGCACATCTTAACACCTCTCAAGAAAAGATTCCCCCAGGCTCAGCCAGGCCTTCTAACGCTAATGAAGGTGGTCAGTTGAAACATTCACACCTAGCTCCAGCAGAGAAGAGCTCTTTGCCCCACCCCAGTCATTCCACAGATATATAAACCCATTTTCTTAATTCCAACAGACCTCACTACCTCTGAGGATGCTTGCCATAGATGCAGGCGAAACGTCAGGAGAAAATGCCTCTAGAATATGGCCATATAGCCCGAAAAAACCCACAAGAACCTAGTACATGAACTGTCCAAGGATAGGCAGTCTGGACATCTTGGACCACATTTTGAAATTATCCTTGACTGTTCAAAGTCATGGAGGACTCACTCAAAAATGTGCATACTGAGAGTTCAAATTTCAGTATGGCCTCCATATTTGTGGAGGATACGATCCAAGATGACCCATGAAAACCAGAAACTATAGATAATACTGAATCCTTATGGTGACTTATTTTGCTAGCAGAGTGGATTTTAATATGCTATATCTACTCATGGGAATACAATATTACTAGTCAATGGCACTAAGTCAGCATTGTCTTTTGAGCTTTCTTTTTTCGGATTGTGGACAGATCCCCGTTGAAGAAGAAGACCAAAGGCTACCTTGGTGGCTTGGATGTGGTCCGGCAAGGAATCAATGAAGAGGTCTCCAATGGGTTCCCATGTCTCTCGGACGCTTTCCGCTTGGTTGAGGGTGGTGCTGAGCTCCTCCATGGTCCCTTTGATCTCCAGCAACTGCTCAAGGGTCCTCTCAATGTGGCGATGCTGGTCAACACAGCGGGCAGTGAGCTTTTCCCACAACTCACTGGCCACAGTGGCCTGTTTCCACACAAAACGGCTGATGTTCTGGATCCGGTGTCTTGGGGAAACATCTAGGAACAGAACAGCAATATCAGTGTAGTTTACCAACAATGCTCATGCAATGCTCATGCCAGATGGTTCCAAAAAGGAATGTTTCTACAGCCTTCATGTAGAGAAATTTTTCTTCATGGGCTTTGCATCTGGAATGTCTCATGCTTGGTGCCTTCAGGTTTCTATTAGTGCCATCCCCACAAACAAAGGGAGGGGAAATATTTAGTGGTGACCAAATACTGATTGGTGGAAGGATGGACTATTCTTCATAAGTTTATGGCTGACTATCTGTTGGACATCCTAAGCAGCAGAACTCCACACTGAAATATTTTGATATCAGATGAGCCATTCAGTCCAGCTTTAAGTTCATCTCATAGTAACTCCTAAGTCGGAGGCCCCAGTGGCGCAGTGGGTTCAACCCCTGTGCCGGCAGGACTGAAGACCAACAGGTCGCAGGTTCGAATCCGGGAAGAGGCGGATGAGCTCCCTCTATCAGCTCCAGCTCCTCATGCGGGGACATGAGAGAAGCCTCTCACAAGGATGATAAAAACATCAAATCATCCGGGCAACATCCTTGCAGACGGCCAATTCTCTCACACCAGAAGCGACTTGCAGTTTCTCAAGTTGCTCCTGACATGACAAAAACAACAACAACAAACAAACTCCTAAGTCTACAAACAATGAAAGTTTGCTCCTAGAGGACTAAGTACCAAACAGAGTAAAAATTGATTCAACTACTAAATGATGAGCTAATACCTATTTAAATCTGCCTTGGTTAGACCACACCTGGAATATTGTGTCCAATTCTGGGTACCACAATTGAAGAGAGATGTTGACAAGCTGGAATGTGTCCAAAGAGGGGCAACTAAAATGATCAAGGGCCTGGAGAACAAGCCCTATGAAGAGTGGTTTAAAGAGCTGGACATGTTTAGCTTGAAGAAGAGAAGGCTGAGAGGACACATGATAGCCATGTATAAATATGTGAGAGGAAGTCACAGGGAGGAGGAAGCAAGCTTGTTTTCTGCTTCCCTGGAGACTAGGACGCAGAACAATGGCTTCAAACTGCAAGAAAGGAGATTCCACCTGAACATTAGGAAGAGCTTCCTGACTGTGAGAGCTGTTCAGCAGTGGAACTCTCTGCCCCAGAGTGTGGTGCAGGCTCCTTCTTTGGAGGTTTTTAAACAGAGGCTGGGTGGCCATCTGTCGGGGGTGCTTTGAACGTAATTTTCCTGCTTCTTGGCAGAATGGGGTTGGAGTGGATGGCCCACGAGGTCTCTTCCAACTCTATGATTCTAATCTCATAAATGGATCTATGTTAGTCAGAAACGACACCTGGATTTAGGCCAGTGTCTACTATCCTCTGTTGCTACGCTCTGAGAACATATCTTCCTGGACTGCATCCTCCCAATTATGTCTCACTATAATTGTCTCCAAACAGTAAAAGAGAAAGTTGGAAAAGCGCAGAGTGAAAGATGTGAACTTCAAACCTTTGCTGTCTGAATTTGAGTCTTCTACTTCTTCAAACGGGTGTTGAGTAAGGAAGGCTTGAGCTGATTCCAAAACAGAGTAAATGTATGGGCCTCGGGACTTCACTTCTTCCATGAATGTCTGTGTTGGGTAAAGAGAACCAGGAAAGTTAGAGAAAGTACAACACCTATTATTATTATTATTATTATTATTATTATTATTATTATTCAGTCTGAAAACAACACCATAGTGCTTTCAGCCTTCAATAATATACATCCCATATGTTTCCTTCTCTGGCAATAAATACACAACTATAACATGCAAACAATTCACTGTCCTTTGCTGACAGTCCAAATCAGTGGCGCAAAATGGAGTGGACGTACGGCGTGCCTCTCCTTCTCCTGCTGCACCAGGAGGGCATCCCCCCGGAGAGGCAGCTGGGCAGAGAGCTCCTCATCCTTCTGGCTGAGCCAATCTATGATCTCCTGGAGGGGAATCTGGAGCTTGCCACTGTGGTCCGAGAAGGCCTCCAGGCGCGCCCTGAGGGAGGCAAAGCAGAATTCAGACACGGAGCTAGGAAATGGGTTACTTGCAGGGTGGACAGCATTAACCAGCTCTAAAGCATCACCGTTTGCTCATCGGTTTTGAAATTCAAAGCATTTTCATGACCATTCCAGGCAGTCGTTGGCACACATCAACACTCCACATGGTGTCTAAATTGAGCCTATATGTACCAAGCTCCCTCTCTTAATAGCTCTAGATCAGGTATGGGCAAATTCAGGCCTGGGGGGCGGATGTGTCCCCTTGGGTTCTTTTCTCAGGCCCTCCTCTCTCTCAACACCCTATCCTTCCTTTCTTCTCTCTTTCCTTCCTCCTTCTCTCCCTCTCTTTTCCTGTTTCCTCCCTCCTTCCCTCTATCCCTCTTTTCCTTCCTTCCGTCTGTCCTTCCATCCTTCTTTCCTCCTTCCCTTCCTTCCTTCTCCCTTCTTCCATTCCCTTCCACCCTTTCGTCCTTCCTTCTCTCTTTCCTTCCTCCTTACCTCCCTCTTTCTCCTTCCATCCTTCTCTTCCACCCTTTCATCCTTCTCCTTCCGTCCTTCCTTCCCTTTTATCCTTCCCTCCATTCCCTTTCAACCTTTCATCCTTCCTTCCTTCCTTCCTTCCTTCCTTCCTTCCTTCCTTCCTTCCTTCTCTCTGTCCTTCCTCCTTACCTCCCTCTTTCTCCTTCCATCCTTCTCTTTCACCCTTTCATCCTTCTCTTTCCTTCCTTCCTTCCTTCCTTTTTGTCCTTCCAGCCTTCTTTCCTCCTTCCCTTCCTTCCTTCCCTTTCTCCCTCCCTCCTTTCCCTTCCACCCTTTTGTCCTTCCTTACTTCTCTCTTTGCTTCCTCCTTACCTCCCTCTTTCTCCTTCCATCCTTCACTTTTGTTCTTCCATCCTTTTTCCTCCTTCCCTTCCCTCCCCTTCCCTTCCCTCCCTCCCTCTTTCTCCTTCCCTCCATTCCCTTCCACCCTTTCATCCTTCCTTCCTTCCTTCCTTCCTTCCTTCCTTCCTTCCTTCCTTCCTTCCTTCCTTCCTTCCTTCTTCCTTGCCTCCCTCTTTCTCCTGCCAGACTTACTTTCCATCCTTCCTTCCGTCCTTTTTGTCTTTCCTTCTTTCCCTCTTTCCCCTCTCCTTCCCTCTTTCTCCTTCCAATCGTCCCTCCCTCCCTTTTGTCTCTCCTTCCTTCCTTTTTCCCTTCCTTCCTTCCTTCCTTCCTTGCATCTATCCATCCATCCATCCATCCATCCATCCATCCATCCATCCATCCATCCATCCATGACTGGGCAGCCAGTCCTCTTAGCAGGGAGTGCTAGCATGCGGCCCCCAAGTTAGAAAGTTTGCCCATGCCTAGACCTTCAAACCAGGGTCTCGGGTGAGTTCACATGAGCAAGAACACCTCAAATTTAGTATTGCTTTCCTGCACAATGTTCACCAACTTCTAGTGAGCATTTTGGGTTTTACACATTTAATTAGCTATGTACTGCTTTGAGCAAAGATGAGGGACACTCTGGCATTTTCTGGGACAGTTTTAGCCATGTGATTGGGTCCAATTCGGAGGGTAGACAAACAATTCTGCAAGGTTGACTTCAACAATAACCTTTCCAAGCTTTGCTTTGGCCCCCTCCGTGGCTCTTTGGAACCTGGTTAGGACTCAAGTCCTTGTCTTAGAACTTGAGTCCTGACATAAATTCCACCAGGACTGGCTTTGCCCATTTGTCAAAGTTCTCCCTGATGCAAAGTCAGAGGGTTATTTGAATCCCTAAGGATGTTTATGAGTGCCAAACAAGATCCTTGAAGCCGGGCATTTGCTATGAGTCTCACCGGAGGTTGTGCGACTTCTTTTTAATCTCATTCCAGCATAGATTCATCTCCAGAGGCATCTGTGGCCCAGCAGCGCCGTTGGGGGGTCTCACGCAGGCTGAAGCAGAGGCATCTTGGGGTGCTTTAACCTAAACATAAACACAAACGGCATCAAGGGGATGGGAAAGGAGGCACGCACGGTAATTGCAGGTCAAGGAGGAAATGCTGGATTCCATCCTGGCACTTGAGAAGGAACACAAAGAACAAGATTCAAGGATTTAATGAAGTGAATAAAGAACAATCCGCAGTTGCTACTTGATAAAACTCTTTTTATTTCATGAGTGTCACTACCATTATTTCTGAATATATACAGCCACAGACAGACAGACAGACAGACAGACAGACACAAATAAATGTAATGTTTGTTTGTGGGATTAATAGAACTCAGTGGGCAAATTGACACCAAATTTGTACAGCATACACCTGACAACCCAATCTATGTCCTTCACTCAATTTTTTTTATTTTGTCATTTGGGAATTGTAGTTGCTGGGATTTATAGTTCACCTACAATCAAAGAGCATTCTGAAGCCCACTAACTATGGAATTGAACCAAACTTGGCATACAGTTCTCTTATGAACAACAGAAAATACTGGAAGAGTTTGGTGGGCAGTGTCCTTTGGTTTTGGAGTTGTAGTTCACCTGCATCAGAGATCACTGTGCACTCAAACAATGATGGGTCTGGACCAAACTCTACAGAAAGATTCAATATGCCCAAATGTGAACACTGGTGGAGTTTGGGGAAAATAGAATCTTGACATTTGGGAGTTGTAGTTGCTGGGATTTATAGTTCACCTACAATCACAGAGCATTCTGAACCACACCAACGATAGAATTGGGCCAAACCTCCCACACAGAACCCCCATGTGGGCCACAGCAAACACACATATATACACATATACCAACACTGGGGGTTGGTACTCATTTTCATATGTGTATATACATATATACTAGGCCTGTTTGATCAAGAAAAAAATTGTTTCTAAAATCGATTTGTAATTGGGGTGTTTTTTTGTTTCGATATTTAAAATAATTACAAAACTTTCCAAAAAAAAGTTTCGGTATTTACGAAATTTCGTAAATATTTACAAAACATTTTGTAAAGATGGCGCCCTTTTTTTTCAATATTTTTTAAATATTTTTTAAATTTAATTATTAATTTAGTAGAATAGGGAGGAGAAATTATTATTGAGGGAAGGCAGGCACTCACTCTGGCGGGCCCTCTCGCTCGCCGCTCGCTCGCCGCTCGCCCTCTCGCTCGCCCTCTCGCTCGCCGCTCGCCCTCTCGCTCGCCCTCTCGCTAGGATGGGTTCCTTCCAGGAGGGGCTCTTTTTCCCAGGCTGCCAAACTACAACTCCCAGGATGCTACAGCATTGAGCCAATGTGGTGCCAAACCTCATCCAGGCTGCAGTGTAGATGGCTGCAGGATGGAGGGGTTTCCTGCCTCGAATTGAGAGAGAGAGAGAGAGAGAGAGAGAGAGAGAGAGAAGAGGAAGCAAGTGAGACGTTTCCAAGGCTCTGCTGATCTGCTTCTGCCATGGCTGAGAAAGAAGGGCACAATGGGGGCTGCCTTTCCAACCAGGAGGGAAAGAAAGGGGAGCCTTCTTTGGAAGAGAGCTCAGAACCCCCCTGCGAAAGGTGAGAGAGAGAGAAAGAAGAGAAAAGGAAAGAAAGAGAAGGAGACCTCCCTCTCGCCCTCTCGCTCGCCCTCTCGCTCGCCGCTCGCCCTCTCACTCGCCCTCTCGCTCGCTGCTCGCCCTCTCACTCGCCCTCTCGCTCGCCGCTCGCCCTCTCACTCGCCCTCTCGCTCGCCGCTCGCCTCTCACTCGCCCTCTCGCTCGCCGCTCGCCCTCTCGCTCACCCCGCTCGCCCTCTCGCTCGCTTGCTCAGCCGGCGCGGAGAGAGGAGAGCTCCCAGCAAGCCAGGCGGCCATCTTACGTATTTCCGAAATGGACGGAAATACAAAATTTTTTGGCGCCTGCCGTTTCGATATTTAAAAACACTTCCAGGTTTAAAAATAAGTTTTGTAATCGTTTTGTAATTCAAAAATTAACGAATTTTTTAACGAATTACGAATTAACGAAACGAATTGCACAGCCCTAATATATACACAAGTATATACACACATATACTTACCTATACATACAAAACACATATACACAGACTGGGCCACAGCAATGCGTGGCAGGGGACAGCTAGTCTATATAAATAAAAATGTTCATTTGTCGGATTCACATAACTCAAAAACCACTGAACGAATTGACACCAAATTTGACACAATACAACTATTAGGCCAATGAGTGACCTTCACCCATAAAAACACCGAAAAACACAGCAGAAGAGACTTAAAAAGCAGAAAAAAATACATTACAACACATGCACAAAACCACATATATATACGCAAACACACATATATACAAATATATACACACAAATATACACACACAAAACACATATACACAGACTGGGCCACAGCAACGCGTGGCAGGGGGCAGCTAGTCTATATAAATAAAAATGTAATGTTCATTTGTGGGATTAACGTAACTTAAAAACCACTGAACGAATTGACACAAAATTTGGACACAATACACCAATCATGCCAACGAGTGACCATCACTCATAAAAATACTGAAAAACACAGCAGAAGAGACTTAAAAAGCAGAAAAAATACATTACAATGCATGCACAAAACCACATATATATACACACAAACACACACATTTACAAATATATACACACACAAAACACATATACACAGACTGGGCCACAGCAACGCGTGGCAGGGGATGGCTAGTCTATATAAATAAAAACGTAATGTTTGTTTGTGCGATTAACATAACTCAAAAACTACTGGATGAATTGACACCAAATTTGGACACAAGACACCTATCAGGCCAACAAGTGACCATCACTCATAAAAATACTGAAAAACACAGCAGAAGAGACTTAAAAAGCAAGAAAACAACAACATTACAACGCATGTACAAAACCACATATATAAGCAAACACACATATATACAAATATATACACAGAAATATACACACACAAAACACGTAGACTGAGCCACAGTAACACATGGCAGGGGACGGCCTCAGAGGATGCTTGCCACAGATGCAGGTGAAACGTCAGGAGAAAATGCCTCTAGAACATGGCCATATAACCCGGAAAAACCTACAACAACTCAGTGTGAATTGTTTACTACTTGTCCCAATTTTTTATATCATGTCATTAATAAAAAATGTGCAAAAAGAATGAGTGGGAATGTTGTAGTGATTCCAAAAAGGTGGGGAACATGGCAGGAATTTCACCACCCACCCATCACTGTGTTTAGGTCGTGTCCTTCATTTGTCAAATGCACACCAGGCACAAGGGACACAGAGCTTTTGTGTGTTGGATCAATACGGAGCTAGGCTTGTGACATGAGCATTTCTTGCTTCGGCTTTGGGGGGGGGGGGTACGACAATCACCCCAGGCACAGACGTGCACTACAATTTCAAGGTAGTGTTTAACTGTAACTATCATTCTCCTTAACACATTTTGTTTCTTTAATGGAAAAGACGTAGGAGCAAAGTGTTTCTTGAGGTGTGAAAAAACATTTCTAAGAAAATCCGCAGACCTTCCTTCTGTTACAATTTTGTAAGTAGTACACCTAACCACTCCAGCTCCCACCAAAAACCTTTCCAAGAATTTTATCTCTTCCTCCTCTTGGCTTTGTTTGTTCCCTAATCAAACAAAAACATGTTGTTATTGGTACAATCCCTTAATTTATTTATTTGCAGTATTTGTAACCTGCCTTTCTCAGCCTGCAACATCACAAATGTGTCTGGCGGGGACGAGAGACGGGGCCTTCTCGGCTGTGGCCCCCCGCCTATGGAACACACTCCCAAATGAAATAAGATTGGCTTCTTCCCTCCTGGCTTTTAGGAAGAAATTAAAATTGTGCTTTTGGGACCAGGCTTTCGGTCAGCAGAAGTAAGTAGCACTTTAGATGGACATTGACTGGAACGGCGACACAGCTAATGAGACTATTTTTACTGTTTTAATTTTTGCTTATGTATTGATTTAATTATGACTTATGTTCAATTGCGATTGTATTATGATGATTGTCATGTATTGGCATTGTATCGGTGAATATTGTAAGCTGTCCTGAGTCCCCCGATCTGACAGTCGGCGCTGGGTCGCGGCGTACCAAGCAGATGCTACCCTTCAAGTGACTACCGCGTCCCTCCTCTTTTTCTGCTGACTTTTATACTCAAGTAATAGGTCATGGAAAGTACTCTCTTTCCAGCCCCTCTCCCTTGACCTTTTGATGGAAAGTACCTTCTTGTACCTGCAGACTCTGCGCTTAACCACAACCTTTGAACTTAATCACAACACAACTGCCGACCTCTACATGTCACATCTTGTTTCTTAAAAACATTTTCCTCCCTGTTGGTCCTTTTCTACAGAGGACGGGTATGTTTCTCTTTGCTGTTAATTTCATTCAAAGCCCCTTTCTTAGCATTTGCAAATTTCACTCAAAGACCCTTTCAGGATTAACATAACTTCAAAACCACTGGACGAAATGCCGCCAAATTTGGCCACAAGACACCTACTAACCCAAGGAGTGACTATCACTCAAAAAATTGATTTTGTCATTTGGGAGTTGTAGTTGCTGGGATTTACAGTTCACCTACAAGCAAAGAGCATTCTGAACTCCACCAATGATGGAATTGAACCAAATGTGGCACACAGGACTCCCATGACCAATATGGGCATTAACCTTGAGTTTGGGAGTTGTAGTTCACCTACATCCAGAGAGCACTGTGGACTCAAACAATGATAGATCTGTTCCAAACTTGGCACGGATACTCCAAATGCCCAAATATGCACACAAACGGAATTTGGGGGAAACAGACCTTGACATTTGGAAGTTGTAGTTACTGGGATTTATAGTTCACCTACAATCAAGGAGCATTCTGAACCCCACCAATGACAGAATTGGGACAAACTTCCCATACAGAACCCCTATGACCAACAGAAAATACTTAAGGCCATCCAGTCCAACTCCCTTCACCAGGGCAAGAAAACGTAATCAAAGCCCTCCTGA